TAGATTATAAAAAAATATTAGTTATTATATAATCTAATATATCTATAATTATAAAATATTATTATTTAGGGTTAAAATATCTTAGTACTAATAATTTTATAAATATTTTTTTTAATTTTTAGAAAATAATATATCTTTTAAATATTATTTAAAATTATTCTCTTGTTTTTAATTTTTTTAGTAGGTTAGTAAAGGGAGTAATAATTACTATATATTAATAGATAAATTTTTTAAAGAATCTAGTAAATCCTAAAAATATTTAAATATTATAAACTAATTATAGCTCTGGCTATTGTATAATTATATTTAATTAAAAAAAGTCTAACTAAATCTTTTCTCAGCTAATAATAAAACTAAAAAAGTGGACTTTTTTTATATAGAATATATATTTTAATATTTTTGTAAAAAGATTATAGTATTTTAGATATTTTAGTATTTTATTAATATATTAGATATATTCTTTCTTTATCTTTAAAAAACTAAGGATATTATTAAAATAAATAATATAATAATTATTAAGGATTTTTTATAATATTTTATTTATATAGGCCTGGAATGTAAAGGGAGTATTATATAATCTAAATAATATTATTATATATTTATACTATTTATAATAAGTTTAAAAAACTGTTTTCTATTTATTTTCTTGGCAGATATATATTTAATAATAAGTATTATATAGATTTAGCTTTATAAAGACCTTAGTATTTTTTAATTAATTTATAATTTTATTAATTTGCAGGAGTAGATAATAATTTTTAATTATAATCTTATTTAATTTCTAATAGTTTATATATAATTATAAGTTATTATTAGGTTTTTTAATATAGAGGATAGGGGCTGTAGTAGATTTATTAAAGAGCTAAATCTATCTTTTTTTAATTATTTTATTTAGATAGTCTTATAGTGTTTTTAACTCGGTATAGGATATATTATATAAAGGTTTATATAAGGATTTTATATTAGATTTTAATAAAATAGCATATTTTATTAATCTTATTAATATAGATACTACCTCTTGCTTAGAGAATATTTTTTTAAATTAGGTATACTGTTTAGGGAGACTAGGAGTTTCCTAGTTTAATATAATTATTTTAAATAATATCTCTGATTTTTTAGCGCGGCAGTATTATTTAAATTAATAATAAAATAATAAGCTAACTATAGGTAATCTGCTATAATATTACTAAATTTTTATAATAATACTAAAATTAGGATTTATAAGATTTATTTAGTTTTTATTAAGTATAATATTATAATTTGCTATATTAATAATATAAAATTATATAATATAACTATATATATTATTATTTAAATTAAAAATTTTTATATTTTTTTATAGTATTCTGTATCAGGGTACTATCTGATTTTCAATAAAAAAAACAGGGGCTAATATCTGGCTAGTATTAAACTAGAAACCTTATTTTTTTAATTAATAATATAATATAAAATTATTATTTACTCTTATATTTAATAATATATTTACAGTAGTTTATTTTTTTTTATATATAGTTAAATATCTGTGCGGAGAGGAGAAAATTATAATAAAATATTAGATTTAATTATATTAAAGATTAGAGATATATTTTTTTATTAAAAAAAGGAATTATTTTTTTATTATTAAAAATCTTATTTTATTAAAAATTATATTTATAAATAATTTTTTATTTTTTTAAGAATAATAATTTTAGGAATAATACTTTTTTTTTATAAATAAAATAATATTTATTTTTATTTAGGTACTTTCTCTTTTTTTTAAAAGCTTATTACTTAAAATAATTATTTTTTTTAGAATACTTATATTTTATATATAATATATTATTATCTTAAAAAGTTAAAAGATTATTTTAAAAAATAAGAAAACTATCTCAGAAGTTCTTTTTTTAAAAAAATTTTTTTTAAGAGAAATATTTACTTTTAGAAAATAATCTATTATATAATTATAGTATTTAGTAAAACTTTTTATTTTATTTTACTAGTTATTTATATTATTCTGCTAAAGCACCTGTTTTAATAAGATTTTTTAGTCTTTTATTAGTTAGTAATTTAAAGGCTTACTTAATATTTTTTTATAGATCTGGCTGTAGTATTTTAAAGAAATAATTAATAAAGAACTAGTTAATATCTTTTTATATAAGCTTGATAAAAAGAATATATTTATTTAATATAGCTTAAATAAGTTAGTTAGGGCCCTACCTTAGTCAAGTAAAATTATAAATATAAGTTTATTTTTAGTTTTTTTTTTTTTTATTTATTTTATTAAAAAAATTTTAAAATTTTTAAATATTACTTTCTGGAGATGTCTAGGGTATATTAAATATTATAAATTTTAGAGAGATTCTATTAAATATATTTTTATATATAAGATTTTTACTTTTTTCTTAGAGAAGAAGTAGGGTTTATTTTTAAAATAATATTTTAAATTTTAAATAAAAATTAAATATTAATATAAGTCCTTGTCCCTGAAGATCTTTAGTTTTTTAAATTTAAAACTTTTTTTTTTTTACTTTTTTCTAAAATCTTTATTAGTATTATTAGTATATTAGGGGTTATTTATATTAGTAGGAGGGCTATAAGCTGACTACCGGCCTCCTGATAATTAGAAGATTATTTGGAATAATAGTTTTTAAGTATTTAAAAAAAAAAGTTATTATTTAATATAAGGGATTAAATTACTTCTTCTGAGGTAAAAGAGAGATTATTTAAAAATATTTAATAAATATAATATCTTTATTTATTATAAGATTATTTATATATAAATATAATAGTAGTAAAGTAGGAGAGAAATAATTAAAATTATAAAAAATAATTATAAAGGTTTTGTTCCGGGTATTTAATTTTTTTAAATAAATATATTAAGGAGTTTAGGATGCCTATAATATATTTATAGATTATTTATTATATACTAAGAGATATAAGGAGTTAAAAAACAAATATAAAATAAATAAAATTAATTATTTAATTTTTTAGGAGTTAAGTAGGTAATCTTTTTAAATAAAGGGTTTCCTGTATATAATATTATCACAGGAATCAGTTCCCGAATGCCTCGGCAACCCTGCGGACCTCCGGCGGTCCGGTTGTTCCGTGTTCCGCGCTGAGATAAGCGCCGGTGACAAATTAAACATATATAAATTCAATCAGACAGGTAAATAATTAATTCACGCATATATATAAATAGTAGGAACAAAGAGCTAATCCGGGTTTATAACTGTCAGATAAGATAAGTAAATTATATAAGTTAAATAAAAATTTTAAATAACTAGATAAAATAAGGAAAATTAATCAGTCAGATAAAGTAAATAATTTATCTAGACTACCTAGATCTAAAATAAATAAACCAGAAGTCTTACCATTTACTATATATATAGATAAATAAAATTAATTAAATAAATAAATAAAATTTAATTAAATAAATTAAATAGATAAATTAACTTAATAAAAAGAATAAATCAATACAGGTTATTAACTATATATTTATAAACAATTAAATCAGAACTAATTTAATCTGGCCCTAAGCAAACATTATAAACATAAAATCATTAAATCTTTTTAAGCCTTTATTTATAAGTTATATTATTCACCTAGGCCTTCAAGATCAACCTTATAAATCATTATTAAATTAATATTTAATTATTTAAATAATCAAATAATCAAGATTTTATAATTAAAATAATTAGAATAATTAAGATTTAATATATAAATCATAATAAAATTATTTAAATAATATCAGAATAATCAAGATAACAATATTTACTTTATAACTTATAAAATAAATAGGCAAGACATTCTGGACCCTTTATATTAATTATTTAAATAAAGCCATTGATCACAATAGTTAAAATAAACTTTTAATTTTCTAAATAAGAAATTTAATAATATCAGATTTCTAAGTTTCATATAATTCTAGTAATCAAGGATTTCCTAAATAGGAAGGTAAGCTAGTCTAAATTAAAAAACTTATTAGAAATCTAGTCTTTTTTATTTTTAGCTCATTTTAAATTCAGTTTTACCTTACTTTTCCCATATAATTTAGTAATAGAAGTGAGAGTTCAACAAAGTAAGAATAAAGTTATAGTAAATTTTAAATAATTTCGGTTGTGGGGCTAAATCAGGTGATTCTGATAAATCAGGTGATGTCAGGTGACCCCAATTGACAGATATAAATAATAAAGTTATAAAATTAAATACTTTAGTACTTTAAGGATAAAACAGTATAAAAATAATTAGCTAAAGATCTTAAATATATAGTGTATTTTACTTAAGGTATTGTTGCTAGGGTTCAGGGGAACCCCGCGAGAACATGTTTTTATTATGTGTTTGCTAGACTATAACTAAGCACCCATTCTGACTAAGCATCCTTGGAAGGTTCCCATATGGATCCTTACAGTAATAGAGTAATGAATTAGCTAAATTATCACCTTATTTAAAATCACATAATTTAACATGTTATAAAATAAAGTTATAAATTAACAATTTTTTCATCAATTTAACCCCTAAGAAAATAATATAAATAGCCCTAAAAATCACTTTAATTAAGATATAGAATATAAGTAGAATAACAAGCAAAATTATCACTTTTTTATAGTTAATAAAATTGTTTGTTTTGAATTAAAGCATTTTATCAAATTAGTCATTTTCCACAGCAGAATAAAATCCTCCCGAATTTCTGCCACATTCTCAGACCTGACCGGTCCCATCTGGTCATGTGAAATCTGTGGTAGTTTTAACTTTTGGTCACATGATCAGCTCCTTATGCAGTCCCCGCGAATGAGTCAGCTGGTGGTTATCCCTGCACTAGTCGATCACGTATGAATCGAAGGATTACCGAGGCTCTGACACTTGACTGCCCCGCCGGCTCGTTGTCTCATTGCATCATTCATTATCTAACGCTCTGTGCTTTGTTAAAAGCTTCGGGTTCTTATGGAGGGAGGAGTATTTCGAAATGAAAATATTTTGGCGGTCAATCGTATATCTTTTATGGTGTTCTTACCAAGAACTTAGACAGTTTGGCCGAGTGGTTAAGGCGCGCGCCTGCGTACGTTCTACTTTCTATTACTCTCACGAATCTCCTACTAACAACAATTCAGTATTGGTTACAACTTCAGTAATTCATGTCAGCGCGTACTTTCGAGTGCGCAGGTTCGAATCCTGCAGCTGTCGGTATAGAATTTTTAATCCTGCCAAACTTATACAATTATTTTTTTTATCTTTGATTCTTAGTTATTTATTATATAAATGATACTCTATTAACACTCCTTGGATCGGAAAACAGTAATCCTGGCTCTCATACAAAGCCTCTCGATCCAACACAGCAATGACATGGAACCTTTACAGATGGAACATACTCTGCTCCTCGTTCGCCTCGCAGAATCTCCACAATCCCGATGCCACGGCCGCATCTCTAACTGATCCAAGCTCATCATCACGAACGGCACGATTGATCTCCGCATACCGCACCTCATCTGCGCCGGAGCTCTCACTCGTCCGTCTCTTCTTCTTGCCGACATGCGCATCGGGGTGGTATTGCTCCATGATATGCACATATATATCCTTGGAAACATTCCCCGCCAACCAGCGCATGATCTCTCGGCCCTCATCCTCCTTACCCGGCATGACCAGATGCCGCAGCAAGACCCCCTTCTTGGCAATCCCATCGGATGTAAAGCAGAGGTCGCCGACTTGCTTGTACATGGCCCGGATGCTCTCCATGGCGGTTTCGGTATAGTCATCCGCTTTCAGCAATCGTTTTGATGTAGTGCTCTTCCAAACTTTAAAATCCGGCAGGTAGATATCGACCAAGCCATCTAGGAGTTCCAGCGACTCGAGGGAGTCAAACGAGGACGTGTTGTAAACGATGGGGACCTTGAGGCCCATGTCGCGAGCCGCCAGGATCGAGAGCACAACTTGCGGCACCACATGCTCTGGCGTGACGAGGTTGATGTTATGTACGTTCCCCACCATCTGAAGCTTCATGTACCAATCTGCCAGCTCTTCGGGGGTCAAGTCGAAACCTTTCCGCTGGTGCGCGATATCCTAGAAGGAGCAGCGAGAGCCGTTAGCAAATCGGGAGAAAGTTCTCAGAGACCGGATATGGTTTCCATACGTGATTCTGGCAAAATACGCAGCGCAGATTGCACCCGGAGAAGAAGACCGACCCGCTGCCGTGAAACCCTTGGATGCATGGCTCCTCGCCGCGGTGCGGTGCGATCACATTGACCTTGGCCGTTTCGGCGCCGATCAAACACACGCCCGTCTCTTCGTATCGGTTCACGCCACAGCGCCGCGGACACAGGTTGCAGTTGCGGAGGTGCGCGTAGGCATGAGAGCGCTTCTTGGCTGCATCCACGGAGGAAAGCAGTTGGTATCGTGGAATGTAATCGTCCAGCAGAAAGGCCGGGGGGATTCCCAGGAACCGTTTAGGGATGAGAGGAGATATCGAGGGGCGTAGACGAGCACGCTGGGATGATGGAAGACGGAGGGAGCGGGTTATGCCGATCATGGTTCGCTGGATAGTTGCAGTGATGCTACCCCATTGCGATGAACAGGCAGAAACGAAACAGACTGTCGAATGAAGAAGGCAAAAAACAGGAAAAGAGCGAGGCAAGTCAGTCAACTCGGCGATAAGGATGCTTATCTCAGCAGTGCGTCATCGCTTCGGAATCCGGGGTAAATGGGCTGAGTAATGCATTTACTCTCACAGTACGATAGTTACGAGTATACATGGACTACTTCCACCGGTCAGCGAGAGCTCCCCCCGGAAGAAATGCCCGTACAGCCTCATTCTCTGCATGATAGCGTCGCAGATACAAGCAGATCGAAGGACATTCCACTCTGGCCCGAAGTTCAATCCACCATATACTGCGACCTGCTTTCCGGTACCATAGATAGAGCAACAAGAGTGCTGTAGGATCCTTCTTCCGCAGCAGAACTTCGAAAGGACCACGGATGCTCCACATGAAAAATTGAGTCGGACCCGTGGTGACCTCACTCTCCGGGAGGTCCAGGATCTGAGCTACCGCGTGAGCGGCATCAAAATACGGATTTATTTCCGCCGTCGATGAGTCCTCAAGACCACATACAGCCGCCAGGGCCCGTGGGATACCATCTATGCCTTCCTCTGGCAAGGGCGAAAACATCTGCGCAAAGGTTGCCGCCATGACGCAGAAAAGACTGTCCGGTCGCAGCGGGTTGACCATGGGCCACAAGGACATTTTACCTTGGCTCATGCGCACCCAGTTCAAGTCGGAGTCGGAGGACTTGAGAGGCCACGCTTGTTCTGCTGTGTGTGCATCCGAGGACGAGAAGGTCAGGATAACCAGGGCAGCTGCAGTGCCCCAGATTGGATCCTTATCGTTCGTTTCAATTGGTTCCCGCAGCCGCTTGTTGAAGAGAACTGTGCTTCGGGACCAGTGGTAACACTCTTCTAGAGTGCGACGACCGCCTAAGGAGCCGTTCAGGTGACGGTCGTAAGTATGCGCCACGGCTAGAGAGGCGTGCATTAAGACAGGGTACTACAAACCATCTGTTAGCGGGCTACGATGGAGAATCACTAGTAGTAGAACTCACAGCAAAGGCTAATTCCAGGAGCTGGCGATTAACTTTCCTCATATTCGGATCATCCGGGGTAGTGAGGCTTCGTCCCAGATACCGGGTTATGAAGTCCTGGCATCTTGTGGTCAATTGATAGGATGTCGATGCGTCCGATGTCCAGACCGCATTTGTGAGAGGGCGCTGCAGCTCTGCTTTTCCTCGCGCCATCAACAGCCGTCCTTGATCGGCGGCGACGAGCTGGAGGTCAGGAGTATTCGACATAAAGTTGCATAAGAGCCCAAACGAAGTACATCGCTGGCATTGGGGTTTGCCTTCATCGCACTACCGCGTCGGTCAGCCCAGCGTCAGGTTATTAATTGTTGACCGCCACGCACCTTGAGCTTTCGAAGCTTGCAATTTCGGCAGCCAAATCTGGATCTGCGCCGAGTCCTACCGTCTCTTGGGGCTGTTGAAGCCATGGCTGTAGCAGTGAGGGATTTCCCGAGTCGAAGGAGACACTAGAATCGCCCCCAATGGATCAGCACACGCTAACTCTTCCTCGGATGCAGCGGGCTCTGATTGGCCGAGAGTCTGCCTTGTATAAGACTGAGAGTCATAGATTTGGTCGGATGGCCTACGAAGTCGTGTATAAATAGAAGGGGGTTCCTCGATATCCTACGACACCAGATTCCATCCTCATAAGATTCTACATTTCACAAACAATTCAAAATGACCACCCACCTCGCCGCCGTCTCCCTCGCCAAAGGAGAACCCTTCCAGCTCCAAACCCGCCCGACCCCCAAACCAGGGCCTGGTGAGCTCCTCGTCGCCGTCAAATCCGTCGCCCTCAACCCAGCCGACGGCATCATGCGCAGTCAAGGCCTCTTCATATCCTCCTACCCCACGGTCATCGGTTTCGACTTCGCCGGCCTAGTGCTCGAGGTCGGCGACAACGTCCCCGTCGATTTCCGACCGGGCATCACCCGCGTCGCTGCCTACGCCACCCACGTCTGGAAGTCCTGCGATCCGGACTACGGCGCCTTTCAGGAGCGGTGTCTCGTCCCCTGGCAGCATGCTCTGCTTTTGCCGGACGATGGTCTCTCGTGGAACCAAGCGGCGACCTTGCCCGTTGCCGTGCAGGTCCCTCTGAGCGCGTGGGATGCGATGGGCATTCCGCACGTGGGGGAAGCCACTGCCCCCTCTTCCTCTTCCTCTCCTTCTAAGCAACAAAAGAGAGACGTCCTCTTGATTTGGGGTGCGTCCTCCAGCGTGGGCACGATGGGCGTGCAAACCGCTCGGTTGCTGCGGGACGATCGCGACTCTTCTTTCGCCGCTGTGTATGCTACGGCCGGTACGGCGAACCACGAGTACGTGGGCTCTTTAGGCGCGGATCGCGTCTTCGATTACAACGAGCCGCGGGTAGTGGAGGCAATTGTGTCGGCGGCCAGAGAAGACGGTCTAGTGATTCGACACTGCTTTCTTGCCACGGGGCAGCTGGCGCCGTGTCAGGCTGTGCTGAAGGCTTTCTGTGACGATTATCATGATCAAGAGGGAGAAAGCCAGAAAGCGAGGATCGGGTCGGCGCCGATCGTTCCTCCGGATGCAGAGGAGGCGGATGGCGTGGAAACTATCTTTGTGATGCCGTCGACGGACGAAGGGGAGAGGTTGGCTCGGTTCCGGTATTGGATGGGGACGGCGAGGGAGAATCTGGCCAACGGGTCTATCAGACCCAGTCCGGAGCCGAGGGTCGTGGGGAAGGGTTTGGAGGCGATCAATGCCGGGTTGGATGTGCTACTCCGAGGGGTGAGCTGTACGAAGTTGGTGGTTGAGGTTGCGGAGTGAGGATTTCTGGCGCTAGATGAGAAGATGTGATGTGATGTGATGTCCGCTTGCTTGCGTCAAGGGATGACTACCCCAATTCAAATTAATATTCGTCATGAGTTTGCGTCACGTCGTCAGAGCTACCATATATACATTGCGGGGTGGCAGATAGGGATATTTGTACACAACGTCCTTCACAAGGCGAGACCGCTGCCATCCCCGGTCCAGCGGTAGAGCGCCAAAACCTCCCGCCTGCGCTGTTGCTGTTCGCCAAAGTCCTCGGGCATGCGTCCGCGAACCTGCGCGAGAGCTGACCGCATCACTTTTCGGAATGTTCTCTGAGCGAAAAATGGTCTGTTAGTACGGAGCATGTCCACCGGGGCGAGTAATTCCGGGAGACCACAATCTTACCTGATATTCAGTGTTTAATGTCACAACGCAAGCCTCGTGGGCGCGGACAATCGTCTCACAGGCGCGGACAACGCTGGGACTCGCATCCCCTTGCAGCTTGTCCGCAGCGAGGAGCAGTAAGAAGCTGCCTTGTAGGAGGTAGATGCCAAAGAAGAATGGCATGAAACTTAGATCCGGGTCGTACTCGAGAATGTCGGCCGCTGCCTCGGCAGCTCCAACCGCGTGGCTCATCGCCGAGATGAACGACTCGGATGAGATCCAGAGATCATGGTCCTCCAGCAGATTGATAGGGTCCCACTTGCCAGCTAGAAGAATATGAAGGACATGCATGATATGGGTCCCGTATGCCACCACCATCTTCGTGTGCACGATGGATTCGTTTACGCGCGATCCGACCGTGCTACTCGACCGGCCCGAGGGACTCACATGGTCCAGATGGGACCCTTCCACGGCGGTTTCGTTTTCCCCGGCGCCAAGGGTCAAGCTACTGGTGTAGCGGGCCTCGAACTCTTTCAGGCTTTGTCCGTATGTATCCAGCTGGCGGGTAATCTCCAACACTTGGTGGTCCCACTCGGGGCTCGTTCGAAATGCAAGGCCAAAGCGGGGATGATCTCTCGCTTGCTTCAAGTCGACGATTTCCCCGAGGATGGTCATCAAGGGTAAGAAGTACCCGAACACGCTGTGGCCGGTGCATTCTATGGGTGGGCCGACCTGGCGATAGGCAGCTGCAGCAAAGTCGCTGGCCTGCCATAGGTCATCGTTCATCGGCTGCAAAAGTCCCTCGCACTCTTTGTCCAGCAATGTCAGTGGGCGGTTATAGCAAAGCGCCAGATGGCGATCCGTCGCATAAAGCAGCCACCAGAGCCGCCGGCGTTCCTCCCGTTCCTCCTCGGTTACATTCAAAGCCGCGCTCCCTGATCCATTTCCGACGGAAGTGATGAGAGGAGGGAGGTTGTTACGTTTCGACGGATCGCCCTCTGTTTCGCCCTCGCGCTCCCCATCCGGTCGCGTTTGAGCGGCGTTTGGCGGCAGCTCACGGCCCAACTTCAATTCCCGGGCGAGAGACCATGCTGCCGTCCACCAACGCATGCTAGCTGCCTTGTACTCACTGGCAGAAACCACGGTCGCCAGGTGGACATATGTCGCAACGTCGTCCACAGCACCCGTTGCACTGCTTTGCGCACCCAATTGGTCCATGGAGACACCGAATCCTCCCAGAGCCACGCCGTTGATTACCATATTAGCAGCGTAGTTGGGCGAGGTCTCCCCTGGAGCAGGGCCATGGATCAAGGGACGAAGCAGCCCAATGGTAAGTTCGAGGAGCTTTTGGCACACTCTTCCTCGAGCGGACGGTGGGGAGGTTAAGAAAGCCGCGTCGCTCGTCTGGGCCGCAACCCAGAGCATGCTTGCCAAAAGACCCGGGCTGCAAGCCCTTGGTTTCGTCGGATGGAGGAAGGATTGCTTTCGGAATATATATGCTACCACATACGGAGATTGCGGGGACAGATGAGAGGGTGAAAAGCTGGTAAAGTAGACGTCGAGGAGGTCGCAGGCCAAAGACTGAGGAATGATGGACGCGATATGAGGCAAGACCGGCTGCAAAACTGGATATCGCAAAGTGCTGCCAAATGGCGGCATACTAAAGGAATGGAAGTTCGCGGGAGATGGTGAGGGAAGCGGTAGCCAGCCCGGTGACTGCGCAGGAGGCGACAGGCCTAGAAATGGCGCCGACGGGTGCTCTGCAGAACTACCCAGTCGGAAATGATTGATCGAGGCGGTATTCGAATCTTGAGGGTTCACTAGAGGGTAAGCGCCGTCGTTGAAGCCAGAATTCAACCCTTGTGAGGGCATGACAGACGATGGCGAGCGAGGGTTGGCGCCAGAATGGTGCAGTATCTGCAGCGAGCGTAGATCAGGAACGGACAACGGCGGTCGATTCGACTCATTCAAGGCATTGAAGTGGTTCAGCTGCAGCGCATCGATGGAGGCACCCAGGGGTGCTTGGGAGTGCGACGATGCTTGCGAGGGATTTTGCATCCCCACCATAGCTGGGACATCCGGGGCATGCTGCAGCTGTGTCTGCGTGGGAGTTGCGAGATTGCGGGCGGCATCGAAAGTCGGGTCATATCTTCCGTTGACTTCTTGCGTTGATCGGCCATCGGGAGGAGAGTGGCCTTTGGTCAAAGAAGCACCATCGTGACCGGCATGGTGGCTTGACAGAGATGTTGTACCACCACCGATGGTGGCGGCAGCGGCAGCAAGGTCCTTTTTAGAAGCCTTCCCACGTTTCTTCCGTTCGCGAGCATATTCACAAGTCAACCCAAATTCTATGCAACCACTGTCAGCGCTAAAACGAGGGACGGTGCGACACGAGACCGAATGGGAGAAAAAAGGGGTTCAGAAAACACTACCAATGCAATGCGCGCACGGGTTCTGCCCGTCGCATTTGGTTCGCAGCTGGTTACATTGGTCACACGCGCGACTGATCCTCCTTCGAACGGGAGCCGAGGCCGAGTTCTTCCGGATTGCAGAGCGCGCATCTGCAAGCGGATCCCGGTGTGACAGACTCCTAAATCCCGAGATGGTATTGTCGGCGGGATTGCTGTGGTTTAGATTAGTATTATTATTAGACTTGTTGTTGTCCCCGTCTCCATAGAATGGCTGGTCATTGGATTTGGAAATCGAGCCCCTCAAGGGGGCAGCACCATTCCCAGCGCTGGCGCCACCTGACTCTCGCGACAGCTGCAGCTGCTCCAGCGCGTACTGGGAACCTTCGGCGAGCGTGTCCAGCCCGACCGTCTGGGATTGTGTCATGCCAGCCGACGGAGCACCTGAAGGAAAATGAGAGAAGGAACTAGCGAACTGGTGAAGAGAAGTCGTCGACATCCTCACAGAGGGAAGCGGAATGATCGATTCACCCAGGCATAGAGGATGCGGGATATGACCATGGGCGATGTGGGGGGTGGGAAGGGAAAAACAAAATACGGGGAATGATGGAAGGGCCGTAAGGCCCCAGCTTCCAAAGGAAGTAGGAGGAAGTCGTCCGGGGTAGAGAAGACGAACGAGATCGACTAAAAGAGAGATAGAGAGACCGAGAGGGCGGGATTAGAGAAGGGAAAATCACGAGAACGGCGGACAGGACCAGAGGAGAGAGAGGAAGAGGAAGAGGGATCGGACAGTCAGAAGTGAACCATAGCCGAGCAACAGCGTCGGGTTCGGGAAACAAATGGAGATGTGGAGGACAATTAGGCGAATCGCAGCAATGGCACCGTTGGGGAAACGACACGAGGCCCCCAGATCCTGGCAAGCCGGGGAAAGGAGACTAAAACACTAGACTAGTCAGGCGATGCAGCATAAGGGGACTTGGTAGGGCCGTCTGCTAGTCGACTTTAGCCTGGTCTAGTGGGTGCACGAAATCAAGAAAAAAGAGGGAGATCAGGCCATCTCGAGCCCGAGCGAAAATTCTCCGACGGTTGAAGCTGAAGATGCAGATATAAATATAGACGCCGATGAATGAAGATGGAGATGGAGATGGAGATGACGATGACGGTGGAGATGACGATGACGGTGGAGATGACGATGACGGTGGAGATACAAAAGGAGAGAAAGATCGAAAACCCGACAAAAACCCAAAAGAAAAAGAAAAGAAAAGAAAAAAGGCGGGGAAAGTCAGTGACCTGCCGGTTCGGGAACAGTCATTCGGGGCTTCATCCGACGGTGAAAGCAGAGCTGGAGTCGCGGGGAGACAAGAGAGGATCCCAGGGCCTCTCGGTCGGGTAATATCCATTGTCCAAGGACTACCGGCAGCAACATACCCCAGAACCCGGGATATGATATGGCATATGCACTCTGGCCCCCTCGACCCCAGCCTCATGCCCGTTCCTACTTTAGCATCGGGCCAGGAGTCGGATGGATGGAAGGGCTGGATGCCAGCTCGTCTTTGACCTCCTCGTCTCCTGCAGATCGCTGGCTGCTGTTCAGCCCGTTTTTGCCTAAATTACCCCGGACTCCCGCCTCCAATCACTAGCCGAGTCGTACCTGAAGGTGGTGATGTCCGAGTAGAAGTAGTGGTCACATTATTATTTACAAGCTCCCATCGCTATATACTTGCTGTCAATATATACACCCCTCTTGGCTTCGATGAGAGCCTTTCTTTGGCCTCGTTTCGCTTTTCCATAAAATCCATCCCAACAAACAACGTAATGTACAAGTGTCCAGTATACAAGGGAAATATCACAACAAGCACGGTCCAGCTCGGATAAAGTGCCAGGGAAGATCTTCCCCCCTGGTCATTTTGATTCTGAGGGAAACCGGTGCATCAAATCCAGCCAACGCCAACCCAATGCGTTCGTAAACCCGGTCGGATGAATCACCCGTTAAGAAAAGAAGTACTTGCTGTTGCGGATCCGCGTCAGATCCCAGGTTCCTCGCTCGGGGACCTCGCGGAACCGCAGAGGAAGCCAGAACCAGATGCCGTGGTACGTCCCCCTCCTCTTCGGCTCCTCTTCCCCTGCGCCGTCTGTCTCGTCTTCGCCAGCGGTGTCCTTCTGAAGGTCAACGAAGCTATCGAGGCCACCCGTCAGACTCGCGATCGCTGGATCAGAGACGTCTGCATCCATTCCCCAAGTTCTCCGCTCGGCCGCCTCCAAGTCTTCCGGCACGTGTCCGACGACGGCTTCGCCAAGCGAGCTGGCGATGTTCAAATCCTTGTCGGTGGCCCCTAATTGCTCGAAAATGCTGGCCGGCGTGATCATCTGGCGACCCTGGGCCTGGAGGTCCGGGTCGTCGGATTTGAGGAGCTTCTGTCTCTTGCTCTCGGCCAACAGTTCCTGGGTCTTAGAGGTTCTTTTGTGCCGTCGATAGGTCCGGATAGCTTTCCCGAGGGTGGTGTTCGATTTGACCTTGGCAAGGAACAGGTTCTGCCCGTATCGGACTTCAAACTCCGCGGCGAGTCTCTTCACCACGTCGTCGGAATGCATGCGAACAAAAGCCTCACGGAGAATCTCGTTCATCTTGTCAACGTCCGAGGCATGGGTCCAGAAGGAATCGTGGACTGCCGAGAAGGTAAGACCGGCTCGGTAGCATGCGGTAGCAGACATCATCATATGAGTGGCGTCAAGGGAGTGAATGAAATTAGGGGGAAACGCTTGAAGCTGCTTGCGCTTCGAAACTGTCGCCGCCGAAGTCGCGTCGACGATGCTCAGGTCCTGCAGACTGGTAGGAATACGTCGGGCTTTGCGGGTACGATACGGCTGAACGACAGGCAACCCCAAGGGAGTCGTCCAAATAACGGTGGTCCGGAACTGTTCGGCGGGGTCAGACCCCTTCTTTTTCGGTTTCTTGGAATCGGACTCGGATTGGGGCGTCAACGCCTCCATCGCAATTTCGTCGACTTGTTCGGGACTGATGGACTGGGTGATACGGCTGGCACAATCGCCCAGCCAATACTGGATCTCGTGCGCTCCGTTGAACATGGTTCCCAGGGCCTCAAAGATCTTGCGAGCGATGTACAAAGCTCCGTCTTTCGCTTGCTCGATGGAAAGATCGGGATAGTGGTCGACAAGTTGCCTGCGCACTTGCTTCATAGCCCCTATAAATGTCACGCCGTAAACGTTCGTCATGACAGTCTGCTTGACAATCTTTCTGGTGACGCGTCCATGCAGAAGCTTGGCCGATGGCTCCCCCTGTGCGGCTTCGGCCGCAACGGCTTCCTTGACGAATTCAGCGACGCCAGTATACACGTCGGACGGACGGTCGGAGGGTTCCAGATTCACCTGCTGGGCACCGACCTTGTCGCCACCCAGCGCTGCGTAGTGTTGTAACCCGTTGCAGGAACCATCCTGGTGAATCGGCAGGCGCGACAAATACTCGGTGGGATCCGAAAGCTGGAGAGCGTTTCTCAGTTCACAGCACGCCGCCAAACATTGCCAGGGGTCCTCCGCTTGAAGCCACCAGCGCTTGCCATGCAAGCCCTGGTTAGCGGAATCCAAAATGTCGTCCAGATGATCCGTGGCAAATTGCTCCCTTTCCGAAAGACTGGCTTTATCAAACCCGGCCAGATTTGCGATTTGGATTTTCAACCACCTCATCCCACCGGCACCAAGGGGCTTGGCCTCACTGAATAGAAGTAGACCTCTCGCATTATCTGCACCCATCTGGTTCAGATACACCGGCAGTGGGTAAGCACGGCCTCGGAAATCCATGTTGTGGGGAAGATAAAAGGTCTCGTTTAGGTAAGCTCGGGCAACTTCCAGTTGGAAATTTTGGAAGCAACGGTTCGAATGCATTCCAGATCGGCGGTTCTCGATATCGCGCATGACAGTCTGCCATTTCCTGACGGCCTCGTGTCCTTCGTCGGGATGAGGTCTGGGAGGGTGAGGCAGATCAGGATGCAGGGGAGCAAGGTTGGCGATTGCTTCGCCCGAGTTCCAAGCCTCAAGCATGACATTGAACACATCGCCGTTGATCGTCCACCCTGTGTTTCCAAGGATATCCAGGCTCGAACGCACCTGTTCAAGCCCGTTGTTTTGCAGCGCGGCGACTATATAAGATGGCTGCAGTGATTCACCAGGCGTCGTGCGCACAATGGAGTTCTTGTACATGAAATAACCGCCGTCTTTATATTCCTTCCAGGGCTTTGGTTTGCAAAGCATAGGAAGGTGGCGACCCAAAACATCGGCAGGGGGTTCTTTGGCAATAAGTTTCACGACCTCTGGGTTGAGATGAATGTAGCCCTGACGCCGTCCCCAACTGATCTCGTAGGAGTGCTGGAATGCGGGCTGCATAATAGTCTCCTTCTGCTTCGTATCTGGGTCTTCCATCGACGCGGGAACTTTAGCAGCATCAAAGAGTAGACTCATCAGAAGCGCGCCAACTCTAGCCCTCACTCTCGACGACCAGAAACTCATTGAATCATCTTTATGCAGGCTTTTGACGAGACCGTGCCACCGTGACCGGCCATCCTTCGTTTTCCGGTTCGATAAGATATCCTTCATGGTCTTAATCCGCCGAGTCTCTGCGTCAGGTACCTTGCGAAGTGCTTCCTGGGCCATCAATTCGTCCTGCAATTCTTTTCCGATCGTCGTAACCACTGCGGCCACCTTCATGCCCTTTTCCATGCCTCCGCGAGTGAAAGTGGATATCACAGAAAGAAGAGTAATCGCTGCGAGTTTCTCCGGTTCAAGGCTCCGGAGATAGACCCCATAATCTTGGCGTTGCTTGTCATCAAACGTCCGTGAAGGCTTTTTTTGCAATTCGTCTACCAGCTCGAGCTCCTCTTTGATTTTGGAGACAAGCCCCGAGTGCCACTGGCTCATGATGGGACCGAATCGTTTATTTCCAGTTGTGGTGTCGATGCCTGACTTTTGCATTTGATCGAACTCGTGGCGCCAGCGTTCTAGGGACACTCTGATGGAATCAGTCTCAAGTTGTCGCTGTCGAAGTTGGGTATGCAGTTCCTGGTTCTGTTCCGGTGTGTATGTGGTGTTCTCCGGCATAGTGATTCCGGAAGAACCTGAGAGCGTAGAGAGCGAATCCTTCAGAGTAGAGAGACCTAGACCTTTCTGATCGACGGGTCTGACTTCGGCTGGCGCATCCGGTGCCAAAGGTATTAAATCATCCTGCTCAACATCCATACTACCGATTGCAACTCGTTGAAGATCCGAAGAGCATATCTATGAAAAAGAGGGGTCAATTAGCGTTCCAAGATATCAAGGACTGAAGGCAGCGGGCACCAACCTCCGACAGTTCACCCAGATCCAATTCCGAGAGGACGGGAACGGCAAGAACTTCCTCCTCAACACCTGCCGTCTTCGCAAATTCCCAGTATCTTCGCACTGTTCTGTCACGTTTCCCGCTGTGCAACATACGCAAAGCCATGCGCAACATCACCGCGTAAGTGGTGGCATTTGGCTGAGAACCCCCGTTAGGCATATCCACTTCAAACCATCTCTGCAGAGGTAAGATCATGCTGTGTTGCCGCGTCACGATCATGTGCGACACCATCGCTTGCAGATAGCGATTGTGTAAGGCAAGACGCGCATTCGACCCGACGGGATGGAACTCGCTGAGTCGGTTGATCAGGCTAGCAGCGCGGTCAAACTGAAAGACCTTTAAAGAAATGTCCAGATTTGCCATCATCTCCTCCTCATCACCACCGATGCCTTTGATAAATCTAAGCGATCGTGGCTGTGTCTGCGGGGCGTCATTAATAATGATTAGAGACGACGGGTCAAACCCTGTCGTGATGGGTGGAAACAGAGAAGCCACCCGGTCATATTGTGTCTCGGGGTACAGCCCTTGTTCCAGCGCCGACTGATCTGCAGAAGTGGCGAGGTTCCGATTCGACTGTAAGGATGAGAGGCGAGAACGCTCCTGGGATATCGTAGTTGGTGCATTCGTTAGGGGATTCGGTCGGCTTGAATGAAACCGCAATGTTGCCTTCGTTGGCGACAACCGGCAGCTATTCAACAGCCGGGGGTGAGGCAAGGCAGTTTTTTGACGAGCGACTCGGGACAACATGATTCAGGAACAACGCTGAAGCAACTGCGATTGAAATTATAAAGTAATAAACGGGAGACGTGAGGACAGGATGAATAGAGAGAAGAGATAGAATGGAAAACTTTTCGCAGTATGCAAGCAAAAAAGACAGAACGATAACTGGAGCATTAAAATATGCGAAATGGGATTAAGACAGATTCTAAGGGAGAAAAAAATGAGATAGTAAGATTGCCAGCGAGAAAAAGAAAGGTCGTCCACGCTGACGAGCCGGCCGGCAGCCCTCCTCTGGCCGTTGTAGGATGACAAGGAAAAGAAGTCGAAGATAGCGTGGAGGAGAACGCGATCGAAAAATCGTCGAGGACGGAGAAATCGGGGAGAAGAGAAAAATAACGACGGCGAGACCAGGCGATAAGGCACCGGGCACGTGATCTTAGGCGGTCGGCGGGTCTGCGGGCGCTGATTGGCCGGCGGGTCTTCTCGAACGGTCGTCTTTCTTCGATGGACTCTCCTCCAGGTTCCATACACTGGGTTATAGTACTCCCTAGGAGTGCTTCTGTCTCTCGATCGGTAATCTCAGGCCAATTCTCCGGTCTACAAAGCTCCTCTAACGTCGAAACAGTCTTACGGTACCCCCGATGGTGCACGACCTCACACACGATCGCTACACAAAAGTTCCTTCTACTTCCGGCTCATCTGCAAGCCATGCCGTTTCATGGTTTCATGCGTAAACTCATGTTGGACTTTCATTCGGTAGACTCGAGTATCTATCCCTCCTCCGGATTACCCTCGGTGGGCTGCGTTTGTTCCCCGTGTTTCCTTCGATTCTGCTTCATCGCCCATCCAGTCATCTCCGGCCGTGCTGGGTCGATTCGCGGCGCACTCATCGTATCCAAATAATCGTCGCTGTTAATCGCCGAGTCGAGCTGCGGCAGGTTCTCTGGGTCTTGATGCATCATGAAACTCTCGTAGACGTGCCACGACTCCTCGGTCTGTACGGAATGAACATGGGTCAGCAAATCCCCGAAACAATGCAAATGGAAAAATCAGTGTCCACGGAGCAATCTCACCTCGGCATCAACCCAGTCGTAGGAATTCCATTTCTCATCCTGCATCTTCTTCAGAAGGTTTAGATTGCCAGCAACCATGGCTCCCTCGCTATCCTCGGCCGCCTTGATTTTCACATCGATGGCGCGGGCTTCACTTTCAGCCGGGCGCTCCTCGTCGCCGTCCTTTCGACCCTTTCCACCCCGACCCTTCGTGGGAATATCATCCAGCGCATCAAGGTGGTGCAACTGAGGGTGTAATTGAACAACAGCAGAGACAGGAGAGAGGTGTAGATTCTCTGCCACGATCGTTAGCGCTCCAGATGACCAGGTAAACCCCGTAGGCTTCACACCGCAGGAAAAGACACATCAAAAAGGAGAGTACTCACTCCCACGGAACGCAGCCAGCATGTAGACCGGATCCCCATTCTCAGGAGGCTTAACACGACCTCCCAGGGTCTGCATGCGCAATAAAGACGCCCCCTCGCCGCCTCCCATCCCGCCCATGTCCACGTCCCCGTTTCCCTCCACCTTCACCTTCCCTCCGGTGCCGCCGCTGCTAAAGCCCCCCGCCATACCAAATGCGCCTCCCTCGCGGGCGCTGCGGCTTTTCTTCAGTGCATCGCCGTACCGCAGGCCCTTGCTGACATCATAGTTAACGCGCGTGTTGATCGGGACGTCCACCTCCACGAGGCCGGTCTTCTGCTTCATGCGGAACGCGGCGGGTTTCTGGCCATGGCGATCATCGTAGGCATCGTCGGTCGGTCGGTCGAGGTACTGCAAGACGTATCGAGAGATTTCGGAGTCGGTAAGGAACACATCGTAGGATGCGATGACGGGGTCGTCGGACTCGGGGGATTCCATGGCTGCGGTTGGGGGAGTTAGAAGTGTGTGGCTATAAGAAGGATGCCATCCAGAGTGTTTTTCCGATTCAAGCAAATTGTCGGTTTAGACCGACGAGGTGAACACAATTCAAGTAAGTTGGGATCTTTTCTTCTTTTTTTTTTTTTTTTAATCCGCGAAACCGGCGGAGAACGTTTGATAAGCGGGGGGCAAAATCTGGCTATCGGGCTCACCGCTTGCCTTATGGGGGTTACGTAGTCCTCACTTCAATGAATGGAGTCAATTAAAAGGGAGAATCTACTCGGTAGTATCTTGTATTTAGCTACGGAGTATTTTGAGAGATTTGTAGTGCAACGTTGACTTAATAAGGCACATTATCAAGCGGTTGGTCCAAGGTCCGGATTACAACACAGCATGTAAAAAATGCAAGCATATTTTGGGCACCGCAGTATATACAGACAAGATGCAGGCGTCAGGGTCATAATGAATCAAGATGTCCACTGGGGGAAAACTTCAATCTAAATCACAACAATGCAAATAGGCATAAAACATAGATGGTCATAGCATTAGAATTGACATGTCCAACATTAAAACAAAATCATCTTTTCTTTTTGAATCCTTTACTCTTCTTCCTCGTCATCTTCGGCAACCTGTAGAATAGTCGGTTAGATCGGAGGTGACAAAAAATTCTGGAACGGTGATATTAACTTACTCCTTCGTGGAAGTTCTGTCCATCCGTCGTCGCCTTGATCACGCCGGCGCGGATACACCAGTCTCCGAACCGCTCGGGCTCTTCGCCATCGGTGTTGCGCTCACGCGAGTATCTCCGGAGAAGATCCTTCATGATATCCAGGATTTCATCCTCCTTGATGGAAGACCGGTAGAGCTTGTTCAGACGCTGTCCGTGGTAGCCACCGCCAAGGTACATGTTGTACGCGCCATAAGCCTTACCAACGAAGGCGGCTTCGGCAAGCCAGGGTCTGGCACAGCCGTTGGGGCAACCAGTCATACGCATCACAATGCTGTCCGAGGCCAGACCCACCTCCTCGAGGGTTGACTCCAGCTTGGAGATGAGGACCGGCAGGTAGCGCTCAGACTCGGCCATTGCGAGACCGCATGTAGGGAAAGCAACACAGGCAGACGACGAGAGACGCATGCCGCTGAAAGCGGTGTTGTCGAGCTTGTACTTGGCCATCAGCTCCTTGATGGGAGGAAGGTCCTCATCCTTGACGTTGGACAGGATCAGGTGCTGGTTTCCAGTGAGGCGGAACTCGCCCTTGTCAAGAGTCGCCAACTCACGCAGACCAGAACGCATCTTGAACTCTGCGGTGTCCTCGATACGACCGTTCTCGATAAAGAAGGTAAAGTGGTTGAGACCCTTCTCGTCCTTCTGCCAGCCGAAGGTGTCGACGTTCGAGGCAAATTTGAACGGGCGAGGCTCCGCAAACCGCAGGCCGTCGGGAAGGATGGCCTCAACCTTCTCCTTGAAGCCCTCGACGGTCATGTCATCGATGGTGTACTTTAGACGAGCGTGCTTGCGGTTCTTGCGATCACCGTGATCACGCTGGACAAGCATGATCTTCTCACAGAAGATGTGAGCCTTGTCAGCGGGCACATATCCGAACATACGGCCAGTCTGGGGGTAGGTCTTCTTGTTGTTGTGGGTAGCACCCATACCACCACCAGCAAGAACGTTGAATCCTTCCAGGTGTCCATCGGAGCCCTTGATGGCAATCAAACCGATATCATGGGCGTAAACATCGGTGTCGTTGTGCGGAGGAATGGCGATAGTGATCTTGAATTTACGGGGAAGGTAGGTAGGTCCGTAGAGCGGCTCGTGGTCGACGATAGCATCTCCGGCGACCTGAACCTTCTTATCATTGTCATCCTTCAGCCAGATCTCGTGATAGGCGGTCGTAGATGGGAGGAGGTGATCGCTGATCTTCTGCGCAACAGCGTGGGCTTCGCGGTGGTATGCGGAGAGCTCCGGCAGCGAACTGCACATGACGTTTCGGTTGACATCACCACAGGCAGCAATGGTAGTCATCAACGACTTGTTGATGGCACGCATGGCGGCACGGAGGTTACGCTTGACGACACCGTGGAACTGGAAGGTCTGTCTTGTTGTAAGCTTCATGGTCTCGTTGCCGCAGGAGCTGCTGATGGCGTCCATCTGCAGCCACTGAGAGGGGGTAGCGACACCACCCGGCAGTCGGCAACGAATCATGAAGCTGTAGGCTGGCTCAAGACCCTGGGCCTTGCGCTCATCACGGACATCACGATCGTCCTGCATGTAAGTACCGTGGAATTTGGTCAGCTGCTGGTCACTGGCGGAAATGGCAGCGGTAGACTCGTCCAGCAAGCCCTCGGCGATAGTGCCACGCAGGAAGTTGGACTGGATCTTGATGTCTTCATTCGTCAGCGGTGCGGGCTCTTCGGGCAGACCCTCGACCTTGTCCACGCCCAAAGCTTGCCAGAGACGAGGCTCCCATTCCGAGTAACCGGTCTGGTAGGCGTCGGGGTCTTGATCGTCACCAAGGCCAATATCTGCGAGCTTACGGCCTCCGAGGAAAGCAACGCGAGCATCGAGATCCTTAGCAGGCTTGTTGTAATAGATCTTGTCTTCCTTTCGAGGCCAGTAGTGGCTATCACCAAGACCAAACACGGAGTAGTTGATGGCAGACAGGTCCAAATCACCCGAGCTCTTCACCACTTCCCACAGGCCGCGGCCGTTCATGGGGAATTCTCCCTGGCCTGCAGTACTGCAAATGAAAACCACATTCTCCTCGGTGGACAGATCTTCGATCGGGTAGTCATCCATGGCCAGGACCATAGTCTTCAGACCACGAGCACGGCCTCGGTTGCCCAGTCGCTTGGCCAAGTTCTGAGCGTTACCATTGTCCGATGCGAAAAGAATGGTCAGAGGTGCACCGAAAAGGCCCTCCAAGAGCTTCTCATAGGAATCCTTGGCCTTGCGCTTCTGCAAAGCACGAACCTCGGTTCCATAAGACTCGGAAAGAACGGAAGAAAACTTGGGCTGACGGTTCATGAGTTGAGTCAATTGGTTATCCCTTCGGAGGAACTCCTCGAGCTCGCGCTTGATACGTTCTGAGTCAAGCTCAAACTTGGGCTCACCCTGCTCCTCGTTTGCAGGGTTCCAGCGGTAGAGAGGCCAGTAGCCAAGATCAACGGCCTTCTTAGTCTCCTGCAGAACGGTGAGAGCGGAGTCATTCTCCTGGTTGTAGGGCAGATAAGCAAGAATGACGGAAGGTCCATCGAACTTCTCGGCCTCGGCCATGGCTTGGAGGACCTGGGTGTAGGAACCGTAGACAGCAACGGAGGCAACATAGGCATTGCCAAAGTTCATGGCGTAAAGCCCGATGTCCTTCTTCCGGCGCGCAGCATCAGCAGCAGCACGCTCCGAATAAGGCTGCGAATCAATGACAAGCATGTTCACGTTAGCACCGGATGCCAGGACATGGTGGACACCGGAGTTGCCAAGGTCATAAGCCCAGGCGTCCGAGCCCACAAGCCAAAGGGTTTCATCGTAGAAGAGTTTCTTCGATTCGAGGAGCTGTCGAGACAGCTGGGATCCGTCATTGGAGAGACGGGCGATAACGTCGGCAGCCAGCTTGTTGGCCTTGGAGGGGTCATTGGCAGCAAGGGCCCACTTGGAAAGCCATGTCTTGGGTCCCTCGGTAGCGAAGGTGCTGGCCTTGGAGGCCTCCTCGACTTCCCGGGCGAAACGCTTACGGCGCTCCATCCTGGCGATCAGGGAACCAAATCCATACTCGGGGCTTGCCGCAATGGTGTTAGAAACACCGGCGTTCTTCGAGTCCAGCTGGTTGGCGATGTGCAGGCGCTCTCCAAAGAGCTGGTCCAGAATCTTCAGGTACGCATTTTCGATGTGAGGCTGCTCAAGGGGGGTCTGGATGGTAGGGATCTTCGAGCTTCCGACCTCGAGGTTCTGGATAGGAGCGGCGGTCTCGAGGTTCTGAACAATGCCGCGAAGAGCCTGGACGGAGGTAGAAGGCTCAATGTATCCAAGTCGGTAGCCAACGATTTTGGGGCTGCGTCCGCCAGCAGTAGCCGGGGTCAAGCTCGACAAGAGATCCATGAACGAAGGACCCCATTTCGTGGTTTTGCGGACCTGCTCCAAGACAGCGATTTTCTCAACGGAGCTCGGGATAGAGTTGGCAATCTGGCCTCCAACCCAAGGTCGGTAAAGACGGGCAGTGATCAGGCCGACGTTGGCAAGTTCGGGGGCAATGTCCTGCTTAGCCAGAACATCCACGAACACACCCGTCGAGCCGAAGACAAAAATAGCTGCCTTGGCATCGGCGGGGCCAGTGTATTCGATAGCATTGTAGTTACGCCCCACAGCTTCGGACAGCACGTTCCAAATCTGGGTCGTCCATTCAAAGATATCGGCTGCGCTGACGGGACGCACGGAGGAGTTGTCGACGGTGGTGGCTGCAGAGCTCGTAGCACGGCTGTCCGTGCTGCTGTCTCTCCGCGAAGATCCAACGGAAGAGTTGTCCACACTGACGCTCGAAGGAGTCTGAGATGGCTGTGCCGGAGCAGAGGTAGCCTCGGTCTGCTCCTTGCTGCTGCCCTCCGCCACTTCCTCGGAGACAGTGGCAACACGACCCGAGTCGGCGTACAAGGTCTGAACACCAAGGCCATCGGCATGAGTAGCAGTGTTTCCACCCAGGTGCAGTAGCGTCTTCACGACGTCCACGTTTTCCTGGGGGATGGCCTCATCACGAGCCGAGTTCGCAGGGTCGAAGAAATGGATGACACCCTTTCCGGACTTGCGAGCCAGAGCATGCGCTGTAATAGCAATGTCTTGCGCCTCCTGGGTGGTCTCCGAATGCAAGAAAGTGAAGCCACACTGCCGTATCGAACTGATCACCGAGTAGTCTGGGAACGGATAGGGCTCCAGGGCGACATGGATGACGACGGGGTGGTTCGCCAAGCGGTAGAGATGAGGAATGGAGGAAAGAAGGGTCGACGAGCTGGTAACAACCGAAACCGTACGACCTCCCTGCAGAGGATGGAAGGCAGAGAGAAGAGGGTCTTCGTTATATCGGACGGTCACCACCTATGACAATTGTCAGTGACCGATCGCTGTTATTTCGGCACCCTGCGGGTCCACCACACTTACATCCGTCACATGGTGCGACAGCAGGCTCTGAGCCTTGGTCGCATTGAGAGCCTTGAGAGGCTTGCTAAACAAGGAGTCTGCTTTGAGAGAGGGCTGGACGGAGAGAACGACGTCGCTGGCCAGGTAGGCAACTCTCGCCACTGTGAGAAGCGATGAATCATCAGTCCTCGTTCAATAAAACAGTCCAGAGAGAAGAAAGCTGATCAAATAAAAAATGGCAACAGGAAGGAACTTCAGTGCAGACATACCAGCTTCTCCAGCAGTGGGAACGGTCGCCATGTTGACAATTGCCGACTGCGCTACTCACAGCGCCGAAGGTGGGATGGTACTTCGACTGCAATTGACGTAGAGAACTGGATATCACCGCACACGGTGACTCCCCACCCAATTCAAATTCAGCAGAGGGTATGAAGGTGTGGGAAAGAACAGGAGAAGATCACAGGCCACGACGCAGAAGTCATGGAAATTTTTAGCTTGATAGTTTCCCGTCTCCCTTTTTCTCTGGTGCGATCAACTCTACCAGAAAAGCGGCGGTTTAGTTCTCCATAGAACTTTTGGGTGAATCTCCGCCATCGGGGATGGATCAGCAGCCTCCTGATTGGTTTGCGATCACGACATCGATGCAAACCGGCGCGGGCAGCCTCTGCAAACATGCCGCATGGGGCATGGCGTGGTCATCCCGTGACCTGCAGTCGAGCACGTCAGCGCGGCTTTTGCTCGGTTTGCTCGGTTTGCATGCGGGCAGCGTGCAATTGCATTGCCGGTGATTGGATCTGCCCGTTTTTGCAGGCCGCCGTCGGGCTTTGTATGCCTGCCTGACTAAGACCTGGAGGCCTGGAGGCCTGCAAGCCTGCAGGGTTGGTGGTGAGAAGCACGTGCTCCCTTAGGGCTGCCCTCTCGGGCGAGAGACGCAACTGATGCCCTATACAACGGCTGACCAGTCGTGATTCCTGTCTATACCTACCCGTTCTTCTTTGCTTACCGGATATTTCCGGAGTGGTCATCACAAAAGAAAGAAAAGAAAAAAGAATTACTATTCAAAATCGAGTTGGGTGCAGATTAGACAATGGTTCCTTATTGACGCCGTTATAAAAACAACCAACCCATATCAACCAGTATCAATGTACATGCTCCAATGCTAGACTAAGGGCTGGGGGTAAAGATATTATGTTCCCACGTGGTTTGTGCAGACTCGTCTCTCCCATATGCAACCTGAGAGCCCACGCCTCGTCCATGAAGAGACGACCATGGAATGAGCAACAGAGGAAAGGATGTCAAAAAAAAACGCCGCCAATCCAGCCCGTCCTTTCCAACTGTCTGATTCGTAACCAGGGTATGTAGATCATCTCGCCATATATAATAACAGGAACGAAGGAAAATAAAACGGGCTATATGTATCACGCAGTGAAGAGGCAACGGGCTGAGGAGTCTCTCCGCTATATCCGGGGTGGAGAGATCGGATAGAAGAAGCATGTGACCTCACTCCTTGCCAAACAGGACAGAACCGCCCTCGCGTTCTTGGCAGTGGTTATGATGAAAAGAAGACCCTATTTAGGCAGGGTTCTACAATCGGCCAAAGCATGAGTGGGTGGGTGTCCTATGCGAGGTGGATTTGAGCGGCCTGGATCACCGGTTTTCGGTCCAGTCTTGCATCTTGACATTCATCCCCGGGGCTTGCTCGTAGATCGGTTGCTGCAAGGCGGCAGCCTGAACGGCAGATTGAGAGGGCTGCGGGGGGCCGGTACCAGAGCGACGTCTTCTCTCGCGCTCGAGGGGTCCGGGGAGCTCGGTGTTCTCGAGGCGAGTGCGGAACCGGCGCCCGATGTTGTTCATCCAGCTAGTTCCCTCCTCGTCTTCGCCCAGCCAGTAGTTACGGCCCACACTGATCATGGCGCGACCGAGTTTGCCCTGCCAGCCCTGGCCCTCCGGGCTGAACGGCGAGAATGGCTCCCGATCGATGTCAGCCACGCTAGCAACGCTGGCGTTGGATGTATTGCGGCTGTGGGTGGGCAGTTGCGTGTGACGCGGCACGGCGATGTAGATGCGCAGGGCCTGGCGTGCGAAAGCGAGCATCACGAACACAAAGTAGGCGCGGACGACCCACAGGGTGCAGATGAAGAGGATGCTCTGGAAGCTTTCCGGCTGGGTCACGGCGTTGCTTAGGCCCTCGGAACTCCGGGCGTAGTTGCTTCCATCGGTGGACTCGGTATAGGTCGACTCGGTGTAAGAATCGTCATACTTGGGACTGGTAAAGCCGGCAGTCTGGGCGATCGTCTCACTACCCGGTCCCGACACCGTTCCATTCTCGTAGTGCTGGGAAACGACCAGGAACCATGTTACGCCGAAGGTTGCGGTGTAGGCGGCGTTGATGATGCTGTCGAACACGTAGAGCCAGGCGAGGGCGAGGCATTGCAGGGGGGATTGCTTCCGGATGTGAGGGAAAAGTATCGTCGCAAGACCGAGGGCGATTAAGGAGTAAATATACATGGACAGTTGCACAGGGGAAAGGTGGTAGCCGGTGAGCAGAGCGAGTAGTCCATAGAGGCCGCTGATCTTGTTGAGGAGTAGGGACAGAGTGATCAGAGCAGCGCCGGTGCGCAGGCTCATCACATAGAGGAATGTCTGTAGCGCGACCCAGGCGTCGTCGTTAGCGCCCACGAGCGACCGGACGGAACGGGAAAGGATGGTGATAAGGGCAGCCAGAAAATTTTCCAGGAAGTCGACATACCTCAGGCCGCGGGATGCGGAGGAAACGGGTTGATAACCCCATATTTGCAGAGTTGATATCGCCGATGGAGGGGGTTTATCGGTGATAGTGGCACGAGAGCAGAAATAGGAAAAGGAATGGAAGGCGATGTCAGAAGGGGTGAGAGAGAGAAAAAGAGGCTGGCGCTGGGGGCGAGCCATGGGCCAATCGCAGCCGCACAGGGGCGCCATTTTCCGGGCGATCCGCCTGCCGATCGCTGCCCTTTCGCTTCCTCATTTCCATGACGTTGAAGGGAGCCTGGTACGAATACGGCCGCCATCGTTAAATTGCAGTTCCATCGGCCTGGTTGCCTACGGAGTCTGCCCTGTGGTCCCTGGCCTAGTAGACCGATGGATCTTCTCGTGGTGGATACTGGAAAATCAATTGGCGGGTTCTATCCTTTCAACCCTGCCGTGGACTGACTATGGAGCCGTGTCTACGGAATATGATCTGTCGCATGGTGCTCGAGGTACTCCGTACGTCGAAACATGTTACTCTCCGGCCGAGGATAACTCGGGCTTGACCTTTTTTTTTTTTTTTTTTTTTTTGGGTCCCTGCATTTTCCAGGCACTGACCACGCAAGAACGGGGCCTGTGGATTTGGACATGCAAAACGTAGTAAACACACCTGAATATATAATGACACAGTGTACCATGCCAGTCCGCATACACTCGTCATATGAACATTGGATAAAATAGCAGGCTAAGTGTCATCTACAAGTCCGTAATAACCATCCACTCGAGGCACCATTGAGAGAAAACCTGTTTTGTCGAGAGCAAACCGGATGATGTTGCTGTTACTTCATTGTGCTTCAAGAATAAGCTCCATTGATAAAGCCATAATCCAGGCCAAATTACAACAATTGGGGTGATAGCTCAGTTGGGAGAGCGCACGACTGAAGTCAACTTCAATCAGTCAGATCACCTGGCAATCGTGAGGTCACCGGTTCAATCCCGGTTCATCCCATACTCCAATTTCTTTTTTGTTTTTGTATATCCGCTTTTTGCTCCTACTACTCCGTACCAGCTCCTTTTTTTCTCTTTCGCCTTATTTATTTCCTCTCTGCGACCCCGATAAACAAACCGAGCCAATTGCCCTGCTAAAAACCTCCCCTATCTTCATTCTCAACCCCCTCTTCCCGTAACCACCTAGTTAGCCGTCCACCTAGCCTCTATCACATTACTCGGCAGGCTTCGAGTCTTACTGATCGCAGCACATCACCACCCTGAGCAACCTAATTTTTCCACTCGGCCTTATTGATCTTTCTGATAGATTGTCATAGTACAATTGCCGTATCACCGCTATGCTTGTCACATGCTCCTCACCTTCGCGACGAACCTCAATGCCAAAGCCAGTCCAGCCAATTCACCACAGGGTCCCTCTATCCATACGTACAATCACTGGTCTCCGGTATGCTATTGTCATTTAAAAATGCTAAAGCTGCCATGTAAATCGCAAGGTCAATGAATACACGGCCATTCCTAACTGGACCAGGCCGTAGATGTTCGAGATGATGGCCGCCAATATAGACGGTCAAGACGAAGAATCCGACCCCAATGGCCATCGAGCGAGAGGCAAGTGGATGCTGAAAAATGGGGCAAAAAAAAAAGAGAGGAACAACATCGATATCCCTCAAATTAAGCAGAAAAGAGGACACTCAGCCAGGAGTAAAGAAGGGGAAAAAGGAAAGTGGGAAGAACATTTGGAATAAAAAGGTTTGATCTAAACACGCTATCACCTGAAAAAGCAAAGGAAGGAAAATGTACATCTTAAAAATGGCAGAGCATTATGGACAATCTCAAACCTCATCATTGAGATTCAGGGGAGCAAATGGCGAAAAGGGTGGTAGGTGAGACCAGATAAAATACAACCGCTAGCAGGCACATCCGTCATTGTTCGTGGTCTCTTTGGGACTTATATTAACGTCAATCACTAGAACCAAACAGTTAGCATCTGGACATGGTGACCGAGGACTGGAATGAACGGACTGTTGTTCTCTCCCTTGTTCGCCTCGCCCTCCATTCCCGGTAGAGCCTGGGCTATCCTCCGGAAAAGCTGCTTGACGTTGTGGCCGACCTTGGCACTGGTTTCGATGAACATCAAGCCGTTCTTCTTGGCCTCCTCTTCACCCTGTGCCGTCGTAACTTCTCGCTTATCGTTCAAATCGGTCTTGTTGCCCACCAGCACGATAATCACATCGTTGCCACGCTCTCCTCGTACGTCGTCGATCCATTTCCGGGTGTTCTGGAAGGATTTGGCGTTCGAGATATCATAAACGACGACCGCAACGCTCGAGTCACGGATGTAGGAAGGAATCAGAGATCGGAAACGCTCCTGACCAGCAGTGTCCCAAAGTTGCAGTCGAACCGTCCGGTCCTCCAAGTACATAGTCTAAAAGAATGTCCGGATTAGATAACATGGCTCTTGCGGAGGAACGCCTGGCGTGACATAGCAGTCGTCGACCGTGGTTTAGGCATACCTTCGAGAGGAAGTCGATTCCGATAGTGGCTTGGTATGTGTTGTCGAACGAGTCGTACATGAACCGCGTGATCAGCGATGTTTTCCCGACTAGATTCCCGTTGTTAGACCTGACCACCTCTGTAGCTCACAGCCACGCGTGAAGTGAGTTGCTGGATCATACCGCTCTGTTCTCCCAAGAACACCAACCTACAGCCTAGTTAGCAACCCATGGAAGCCGTAGTGGGCACCGACCAAACATACTTGAACTTTTTCAGCGGGTTCGAATACGACCCAACTCCGGTGGCGGCCATGGCGATTGAGACGTGGTGGTCGTGGTGAATTCACAGGATCAGGGGTAGGAGGAGTACTAAGGAAGTAGTAGCACGACGCGGAGGCAATATATGGATTAGTTAGCGGGTTGTGCGAGGATGGTCCGAGACGGGCGCTAAGGATACAATGGCGTCGGAAGAAGGGAGTCAAGGAGAGACGAGGCGTAGAATGCGAGTAAACCAGGCGCACGAGGGAATTCAGAGGGCGACTGGGAGTGAGCTTCGACCCATGGGTCCGTCTGGGGAAACAGTATGAACTGACAAGCAACTCCGCCGCCGCCTGCGCGGATTAACGCCGGCCCGACCGGCGAGTCGTGTCCCAGTCCCAAGTCTGGCTGAGACGGCGATGCTGATCCGCCCAGGAGCTTCATCGGCTGTCCTACCACTCTCTTTCGACTTCTCCTCGAGCTCCCCCCCTCCGTGAGGCCCGTTCGTTGGTTTTTTCTCTCCTCCAGCTTGCAGGTTGTGCTCTAGGTTGGAGGTCATCATGGGTCTCCTCTATCCTGCCAGTACTGCTACCGTGTCACTCCTGGTGATAGGAGGATGTGAGTGATTTCATCATCGCTGCTGTTGTAAATACTCCGCTAACCTATGCCGCTGAAGACATGCTATTCCATGGAGATGGCGAACAGTTTAATGTACGATCGGCGTCCTCTCGCATCTCTCCCCCCTCTCCGCTGCTGTCGGACCGCCGTTAATCCAACCTCTAGGTCGGCCAATTCCTCGAATCCGTGTCCCCGTACGCCTGGGCGAACCTGGGTATTGCGATGTGTATCGGTTTATCGGTTGTAGGAGCAGCATGGTATATTCTCGTCTCCACGGTTCTCGCCAATTCCCTCGCGCGGTCACTTACACTAGGATCTATAGGGGCATCTTCCTTACGGGCTCTTCGATTGTCGGCGGTGGTGTCAAGGCACCTAGAATTCGGACAAAGAACTTGATCTCGATTATTTTCTGCGAAGTCGTGGCTATTTACGGAGTTATCATGGCTATTGTGTTCTCTTCGAAGCTCAACCTGGTGGACAACGACGAGCTTCTCACGGGCGGCAACTACTACACCGGTTACGGACTGTTCTGGGGTGGCCTCACGGTGGGCGCATGCAACTTGATCTGCGGTGTCTCTGTCGGCATGAACGGAAGTGGTGCGGCCCTGGCCGATGCTGCTGACGCTACCCTGTTCGTTCCTCCCTACCTCCGCATCTCCAGGTTGAAAATGCTAATTGCGTTCATTATAGGTTCGTGAAGATCCTCGTCATTGAGATCTTCAGTTCGGTACTTGGTCTGTTCGGCCTTATCGTCGGGCTCCTGATAGCAGGAAAGGCGACCGATTTCGGAGCCTAAGGTTGGCGGCGGAAGATGTCTTCTCTGAGAGAAGACTAGATGAACCGGGGTGGAAATCATCTGTACGACTTGGATTTTTTAAGCTTCACTTTCTTCTGATGTTCTCTTATATACCGCATTGAGGCGTATGGAATCGACTTGAACTGTAGAGTCTTGGGAATGCGTGAATAGCGTCATGATTCCCGCGAAATTGCTATGATGTTTGAAGAGGTGGTGTACAGTAACAGGCGTCGGGGATAATGGACGTACTAAGTATTTAAATGCAATTCTACGATATATCTTAACAGCGCATACGTATCGGGCGTCGCAGGATGAAGTGTAGAAACCCGCGAGAGCCGCCTGCACATGACGGACATTTTAAAGAAGCAAAGACTCCCCGCACTGCAAACCCGCCCCTCACTCCATCATCACCAACATCCGCCACCATGGCAGACACTCAGCTCAAACCAGCAATCCTCATCGTGTCGGACACTGCTTCTCAAGATCCATCAACAGATAGAGTAGGCGAGACTCTTACGGGTTTATTTTCGGAGGGATCGAGCAACTGGGAGCAACCGGTTACCAAGATCGTACCCGACAATGTGCTGGAGATTCAACGAGCCATCTGCAATTGGACAGACGGACCAGACTGGGTAAATCTTGTCCTCGTTAGCGGTGGTACAGGATTTGCAGTGAAGGACAACACCCCGGAGGTTCGTTCGATTGGCCCTCAATGGAGTCATTCCAAAGCTAACAAGGGAACAGGCTGTATCACCTCTCATCCATCGCCATGCATACGGCCTTGTGTAAGTCCCAAGACCCGGGGTTCCATACCTTTTAAAGATCAAGACCAAGACTACTAACTGAAGCTTCAAAGGCACGGCATGATAGCTGCTTCGTTGAAAATCACACCATGTAGGACACAACGCTGCATCGCATGACCCAGAATCAGGAACTGACAATTATGCATAGTCGCTATGATGTCTCGGCCGGTTGCTGGTGTGAGAGACAAGTCGTTAATTATTACCCTCCCAGGGTCTCCTAAAGGCGCTAAGGAGAATCTCGAAGCAGTCATCAAGCTTCTTCCCCACGCGTGTATGCAAGCCGCCGGTGCCAATTCCCGAGCTATCCATGCGGGTGGCGTCAAAAAGTTAGAAACCGAAGCTGGCGTTTCATCTGGAAGCAAGCAGCCAGAATCCCAAGCAGGGCATTCTCATTCTCATCATCACCATCACCATCATGATCATTCCCATGGCCATGGACATGTTGTCCCGAAAGCACACACTTCCCCGTCGGACCGACCAAACTCAAATGACCCCAATGCTGGGCCAAACCGGCGATATCGCTCGTCTCCATATCCGATGCTTTCAGTTGACGAAGCACTCCAGTTAATTACCAAGCATACTCCCGATCCGGTCGTTGTCGAGGCCCCAGTGAACGTGGCCTTGGTTGGGTCTGTTATTGCGGAGGATGTGTATGCTGGCGAGGCGGTTCCAGCCTACCGAGCCAGCATTGTGGACGGATACGCCGTGATTGCACCAGAGTCACCGGATCTTGGTCCTAGTACGAAGGGCATATTCCCCGTGGCATCGATTACCCACGCTAATCCCGGTGGTACTCTGGCACCGCTTGAGCCGGGAACCATTGCAAGAATCACAACAGGGGCGCCCCTGCCGCCAAACGCAAACGCCGTTGTCATGGTCGAGGATACGGTCCTGGCGTCTTCAACTCCTGATGGCGAAGAAGAGGCAACCGTGGAGATCTTGACTGGAGATATCAAACCCAACGAGAATGTACGTGAACCAGGCAGCGACGTCGCGCTGGGTTCCAGGATTCTTCGAAAAGGAGACTTGATCACCTCCGTGGGAGGCGAGATAGGACTCTTAGCGGCTACTGGCACGGGAACGGTCAAGGTATACAAGAAACCCTGTGTCGGAGTCCTGAGCACAGGAGACGAGCTGGTAGAGCATGACGACCCGAACAAGCTCTACGGGGGACAAATTCGAGACTCAAATCGCCCGTCCCTTCTATCCTGTCTGGCTTCCTGGGGATTCCAAACGGTTGATCTTGGCATTGCTCGCGACACGCCGGTAGGCGAACTCGAGCACAGCTTGAGAAACGCTCTCCGAGGAGTCGGAAAAGCAACTGCCAGCGTCGATGTAATCATCACTACTGGCGGAGTATCAATGGGCGAGCTGGACCTGCTTAAACCCACCATCGAGCGTTCTCTAGGCGGCACCATCCACTTCGGTCGAGTGTCCATGAAACCAGGGAAACCCACCACCTTCGCGACGGTCCCATTCAAGGCTTCGTCGTCGACGCAGTCGGCGCAGCAAGAGCGCGAGACAAAACTCATCTTCTCGCTCCCGGGCAACCCCGCTTCGGCTCTCGTCACCCTGAACCTGTTCGTGCTTCTTTCGCTGCATAAGCTGATGGGAATGGGCCAGAGGGAGGTCTCGGCGGGTGTGCTTCCTGCGTTTGGCTTACCTCTCGTATCGGTCTCCCTTTCCCACCCGTTCCCGCGTGACGCCAAACGCACAGAATATCACCGGGCCATCGTGACGGCGTCTCGATCGGATGGACGACTATATGCAACTAGCACGGGCCTGGAAGGCGTCGGGCAGCGGAGCTCGAGGGTAGGCAGCCTTGCGAGCGCGAACTCGCTCTTGGTACTCCAGCCGGGAAGCGGAAAGGCCGAGCAGGGTGCTTTGGTGGAAGCTTTGATGCTAGGGGCTGTTGTGGCTGAAAAATAGAATATTGGACTATACGTGACTATTATAAGTGATATATACCGCTGGGCTTCTATGTTTTATGATAATTATATGAAAGCTAGGAAGTCCGCACTTGAAAATAACCATCTGAATTCGAGTTCTCACTATGTCCAACAAACCACAACTAATGCACCAGGAAGAGCCACACCGAGATGAAAGAGAGAGGGAAGGAAAGAAAAAGCATAGTAAGAAGAAAGTCTTTTCAAGACTCCAGAAGAGAAAGGGTATCGAGCAACAACACCGGTCATAAACTCATTAAATTAGCCCACCCAAGAAATAAAAACCCAAGCCCTAAATTCAAGTGAGTGTAGGTAATATACTCAGTCCTTGATTCTGAAGCACGCAAATGGTCGTCTATCGACAAGATATCAATCATCCTTTATTATATTTCCACCCTTTCTTCTTTTCCGCCCGCAACGCAGGCAGTGTTGAATCCTTGCCTTGTTTCCGGGCAATTTCAATCACAAGGAACCGGACGAAGTCAGTGAGCGTCCAGTAGCTGCTGTGGGCACTCAGCATGTTCAGGTACTGAATGTTCAAGGGACCGCTGCCGCCGGAGAGGAAGTAGTCTATTTGCGCGTTGTCGTTGAGCAGGAGCATGCGTTTCTCAGCGATTTCTTCGCGGGTGAAGTCGTGGGTCTCGAGTTCAACGTTTGAAGGGAGCTTAGCGACAGCGGCTGGGCGAGAGGAGGTGGCCGTGGAAGACGTGAAAGAAGGTGGCGAGCTCCAGCGGAAGACACTGCCGAAGGATTGCCAGAACGAAGCAGAGGAGCTGGGGATGGAGGCGGTTTTCAAGGAATTTGCTAGATCGATGTCGACTGCGGCATTGACACGGTATGCAATTGCTGCTTGGGTCAGTAAAGAGCGGGTTGTGCCGCGTTAGGGCCAACTCACGGTCTGTGGTATGCATGATGTTGTAGAGGTTATCTACAGCTAGACACCCATATGTGTCTGCGTCTCCGGCAACTCCACGAAGACGGTCATCCCCTTCACAGCCAGGTTTATCTCTGCCGCGTCGAGGTAGAAGATTTGCTATAATGAATGAGCGTCAGTATCGAACTTCTGGTTGATGTGAAGTCTGTGTCGCATACCTTTGTTGAGAAGTAGGAAGAATCCCGCTGGACTCCCACAGATGAAGAGATTCTTAGTATCGAACTCGAAAATGTCTCCACGAAGGGGAGTTTTCGAGAAATCAAAGTCAGGGATTGTGGTTGGCTGGTGGCTCAGAATGTCCAGTGCCATCGCACTCCCAAGAGAATGTGCAAGCAAATGCACCCGGCCATTCTGCTGAAACCCGGGATTGTTCTTACACCAGAGTCGATAGATCCGGTTGGCCTCTTTCACAACAGCCTGGACCATTTTCGGCTTGTGATGTGACAGATAATACGGAATGTCAAGCATGACATCGCTGATCAGCGACCTGACCGCGGGTATTGTGTCCGGCGTGATGTCCTTAAGTGTGAAATGATTAGCAGTAGGGTCATCTGCCTGCGACTCGAGATTGGCGTCATCCAAAGACAATGTAGAGCGCCAGTTAACAGGAAGAACCATTATTCCGCCATGATCTTGCCGTACATGCGGCCAGACCGGTTCGCTGTTTAGTTCCATGTTGACATTCCTACGAAATGCATTGATGGCATGCGTGAAATGGAAGCTCTCCATGCGCTCCGAAAGCTTTTGCCCTATCCCATGCACGACTAGTATCAGGTCGGTGGGAGAAGGCCGCGACTCCTCCATTGCACAGGCGTAGCAAATTTGCCTGCCACCGCTCGTCCGGGTCATGGTGCGCGATTGAGTGCTTCGGAGATAATTTCTGACATCAACCGGACTTGGCTTGGACGGATGCAGCTGTTCCCAGAGTCGCCTACTGAAACCTCGAATTACAGGGATCCCTATTTGCCGCCCTTTGCGAATCGCACTGAGCGGTCTCCTTCCCCTAGCCACTGATGGAAGTAAACTAGGCCGAAGAATCTGTGCGTCTTTTCCGTCAACATAGATGACGCTCGAGTGAACGAAAGGCTTGACAGCTTCAGAATGAACAGCCGATCCACCAGCAGCTCGATTTTCATCAAAATTTGTGTCGTCGGATCTGTCGTTTTCCGGCGCTTCGGACGTCCCGGGGCGAGAAGTTAACGTACTCGGATCCTGAGCCGCAGCAGATGCGGTTTGGGATTTTAGATCTTCCTTTGACCATAGCCGGTGCACAATTTTCATCTCTGCATCGGCTCCATTCTCTACGCAACTGTTGAGCTCGTCTTGCCACGTCTCGGTCCATGGCTTCAGATACACGTAACCGTCCTCGAGTTTATTGGCCAGGTCTGTTTCCACTGGTAGCATAGTGTTCTTGTAGAACCAGGTTGCGCGAAGGACACTTGATATGTCATGTAGAGGACTCCAGTATATTGGTTTCATCTATTCAAATGTTAGGGTTTCGAAACATAGTCATGGGGAGAATTTCGAGATGATTTGTACCTTCAGATTGGGCAGTTCCACCAAATGAAGACGGGATACACCCACGGGAATCTTCGTCTGAGCCGTTTCCTTCTCCCTTGACTCTTCATCCTCTTCTATAGAATCCCCAGGCGCCTCGTCTGGATGAGCGCTATTCCTGAGCCCGGAGGGTTTCGGAGCTACGTGACTAGACACATTGGCTGGGGCGTCTGCTTGAAGCCCCTGGCTGCCATCCTTGGACGCAGTAGAATCCACAGAGCGTCCCAACAGACTTTGGGGTCTTGTTGAAGGTGCTCTGGCGAATGGGGAACCGCTGATACTTCCGTCGCGCGAGGAACCGCCACGCAGACTCCCACTTTCTACCCCCTCAATAGCCGTGTCCTCACTCTGCGGTGACTCGTTGGTCTTGCGTCTGGTAGCCTTGAGGTTTCCACTGCTTGGAGACAAATCCCGTTTTCGATAACTAAGCGGAGTGGACCCATCGGTGATTTTCACAGCGTTATCCAATTTGGAGCGAGGGCGTACTCTTTCCCCTGATTCTTTGTTGTCCGCTTCTACACTGCCGGATTCATAGCCGGATCGTACTCCGAAGGTCTGTGGTGTGCGGTCGTCAAGAGAGAAATCAGGAAGACTTGCATGGCTTCTTTCACTGCCAGCCAGACTTATATCCCCCCGCGTTCCTGTCGGTCTTCTGCGGTCTGTAGGAACGGACCTTTGCCCGGGTACCGAGACCCCTTTCTTTGTCAAGACCGCAGAGCCTTCCAGCGACCGTTTCGCCTCGGAAGCCTTCTGCTTCCCGGCTCGTAGTATGGATAGCCATGTCTCTTCTAGCACGATATTATCTTTGACCGAAAAGGGTTGGGGTGGAGCTCGTTCGTTTCCCGAATCTTGACCGCCTGAAGGAGGAGGCAAGGCAGTCAAAGGATCATCGATTGGCAACGAGGACGCGTAAAAGAACTGGGGACGGGCTTTTGGCGCAGAGTCTGAAGAGTGCCAAGTAGCTAGGTCGGGTTCGTCATCGGCAAGAAGGCATGATGGGCCGTACGTGTGGATGGGACCTGTCATCGTGAATGCTCTGCGGGAGATGCTCCACGCCGGGTGGGAACTCAAACCTCCCTAAGTGGAAAGATAGGAGCGGAATAAGGTGTTCAAAAAGAGACTGTCATTGTTGGGGTCAAGAAATGGCTAGTTGCTACTGGAGCACTAAAATGTCCCTGATGCCTACTGGAGCGGTGTCAGCAAGGGGGAAGCAGGCATCAAGTAAGGAGGGCCTAAGGATCGAAGATCGAAACAGATAGGTCATAATAAAAACTCAGCGCCTTCACCATCAAGTCGTCAAGTTTCATCTCCGGGTCGACAGGCTGGCTTTTGGCTCCGCAAGAGGAGAAGCGATCAAGGCGATGGTTTGGCGGTCTCCAGCCCTTTCTAGTTTCTCGTGATTCCGCCTATGACGTCGGCCCACGTGCACCCGGGGCCATTTCTTTTCGATTTTCATTTTGGTTCTCAAAACAACATTCATTTCATTGCCTTGATCGAGCGACGCACGCTTCGTCAGGAATAAAGATTGAAGATAAACAGCATGGCCAGATTAAAACACTCAGATTTGCAACTCGAAGGAAAAAAGGAAATAAGAAATAACAGCTAACGACGAATCTCAGAAAGCGACTAGCTAAGCACTCTGTCCCCGACGGTCTCGAGTGGATCCGTTTCTGGGCCTAGATGACCGGCCCTTGCCCTTCTCGTCGGAGTACCTTTCCTCCAGATTCTTCTTCATCATGGCCAATGTTTTCATCTGCAGTTCCTGGAAAGCAAGCAAAGTCACGGTCGGCGCTCCTAGCATTCCGAGGAGCTTATCGATATCGTGCATGTGCTTGCGGATGGCGCTGTCAGGAGCACAGAATGTACGCACACTCATTTCTTGCACGATCGCCTTCCAGTTACGGAGATTCGAATGCAGCAGAATGGGATTAGTCGAACTCTCGCCGTTGAATTGTAGAGTGCGGATGTTGGATAAGATCAGTCGGCGCTGAGTGGCCTGGTCGAACTGAAACTCGACGACGTGAGGCCTATTCTTGGACTCCCAGAAGCTTGTGACTTTCCTGATCGATTCTTCGGAGACCCGGCCCCTGCCGTGTTGCTCAAATAAGAAATCATTGGCAGTGACACAGATCATGACTTCCAGCTCGGAATACATCTTGGCCTGCATCGGAGGATTCAGCGAGATGGGAATAGTCGTTCCGGGCAACATCCTGAAAGGGCGCGGTCCACGAGCGAATGGAATAGGATAGACTTTCGCCATGTCCTCAGCCTAATCCCAGTGTTAGAATGATGGCAACAAAAAAAGATCAAAGGTTGGAACAGGCTCGGAACAACTTACGAACTCCTCGACTTGGTGCTTGATCTTCTTTCCCAGATTGATGAATGTCTTTGACATGTGCTTTTCGTTCGACAGACATCTCATATCTGGGGTGTTTCCAAGCCAGCCATTCTCGCCGAAGAGCCTTTTATGTGAGACGACTTTTTCCTTGAATGGATTATCGATAAGATTGAATTCAAGCAAGTCCAATTCGCCAGAATCGGAGGAGACTTTCACCGGTGACATGGGCTGTTTGAAATGCTCTTCATACTCTACAATCGCAACCTGGGCCACCACGGGTTTTTCAAGCGCAGTGTAGGCTGTCTTGTATTCATTTCCGTCATGAAGAACCACACGAGCCTTCTCCGGCGCAGGGACTGGAGTCGCTGGCTTAATGTAGCGCATTGGAGGCGATGGCGACACTTCCAGAGGAGCAACGACCATGTCAACCTCGGACGGAATGGACTGGAACGAATCCCTGCCGGAGGACGCGCTCGAGGACAGCGAAGAGTAGGTTATATCCGATGGAAATTCCCAGAAAGTTTTCAATTCGTCGTAGAAGGGATTGAGCTTGGCAATGTCTTCGTACTCAAGGTGGCTACATCGGCAATGGTTAGTATACGGATAGCTGCAATGAAGAACCCTAACTCACTCCATGCTCAACACGATGGGCACGTCGCAGTGGTCACGAGTCATTTTAGAGATGCAAATGATCAGATGCTCTTTTTGATGAGAAGCTGAAGAGAAGCTGAAGAGAAGGTGTAATTGAGAGCAAGGAAGGAACAGTTATGAGTGAACAGAATATGTGGAGGTTTGGTGAGATGCAGAATATAGTGCCTAGAGATAACGAAGATCTTATGTACTGGACATTTCGAACTCGAATGTCAGGGTCTATTCAGAACAATATGATTGCTATATTGCATTGACAATCTAGCCTGGTCTAGCGGGCTACATTGAATCAATAATACCTATTGTATAGATGTGAATGACGGGTCAATAGAATGGCCATGGAAGTAGTCGGAATTCACCGAGCGTGATCCATGGATGTTTGAGGAAGGCCGCTGATTTGGTATAGCTAGACTCGGTGGCTTGTATTATAATAGATCAATAGTATTTCCCCACCACCATTGATTCAGTAGAATGATATGACTCTATTAGTCTCAGGCAGTAACCATATAATACGATTGATTGTATCGTTTGGTCTGAATAAGGTGCTGCTTGCCTAATAGGCTTTTCTTGACTCACCGGGTATAGCTTCAGGTAGCTATGCCCGCTATTATCCGCTATGCCGATGCACGCCGGAGTGAGACGGCCCAGAAGATCGGCATGCCGTACGGAGTAAACTTCAGATCATCCCTTGCTGTCTAATTGCCTTTGGGTCCCATTATTAGAAATACTAAGTAGTACTATACACTGATAGGAACCGAGGCTTCTCTCGGACCATGTACGCCGTAGATCTTCAGCGATGACGAAAGGAACATCACCCGAGACGGGCAATGAATATGGGATATAAAGACTACACTGTAAGAGCCGATCTTGATTGCCTGCGGAATGGAGCTTAACAGAAGGCAGCGTTAGCGTGCTCGCTAATGGCGTCGACAGCGAAAGGAATAAGTGGAGCCGGAAGGCGACGGCGGGATCTCCGAGGCGAACAGGGCGGCCTGAGGCAGCCAGACAGGCCAGCCGCTGAGTCAGCAGCACCGGGTGCAGCCAATCAGGGACGGCCGACAGCAGCGAAATCCCGGCGGTGGTGCCGACGCGAGAGGGTCACGTGGGCCCTCCACTTGCCGAGATTCTTTCCGCCGCTCCTCCAGACGTTCGGAAAGCAGAGCGGCAGTCGCTCCCCGCAGGTCCTGAGGCCACTAGCGTCGGTTCTGCCAGCTTCTCCAGTGGAGGCGCTGGCGACCCTGCTGAGGCTGCCCCAGTCGCCGTCCTTTCTGCTTCTGCTTACGAACTGATCCAGCCGATGATGAATGCCGTTGTGGCTCTCCGTGGTGCTGGCTCTCCGGCCCGCTACCCCCAGCTCCCTTCAGCTATATATGATGTCCCTGTCCCTTCATGGTTCGACTTTGCCTCTCCCTCTCTCACATCAGTTCGATGATCACATCCCGTTGAACTTCCTCCTCTGCTTTTCTATGCGGATGCGTTGATCGCACTCCCCGGTCTCCTCCCAATTCAATCTACCAATTGTTCACTGTCGATCATTTCCCCCACAACGACACCCTAGTATCCCTGTCGCATAGAGCTTGTTGATCGCTCACGACTGTCAGCATGGGCCACCCTCAGGAAAACTACGATATCGTCATCGTGGGCGCAGGCCCCGTCGGTATTTTGTTGTCGCTTTGTATGTCCCGATGGGGTTACAAAGTAAAGCACATTGACAACCGACCGGTGCCCACGGCCACTGGCCGCGCCGATGGAATTCAACCCCGCTCGACAGAGATCCTCCGCAATTTGGGACTCAAGCGCCAGATCATGGCGTACGGACCCGCCAAGGTGTACGACGTCGCTTTCTGGGATCCTCTCGCGGACGGAAAAGGAATCCACCGTACCGGCAGCTGGCCCAGCTGCCCGCGCTTCATCGACACCCGCTACCCTTTCACCACTCTGGTGCACCAGGGTAAGATTGAGCGCGTTTTCTTGGATGAGATCCAAAAGGCCGGCACGACGGTGGAGCGTCCTTGGACCATCCATGCGTTCAAGAACGATGGCTTGGATGAGACATATCCCGTGGAGGTGCAGCTGAAGTCGATTGACACTAATGTCGTCGAGACGGTTCGCACGAAATACCTCTTCAGTGGCGAGGGTGCTCGGAGTTTTGTCCGGCAAGAGCTGGGCATCAACATCCGACACAAGGATCCTATCTCCTATGTGTGGGGTGTTATGGATGGCGTCGTGAGAACTAACTTCCCTGATATCGAGGTAAGTGGACAATTTAGATATTTCAGCGCCTCGGAGATTTGATTAGGCTAACAATCTACGTCCTCGTAGACCAAGTGCACTATCCACTCTGATGCCGGTTCGATCATGGTTATTCCCCGAGAAGACAACATGGTTCGCCTGTATGTCCAAATCGCTTCCTCCACCGATCCCGATTTCAACCCGAGAAAGACCGCGACCGTCGAAGAGGTTCAGACAACCGCGAAGAAGATCCTCCAGCCTTATTCGCTGGAATGGGAGCGTGTGGAATGGTACTCTGTCTACCCCATTGGACAGGGTATTTCCGAGAAATACACTCTGGACGAGCGGGTTTTCATGGGCGGCGATGCTTGCCACACCCACAGCGTATGTTAACAAACATTATCCTCTAATCCCATGTCAACCGAGCAAGAGCTAACTCCAGCTTAGCCCAAGGCTGGTCAGGGAATGAACACTGCCTTCCATGACGCTCTCAACATGGCTTGGAAGCTGCACGCCGTCGAATCCGGGCTCGCCGACCGATCCATCTTGAGCACGTACGAAAGCGAGCGCAAAGACGTCGCAGAGACTCTGCTTGATTTCGACTCTAAATATGCCGCCCTGTTCTCCAAACGTCGCCCATCTGCTGGCGAGGTTGGGTCTGCTAGTCACACCACCACCGCCGCCGGCGGAGAGGAGGACGAATTCGTCAAGACCTTCAAGTCCTCATGCGAGTTCACCAGTGGCTACGGTGTCGCTTATAAGCCCAACGTTTTCAACTGGGATGAAAGCCACCCTGCTCAATCGCCTCTGTTCAACATTCCCGGTGTGAAGCTGGTTCCGGGTCGCGCCTTTACGCCTTCAACCGTCACCCGGCTTGCGGATTCCAACTCGGTGCATTTGGAACAGGAAGTCCCAGCCAACGGCGCATTCCGGATCTTCATTTTCGCCGGAAAGCAGGCCAGCACCAAGAAGGCCATTGCGGATCTGGGTGTTAACCTGGAGAAGGAGCGCTCGTTCCTTTCTATGCACCGTCGACCCGACATTGCGGATGTTTCGTTCTTCGAGCGTCACCAGCCTCACTCGAAACTCTTCACCCTCTGCCTGGTCTACGCTGCGGAGAAGAACCAGATCGATATGGAGGCCGTGCCGCAGATCCTGCGCGATTACCACCACCATATCTATGCCGACAATATCCCCGACGTGAGAGTCCCTAGCGCCAAGTTTGCTGCCCACGAAAAGCTTGGGTTCGATCCCGAGAAGGGCGGTGTTGTTGTCACTCGCCCCGACAGCCACGTCGCCTGTCTGGTGCAGTTGGCCGAAGGCAGCGGCACTGCGGACGCTCTGAACGCCTATTTCAATGCGTTCTCGACCAAGCCTTTGGGTCAGGACCAGCAGCAGAGCCGTCTATAAGCAAGATCAATTTGCCATGTCTCTGTATTCTATATTATCTGCCACGATAGACTGATGTATATACCTGTCTTGGGATTTCTTTGTGTTTGAGCAATTTTGGTCCAGCATTATTGGCGTTTCTGTTGTATTCACTTGCAATCAAGTCAATATTCTTATATGAAATTCAAAACACTTAAAATGTAGTGCTTGCTCGTAGTGTTTATGTTGGTGTGGTTGGAGGGTCTCCGCCGACTTTGTGCGAGCCGATGACCAACGACATCATCGCGCAAATAATCCCACCCCGCATCCCGAGAGAAGACTTTCTTCAGCTTCCCGACTGCAGACAATTTTCCGGTTGATCTCGCTCCACTGTCCAGACCGTCAAAATGCTCTCTCTCATCCTCACTGCAGAACTGAACGGGTAAGATAATTGGCTCCCACATCTAAATTTGATCTGTCGCTTTTTTGTGTGTTCTTTCGCACCTGCTTTGTTTCCCCGCACCGGATCATGTCGCGTCGCCTAGCTTATACCGATCGTCTTTCCATAGAGTCACCCAGCTTCGTCCCACCGACACTGAGGAGGAGCCTTATTACTATACCTTCAAGGTTCAATGCAATGCTTGTCGCGAGACTCACCCTAACTGGGTCAGCTTCACCCGCTTTGTAAGTTTTCTTATGACGCTTCATTTCGCTCTCGAATCTTTGTTTGTAAGATTTGTAAATGAATATTTGCTAACTTAATACTCAAAGGAACAACACGAGATCCCTGGAAGCCGTGGAGAGGCCAACTTTGTGTGGAAATGCAAACTTTGCCAGGTAGGTCCCTGAACTCCGAGCTATGCATCATGGCCCATCGGGACATCCTCATGCTTTCAAGAAGAGATCCTGCTGGTGTTTTCCATTGATCTATAGCCCTCGTTCTTCTACTTCTTTCTCCAGCCTAAGATTTTGAAATTCAAAGAATGGAGAAGTCGAATTCAGACAGGGTGACCTGCGCAAAGAAGCTAACCTATCGACAACAGAAAACTCATTCGGCTTCGATCATGAACTCTCCGAATGCCTATGAGCCCCAGGAAAAGCGCAAGGGCCAGAAGGTCATTGACCTGGACTGCCGTGGCCTGGAATTCACCGAATTCAAACCCGATGTGAGTAGTTTGCTCACTATCTCCGGTAATTTAACGATCTCCTGGACTGACTGAGGCAATGTAGGGAGAATGGGACGCCAAGGGCATCGAGTCTTCCACTCTTTTTACAGCCATTGACCTCTCCGAGGGCGAGTGGTATGACTACGACGAAAAGGCAGGAGACGAAGTCTCTGTCAAGGAAATCAGCTGGGACATTGGAAGAGCTTAGAGGAATCTCCATGCCAATGCCTTAATCTACGAGCACGATACCATCTGCATCTGCATTTGACCATCAGCGTCATCTGACTTGGTTCCTTGAGAAATTCTCCTTTGATTGTGTGTATCTCTCGTCCTGCTGATGGCTTTCGGCAGCCGTGGCTTTCGGTCCATGTACGAAATGGCCGGGTAGATACGATAAAATGTTATGTAAACAGTATGAAAACACCAAGAAATTTCAATCCACGGATTCTTCGGAATGCCCTGCAATGATAAATGCCTAAAGAACAGTAAACAAGAGATGGAAGCTTCGCAGCTGAAGAACCAGTTAGGGCGGTGTAGAAACAGGCGCGATGATTGGTGGGAAACTGCCCTGGCGCATCACATTTTCGCGGCCGGAGAAGTTGAACTTCCCGTCGAGCTGGCGACCGCGATCACTTCAATCAATCCAACACATCACCCACACAAATCACGTTGCCCCGGAGGAGAAATCCTTTCTATTGAGCCGATCACTTTTATCTGAGCTTGGGTTGCAGTTCGTGACCAGTTAAGATCGCGTCGCCGGCAGTTGAGTCAAACCATTCAGATCATTTGAACCATGAGTGTTCGTATTTCCTTTCCTTTACACCTATCCACGCCAATGAGTATCCGGCTTTGAAGGCTATGAGAATGCTTTCTAACATGAATTGAATAGTTCCAACCCGTCAACCCTCGGCCCTTCCTGCAGGCTCGGTACGTCTCCCCTTGACGAAACCATCGATCGCTCTCGCCATTCCTTTTCATCCTCTACCTTTGACACCCGATCGCGTTCATATCATGTTGGGAACCTGGAGCTAACAGTTAGGCTTATAGGGTCGGCACCGAGCTTATCATCCGTCTCAAATGGGGTCAAACCGAGTACAAGGGCAAGTTGGAGAGCATTGATTCATACATGAATGTGCTGCTGCGGGACACGGAGGAATTCATTGATGGAAAGAACACGGGCACCCTAGGCCTGGTGCTGATCAGGTGCGTTCCGACTTCCTTTTGACTCGTCGATTTCGCGATACTTTTGTGCGAGCGTTGCTGTTACGAGAGTTCCCCAGGAGGGGTTTTGCTGCGCCAAGAATACACCGACTGACATTTGAATGCGTGAACAGATGCAACAACATCCTTTGGATGGGATCGGCAGACAGCGTCGAGATGACGGATCTAGGGTTGCGGTAGAGACGATCGAGCGAATGTCGTTTACGGAACACCGATTGAAGGTCGGGCGGAGATACATATACCAGCTAATTACTCACGGGGACGATATATGTATGCGAAGAATGATGGCAGAGAGCTACTGAAAAGGATCTCCATGAACAATTTATCGTCGGCTCCATCTTTTTCCTTGTTTCTGGCACGAGGCGTTTTCGAAGATGGCTTCTGGATATTGGTTTCGGGGGGGAAATGACAGCGCGGATTATGCAGATCACGATGGAAAAGAGCTCAACTGGAGGAACGAGAAGCCGCGTCTTTCTCCCGGTCTCCTTTTTATTCTAAAACCACACCTGGGACTGGATAAGGCCATGGAAGGATGTGCCGTCTATCCAAGTGCATATGGCATGGGCGTGTTTTAATGTTCTCTTTAGCTATTCAGCCACTGAAAACCAATAGATAGAGTGGAAAGCTGTTTTGATATCCCCCACCATTGTGGCCGAGCTCTGTTGTTGTGCATATCCAACTGTCCAACTATCAATCGTTGCGACTGTAGCGTCTTCGTTGTCGTGATCCCGTGAGCTGACCCCACTTTGACAGACTCCCTTCGATTCCAGCATTTCTCCTTTGACAACTTCGCGTGGGCAACGGCCGACCGTAATCCTGACGCCCTATATTGTCATAACCAATAGACGATTGATGCCACCGAGTCACAATGAGCAGCCATGATGAACACGCTAAGAGCGATCCCTCGGATATCTACTACAACCTCGGGTCTTTCCATCGACCAGTGAGCACCACAAGCCACCAGGCTCAGACTTGGTTTGATCGCGGGCTTGTGTGGACCTATGCATTCAACCATGAAGAGGCAGTCAACTGTTTCCAGCAGGCTATTACGCATGATCGGAAATGTGCCATGGCATACTGGGGCCTGGCGTATGCGTCGGGCCCAAACTACAATAAGCCTTGGCAGTTCTTTGATCAGCAGGAACTGGAGATGACAGTCAAACGCACTCATCAAGCCGTTGCTGACGCTGGAAAAATTGCAGCCACGGCGACTCCCGTGGAGTCGGCACTCATTGGCGCTCTGCAGCATCGATATCCGCAGGTGCACCCGACGGCGGACTGTTCCTCGTGGAATCACAGCTATGCAAATGCCATGACCTCGGTTTACCGGATCTTTGCTGACGACTTGGACGTTGCAACGCTGTACGCCGACGCTTTGATGAATCTTACCCCGTGGGAGCTGTGGGATTTGAAGACTGGGCAGCCGGCTGGAAACGCCCGCACCAATGAGATCAAGACAGTCCTCGATCGAGCATTGGCACAAGACGGAGCTCTCCGCCACCCGGGCCTTCTACACATGTACATCCATTTGATGGAGATGTCGGGCACCCCCGAGACCGCGCTCACGGCCGCAGACTACTTGCGTGGATTGGTGCCAGATGCCGGCCACCTGAATCACATGCCCACCCACTTAGATATTCTGTGCGGCGACTATCGACGAGCCATCGCGTCCAACTCCGAAGCAATCAGGGCGGATGAGCGATTTCTGGCGCGGGCAGGGCCTGTAAATTTCTACACCCTCTACAGGTCACATAACTACCATTTCCGCATCTATGCTGCCATGTTCGCCGGTCAGTCTAGGGTTGCATTGGAAACGGCGAAGGAGTTGGAATTGTCGATCCCCGAGGAGCTTCTCCGTGTCGAGTCCCCGCCCATGGCCGATTGGCTAGAGGGCTTCTTAGCAATGAAGGTGCATGTGTTGATCCGGTTCGGAAGGTGGCAAGACATTTTTGATCTTCAACTTCCACAAGACACCGACCTTTATTGCGTGACGACGGCGATGATACACTACGCCAAAGGTGTCGCATTGGCGGCCACCGGCAGAGTGGAAGAGGCGGATACGACACGGAGCATTTTCCGGGAGGCCAAGAACCGGGTAGGAGAGAGTCGTATGCTGTTCAACAATCGTTGCGTGGATATACTGGCGGTTGCGGATGCCATGTTAGACGGGGAGCTGGAGTACCGTCGCGGGAATTTCGATGCCGCTTATGAGCATTTGCGAAAGTCGATTGCTTTAGACGATGGACTGCCCTACGATGAGCCTTGGGGATGGATGCAGCCGACCCGACATGCGTATGGCGCCCTTCTTCTTGAGCAAGGGCATGTGGAACAAGCGGCCGCAGTATACGGAGCGGATCTGGGCATGGACGACACTCTGCCACGACCATTGCAACACCCGAACAATGTATGGGCACTGCATGGCTACTACGAGTGCTTGAGCAAGTTAGGGCGAACCGCTGAAGCAGGCATCGTGAAACAACAGCTGAAGCTGGCGGCTGCGACGGCTGATATTCCGATTCAATCATCCTGCTTCTGTCGCCGGAGCGTTGATCCAGCATAGACAGGTAGACACGGAGTGTTTGAAATGATGAGCCATGAAGACAGACATAGTTTGATATATCGACATCAATTGTAGCGATTTAGGTTTTGTCGCTGACATGCATAGTGGTACAGTGCATATGCCGGACAGCATGCATGTGTAACGCAAGGCATGAATCACGTACAGTTGAGTCTCCAACTCAATTTCATTCTCTCGTCGTCACCAGCATTGATGCAATCACGTGTAGAGCGAGCACTAAAAGGCGTTGTCGCGAGACTCAACCTTGTCGGTCCATCCAGCACCAACTCGGACTCCGAGAAAATACCGCCGCTTCGTCAAAGATCGGTGTTGCAGGACGGAAAATAAAACTCAAATTGGATGCATCCCAGGCGGACGCACTTTAGTCCAGCAGACTAGTCTATACTAGGTGCGCGTTGAAACCTGGGCGCCTGCTAAGGCTCGAGATCATCTTGCTGATTTGGGTGAAAGCCCCAATTCTTCGTTGCTTGCCCTGACGGAATTTCGTCACTACTCTTATAACCTCGACGTGCAAATGAAGGGTTGCTCCATTTCAGGTGGAATGATTCAAGATTCCCCCACAGATTATGGAGTCGCGGATTTCTCTACCCCGCGACGAAAAGTGTCAAGCAGACTCAAATCCAAACCCCTCCAAATGCCCACTTCGTTGACAGACGGAGTCGCCGTGAAAGGATGGGCCAAAGATCATTTGCAGAGCGCCGACACGAGCTCCACCGCGATGGCAAAACGCATCCACTTCACCCGAAGAAGCAGGCCTGCCGACCGCAGGGTCCACCGGCTGCAAAAATGGGCTGCATCGTCGCTTTTCGGACGCAATGTAACTTTTTCACGATAATGTTTGAAACCACAGAGATGACCGAGGAGGGAAATTGGGTGTCTGGGCAGTGTGGTCGGGTCGATCAATTGTCGACTCCAAAAGTCCTTCACGATGCTTTCCTGAGAGGCACGGAGCGCTTGGTATGCCGATCTACTGCATGCATGCTGTCCGACATCGTCATATGAGGTCATCGCCAATTTTTCTCGCGGATAAAAACGACACAGTAGCAATAGCCGTTCAGGAACCGGGACAATAGTTCCGAAGCCGCTGAGTGCCGACTATCTTATCTTGGGGTCTCTCAGACCGAATGAAAGACATCGTGATCGTCTTAAAGAGCCGGCATTAAGAGAATACTACTCCGTATTAACGGTCTGATGCCAATTGACCGGATTGATTGGGCAATTCGCCGGCCACTGGATTCGGCATGAACCACGGCCAGTTGCTCCCACGGCTCTTTTCCGAGTTTGCCGCTGGGCTGGACAGAAGAACCTAAAACAAACCCTGCGATCAGAGAATGAATTGTCCTCATTTTCGTCCACTCTTTGTTCTCAGAGCGCATATGTGGAGAAGAGGGGTTAGCTAAAGGCTGCATCGTGAGATGATAGTCTTGTACCCCTCTCCAACAGCACAGTAAGATCAGGATCGTCGGTTGTCCAGACACGAAGAGTCCACCAGACTATGAGGACTCCCGTAGTCCGAGAGCGTTCACTCTCCCCGATAGCGGTCGCACTTGTGGCAACGTGCTCGGGTAAATTAGGTTCCTACTCACCTCCTGTGTCCTTACAGACCGGAATGCATCGAGTAGATCCGCTGCAGGTCATTTCATCGAAGAGGATTGGCCATGGAAGCGGGCCGCCGGACTCTGTGCTGCAGCAGATAACGATCCTTCGTTCAGTATGCGCCGCAGTGGATTGCAGATGGCCTTCAATTCGACACGGGTGACGAAAGGCTTGCAGTTGCGCCGTGGACGCTCGACTCCCCATGGCACGCAGTCAGAGAACAACCACGGATTGAAGCAAGTCAAGCAATCTCCAATTAAGATCCTCAAGCCTTCCGGTCCCGCCCACATGGTGGCTCTGAGTGTCCCATTGGCCCGCTTTTTCTCTTGCCTTTCTTCGAATGATCGGCCCGAGTGATGGAGTGGCTTATCTGCTTAGGGCTGTGGGCGAGGGCTGGAATCCGAAGAATTTTCTGTGCCGCTCATTAAGGTTATCGGCTTTCTGGTGCCCATATTAAAGAATGAGGCCCACCTCTCGAGGGATACATTCCTCATTCCCCACTGTTTCTCAATCGCATTGTTTCCCTGGCCATCACGGGTAGATGGTCTCGTGGTTGCACTATGTCACTCTCACTTCCCAATGACATCCTCCTCCTGGTTGGGGAGTTCCTGGAAGAACACCAGGACCGTTACAATCTTGTTTTCGTTTGCCGCCGCTTTCACGACCTTCTCTTGCGCCTAGTGTATCGAAGGGCCACCCTGAAAAATGCCTCGCAAACTCGCTCTTTCTTGAGTGCTCTCTTGCGTCGACCCGAGCTGGCTCGGGCCGTGCGGAGCTTGCATTTTGATGACTGGAACCAAACACCATCTCCCTCTCCTTCATCGTCGTCGCAAAACATGGATTGGTCGCCGTTTAGGAACTGGGCTCAGACGATCAGCCAGTCGGAGGAAGAACTTGCACAATGGGAGCAGGATCTGCTCAACGACGTGGAGGAGGCTTGGATTGCTCTTGCTTTGCCATTGGTGAATAACCTCCGACAACTTCGATTGGTGTATCCTAAAGAGAGTGTGTACCTGGATCGCACGCTGTCAAGGGCTCTAAAGGGAGAGAAGCCCTTTGACGACCGACCCGCCTTCCGTGTCTTGCAGGAAGTGTCTCTCGGTCATATGGGGAACGAGGGAGACACTAAGGGTAGCTTCGCGCCTTCTCAGATTTCTTCTTTCTTCCAATTGCCATCGATGCGGGCGTTGTCGGCGGATTCGGTAGTCGAGTCCAGCTCCTCACCCGACAATGAGCACGAGCAGACAACTGAGATGCCTCAGAGTGTGTCCTCGAATATCTCGGAGATCACGCTCTACTCGAGCAACGGCTCTAAGGGCATGGAGGGTCTGATAGCTTCTTGCCCCTCGCTTCGGTCGTTCAAGTACCAGCACTCCGATTCCCATCTGCTCTCCGAGGGCTACCGACCCTCGGAATTTGCGCGGTCGCTGGCTGCTAGTAAAGGCAGTCTCGAGACACTGTGGCTGGATAGCTTCGGAACCCATCTGCCCTTCACCATCGCCGGAGCTAACGAGACTCACGATGAGTGGTTTGGGTCCCTGGCGGATTTCACGGCGTTGAAAGACATCCGCATCCGCCTGCCCAACCTCCTGGACGTGCGCTACCAGTTCGAGCCGTCGACTGCGCTACCCGACGTTCTCCCGCCGTCGGTGCAGACGCTATCCGTGGAGGGATGCAAGGAGATGTCGTTGAGGATGCTTATTGGGCAGCTGAAAATGGTGCTCGGTCAGCGCCAGAAGCGATTCGTTGGCCTGCGCCGCTTGGACATCGAAGGGTTCTTCCACGACGAGGAGGACGAGGATGCCTCGGGATACGACGCCCACGCGGCTAACCCCGGGGGCGAGAAGGTCATTAAGTCCCGGGTCTATGAGATGACCGAAGCGTTGCACACCTCCTGTGCTGAGGCTGGAATCGAACTGCACCTGCGCGACCGGGACTGCCCAGCGACGATGGCCTAACATCATGATGACTTGACGGTGGTTGTTTGTCTGATTTTGAATTTGCATTTATACCCCCATAGACACGATAGACAGACAAGCTGCAGTTTGGGGAACTGAAAAGCTTCGATTTCTGCGAGATGATTTGTTCATGGACTTTGTCTGAGCGACTTGCATACTGCCTAGTGTTTGTTCTATCGCTTTTCTGATCTTTTATGTGTTGACTTTTGGATTGACAGCTGGCATGGCATTGTTGGATGCACTTCTCCAATACTTATAGACCGTTATATCACTTATGCATTATTCCTTATGATCAACCTCCCAACACTCCACCGCTCCCTGTGAGAGAAAAGAGGACAGGGTCCCAGCCAAACCAACCATGGACAAGACCGAGAGGATGCGACTAGCGGTTCCAGCCGACCAGCCAAAGCTGGAGAAGGCAGTCTTGGACTCTTGGGACTCACGCGGACTCGCCTTCTCCGCATTTGACGTCGTATTTCCCCGGCCGCTGACGTCTTGTTCCTTTTGTTCCTTGTCGTTGGCATGGTCGTAATCTCCCACCTGCGGATTTATTGTCCTTCGTCTCTTTCTATCCTTCTTCGGACTCTGTCTTTTCTCTCACTTTCCCTTCATTTTGATTCTTTTTTTCTCCCCTGATCACTTCTTGATCTGTCCTCGAATCTTCTGATCGTTCTCAGCAGCTGGCACGATGCAGTCCGTCACCTACCGGGCGCACGATGCCGACCGTGAGGAAAAACACGAGAAGCGTGAATACGAAGACTGTGCGCCCGCCTACGAAGACCCCTTTGGAAATGAGGAGAATGCAGAGGTCCAATATCGCACTTTGCACTGGTGGTGAGTTTCATCGGGACTACTATTTACAAAGTGCCAGCTAGTATAGTACTGGTTGCTGACTCGACTTCTTCAAGGCAATGCGGCATGAGTAGGCTTACCTCCCCATCGCAACGAACAGAAATATCGAACCAATCCTCACATCCCGATAGTCATGATCGCCGAGACCATCTCCCTAGGAATCTTATCTCTGCCATCTGCCGTGGCGTCGCTCGGCCTGGCTCCGTGAGTGGCTACCCGGCTCATCACAAGACTTTTGGCGCCTTGGGAGCGTGTTCCATCGTCCCTGTGGCTGATATTAAGCCTTTCTGATTTCCCACCCCCTGTTTGTCACACCGTGACACCATGAACACCCCGTGTTAATGTTTTCTTATCGATAGGGCTGTCGTCCTCATCGTCGGCCTTGGCATCGTCGCGACCTACACCGGCTACGTGATCGGGCAGTTCAAGTTGCGCTATCCCCATGTCCACAGCATGGCTGACGCCGGCGAGGTCATGCTCGGTCGCTTCGGGCGCGAACTGCTTGGCACCGCTCAGCTGCTCTTCCTCGTCTTTATCATGGGCAGCCATATCCTGACGTTCATCGTCATGATGAATACCGTGACGGAGCACGGCACCTGCTCGATCGTCTTTGGCGTCGTGGGCTTGGTCTTGTCGTTTGTGTTGACGCTGCCACGCACGCTTAAGAAGGTGTCGTGGATGTCGATTTCGTGTACGTATTGCGCCTTCCCCTTCTCCTCTGACTGTATATATCTACACTCTTTTGTTGATCGGCGCTGATTTCCACCGATTTCTAGCATTCATCAGTATCGTTGCCGCGGTGTTAATCACCATGATTGCAATCAGCATCCAACGCCCTGGCGAGGGCCAGATCGACACTACCGTGGATACAAACCTATATGAGGGCTTCCTCGCTGTGACGAACATCGTATTTGCCTATGGTAGGTGGAACCCTTATTCACAGCCCGTGGAAGTGGTATGTGTTGATAGCCGAGTATAGCGGGCCATGTGGCATTCTTCGGCTTCATCTCGGAGATGGAGACCCCTACGGACTATCCGAAGACGCTGTACCTGCTTCAGGGGACCGATACGAGCATGTACGTTGTCACTGCCGTGGTAATTTACTACTACGGTGGGAAAGAAGTCAAATCGCCAGCGCTGGGCTCGACAAGTCTACTGATTTCCAAGATTGCCTATGGCATTGCCATTCCGACCGTAGGTTTATTTCAACTCTCAATTCAGATCTATTCCGTGATAAACATGCTAACTAACCAGATTGTGATTGCTGGGGTGATCAACGGCCACGTCGCGTGCAAGTATATCTACGTGCGGCTCTTCCGCGGGACAGACCGCATGCAAAAGCGCAATTTTCTCTCCCTCGGGACATGGGTGCTGATCGGGCTGGTGCTCTGGACGCTGGCGTGGATCATTGCCGAGGCGATTCCCGTGTTCAATAACCTCTTGAGTTTGATTGTAAGCGACATAGGCTCTCCGGCAGTTAATGATGCTAACGAGCTTTTGCAGACGGCACTGTTCGCAAGTTGGTTCACATGTGAGTCCTCCACTCCCATTCCTTTCTATCCTTCGAGAGACAACGTCTAATACCGTGCAGATGGAATGAGTGGCATTTTCTGGCTGTTCCTGAACTGGGGGCGATACACTTCGTCGAAGCGGAAAATCTTCCTGACGGTTATCAATGTTATTATCGTAGGAATTGGGGGTTGTCTGGTAAGTCCAAGGATATAGTATTCCCTGTTAGCTGAGAGAAATGCTAACGAAGTTAGTGTGGCTTGGGGTTGTATGTCTCTGGCAAGGCGCTTCACGATAACCCCAGCAGTGCTAGCTTCTCCTGCGCCGACAACTCATGATCAGGTGGAGTGGGAAACGCCCGAGAACCGAGGTTTAGTAAATAGGGTATGAACTTGAGTATCACCATCTAAAGGAGATTTGCTGCATTAGATTCCCTGTGCATTTGTAAGTGCCGTTTAGCCGGCCCTGTCCGTAGTTGACTCCATGAGTTCAACATGACGTATTCCGGGCATGGCGTCACCCCCAATGTAACATTCTGATCGGGAAATAAAACCACCACCATTGGCACGTGGAGGTTTCCCTCCGAATGAAAGTGTTCTTATAAATCGAAGTCATGTTAGAAGAGAAAGGCACGCAGACCGACTATTCCTCGATCGACGACCCGAGCAGTCCTGTCAGTTCGGCATCCGATGTGGAGAAGCAGCGACTGCACCGGCAGGAACGAGATAACTATGAAGATACCAACATCGTCCAATGGGATGGGCCCGATGATCCGGTAAGCTTGATTCATCTCACCATATTCTTCGGAGAAGTGTTGTATATGTCCATGCTCACGCGCTCGATAGGAACATCCACGGAACTTTCACGCTGCTCGAAAATGGATCATCACACTTTCTTTAGGGTTTATGACCTTCTGTGTCACTTTCGCCTCTTCGGTATTCAGCACGGCAGCTGTTGTGACGTCGCAGAAATTCGGGGTATCCGAGGAGGTCATGGTGCTGGGAACGAGTCTGTTCGTACTAGGCTTCAGTTTCGGACCATTGATGTTTGGTCCCTTGTCGGAATTGTACGGGCGAAAGAAGCCGCTGTTCGTGGGATATTTTATCTTCGCCATATTTCAGATCCCCGTTGCTGTGGCACAGAACTTGCAGACGATTTTTGTCTGTCGATTCTTCGGGGGTCTGTTTGCGAGTGCGCCGTTGGCTATTGTATGTGTTCAATAATACGAAACCAGTAGATTAAGTCGCTGACGAACAATTGCAGGTCGGAGGAGCCTTAGCTGACCTTTTTGGACCCGTTGACCGCGGAATCGCTGTTGCCATCTTCGCTGCTAGCACGTTCATCGGACCTGTGGCCGGTCCTATCGTGGGCGGATTTATCACAATGTCTCATCTTGGCTGGCGGTGGACTGAATATATCACGGCTATAATGGCATTTTTCTTTGGGACGATAGGTTTGTTAATCGTGCCTGAGACCTTCGAGCCTGTTCTTCTTCGGCGACGAGCGCAGGTTTTGCGACGTAAGACGCGCAACTGGGCTCTGCATGCTCGCTCGGAGGAGACTGTTGTTATGGACCCGAAGCACATCGCGAATAACTATCTCCTGCGACCGGTGCAGATGCTGATCCTCGAGCCTATCTTATCGTTGATCACCTTGTACATGGGCTTCATCTATGGATTCTTGTACTTGTGCTTCGAGGCCTACCCAGTGGCCTTCCAGCAGGACCGCGGATGGAATGAGGGTGTGGGCGCGCTGCCATTCATTGCTATCACTTGCGGCGTGCTAGCGGGTTGTGCCTTCATCATAATATTCACCAAAATGCGGTTCCAGCGTGTGATGGAACGCACTGGAACTCTGGTCCCCGAAGAACGCCTCGTTCCCATGGTGGTGGGTGGATTGTTATTGCCTGTAGGCATGTTTTGGTTTGGATGGACGTCCAATCCAAATATCACTTGGATACCACAGGTTATATCGGGCGGATTCCTGGGAGCAGGGGTGCTGCTGATCTTCTTGCAGGTATGTGGCCATATCTTTATATCTTATGACCAGTTTCATCCTGCTAATTCCACCAGGGGTTGAATTATATCATTGACTGTTATGCCGCCAACTCCAACTCCGCTATTGCCGCTAATTCGTTCTTCCGGTCTGCTTTGGGGGCTGGATTCCCCCTGTTTGCCAACCCAATGGTACGTCTTTCGTCTTCTGTTTGCCGAGGGGAGTGCTGACGATAGGTAGTTCCATAACCTAGGAGTCAATTGGGCAATGACGTTGCTGGGATGTTTGACGGCGATTTTGTTTCCGGTGCCGATATTATTTTATGTTTATGGTAAGAGGATTCGGACGTGGAGTCGATACAGTCCGACTGATTGACGTGGTTTATCTGTCTGGAATGAATCGGGAGTGTAGTCTGTAGACAATTAGATCAGCTAATTGATTCTATTCTTATCACTAGTATCTCGACTGACACATCAAGATTATCAAGCCGGCTGATCCACAGTATCGATCGATCGCGTTTACTGCATCCTTGGGAAGCGACGAACCGAACTGCGACGAAGGCCCTCCCGTGCGTTGCTTTCATAACGTGAGTCGACGATTTTCATCCGGAGTAACGGTGACAAAGAGTCTGAAGATCGCCGCCTATAGCCAAACCACAAGTGAACTGCGTTGCTTCTCTTTTCATGAGTTTGTGAAGATCCATCTTGGCTGGCCCGAGGTCCATCGGCCGGGTCCGATGGGAGTAGCCCGTCCAGTGGAGAGATCCACATTCCGAGCATCCAAGCTGCTCAATGGCAAGCGGGGGCTTCTAAGCGATGTTTCCCCAGCCAAGCATCTGGTAGACCGAACTAAACTAGAGTTTGTCTGGCCCCCTAAGCCATATCCTGGGGAAGTGACGATCCACGGGTGCCGCCGATGACCGGATGCGCTGCCCGTGCAACGTACGGCCATTTTCATACCTCAATGAGGGCGAGAGATGAGATCAACGGTCCTTTCGATGGTCCATTGAGTGTATATCTAGCTCGAAATCACCGCTCATTCTGACGGTATGATCCATCAGACTTTGCCTATGCTCGAGAGTGTATGATCTAATCATGCAGCCCTACTTCGGCCTGCGAGGCGATCTGTTGAATCGCGCTATCATCTGGCTGGTCGTTTGTCCGGCATTTGTTTGCTATGGCTATAACCAAGGCGTCACCGGGGGTCTTCTGACGCTCAAGTCGTTTGCGGAGACTTTCCCCGAGATGAATACCTTGACCACGACGGGGGAGGAGCAGCGTTATAACTCTACCATCCAGGGTAACTCTCTCTTAGTTCCCCAGGCCTGGCGAAATTAATTCTCTTGCTGACATTTCAGGCACCGTGGTTGCCTTATATACTGTCGGGGGGATCTTTGGATCTCTCTCCTGCATCTACCTGGGTGACCTGCTTGGACGACGGCGCGTGATATTCATGACCTCAGCCGTCTCCATTGTAGGCGCCATCCTTATGGCCACCTCGTTTGGCTTGCCGCAATTCATTGTTGCTCGCCTGGTACTGGGTGTGGGAACTGGTGGATACGTGGCCACGGTGCCAGTTTGGCAGGCCGAGATCTCGCAGGCAAAGAAGCGCGGTGCACATGTCGTGACGGACGGAATCTTCATCGGTGCTGGCATCACGATCTCCTTGTGGATTGATTTCGGATTCTACTTCGTCACGGGAAACTCCGTGTCGTGGCGGTTCCCGCTGGCGTTCCAAATCTTGCTGTCTCTATTAGTCATGGCTTTTATCACCGTCTTCCCCGAATCGCCTCGATGGCTAGTAAAGCGTGGACGACAGACCGAGGCCCGTGAGATCCTGGCGGCCTTGGCAGATTTGCCGTCGGATGACGAGGCCATTAACATGGCACTGCGAGATATCGAACGATCGCTGGCCCTGTCAGGCACGGGATCCTGGACGGACATGCTAAGGATGGGCGAGCAACGGCTCTTCCATCGCACAATGCTTGCAGCCAGTGGTCAGATGTTCCAGCAGATGTGTGGGATCAACCTGATCACGTTCTACGCAACGACCATCTTCGAGCAGTACCTGGGCCTGAGCCCACTACAGTCCCGCATTCTAGCAGCGTCCATGTGCCTGGCGCAACCGTTGGGCGGGTTCCTGGCCTTCTTCACCATCGATCGTCTGGGCCGTCGTCCCCTGATGCTTTGGAGTGCCGCTGGGATGTCGGCGTCGATGGCAGTCCTGGCGGGTACGACGTCGCTGACCGACAACACGGGCGCACTGGTGACTGCCGTCGTGTTCCTGTTTATCTTCGAGTTCATTTTCACTGTCGGTTACTCAGGTCTCACATTCCTCTATGCCACGGAGGTAGCACCGTTGCAGCTGCGGGCGGCCATCAGCGCCGTGTCGACGGCGGCAGTGTGGACCTTCAACTTCCTGCTAGCGGAGGTGACACCCGTCGGCTTCAACACCATCGCATACCGATATTACATCATCTTTGCCGTGTTGAACGCGGTCATCGTGCCGGTCGTGTACCTCTTTTTCCCGGAGACCAATGGCCGGTCACTCGAGGAGATCGACGAGATCTTCCTGCGGTCCAAGTCGGTGCTGGATCCGCCTCGGCTGGCGCGGTCGTTGCCACGGATGCACCTGGCGGAGGGGGTGGATGTCGAAAGGGTGGAATCGGGGGAGAGTGATGGAAAGATGAAGTTGTGAAGGAGGGAAGGAAGACAAGGACCAGGAGGGAAGTGACTAGGGTTAGGGCAGAGCGGGTCATCACCGGATGAAATGATGAAGCAGCGATGGATTCACCGAGTCTCTCCTCGTCTGGCGGATGCACGGGCCGGGCCTGGTTAAATGCAACGATCGTCATGAATAATGCCTTCTCAGTTTTAGTTGAATTGCAAGCTCCGTGTCAATTTTGGCATGTAGATCTATCTGAAACCCCGTCTGAAACGGCTCCATCGTCCGCATGGATATAAAGCCAAGTCGTTTGACACCCTCTGCAGACTGGAGACAGAACGCAGCGCGTTTTTGGTTTTGCTTCGGTCGTCTTTCTTTTCTTCCTCTGTTTTTTCTTACCCAGTTCTGTCAATATGAAGTCCATTCTTTTCTTCATTCCCTTGGCTCAGGCCGGAACGGTCGTCTGGGACGCCTTCTTCAACGAGTCCTTCACCGTTGACCACTTCGATAAATGTAAGTCCCTTTCGAAGAGAGCGGCACCTAAGTATCTCCTTTCATTATTCTAGGGTCATGGTCCAACCAAATCGAGCCCTTCCAGTGGTACATTCACGGCTCCGAAGAGACCTCTCATTACCTGGAGTTGTCCTCCGAGTTCAAGAATCCGGCCGACAAAGCCGACGCCAAAGGAATTCGCATCTCGATTGTAGGCTCATCGGGAACACAGAGTATTCAGCTGAAGACTGACTCGGACAGGATGATACGGCCTCATGGAACGGCCAGCCCATGATGCGATCGGAGCTCATCCCCCAGACCACGGCGGACCTGGGCTCTGGCCATCTCTTCTACCACTTCTCGCTGCAGACGCGCGAGAAGAACGCGCCCGCGGCGGGCCTTGAGCACCAGATTGCTTTCTTCGAGGTATGTCGCATCTCATGCAACAGATCGTGGCCCTTCTTGGGACGGGACTGACCCGTACGACAGAGCCACTTCACCGAACTGCAATACGGCGGAGACGAGAAGACCCTCCGCTGGATGGCCGACGGCAAGTCGCACTGGTCGACGGATCTCGAGCCTGGTACCTGGTACAACTTTGCCTACGAGATCGACTTCGATGCGCAGACGGTCGGTCTCTGGGCGTCGGACGGATCGGCGGCGTTGACGCAGGTCGTCAAGCCCGTCAGTGCGTCGGCCCAGACCAACTCGCAGGACTGGCATGTGGGCGAGCTGCGCCTGGACAACGGCCAGAAGGGCGGTGCCGAGGACTGGTACTGGTCGGGTATCTACATCGAGAAGGGCGAGATCACCAAGGTGGTCTCTGGGCCTTGAAGGTCTTTTGGGTCTTGACTACATTGTGTATTCTAAAGGAAAAACAGACAGGAAGAAAGATGAAGTGGTAGAGTATTTGATTCATATATCGTAATGTCCCGCATTATATATAGAAAAAAGAGAACTATTTTACATGCCTCGTGAGATTCATAATTTACCGCACGCAGTAGCCACCGTCAATGCGCATGTCGTTGCCAGTCATGTACGTGCTGGCATCGGAGGCCAGGTAGACGTAGGCGCCCTTGAGCTCCTTGGCGTCACCGTTGCGGCCCAGAGGGATCATGGAGAGCCACAGGTTCTGGGTGTCCTGGTCGACGAAGTCCGACAGACCGGTGTCGATGTAGCCGGGGGAGATGCTGTTGACGCGAGCGAAGTCTCTCCACTCGTTGGCCAGCGAGCGGGCGAAGTGGATGCAGCCGGCCTTCGCGACGTTGTAGGAGGTCTGTTCCTGGGGGAAGTTGGCGATGTGGCCGGACATGGACGAGGTGACGACGAAGCTGCCGGTGCCTCGCTGCTTGAAGTGAGGGCCGACGGCCTTCGCGCAGTGGAAGGTACCGGTCAAGTCGGTCTGGATGACCTCCTCCCAGTCCTTGACGGAGCCGTCGAGGATGCCGCTGCTGGCGGTGCGGCCGGCGTTGGCGATGAACGAGTCGATCTGGCCGAAGTCCGCGATGACGCCCTTGACGAGGGCCTCGACGCTGTCCCAGCTACCGACGTCGCACTTGTAGGCCTTGGCCTTGACGCCGTAGGTCTTGGTGAGCTCGTCGACGTTCTTCTGGGCACCCTCGGCACGGGAGGCGTAGGTGATGGCGACGTTGGCGCCGAACTCAGCACACCCCCGGGCAGCTTCGATACCCATTCCGCGGGGTCCGGAGGCACCGGTGACGACGACGACCTTGCCCTTCATGCTGAGCAAGTCGTGGAGGGAGTTGGCGGCGGGGATGTTGACGGGCATGATGGCGGTGGAAGAGGGTTGGTTTTGGCTGAGAGAGATGGAATAGAAGGAGATTGAAGAGATTGTTTGATGATAGAGAGTAGTAGAGAGGATTGGAGTGAATTGATATGGAGAGAGAGGAATGTCGAGGTGGTGAGGAGGTATAAATACGAAAGTGGTGATCTCACGAGTGGAGCATGACATCATCGTGAGAGCGCCGTCAGTACCGCCTCAAACCGGGCATCGCAGTCCAGCCCACTTCGAACCGGTCGGTCTGCCACGGCACACCGGGAACAAAGCGAGTGCCAGACCCGTCGACATCATCGCCTGCATGGCCCGATTCCATGACGACACGAGCGCCTCCAGTCCGTGGTTCTCGGCGAGGATGCTAAGCACCGCCCACGGCCAATTAATAAAACCGTTCGGCTGCATGCCGGTGCCGATCCTGGGCATCGTGCGACGTGGATGGACTAGTAGTGATCAAGGAAGCAGTCCGAATCGTCCAAGATAGACCGGTTTCAATTTCCGTGTGTCATGTCAAGTGCAGACCCGCAGCATCGCCCGTCGCAGGCCACTCTGCGCAGGGCCAGCACGGCCCATACTAACGACTTTGACGATACCTTTTTGGGCCGGTATAGTCTCTCCTGCAGATTGAAATTCACGCGAAGGATTTGACTAGGTACAGGCTAATCCCAGTGTGATGCATAGAGTGAGATCGTTCTTCCATCGCGACAGGCACGTCGGCGTGGTCAGCCACCATGCGCTTCGTGATAAAGAAGACATCGAGATTCATACGTGGAATGGGAAGGATGACCCGGACAACCCGTACGTGTGTTTCAGGTGGGATTGGTATTCGAAACATCTGCTAACGGGGTTCTGTATAGCTTCAACTGGAGCAATTCGTACAAATGGACCTTGACCATCACCGTCTGCATCATGTGAGCCACTGGCCCTAAATTATGCCTGCGAATGACCTCAACTGACAAAATTCCCCTACTAGATCGGTCCTGACTGGACTCCCTGCCGGCTCCTACGGAGCCGGGAATAACTACATGGAAGAGAAGTTCCATGTCCAAAATACACCGTTTCCCAACTTGGCCTGGGCCACGACTTCCTGGAATATGGGAGCCGCCTTTTGGCCGCTGATATTCGTGCCATTGACCGAATCATCGGGCCGCATGCCAGGATACTTTGTCGCATATTTCCTGTTGATCGTGTCGCTATTCCCGTCGGCCTTTGCGCAAAACTTCGCGACGCTGGTGGTCACTCGGTTCTTTGGCGGCGGCGCCTCCTCCGTGTCGATTAACATCGTCGGTGGCAGTATCAGTGATGTCTGGCGCGGCGACAAGGCACGCAGCGTTCCTATGTCACTTTTCGGGTTGACCAGTGTCGTTGGTATTGCGTTGGGACCATTCATCGGCTCTGCAATCCAGGCTATTCATAAGAATGACCCATGGCGATGGTGAGCTTCATGCATGTCCTCTATACGACCATATACACATACTAACCAACAAACCAAAGGATCTTCTACGTCCAGATCATCTACAACGCCGGCCTCCTCCCCATCTTCTGGCTTCTCCTCTACGAGACGCGCGCCGACGTGATTCTCTCCAGACGAGCCAAAAAGATCCGCAAGGAGACCGGACGCCCCGTCTACGCGGAGGCCGAAATCAGCCAAACCAGCGTGTGGAAGCTGCTGCAGGTGTCATTCGAGCGGCCGACACGCATGCTTCTCACCGAGCCCGTCGTCGCCTTCTTCACCCTCTGGATCAGTTTCGCCTGGGGCATCCTCTTCCTGTTCTTCAGCAGCGTCGTGCAAACCTTCAGCACGAACTACGGCATGAACACGCTCCAAACCGGCCTCATCCAGCTGGCCATCTCCGTCGGCGCCCTCATCGGCACCATCGTCAACCCCCTCCAGGACATGATCTACCTGCGGTCGGCCAGCCGCAACAAAGAAGCGCCCGGACGTCCAGTCCCGGAAGCCCGTCTGTACACGTCCATCCCCGGGAGTCTGCTCTTCGCCGGCGGCCTGTTCTGGTACGGCTGGTCGAGTTTCCCGCATGTGCACTGGATCGTGCCGACGTGCGGCATCGCCGCCACGGGCCTCGGCATCTACTCGATCTACATGGCCGTCATCAACTACCTGACTGATGCGTACGAGAAGTACGCGGCGTCTGCGCTGTCGGCGGCGTCGCTGGGGCGGAACTCCTTCGGGGCGTTTCTGCCGCTGGCGTCGTACGAGCTGTTCGATCGCTTGGGATATGGATGGGCAGGCTCGTTGCTGGGGTTCATTGGTGTGGCGTTGTCCGTGGTGCCGCTGGTTTTGGTGTGGAAGGGGCCGGAGATTCGACGACGTAGTCCGTTTATGAGTGAGTCCACGTTCGTAGAAGATGAGGACGACGATGTAGGGAAAGAGGAAGAGGTGGCGGCGGAAGGGAATGGAACGGCGCGGAGGGAGTAAGGTCAGTTTTGGGATTTGAATATGGCGTTATGCATAGGTATGGGTATGGGCATCAGACTAGGGTTTGTAAAAATGGGTTGGATATGGAGAAAAACAGAGCATCCACAGTGATAGAACTGATAGAAAAGCATACACAATGCATTTGGTTGACTCAAGATATAGCATCGACATCCAGTTCGATGGATACTTTAGCTTATGGAATCGAAATTATGTATTATTATTGTTTATTGTTGTATATTCATAACATGTGCGAAGAAATTTAGTCCGATCCCTCTCCCGCTGCCGAAGCCTCCGAAGCCTCCTCGTCCACAATCACCACCATCCAAACGCCGACTTCCCCGTTATTCGCCAGCAAGGGCGTGCAATGTACCCATCGATCACGTCCCTCGGTATTGTAACGATTCACCCACTTGATGCGTGCCGTGACACTGCGGCCGCTCATCATCGCATGCAGCAGTTCATCGCGAATATCAGACGATCCGCCGATGCGGGAGAGAAACGACGACTGGAGCATTCCGGGGATCTGCAGGGACGGAGAGGTGAAGAGCACGCGAAGTGAGGGATACGGTCGGACCAGGAGATACTGAATAACGTTAGTTACAATAAACGGATACAAAAGAAGGGGAACTGTTGATGTTGACACATTACATACGTTCTCATAGACGCCCGTCAGCGATCCTCTGAAGAAAGAGGACTTGACCTCCTGACTTCGAACCATTTCTAGTTCCTGATTCTCCCACGAGGTGTCTGCTCGAGACCGCATGCGATGACTCCGGACACTGAGCCGGGGATCGATGACGGGCTGGAATAGATCGCCGCCATGATCCTGCACCATGCCTAGCTCCCGGGGACTGAAAAGCTCGGTGAGCTCGTGGAATTCGGTCTTGGGATGTGGTGGCGGCGGCGGCGGCGATGACTCTTCGCCCTCCTGATGGTTGTCATCCTGCGGAATGTTCTCTCCTTGAGTGCTCTCCCTTTGAATGGTATCCTGCGGAGGGTTCTCCGGCTCAAAGCTCTCCTGGAAATTCTCTTGCTGGATATTCTCTTGCTGAAGGTTCTGCTGATCGCGTTGCTGCTTGCGTTGCGTGCGTAGCGTCTGCAACGAATCCATTCGAGCGCCTTCCATTGCTAGCCCCGAAACGTCGATTTGTGCACCGATGAAATATCGGATGTGGCCTTGACCGTCGCAGAGCGGCGCGCATTGCAGCAGGTTCATGAAAGGAGATCCGTCTCGTCGGCTAGGAGGGTGGAGGGGATTATTAGAATCGGACCGCAATAACGACAGCAAGAACCAGCCCTGGACCAAGAGATGCACCTACTAGTTAAGAAAGAGTTCTGAATGATGTCGGCCTTGTTCGATGCCCTCTCGGATGCGCCGCACACTGTTGGGGTTTGTTTTGGGCCCTTGTAGGAATCGGCAATTCCGGCCGAGCACGTAGTCCATGCCATATTGTGTTGTGCGGTGGAATTCTACGCTGGTGTTAGTGACCGCTGGCAGCACGGAGACATGGCCCTCGTACCCTCGGATGCGAAGATAATCGGGTTATCGGGTCGCGATGGATCTGTCAGACAGAAAACTTCGGCCAGCGCATCCGACGTGCCCTGGAACTTCTCCGGGAGAGTTCCCCGGACTCTCTCTTCGACGATGTGACTAGTGATGGAGATGCATTTGGACGTGATAAACGCCGGGAGCTCCTCCGCAGTCAGTGCCTGGAGCGCATCCTGCACGCGCCGCTCGAGCGCTGGATTACTGGTGACCCCAACCAGCTGGTGGTGGCTGTTTTGATCGAAGGGTTGGATCGAAGGTGGCGGCACGTCGACGGATAAACGTACGAGGGAATTGGCGTATTCAATCGCCTTTAGGGCTTTGCAAGCGTTCAGGTAGTAGGTTAACGTGGATAGAGATCGCGGTCGCTCGTCTAGTAGGAATTCACGAAATTGCGCAAGGTATCGAGGGTCGTTGAGGATAGTGCGCATGTGGTCGAGAGAAAACATGACCTCGGCCATGCGCTCGAGACTGTGCAGCGGAGTGTCGCCGCCTTCATATGGCGCAATGAGATCGTACGAGAGTCCCTCTTCGCGCACCGGGTTAAACTCCTCAGAGCCATCGTACGGGTTCGTTTCCTGCAGCAGCGGCAACTCATTGACGAAGAAGTTCCGCCGTAAGGTCTTGACGGAGGCTGTGGGCGACACGCTGCCCGATTGTCGCGGTGGATGAGGAAATCCGGCGATGAGCTCGTTGCTTCTGTCGCGAAAGTCGTCGAGAGCGACGGTGGAAGCGTAAGAGTACAAGGACTCTGCATCGGTGCTGGTGTCCATCGTGAGCGCTGGAAGGGAGAGGGAAAAAGAGAACCGAACGAGTCTGGAACAGCAACTCACAGTGACTTTGTGTTGATTTGAAGAGTCTATAATTATATACTGCATTGTTTAGTATCTGACACCTCGAACGATCGCCTGTCATTGGGGATGGACGGCGCACCAACTGACAGGCAACGACGATCGATCGATCATCCGGCCTCAACAATGGCTCAATTCCACACGATCGGAGCGATCAGAACAGCGATGATGCAATGGTGCAGGCAGGCAGGCAATAGCGCAGTGGATCTTGGTTGTATTCGGACGGGGGAACGCATCTGTCAATCTATCGATCTATCCGTTCTATCTATCCATCCCAGGGTCATGTCGGTCGTAGCCACATATACACATCCCATTCCAGTCGGTTCGTGTCCTCGCGCTCACATCCCGCGCGCCAACAGGCCCTCTGCCTCCTCAGTGGGTTCGCCTCCTTCGGATTTCTGTTCCATCTCCAGTCGCTGCGCCATGGCGACTCCCTCGCGTCGTCCCTTGTCCGCGTTCACCATCCACACCAGCGGAATCGGCAGGACAATCAAGATTGCAATGAAGAAAAATCCCGTGCGCACTTGGCCAGTCGCGTCGACAAGCAGGCCCACAATGGCCGGTCCAATAAACGAACTCCCCTTGTCGGTCGCGGCGTAGAGCGCATAAAAAGCGGCTTCGCTGCCAGGGGGGATCAGCAGTCCGTAGAAGGATCTGCAGTACGATGACAGGCCACCCGAGACCACTCCATGGATAACTCCTAGCGGAAAAATTTCCCATGGTTGCTGGAGCCCGATTACGCCCCATTTCTTAAAGAGTGGGATGAACCCAAGCATGCCGTACAGTGGGATAAGTTCGAACAGAGCAACGCAAATTATGATCGTTTGGTTGGATTTGAGACTGAAGCGGCGCGACACAACTGGCCACAGGAATGCTCCCGCCATTCCAGAAAGCGTCACGGTGATTGACAACAACCCGATCAGCGTGGTGCTCATCTTCAGCTCCGTGCGCGCGAACAAAATGGCCGTGCCGGACACCGTGGCCATGGCGTCAGATATCAGGAACCATGCGACCAGGAATACCATCACCTCTCGAAGCTTCACTGCGATCTTGATGGTTCCCCACAACGACTTCCATGCAAAGCCGACCAGGCCCAGCCAAGCGCGCCACCGGCTACCATGCCCGCCCGCGGTGGATGAGTGCAACGGGGGTCCAGGGCGGTTGCGCAGCCACCGACGGGTCACTAAGGTGAAGGAAAACCACCATATTCCGACCAGCAGAAGAACGAATCGCAGAGGAAGAGTCCCCGAGACCTTCGAGATGGACGTCTTCGACAGCGTAAAGAGCATAGTGATGCTCAGGATCTGTACAAGGACCGCGGCGCAATAGCCCAATCCAACGCCTTTAGACGAGATTCGAGTCGATAATTGCAGTTCCGGCGACATTGACTTTGAGTCGCTTCCCTGTCCCAGGCCAGCAGTGCCATGAGTGCTCGAGCCGTGCTCGTCATCGCCAAACGAATCTCGGCGGGGAGAAAAGCCTGTATCTGAATCAAAATCGTGCATCTCCTCGGATTGCTTGGGCGCCTCTTGAACGGACGGATCGTTGGCCACCAGAACGGGCAAAAAGGAATTGAGGACGACAAACGATGAGCCAAGGCATGTGACGCCAATGACCACCAACAACGCGCCGAGCACAAAGACCGGTGGCGCTATGAGGACGAAAAGCATGCTAGTCATAGATCCGAGGAACCCAAATGCCAATAGCAGTGTTTTGCGGTTGTTCTCTACATGATGAAAAAGGCGGAGATTGTCAACGGTCAGCCTGTAAGAGTCGGGGGTCCAAAGCGATTATAGGCCATACCGTAATCCGCCAGAGCGCTGAATGACACCAAAGTCAATGCTTGGACCAGCACAGCCAGCGAAAAAGTGTACATGGCGAAACTGGCGGTGTTGATCTCAAGACCCAATAGTCCCACAACACATTGTTCATTGTCTGTCCCATCGCGCCGAAACATCGCCGGGGCGGTTCCATTTCCAGGAGCTGCTGAAGGAGAGTCTGGACCAGTACAGGGAAGGTGACTGGATTTAAGGGTTCCGTGTTCGCGTGCCAATTGTTCTAACGTGAGAGGTAGGAAAGAGCCTATAGTATGCAATCCCAGTGAGTATTTGGAGACAACGGATGCGAAAAAAAAGAGTTCAATGGAATTCATACCTACGCCACATACGGCGAAGACCTCTGCTGCAATACCATAGGCATACCATCCCAAGATCTCTCGTCGGCTCGTCGGAGTAGTGTCTTCGCCGGGATACCGCGGAGGACGTTGTCGGACATCCTCGGCGGGGGAGTCCGGTGTGGCCGAAGCATATGCCATGAGACTATAGGAGATAGAAGAGGACGGAGTGAGATTTTTTTGGAGAAAATTGAAGAGGCCTTCACAGCGGAATCATGGCAGGAGTTGACCGACTGCAGAGAGAAGGAAGGGAGCGAAGTGAGCCCGAAAGTCCCGAACATTCGCAGTATTATTCAGTTAATGCCTCAGGTCATGAAATGCTGACTCATCGGGCGGAAGTCGCGGAACGTTTGCCTTCGCTGATTGGCTCCCCGCGATCTGTAGAAGCATGGGCCAATCACCGGACTTGGCGGTAGCAGTGACATCATCGGTCATAGCGCAACGCATGTGGGTCGAGGTACCGGTACCTTTGATTGTTGGCCTCAGGTGTCGCCCCGTGACTGCTGAGTGCTGACCCCTGGCAGCCTGAGGCGTCAAGGTCCAGGATCCCCTTTCCCCAATCATCCTCGATCATCCTTGATCAATCCACGATCAATTTCTCTGTATCCACAACTAGGACGCCCCGCACCGACTCGTCAATGTCAAGGGGTAGGACGATTCCATCGGCATTTAGGCCAAATATAGCACTCCCATTGTTTGCTCCCAGATCTCCTCTAGTCTTTAGGAGTACTCCCTGATAACGCGACTGCCCTTATTCGTCCTGAGTTACATTTTGAGATCGTCTGAAATCACCGTGGCACCAGAAATCCTAAACAATGCACGAAAATCCACTCATAATCTCATTCCAGTTGTCTTCCACGTCTAACTCAACTCACTGAGAGAATTAGTGATTGTCACTCACGATAGAATGGCTTCCTTACCTAGTGGGATATAAGCTCTATTTGTTCCATGAAAAGGGCAAATCGGCGGATGGTCGACTCGACGGAGGACTCACAAGTTCGCAGTGGACCCGTTCGATGTGACTGTGCATTGTCCTTCGATAGTGATCGCAGAACCTCTCGGAGGGCTTTTAAAAGATCCACAAGTTTGATTAGATTGCAACTGAGGAGCATCCGCACGAGGACTCCTGAATCTTCTTCATCCATCTCCATCTCGCCGAGCTGAACTTTGCTCCGGATGCAGATGAACTGCGGCAAAGGTTGTTCAAATGCTAGCGCACCGGGATCAAACAGAGTGTTTTGACGCGAAATCCCGTATGCCAAACATATGGCCTCGAAGAGACAAAGACACTGCTCCGCAAGGGCCGGGATGGTAACAAAAGACGACGGGGGATGGTTTCTGCAGTCCTTACACTGGAGAATCGTCTGGCCTTGGCTATAAACACGATGAACCAAGTCAAGGATTGTCCCTAGCTCCACGACAGTGTGGACATTACGAAGCTCCGTCAGGATTTGCAAGGAGTTCATGGAACATTGGCAGGTTTCTTCGGTCTCCATCGGCGCAAGAGAAGCATGAACAGGATCTGTGACCTCTTCGCTCTGTTGATGGAGCAGAGATAGTCTCATGCCTCGTCAACTCCCATGATACATTCTGCAATTACTTATCTTAGAATGCTAGCGCCAGGTACATCTCGAGCTAGCAATCACGCAGACTGGTCCTCTTTTGGAACAGGTAAGCTCGACCTGAAGGGTGCAACATCTCCATAGTCTCATTTGATCCCTCCTGATCCCAGCCCAATAAGAACCAGGCATCGGACGGTTGGTGACGGATAGTCATGGAACGCCGCCTCACATTAACTTCGTCCCCGGCGCAGAATACAAGGCCTGTTGGTCCGTTCATTATGGGGCCAATGCCTCGTGAAACACTGGAAATCATCGTAAGGTTGCACGGTTGTCGATAATTACGAGCGACGTCTGTCACTAGCATGGCCTACATCTGGCAAGGCAGGAGGGGAATGGTCACATTGGGCGTCACAACTAACGTGTGTGGCCCTCCTTTGTCGTTGCCCGACCATTTTGAGCATTCCGTTGGTAATGGGAGCTTTTCACTTACTAATGGTGTGAAAAGCTTGACAATCTATGCTTTACACTACTGGACGAGCCTAAGAGCATGACAAGAATCAGCTGCGCCTCGAAAACCCCCTTTCTGATGGAGCGTGATAAATGAGTATGACCATACAGCATAATTCCAGCTAAAGGCAAAACCGTATGCGCCTTTCATTAGCTGGCCCCATCATCACCCTGTGAGCATCTTCATTTTCATCATAACCAACCGCAGTTTCCGATCCGTCTCCATAATCATGATTAACTTGCCTTGTGATGCGGAGACGGCCAGCATCTCCTGGGTACAAAATTTAATGCGGCGAACAGTGCCTAATAAACCAGACAATCTCGCATGCAACACCCGATGAACAAAGGAGAATTTTTCATCTGATGGAACACAAAACCCACCCACCAGCAAAGGACAAGCTTCGACTTGCATATTGAAATGATTTCCGGTTTCTCTTTGCCGTCTACCTTTAGAAGCTCGCGAGCCATCGGGTCTGCTATCTTGGGGTTGAGTGTCTTGCTGCTCATGGAATACCCCCTCTACCAATCCATTCTCAACCGATGTGATTCTTTCAAGTGTTCCAACCAGACTGTCAATACTCACAACAACAACCATGAGAAGATTGACCATAGTTTTTGAACAGATACCGCACCGGAGGACCGTTTCGGCCAATTGCTGCAAGACTCGCTGGCAGCTGAGGATCGACTCAATAGTAATGGTTGATCCCGCGCGGTATACAAGCAAATTCATCTGCATGAGTTCCTGAACTGCTTGCTCATGGCACTGACACTGGTATTGACGAGACCCACCCGCGTTTAATATGTGAGGGTCAACCCTGTGCTCATCGGGCGGAAGATTATACTCGTGCATACGCCTTTGAGCCTTGTCCCGCGACGAAAACCCCAGGGTTTCGCTTTCGACGGACGGCCTATTCGGGAACGCCTCGACTGAGCACGAGAGGGTTTGCGCCCATGGTGGGTGTTCATTCATCGGATGGCCCATAAATGTCGATGACGGGAGCCTGGGCATAGCTTGGACACAGGCGGATCCCTCATCATTTGCCACGAGAACATTGCCTGTGGGATAGCAGTCCATCAGAAGCGGCTGAGTATGCAACCGCGTGGAAGGGTCTGCAGCGCCTATTGGAGTCGACACGTCGTGGATATCCAATTGAGAAGCAGGTATGACATTTTCTGGCTGTGCGTTGTTGTTGACACACATCGTCTGAAGAAGACTGCAGTCTGAATTCATGTCTGAGGGCTGTGTAGGGACAAACTCCTGCAGCCAACTATCGGAGGATAAATCGATAATGTCCGAGGCTGCATTTGAGTCGGACTATTAGCCACGCCAATCAATAAACCATGGAAAGGCACAACAAACCAGGAAAAGGAGAAGTCTGATCTGAATCCATAAAGGACGGGGCTTGTAAGCCTACATCCTCGAAGGACAAATTATCAAGCATGCTATCCTCAAAGGGGTTTTTATCCAAAGTCATTTCTTCCATTGTACTCTGGAAATATCTCTCGCCTTGGTCTCTTTCTAGTGCGGCCTCATCTTTGCTTTTGCTTTTTTTAGGACTTCGAACTCTTCGATTTGCCTGATGGTGAGGAAACATTGACGACTCTTGGCTTAGAGAATGAGTGTCATGCACAGGCTCTCTCTTCTTCGCCGGCCTCCCTAGTCGGCGAGACATGCTGTATATGCACTCGATCTTATGCCTTTGGCATCTTCGACATGATGGTTTTTCATGACTGCATCGTATCTTGGCTTGCTGACAAGCATTGCACGTCGATCTCACCTTGACGCTTTTGGGCAGAGCGTCTCCAGATGACTTTGGGAGTCTATCTCGATTCATAGTCCAGGAGTTCGTGAAGGTACAATGGGAGCCTCGGAAATAAACCATGGGCAGAGTAAGAACAGAGATAAACAGACAGTTACTTTTTCACCTGACTGGACCATGTCCACGGTGAACAGAGGCCTTTTTGAACCCACGGACCAACGCTTCCAACTACCACGAGTAGCGGAGGCGTACCCGGAAGCATCACATCTGCACCAGTGTAGCAATAACACTGCATGGTTCTTAGACCCCAATGGTTACATGAAATATGCTCCCCGTCTAGTCCCCGTCTGGGCTCTTCGCCTGCAGTCAGCTGCAAGGCGTTACGCAAGAACAGGCATAGAAGCAGAAGCACAGCGAGCGCGACACGGCTATGGCGAGCACGGTGACACCTTCTCGACGCCGATCAGTACGACTACTACCAAGATTGAACGAACCGTTCTTTCCTCTGTTTTCCATACTGATCACTTGTCTGGAGGCCCCAGCTCTAGCCACCAGAAAGCTGATCCCGGCACCGACATTGTCTACAGGGTCCGACTGCCTAGTGGGACATCAAATCTTTATTACTCCTGATTTTGGGGCTACATTATTTCAAATTTGTTTCTCCATCCCGTGAACTATTTCATGTGAGGTTCGTCCCACCTCACCCCTTTCCCATCCTTCTGGATACTCTCACATGCGGTGGCGTTGTGTTGGGCTGGCCTCCGCCACGACCTAGACCAACCACGTCTTTTGTGATACATTAAATGTACACCACTTCGAAGCCTATTAGAAATTCCATCCGAAGCTGGCGTTTTATCGGCTTTTCACCGGGTTGTGATTGCCGTTTCAAATAACATGCGGGTGATAGTGTAAATCATCCCAGATTGTGGCTAGGGAAAGAGTTCTCTAGAACCACAAAACAGCCAGTCAAACGAGAGACGATGGTGACAGCCGAGATGTATGCCGCTGAAATATCAATTGTCTGGAGATGACCATTCTTCGCACCAGGTCTAATCCATTCTTATCTCGGCCCAAGAGCCAGATGGGCAAAGGGTGCAAGTCTATCCAAAGAGATGATCAAAGAAGAGACAATTTGTTATTCATATTCAACATCTCGCTAATTCCATGGTATTTATTCATCGTCAAAATCATCACCAATGCTCCCATTTTCACAATTCCCTCTTCACTGCGGCATGTTTGCGAACGGCTTGGCCAAGTGCTCCTGGCAGAAGGGCAACTTGCTCACCGTCCAGATCTCGGTGTCCTTCGATTACACGTTAGCCTCAGGATCCACGCTGACGTCGCACCGGATGATTCGTGGGCGAAAGCCTCTACTCACCGGCTTGAGGTTCTTCTTGAGCTCCGTGTCCAGCGTGCCCGCCTTCAGGGCAATGATCTCGGGGGCAGCATCGGGGTCATGGGCAATGGGGGAGCCACATTCGGAGCAGAAGATGCGGTGGACGTCAAAGCCCGAAGATCCCTTACTGGAGTACTTCTTGGTGGGACCGTTGATGGTGAGCTTTTCCTTGGGCACGACGGTGACCAAGGCTGCAACAGGTTAGTCAGACGACTTTCTACGAGACAAGAGAATTCACGTACAATAGGTTGAACCACTCTGGCGCTGGCAGTCGTCACAGTGGTCGTAGGCCGTGATCAACGGCTGATCGACGTCAACCGTGTAGGTGACGGCTTTGCAGAGACAGTGACCGGAGAGAGGCATGATTGGTAGTAAGTATTGGCAGCGGAAAAGATCCTGGTTGATAGCTCACAAGGTGCTCAGGACTTGAGGACCCTTGAGGCTGCAGCGATATATTTATTTCCCATGCTCGCCCTGCGCTCTGGCCAGCGTCTCGGGTGGCAGAATTTGTCATGGCTGCAGCGTTTGCGTCACGGCGAAACTCTGATTTCACCGGATTCCAAATCTTCGAGCATGGATCCACCCGCCACTATCCGGTATTTGGAATATTGTTTAGTGGTTTCTTTGTCTGTTCATTTGGCGGAGACTCAGGATGACGTGAGCGCAGCCAGTCAATGCGCGCTCAGTCCGACTTGGTGGATTGGACTTATCTGTCGCATGCTCCGGCAGCCTACAGGATCACCTTATCACCTTTCCCGGTCGGCGATATTTGGAGATGATGCCCGAGAGGGGCATTGTCATTTACGGAGTATCAATTCCAAATAGTGCATCCTCTCAGCCCCAGTGGGGTCGAGCTCAGCTCTCAGCGAGTGCCCGGATGAATGGACCTCTCTCTTTCTCCACGGTCGCAAAAACCTCCCATCTGCAGTGGCTCGGGAAATGATCCGGCCCATGAATAATGTCCGTGATATCAATTGGTGGGGCGCCACCATGCGCTGGCAACTTGTTTGGTTCTGTGGGATATAGTCAGACCTGGAGGCATCCAAGTCGGCAGCAATGAGCTGAACCATACATCATCGGCTGCCAGCGATTTGCGGAGAACCTACACCAAGAACAATATGCCCCTCCCTTCCAAGCCTTGATAACTGGGATTATCTGGCGAGGGGTTCTCGAATCCCGCCACTTGGTCGGTCCCCAGTCCCCACTCGAACTAACCACGCCTCTAACCTATAATCCAAGCTCCAGGAACCCCTCCACTTGGCACTTGGACAAATGGGTGCACCTACACGGTGACAAGTCTGGCCTGACTTTACGAGGATTACCAAACAAGACCGGTCGGTCGGTTGTCAGGTCACTTCGGGGACCACTTCGGGGGAGACAGAATTTCCCCTTTGTGTCCCATACACGGTGGTGGTGGACCGTGAGCATTCTGGTGAAGGTGACAGTGATCTGATCAGATAGGCCAAATTGGATGATTTGGGTCACTGCACTTGAATGGATCGGGAGACTGCAGTGGTCCTGGGGTAGGACTGTAAACCGTGCTTCCGGATGTAACAGTTCTTTATAATTCCTTGATTCCATTTTAATCTTCGTCTCTAATTTTCCATGAGCTCTAGAGGCTCCAGAGCAGGGGTATACGAAGGGTGGATAGAGCTGAGTAGAAACACGTGGATCCATCAGTCATACTGTGACTGGAGCTCTCTGTACTTCAATGCAGACGACATGCTAATATGAATTTCTAATTTGCATGAATCCGAGCAATGGGTCGGTCTCCAAGCATTTTCTCGACGGGAGATACGATGGCTACTGAACAGTCATCAACTAGACAACATTGGGATTTGCTGTATTTACCCACTGTGTGTTGATTTTTACTTCCATGGAAAACGAATGATCCAAGCGCAAGGGGTCTCCTAGTAGCTTGGATCTACTTAGATGTACCTGATGCCGGGACCCCTTCGCAATGGGAGTGATTTATATAGCATGGCCATATTACTAGCCCAGCCTATTTTCTCAATTCATTGTTTAATAGACTACGTATTTATACACTAAATCAAGACACCGATGAAACTAGATGCGAATACAGCCCTGTGGGGAAGGGCAATCTTGCAGATTGAGAAATATGTCTAACAACCAGGTGGCAGTAGCCAATTTCAAAGATGATTGACTATAATGCCTCTAAAGCCTAACCCAAAAAGTAGTCAAGATATCCCGCGTAAAAAAAAAAAAAAAAAAAAAAAAAAAAAAAGAGAAACTATTAAGAACTAGCATATCCCCCGAAATGAATGTTATTGGCTAATAAACCACTATGTTGAGAAGATAGATATATACCGACAAGCAAAACTTGTTAGCTCCAGGGACTAAATTGTGAAGGACCTCGCATGTCTATTCACGCTACCCTTACAGGCTGTAGCGGTCCTTCAGGTTGCGCCACCAGTCACGGGCCATCCAAGCGTCGAACTCGGTGATCTCAGTGGCGCTGCCAGCAAGCATGATGAAGCTGTCCTGGCCGGTGGGAGTCCAGTCATAGAAGTCTGTAGAGGATGTTAGAAACCAATTCACGAAGAAGGAAATACGCGAGGCGTGAGGGGTGAGGAGATGTACCGTCCAAGGCAAAGGTGTGGCCGATCTCGTGCAGGTAGATGTGCTGGTTCTCCTCGCCCACGCTCTCCATGAAGTAGGACTGGCCAACGCGCTGGCCCCAGTCACCACCGGCACCACCCTCGAAGTCATCGCTGAGCCACAAGCTCTGGTCTGGAATGTTGTCAGCCTTTGCAGCATGATAAGCACGAGAAGAAGTCACTTACCATAGTGGCGGTCAGCGCCAGCCTCGCAAGAGCTGTAGTCACCGTCCTGGTGGAAGAATCGTCCACACTTGGGGTCACACTCGGGGATGCCGTCGGCGTCGGTGGTGGAGTAGACCTCGATGCCGGAGGTGTCGCCTTCGAGGAGGGACTTGTCCTTGACAGCGTAGCCGACGACGTTGACGTCAACGGTCTCGTAGGGGAAGCCGTCGAAGCCGGCAAGCTTCTCGATCCACTTGTTGAAGCCCTTGCGAACGGCGGTCTCGATGCTCTCACGCTGGCTCTCGGTGACCGACTTGGTCGAGTCCCAACGCACGCAGTAGTTGATCTTGCCCTTGCCGTCGATCACCTGGTCGAAACCGTAGTTCTTGAAGCCGAGGGGGTCGGAGTAGGTGTCCATCTGGTGCTCCCAGACCTAGACATTGAATGTTAATATCGCGTGTGGCTTTGAGATAGCAAAAGTAAAATCTGCTTACCTCGTTCAGAGGAGTAACCAAGTCCGAAGGAGGGTTCCAGGAAGTGGTGTTGGCACGCTTAACGCCAGCAGCATGGGCGCCAGCATGGGGCTGGGGAAGGGCCGAACCAAGGCTGGCCAGCAGCGGGACGGCAGTGAGAGAGAGGGCGGCCTTCATTGTGAGCTGGGAATAAGATTATACAAAAAGAAGAGATTAACGAAAGAACAATGAGTGAAAGATTGAAGAAGCTAGTCAATAGCTGGAAAAATGAAGGAAGATGGGGATGGAGTTCTCAAGCCCCGCCGTAGGCCGCTGAAGACATTGAGCTTTATATGTAGCATGATTTGCGAACGGAGTCTTCAACCCATATAGACTGCCAAGCCAAGAAGCCTTCAGGGACAGGGAATGGAATTCCACTCCGTGCTAAGTCTGATACAACACGGTTCTGGGCGCTGTGGGCATGGTGTCTCGAGGGTCAGAGGGACGACGATTCGAACCCATGGGCGCGAATTCCCTCCAACCAGCGCACTCGCAAATGCCGCATGGGCAGAATACCGTTGGGGAAATTCCCCGAGTCGCAGAGGCAGGAAGTGGGGGGCCAAGCAATCGTGCTGGTCTTGGTATGACCCCGACTCACTCTCTAACCTGCCAAGCCGTCAATCGCTATATCAAAAACAGTCCGTCTCCGCCATTTCGGTGGCATGTCCATATCGTGCAAGGGGGCCAGTCCTGGACCTCTCGTCAGGCAGAGTGATATTCAACACCACACTGTCACATCCTCCGCAAATTGGGTATGGTCTCTATGAAGGGGTTAGTTTGAACCTTGAAGTTTCATAGTTGAGTGCTTAATAGGGACTGGCTAACCGTCGTACTCGTATTTTTCTCTGAGCCCTGGCCGGTTCTCCTATATATAGAAGAGATTGGCAGGACCTTGGTGGAATCCAGAGCTAGACCTGGGGTATCATTGTCCCAACGGATCTAGGTCTCTTGCTTCTTGTTAGGATGGGAAGTAGGCTATATACAGCCTAGGGCTGTCGAGTTGTGTGCAGGAGAAGTTGGCGGCACAGCGGCCTGAGGCGACACGGACGGCAGCCCGGTACCGGCATTTTGGGCCAATCAGAGCAGGCCGACCTCGGACCCGCTTGCCCGGCTGCACATACTAGATTACCTAATCAAACACACGTCGTGCATTAAGATTTATGCTATTTATGTCGTGATGCCTGAGGACGAACTCGTAACCATCACTTTTCAGCGCCAAACAAAACCGGCTCGGAGATAAAAGGACAACGACATTATCTCCGTCCTCCTTCCCGCTGCCGCCCACGCGTTGCTCTCCCAACTCTGCCTTCATCTTCCTTCATGTGCTGCCATATGGCTATGCGATGACCCACGATGCCCATCGAGACGGTCAAAGATGGATAATGACACAGAAGGGTATACTGCTCTTACACGCTCGTCCTGTCTGTACTCGGAAACTCTGCTAACCCTTGATCCAAGCACGCCCAAACGAGGCAAAAAGGCCTGCACGCAGTGTAGGCAGCAAAAGGTAGCGCGGAACCGTGTCCACGCCATTGATATGATCCTTGCTCTTTGACACCCGCGCAGGCAAAATGCGATGCCTATCTGCATTCGGATCGACCTTGCACTAGATGTGTCAAGATGAAAACTCAATGCGTCATCTCCGATCCCTTTCGAAGAGAGCATAAGCGCCAGTAGGTTAACTAGTCTATCTCATCTCCTCAATCGTGGAGCTGATAGAACACGAGACGACTATCTGAACTGGAAAATGAGACCGATGAGCTGCGCCGAAGGCTGGGGTCCTCTCAAAGTACTCAACCTCAGTCGTCCCCGATCGCAATGTTGACGGCTGCCGCGGAAATGGAAGCTCATGGTACGGGCAATAGGGCTGGGGCCCACCCAACTCCTCAGTCTCAGGCGCCAGCTTCGGCCTACGCGCCGCAATTGTCGCCTCATCCTCCGGTCTTCATGGGTTCATCTCTGTCTACCTCGGAAATAGCCCCGAGAGAGCGGGTTCTAGGCGCTTCCGAGCCACGGAGTTTGAACAACGTCCATATTTCTGGGGTTGAAATTGATGAAATGTTTCTTCTGTATGTGTGCACCGTCGAGGAGATATGTCTTTTCAGAGAGGACTGACAGTCATTTGAAGGTTCTTTGATGAGCATGCACCCTTTTTGCCCATACTAGACCCTCAAACAAAACCGGACTCCTATTATGCGCAGTCACCGTTTCTCTTCTGGGCTATAATTGGGGTTGCGTCTAGGACCTACCCACGAAACCCGACGCTTTTCTCGGCTCTTGGTCAGAGCATCTTAGAAATGGCCATGGTGTCGATCGTGTCAACGTCACCACAGTGGCACACCATCCAAGGATTCCTGATCATTCTCACGTGGCCTTTTCCCAAGGGAAATATTAAACCAGACGTGACATTCGTACTGGGAGGAGCATTGCTGCATATGGCCATGCAAAACGGACTTCACATTCCAATGTCCAGTCACGAATTTGCGAAAATCAAAATTCCGACTCCATCTGAGGCGGATCTAATTAGGCGCTCGGAACTGTGGGCTCACTGTTTCATCGCATATCAGCAGTAAGTTAACCGTTTCCCGCGCAAATATTGTCCTGCTCAAGATGAGTAGATCATGCAACAAAAAAGGACTGGCCCCTCGCCCGCTCAACGATTTAGAGCCGGATCCGGGGCAACGTCAAATTCTTTTCAGAAAAATCTCACCCGCTCTGGTTTTGCATCTCAAAGCCCACGACCTCGTCACGCGGTGTAGCACGGCCATGACGGAATTCGGCGTACGAGTCATGTCTCGGGAACAGGAAAGAGGCCTAGACGTTCTGTTGCGATCGCTTGAAAGTCAAGTCAGCAGCCTAGAGGCAGAGACTGATTCAGGTGATGCCTCAACTTCACTTTAAGTTGGCGCGAATTGACTTTTGGTAGACGACCAAAGATTTCATACCACCGTCTGTCGCCTACACGTTCAAGTCTTTAATTTCTTCAAGACCCACGCCCCAATTTCTGAAGACTGCGTTTCTCGAATCATGGCCACTTCTTGTGCTATAATAGACTACTTACAGAGTCTAAACCAAAGATTGTCAAGTCTCGGCACGGCTCCTACTCAAATGCTGTTTGGCTTAATGCTAGCCTCAAGCTCCCTCCTGCGCATACTCAAGGGTCCCGCAGTGAACGGCCTAGATATCGAAAAGGCCAAAACATCATTCTTCACCGCGATCAATCTAGCACGGCAAATGTCGACGGATCAACACGATGGCGCAGCAATGCTCGTGACTATTATGAGTCAGCTTTGGAATAGCACGAGGGTCTTTCGCAAATCTGACAGTGGTGAACACACCGCTCTTCGAATCCGCAGCCGACTTGCTGCAAGTATTGTCATCGACGTGGTCTGGTGGTGGCGGGAAGAATTTGATCCTCAGTGCCGCCAAATAGCTTCTTTGCAGGGAACCACATCTGATGGTATGTTTGCAGCAGAATAATGTACGATTACAGTCAAGGCTGACGCTAACCGATTCCTAGGAACTACATATAATCGTGACAGCCTCGGAACCCTTACAAATCCGTCACATGGGCTCGTTGAAAAACAAGATCCCATACATTTTGATGACCAGTTCATTGCCGAATTTGAGTGGGCACTGGGAGATGATGGAATGCTTTCTTCTACGGAGCCATTTGACTTGGCATGGCCATCTGCTGGTCCTGTTTAACAAGCCGAGACGCGCTGACGTTGGTGACATTATGGTCTTTCGGACTAAAATGGATTTGACTGCCTCGAAGGGCACTATCTCAGGTCAAGTTACATCCTTTGCTATCACGCGATCAATTATGGTTTCTGTGTAACATGCCATGGATGCCACATTACGGACGATTGGACATCCCAAAGGATTCCTGGGACCCATCGGAGGAAGTGACCATATGGAATGGGCTGATCGGTACAAACTTCGGGCTTTGTACAACTCATCCCGCGTCAATGAATATTTCCGACCCGCACTAAGACCATGGCTGCACATTACTGCATTCCGCTGTCAGATTCTCTGCTGTGCCTTGCTTGCTTATGAAACAATCATAAAGCGGAATTTTGGACACTGTCCATTGGTCCATCAGTATCTCAAGCATCCTTGGAAGCGTTATCTGACTGAATCTGACTACTGGGTATATATTGGGTTGATGTTGCGTGGGCCAAAGCGATGCCATACAAAACATTCAAGGTGTTTGGGATCAAATGCAATCTGAACCCCGGTTCGTTCAGCAAGAACGGCGCTCGGGGTGTTGCAGCAGTTCCGCCAAAAGGGCATCGCCGGCATCGATCTTGGCTTTGCGCTCTTCCAGAACTTTCAATCCGGCGATCTGAGCAGCTCTGTGAGCGTCAAGCGTCTGCCTCTAATTTCGTGTATACCTCGTTAGTAAGCACAGACATCAGAGAACTAGAAAAGGTATAGTAGACACTCACGAGTTTGTTTGGGTCCGTAAAAGATCCGATTGAAAGTTTCTTCATTTTGCGGACAAGCTCCTTCTCACAAGCCTTGTCGTCATTGGCGGCTGCGGCGGATGGTGACCATCTTTCGTCTCCACGGCCCCGATGGCTATCACCTCTATCAGCGAGGTTTTTAGAAAACATCCCGTTTTCCTTCTCCAGGACTAAGTCCTGATACCATCTTGGAACAAAGTCCCCTTTTCCAATTTACCAACGACGGCTACCGCAAGCACGGCAATAAACCAGATGCACTGCGCAGGCTAACTGCTTCTCTGCTTGCAGAAGTTGAGCTCCCGATTATAGGCCTGTACTAGGCTCTAGAGTCCTGCGGTATCGTGATACCCTTTTGATGGAAGGCCATTTCCTCATTGTATATGGTCATGATGCAGTGCCATATTCGAGTACTAGGTCTCATGTATTGTACTATCCGGCCTGGCAAAGATGTTAGTATGGCACTGGCATCACAGCAGGTATGAGGTCAGATAATGCACTTACCAAGAGCTCCTTGGAGCTGTATAGCTCTTTTCAGGACATCAGAGAGCGGACGCTCTGCGACCCGGGGAACTTTGAGCTCGCCCACATAACATATGTGTGTGCATGTTGATGTTGATGTGTGTGTGTGTGTGTACAATTTGTGCTTGGAAATGCCGCTTTTTAGTCAACTTGAAGGATCTTGGACATTGTCTCGAAGCAAGGGCTCATTCGAATGAGATAGAAGGGCTTGCAGCGAGGACGATTTGAAAAGGAAGATGAGTGTTGGGTTGAGAAATAGTCAGATTCAAGTCTACGAAGAAGTAACTGATAACTATGCAGTTAATGATTGATCTAGTATGGTGAAGGTGAATGGAAGGTCTACATTTATAGTGATAAGGAAATCAGTGAAAGCCTCAAGATGAATGATGACAGGGCAGTTAGTGAAAGCCTCAAGATGAATGATGCAGAAACCACTTGCATTTCTGATATCAATTCCTAAAGCTCGTCTTGGCTTCACCTAATACAAGATTAGACTACTGAACCCCAGCACCACGGTAAGGTGCGAGCTTATCGCTGGGGGGAACCTGTGCAAGCATAGATTCCTAGCCAAATGTGGAACTCCACATTTGTATGGTACTACTAGAATAATCCAGGCGCGGTAACCCACGCTGTATCTAGACGAGACGCTCAAAGAACCCAACCTGAATTTTCCAGATCGGCGATGGCGACATCATAATCGACCTTACCCCTAGGAGCTATAGCCAACCCCCATGAGCGCAGAACCAAGGGGCCGAAATCAGTCGGAGTATGAGATGAATACCCACGAATACCCGTATTCATTGGCTCAAACGGTCCGTAGATATAACTTTTTAAGCTCAAGTTAGAGGAGGAACCGAAGGAGGTCTTCTCGGGTAGAAGGATACTTACAGTCTTCGATCGCCTTCATCCCAGTAAAGATTCTGGAGGCCCTGGCTAGGCATGTCAACCCCCGCAAAGAGCATTTCTCTTTTTAAACCAAGAAAAGTTTATTAGAATCTTAGAGTAATCGAGGGGGTGTTTAAGCACATACCTATACGCATCATGAAAAGCAGTGCGTATTTCCTCCCTTTCTTCGGAAGAGAATTCCCAGTAGGGTCCGTCGGACTGATTTCTCCCATCTTTACGGCGGTGGCAGCAACCATCACCAAGAGGGATTCCAGGGACTGCAGTGTAAACCAGGTATTGGATACTGCCCTCTGGAACAAAAGCAGAATCACTGGCTTGTTTTGCCTGCATATGTCCCCTCAGCCTCGGAGTATATTTTGAGGAAGTTTGGTCGAGAAGCTCATAGGCCCGGATTTCAAGACTCATGCCGAGGGAGAATTTTCCGGTTGCCTGCTTCACGCGGTCAGACTCTGGCAAATATTCAGTTCCCTCGTAGGGAATCTGCATGTCCACCTGCATAACCCCTTTCTGAAGTGCAGATTCCGAGTTGGTACACTCGAACGTTGCACAAGCAGAAGGTGGTTCAAGAAACTCCTTCGCGTCTTCTTCGTCGAAAGGATAGGCTTTTTCGTTGATTTTTCGTGTTATTATCCACGTAGAGGAAGAAGGGGAAGAGGGGGAAGAGAAGGTGATGGATTTGGAAAGCCAGAGCTTTTCCGGGAAATAAGTTGCAGGAGACATGGTCGATGTGTAGGAATGACGATTTGGTTTTCGAAGAAGAGATGGGAGGAGAGGTAGAGTGGGAAAAGAGATGGAATGAGATGGAATGTGAGAAAAGAGACGGAGGGAGTAAAGTGGGAAAAGTCAAGGAAGAGAAGTAAAGGAAAGTAGGAAAGTGTGTGGGAGGTCTGGGTCACATGCAACTCAACGCTAGTAGGCACTTCCATGGTCATTGTTTATTCCTGTACACGATATGATGGAACCCCTACGAAATCTCAACCCGCACGGAAATAGATCCCTTCTTCGTCTGCGGCACGATCAGATCATGATCATACGAGATATCCTCCAACCCTGTCTCATACAGTTTCGCACGGGGGATGACGCGCAGCGCCAACAACGCCGTAAGCAAATACACCTCGCAATAAGCCAAGCTAATGAGACCCATGGTTAGAACCAATCCATACGACAACATTGTATCACAAGGAGACGATGGAAATGAACTTACTTCTCTCCAATACACGTGCGACTGCCCTTCCCGAATGCAATCAACATTCGCTGCAGCTTATAGTTCGGCTGACCGTCGACGAGCCACCGCTCGGGGATAAACTCGTCGGGGTTGGGAAAGAGACCCTTATCCCAGTGGTTGATCATGGAGGTCATGCCAATCGGGGTACCTCGGGGAATGACCCATTTGATGTTTTCATCGTGGCGGCTCTTGTAGACGAGGTCTTCGTCGCGTGCGATCCGCGCGGAGCGATGAGACACGCCGGGCATCATGCGCAGGGACTCGTGAATGATGGCCCAAAGGTAGCTGTGTTTTTCGAGCTCCGTCCACCTGAGATTGCCGGGGTCGATGTCCTGGAGATCTTCCATCAGGCGGGTATAGATCGCAGGCTGGGCGAGGAGGTGGTACGTGATGACTGTGAGTATTGCCTGCGCGTTGGTCAGAAACAGAAACCCAGAGATTGATTCAGGCTTGATTTAACACACCGCAGTGGTCTCCGTGCCCGCAAACAGAAAGTTGAATCCCTCTCCAGAGAGGCGATACAACGTCTTCTCCGACTCGGGCAACATATCCGACTGGACGAGTTCCGAAAAGACACGCGCATTCCCCGGCTCTCGCAGCGCCGCCTCCACATACCGTGGGATAACAACATTCGTCTGATGCATAACCGCCTTGATATCCTCTCCCAGGTAGTCCGACAACATAGGCAACACCTGCGCCAACTTTCTTACGAGCACATTATGTCGCATCACATACGCACTGCGAGAGAAGCTCTTCACCCAGGTCGCAAAGTTCGGCTCCCAGCCCTCCTGCGCGACGAACCCCATCGGCTCGCCAAACGCATACTGCGAGATGACGTCCGCCGTGAAGCAGTTAAACGCGTTCTTGACGTCGAACGGGCCCTTCCCTGCCGCCCGCAGCATCTTGTTCACGGTGAGCTGCGCGAACTCATTCACCTCGCTCTCGAGCTTCAGCATCTGCTGGCGGGAGAAGAAGCGCGACACCGCGCCATTGCGCATGCGATGCAGTTCGTGCGGGACGGTCGTGAACCCCGTTGCGGTCGCGGGCCCGGCGCCGATCATGTTCAGTTGGTGCTGCCATTTGTCGCGGACGCGGCCGGGGCCGGCGTAGATCTCGTCGGTGAAGAAGGGGTCAGAGCAGTGTAGCTCGTCGGGGTTGATGCGTACGATTGGACCTGATGGCATCTTGTCAGTGTCGCTTTCATGCAGTGGCTCGATTCCTGAACGTACCATAGCGTTCATGCATGCGGCGGATCTCATTTGTATACCTTCCCAGACGTATCCAGTCGTAATAAGCCTCGTAGACGTAACTAGCAGCGGCTCGTTTGGGGCCGGGAAATTGGTGTAGCGGGTGGAGAGGAGAGAGGTTGTACAGGATTAGCAGGATGTGGTAGCCCATCCAGAGACCGGTCAGATAGACGATGGTCAGAGCTACCTTGCCGCGATCCACGCTCCAGTCAATTTGGAATCCCATCCTGCTCGACCGGTATGCTCGCCACAGAGCAGGTATGGCAAAACCTCCGGGGGCGAACAGGTTTTAATTCAAATTTCCTGAGGAGGCTGATTAGCATTAGACCTGGTGTTAGCGCTAGCCCGGCGCCCATGACGTGGCTAGTCTGGGGAACTAGTTCTGCAAGGCTACAAGAATATGCCATGATAGCATCGTGAAACCGTTATTGGGCCAAGCGGTTGGCGCCGCCTTAGTTCCTGGAGAGACGGGCTATCTCGATCTAAACCCGTCCTAGTTATAACTGGCAGTGCTGGCGAGAGAGACGGAGAAATTATCCACCATACACAGACTTCGAGTAAGAACCTAGTTTGCATTTAGGTATAATGCTTATAGTATATGCAAGTGTGCTATATGTCATCTGTCATCACCAGGAATATTCCTCCCAAAGTCATACCGATATCTTGTCCTACCATGCAGATTCATGTCCTCAATGAGGATGATAAAAAGAAAGAGAGAAAGGGGAAAAACATGCACAAGATCATGCGGCTTCCAAAATCGACATCATGCAGAAAGAAAAGGCGCCAAACCCTTTCCGTATAACAAAACAAGAGAATAAAAACACCAAGAACAGAAGCCGAATGGAGTTTAAGCAACCACTCGCTTCTTCATTCCCACCTGCAAGCCCAACGGCTTGCGCAGGAAACCCTCGCTGGTTTCCATGGGACCCTCCTGCTGCATTTCAAACTCGAAGAGTCGGAACACCGTGGCGCAGATGACCAGGAGTTCCATTTCGGCGACGTTGCGGCCGACGCAGGCGCGAGGGCCCGTGCTGAAGGGGATAAAGGCAGCCTTTTGACGCGACGTGAGACGGGCGGGATCCCAGCGCTCGGGAACGAATTCCTCGGCGTCGGGGCCCCAGATCTCGGTGGAGCGGTGGATGGTGTAGCTGGGAACGGAGACGACGTCGCCGGCTTGGAAGACGTGGCCGGCGATCTCGACGGGCGGGCTGCCGGGAGGAATCTCGCGGGGGAGACCCATGGCGGAGGTACTGTGGATACGCATGGTTTCCCAAATGACCCATTGGAGGCTAGGAGAGATTTTTGGTTAGTTTATGGGGCTAGTCTTTTATAGGTGCAGGATGATGTGCGAAGCCAAGCCTTCATTCATGCAGGAAATTGGGCGGTGGGGCAGGGACTTACTAGGGAATGTCCTTCACCATGGAGTGCGTGGGAACGTCAACATCCTGGGGAATGGCTTCGTCGAGAATGCGGTGGAGCTTTTCAATCACACCGGGAGTGCGCATGCACCAGTAGAGGATGGCGCAGGAGGTGTTGGAGGTGGTGTCGGAGCCGGCGATCAACTGCGTCAGGGCCTCGGCGGTGAGCTCTTCGCGGCCCAGCTTGTTGCCAGTAGAGTCCTTGCCCTCCATAAGGCGGGCCAAGAGGTCAACACGGGTGTTGTTGGCCATAACTTCGGGGCGCAGACGCTCATTGACCCGGGCGACGGCGATACCGGCGAGGTTCTCGACGGCTTGCATGCCGTCCTTGAAGAATCGGTCGGGGATGTACTTGGCGAAGGGGATGAGAGATGGGAAGCAGCCCAGCGTGGCGGAGACCTCGCCTCGGCGGTTCAACACTTCGACGGCCTGGACATACGACGGGGGAGCGTCGGGGGTCTTGCGCATCTCGGCGATATCCTTACCCTTCTCGAGCATGCCGAACGGAGCTCCAAAGGCCAGGTCACCGATGATGTCGAAGGCCAGGTAGTTGAACCAATTGAGAGCGTCAAGGGTCGCGTAGCCGGTCTTCGGGTTGCCCTGCAGTTCGGCGAGGCGGTTCCATTGCTTCACGAACAGCTCGACGTTGCCGTGGATGTACTGTTCGAACTGACCGATCGACTTCATACTGAAAGTATGAGAAACGGTCTTGCGCTTGCGAGAATGTTCCTCACGGTTGCGAGTGTTGAACAGACCACGGCGGATGGAGACAAAGGCATCATAGAAGTCCCTATCCAAAATCAATTGGTGTTAACTGGCGTTTCGTGACGGGATTAGGAGTGTTAAAAACACGAAAGCGGGTACGTACGCCTTGAGGAAACCATTTCCGTGTCCATAAATGAGAGGAATGGCGGCATCGTCGGCAATTGAGATGTTTCTGGGGGCAATGCGGACCAATTTGCCATTTTGCTTGTGGGCTTCGTGCACGGAGAGGAAGCGATGGCCTTTGCGAGCTTGCAGCACCAGCCAGAAGTTGGTGAAACCGGCCACGCTGGGGGAAGGAATATCACGGAGGCGCCATAGCTGCAGGTATGGGACCAGATAGTAGGCCGCTAGCAGAGCCAGCAGAAAATAAGGCCCGTACGGGGCGATGAGATCGGAAATCATAGTGCAAAAGGAATGGGACTAGCAGGGGCAACGCCTTGTTAGCGAGACACGAAGGCGAAAATGCAATCAAATTGACAAATCGACCGCATGGCAGTGCATCCTGAGGCAGCAACACGTGGGGACGACTCTGACAGCCGTTGCACTAACCGGATTGGGACTGGCCCGAGGATCGCCGCGTGTCAGGCAGCAAGGCAGCGAGGCAGTCAGGCAGTCAGGCAGTCAGGCAATGCGGAGCCGTTGATGGATTTCTCAGCAGTCGAACAGAATAAAAAAATGTGCAAGTTTCTCAGTCAGTCCATGAATCTCTGCAGGTCAGATCGTAAGCAGAAAAAAGGGTCGCTGGTTGGGTGCTGGAGGGCCATATTTAAGCGCACTCCAGCCCGCCAGCATCCCCGAGGCAATCCAAGGCGACGGATGTGGAAATCGGGAGTCTGGGGTCGCGCTACTCGCCTGTCGCAGCCGACTCTGACCCCCGACCCCGCCTCACCGCTCGGTTATGTCTGGAGGATTGGCTGCAGCGACCCATGGATGGCGCAGAGGTTAGTGATCTATGATGACTTCGCCCCCTTCGTCATTGGCGAGAGACCGAAAGGAAGAAAACCGGGAAGGCCGATGCCTGGGGCAGCATTGGCGCCCGCAGAGTCAGGCAGCGGCTTGGCCTCTTTGGCTCGGGTTACTCGAGTCTGCCTGATCACTCGGGCAAAAGTCAGGGGCAGCTGTGCAAGGCAATGGAGTAACCCTTACGAGGACTATTCTACAGCAAACCCTCATTCTCTGGAACACCCAAAAGTCTCCAATAAATGCCATAACTATATACACTGGTCATAACTCTATATACACCCGCCTCCCTGCTCTGTCGCTTGCCACTCGTACAGCCCGCTCTTTCTCTTTTCCGCCTCCCACCGTTCGATCCATCCCTTCATGTTATCCCGACTCTTCTGGCTACCGACGTTTACCGTGGGGATCACCCGGCCGATCCGGAGGGCGCAGCAGAACATGGTAAGCTCACGGAAAGAACTGTGCTCGCTGTACGGAACACCGAAGCAGGCGCTCTCTCTCGTGCTACCGCGTTGTGGAACCAAGTCCCGGGCTGTGAACGGCGTCTGCCATCGAGCCGAATGAAGCACCGTCGACACCGATGGATTATCCAGGATTCGTCCGGCGGGAGGCCGATATGACCAGCCGGTCGGCCGAAATCCTACCACGCGCGTAAAATGTGGCTTCATCGAATCCAGGTAATCTGCTAAGGTTTCGGCGCGGATCTCGAACAAGGTTTGCATGTGCACCTGGGCCTCGTGCGGGTCATCTGTCAAGAGAGATGATAGTTCGGTATCGTCTAGGCAATTGCACACGCGCTGCTTGGCGGCCGTTGCGTAGATTTTGCTTTTCAACGCCCGTGCAATACCCAGGCAGATGCGTTCCTTGCCGATACTATACGTCCCAATCACCACCAGCAGCCGACCGCTTGACCGGGAAGACCGGTTCTGCGACTTTCCTGAGCCCGTAACAGAAGAGAAAAAGCGGCTCATTATGCTTCCCTGCCCCGAATTTGCCGACCCATTCTGTTGAACCATCTGGCTAAACTCCTCGTCCGAGCCTTGATCAAGACCAGCGCAGAGATCAGCACAGGCTTTAATGACATCCCCTTGGCTTGGAAACGCGTATTTGGGGCTGAGGTATGTAGTGTCGAGATAGCACGCGTCAATCCGCTGCTGTCGACTCCGGCCCGTTGCAGAATCCACAATCTCCGGGCGGAGGAGAGGATGTTGTACATGGGTGGGAGATGCTCGGAAATCACCGCAATGCAGGATACGTTGTATTTTGATCGATGCCCCGGACTCCGTTGTCTTCTCAAACAGAAATAGTGCACTCCCGGGGCAGTGGTTTGCTTCGATCAAGGTCACCTGCACCCCATTGGTCCCCGGAACGTCGTGTTTCTTTTCGAATTCTAAGCCTACCAGCCATTTGGGATCGACCCTAAGTTGTTGACGCACTAGATTCGCAGTAGGCTTGCTGCAATAAATAGGACCATGGCGCCATGACGATGTGAGGCCGATGTAATGATCGCTGTGAAAGTGTGTGAGGAAATACGCATTGCAGCCTTCAACTGCTCCGTAACGAAAAGCGTCCACGCATATAGAAAATCCCGGCATGATCTTGTAGAAGGGACAAGTCCGTTGATATGCCTGCTTCCCCCGAGAAGCAACCTCACGTGCTGCCGCAGTCGCCCACGCCGAGTCTTCGGCATTGCCCGCCATGAGTTTGGAAAATGCAGATCCCGGTTTCGATGAGCTTTTGTCTGTGTGTGGATCTTTTTGCGCGGGTCTGGCTATCGAAGCCCGATCGGCGGGCTTTGACCCCTTCGGCGGACTGGCTGGCTTCGAAATTGCCGGAACGGTGCTTGGCTTCCCATCAAGACAGTCGTTTACATGCACTGCCATATCCTGAAAACTCATAAGCATAGAATCTCAAGGGAGTGATCAAACGCTACAACTTACAGCTTCACTGAGACCCGGTAGCTGAGCCTGGCATATTGGACATGTGGGAACCTCGCCGCCAGAACTCATATTGCATTCTTCTAAACCCGTACAGTCGTTCAAATCATCAAAATCGATTGCTTCGTCGGCATCCATCTCTTCAAGGTCGTTCTCCTGGTCTATGAATTCTTCTTCCCCTTTGAATTCGTCTTCTTCTATATCGTCAAAATTGGTATATTCATCTGCGACATGGCTCGTGGCTTCTCTTACCAATGGCGGGACGACGGAGATCGGTCGTTTACTCTCGATCGAATTGTCATCGTTATCATTGGGACCGGATTGTCCTTCGTTGCTCTTTGTGTCTGTTTTCAATTCCGGTGGCTCTTCATTGAGATTCCCAAATTCACCAATATCATCCTCGCTATCGGATTCATCGATGAAAGGACCGCTAAGGTGGCGAGCTTTCGGAGGTTTTGGCGCAGGACTTGGATCGGCCTCATTCGAAGCATTTTGCCTATCTAGAGGAGAGTCCACTTTCCGCTTCTTTACTGCAGACCCATTCTCATTATACCGTGCATCACCAAGCACATCTTCCTCTTCAGCGTCCTCGCCCCAGATATCGTCTGGCGTGCGTGACCTCGCTCGTTCAGTTCTCGTGTTCGCCCCAGTCTCTCCGAAAAGCGATCCTTTGCCATTCTTGTCTTCCAAAAACAGGCCTCCGGCAGTATCAACCGACTTGGAGCTGCTTTCTCTTCGAAGGCCGGGCGTACAGTTCCCACTGCTGGGCGAGCGTTCCGATTTCGTGGCAAATTGCGTGATTCGAGACTGTCGCGACGTAGCTTGAGGCGGGCCGTCCGTCTTCTGGAAGAAATTGAGAAGACTGCTGTTTCGTTTGACGGATCCCTTGGGCTTAGAGCTGAAAGGGACCTTCCCTGGCGTGGAGCCTTTCTTTGAATTGGGGAAGGGCATGATGTAGCGGTTGATAGGAAGGAGTCGGTCGTTTGTTCAAGAGCGTAGCAGTTGTCGGTTGCAAGTGGCGAAGGTAATCGGCCGAAATTCTATCGTAATGGACTATAATACCGCGGCATTCATCATGTACAAAACCGTTAAGCCCTCACCGTATAGTTATAAGTGATAGCTGCGATTGAAGGAGGCGGAGGGAGCAAAGAAGACTAAAAGCGCGGCGCGGCGAGTCGCCATTTTCGCAACGCGAGATCACGTGCCTCTTTACGGAGCTACGGCGGCGATCCGCTTACAATAGGCAAGACAATTCATATGGATCGCTTTGATTCATTCGTCTTTGCTATAAGGAGTAAGACACGTCCAGAGAAAGCGGAGCTGCTTGTAATCGCGTCCTCAGCCGAGTGGTCATGTTTGGGGGAAATAAATCCCACATATATTGTGAATTCCGGGGCAGAGAAAACTCTCCCGGTCGCAGCGCCCGATTGACAATTCTCGATTCCTGACCCCGAATTGTAAAACCCCATTTCTCTCCTCCACGACCTAGATCTTCTTCCAAGCTAGGTTCCGGGTCGATCATCAATAGAAAAAAATAACAATTCGTTCCGCATACGCAGTCGCAACATCGCATCGTGATTGAAAAAAGGAAAGGATTAGGTGGTTTCGATCGTGGAGAAATCATCGAGCTTTTCCAGCCTGGTTTGCGGCTTCTGTAGGACGTGTGCGGGTTAACAAGTATTCGCGATTTGTTTTCGAGAAGAAAAAGAGCCAATAACAGTGGGTGACTCGAGCATCGCGACACCTACCTCTCCTCGTAGCATCCTCCAGAAGACCAACATCCACCTCCGACCGGGGAAGCACCACGTAGCGCACCACACTGCCTCGGATAAACATGTTCTTGACCGACGACAGGTGGGGGTATTTGTCCAGGTCTAGGACGTCGACATCATCCAGCTTGATGTTGAGGTATTGGTCGACCGATTTCAGAGTTCCGCGAATGCGAATATCATTTTTGAGTTCGATAATGACGGTCTGGTTCGTGAGGGTCTTGAAAAAGCTGTAGAAAGAAACGTCAGTGCCAGTACGATTTGAGAGAGGCATTGACTTGGCCTACCTGAAGAAGAGCATGGTTGCGGTGGTTGCGCGGTAGAGGGGTTGTAGGAGTCTGTGTGGATTCTATCGCATGCCCTGACAATTGTTGGATTCCAAAGGATTCTAAGATTAGGGCGTAATCCTCACAGGCTGCACGAGAAAACCAGGGAGGGCGCAATGTATCGAGGGAGAGGAATCAATAGGTGTGATGTTGTAACTCCATTCCATCCATCCGCATTTGAGGCGGGCAGCTTTCACGTCACGTGAGAGCACCATCGCTCTGCCAGCGGTGATTATCGGGGCTTTGCACTATTTTTGTGGCGAGGACTGGAGTAAAATAGAAATATCATGTCAGTCTAAATTATTCCTACATATCTTCATAGGTAGAACGCTGAAAATCCAGCAAGCTAAGGCAGTCATTCCAAGTTTACGGAGTACTTGTCTACAACTATATACTATTGATGCTTCAAGGAATATTGACCTCACTCCATTTCATTCCACTTGCTATTCATATGTTCATCACACATCCATAATAAATAAACAAGGTGCAGCGATCGTGTAATTATTACATTATATCTCGCCTCCAGGGCGGTACAGGGGGTATCAAATGAGTATGTGGTTCCAAATACTCCAGGTATTTGGAAATGCAAGGTGAAAACAAATCAAAGAGACAGTAAGAAAGGGAAAGAGAGAGGATGAATCACACCAATGAATGAGTCCTTGAGCACCGTGTTGTCCCCTAGTGCTGTTGGCTCCTCCGCTTCGGTTTTGGCTTCATGGCCCAACCTGACAAGCAAGTCCAGCCAGCACCGTTCTTGCGACCCTCGTCAAAAACACTTCCGATGCCTTCAAGCAGCTTGTCTTGTTCTCGACCCATTTCGATCTGGAGTTTCAGAAGCCACTGTTCCCATATCCAGCCACCGAATAGACCAGTAACACTGGCGACATCGGTTGTACTGCCGATTGGACCGTGGACCGCCTCGTACTCGTCGATTTGGCTCTTCACTCGAGGTTCAGGGGTCTCTCTCGGTACTTGTGGTTTGACAGGCTCGATACCCATAGGTAGGAACATCCAAGCACGCTTGGTGCCAACGAAATCCCCCTTTCGCAAGCGGCTGAGGAACCTTTTTGTAGGCGTTGGATCGTATCCTCTAGTCTTCAGATTGAATGCAAACTCGACCGAGGCAGCTGAAGCACATTGTCCTGCACGCGATATTTCGGCATCCATGACAAAGAATTCCAAAACGCCCCCAGGCTTGAGGCAGCGGTAGCATTCCTTGAGGCAAAGGTCATACTCGTCCTGATTTTCACCTGGCGGATGCTCCGTTTTCAACAGTGCAGGGAGCGAGCGAGCGGAGATCACGTCAAACTTATTGTCAGGGAAAGGCAGTTTCCAAAGGCACTGAACAGACACCGGCTGGTGATTTGAGGGGCCTTTGATGGCATGGTTGACTGCCTGATGTTCAGTGAACGCAGTGTAGACCTTGACATTGCGATAGTCATGAGCGAACTGCCATGCCCACTCGCAGGAAGCATGTCCTCCCAGGTCCAAGACCCTAAGACGGCGGGTACCGGAACCCTGCGGAGCCTTCGTGGACGTGGAGTATCGTGAAAGGCGCTTTGCGGCGGGGCTAGCAATCAAGTTGCCGCCATTGAGATATCTCAAAGCATCCATGGCCCACATGGACTGGCTGATTTGGGAAAGGACCATCTGCTCTTTCTCTAGCATGGAAAACTGTGCCTTTTCCGCCAAGACCGAGGCAATCACCGAGTTGCGGGGGGCCTGCGAAAATGGCCCCTTGTAGGCTGGACGTTCGGGGCGGACGAGCTCGTAATTGCCCAACAAAGATCTGGTGTGCACATTTGTTAAACCAAGACGAATGGACTGGATAGCGTCGAAACGTATGTTACGGTGCACAAAAGTATCCTGATTGTTTGACTGTTGACGGATGAACTGGAAGCCTCGCCAGTAGATCGAGTCCTTGCTTGCCATGGCAGATGGACCAGAACTGGGCGCCTCGGGAACATCCTCGGCGAACCGGACAGATCTTTTGCGGGTGATCTGTTGGGTGTCTTCCTCAGCAGCAGCAGTGTCTTGACTTTCCGATTCATCATCAAGTCGAGCATCAGCCTCAATATCTTCAGCGTTGACGGGATTCGTTTCACGGAGAGCAGAAAGATAGGAAGCCTGCGCTGCAAGCCAGACACTAGTTCTGTCAAGGCTTGCCATTGACTTCTTTTGCAGTTCACTCTCATAATTCTCGTCCTGTTCATCGTCCTCGCAAATAGTATCGGGTCTTACAATCTCATGTACCCCATCTACACCATCACTGACTGGACTTTCCGGATGTTCCTGTGACTCGTCTGAATTCTCAGGAGGAACTCGGATGGCGGTTGGCGGTCCACTCATTGGATCGTACACAGCTGTCAGTTGCTCTTCAGTCAAACGTCGGTTGCACTCGATGACTTGTTCAACAACTTCCCCTTCGGTCCGGCCGAAAGGTAGATTGTAAAAGTTTTCAGCAGTGGCAGACGTGGGAGGTCTATAGCCCTTTGGAATTGACCAGGTGTGGCGAGCTCGCGGTCCAAGAGAAGAAAAGAAACCACCGGGGGACGGAATACTGAGCCTACTAAAGCTGTACCCAGATATGTCCGAAGCCGGGGTTGCGTCGCCAGCGCTGCGAGGTCGCTCGGGGGTTTCAATTTGCCACATCTCTTCATTTCCCTCAGAGGTTTCTGACCACGGATCTGGTGTCCCCTCAAGGGTGATGTGTCTCAACGTTGCCAGAGCATCTTCTGGTAAGAACAGCCCTCCGTCCGAGGGCGTGTCCTCCCGCGCAGGTTCGGACGGGATATGATGAGAGGTTGGCGTTGTTTGACCAGGAATTCGAGGAAAGCTCCCCAAAACTTGCTGCCAATGGTCCTCGACATTTTCAACTGCGATCTCGATGCTCTGGATATCAGAGTTGGACTCGGGGTTCGGCATATCCACATGGCCTGTCTCTTCGAGATCCGGCTGGACGTGGATTTCCTGGGAGCTCCAGTCAGCATCAGGAAGCGACTGGAGATCTGGAGTCGCTGGAGCGCTAAGATTCGAGATCTGGTCCGAGGAGACACTGCCATCCAGGGAGGGCGGAGCATGCACGGCGGGGACCGAATGCCCAAGCATTGATAAGGCCGCTGGAGAGACCGGAATCTTTGGCGGTGGAGTGGGCGGAACCGGCGAGCTTTTAGGAGCGCCGTTCAGTGACGAGAAAGTTGTTGGCGACGGGATGGTGAGACTCGGATACCGCTTGCGACTGACTGGAGATACTACTGAATTTCTGGTCGTAGGGGTCGTTAGACTCGTCGGTCGCGAACTTGCAAATGATGTACAATCGTCGCTCATGTCCGAATCATCATCAGTGGCGTCGTATAAATCATCAAAGTTCCGCATCTGGTGTTGCCATTCCGTATCCGAACAGGACGATAAAGACCCCGTGGATAACGGCGACCAGACACGATTCAGCCTCGACGGCGGTTGAAGACCAGTGGTTTTCAATCTCAAGGGTGGCGCTCGACTAATTGTGCCGGCAGGCGGAGGACTGGGTTCGGTCTTCTCTGAGAACTGAGACTCGCGGGAGTCCTCGATGATGGTATTTAACCTCGTCCCTCGGCTCTGCCGAGGAGGCGGGCATCTAGTCAAACGAAATGACTCCGACGCCATTTTGACTTGGTTGATGCCAGTTGAAGGATTCACTTTTTCCTTGACTGCGACTGGAAGGCACACAATCACCGAAACTCGACAGAAGTTCTAGGGGTATCTCGATCGCATTAGACGCCGGTCAACGGGGTCTAGGTTAGGATAACTAAAACGACAGAAGGTGGCTAAGCTACCAGAGCTTGAAGCACGAGACAACACTCGAACACAAACGAGAATAATAACACAAAGATCGCGCACACACAAAAGGAGTAGGTGAAGAATAGGATCTCGGAGTAGCGCCTGGCTTTGGTATATATCCCCAAGGGCCAGGAGAAGAGGGGTCGATCCGGAAGAAGCGCCCACTGCACCAGCCATCCTCCGTGCAGAAACTACTGCAACATGAGGTAGGCACCTTGGAAATGGAGCCGTTGAACACAATGTCATTGGGCATGATTTTGTCGGCGCGTCGCCCTCGAGGCCCCAAGCCCTCTAACAGGTTCATCCGGAGTGATAGCAGGCACAGGCCGCATGAAGACAATACCAATCAGCGCGAGGGAGGACCTTTGCCCCTGCAAAGAATCGCCGGCCATGAACGGAAATGGTGATGAGGGCTGGCCAGCGGGACGTGATTGGTAGACTCGAAGCGCCGGGCGGGCTATCTTTAGAAAGGAAGTTCCGGGGGGGTCGACGATCGGAAGGACGGACAAACACACCATGATTTCCCCTCTTCATGGTCTGCGCTTAGAAAACGAGCGGACGCGAATGCTGTTCTCGCATACTCCGTACTCCGGAGTACTGCCGGTGAGGGCACGCAAGGGCAGACCCATCCGTCATCAGTTGAGTCTAGTTGACCTGTCAGGCCCGTCAGGAAGGACGAAAAAGGGCATTCCGACCACGATGCCGCCCAACAAGAAAAGTCGCATGGTCAGCCGACCAGCGCATCGGCAACGGAGCGGATGAATTGGCACGATGCGGCACGATGAGGTGCTGAAGGCGTCGAGAAGGACGAAAGCGACTCCCGTGACGCCGCCGGACTGGGACTAGCTCGGGGCCTCGACCCGCCAGACTCGATTCTCAGGCACCTTCAGGCACCGACCGCCCACGTGAAGGTCTTGGCCCTAGCCCTTATCGTCTATGCAGGCCTTCCTAATCGGGGGCTCCGGACTGACGTCGACCGGCGACTGGCGGTGATATCAATGGCCGCTTAAATTTGCCTGTCGATGGAGTATGCCTATCCACTCTGGTCTCCATCCCCTTTGCTCACACATTCCTTTTTCTGAGTTGTTGGGTACATAAGTCGTCATCGCTGCTCTCCTCTCTTCCGCTCCCCTCCCCTTATCTCCCCACCTCATCCACTTCCGGCCGTTGCCCATACATCCTCCTCCATTTTATACTCTCCCCCGACTCTACCATTCACTATGACTCCGCCGGCCATTATAGCTCCTTCCATCCTGAGCGCGGACTTCGCGACTCTGGGCAGCGAATGCTCGACCAAAATGGAGCAGGGCTCCGATTGGCTTCATGTTGACATCATGGACGGCCACTTCGTGCCTAACATCACCTTCGGAGCTCCCGTTGTCACCAAGATCCGGTCCCACGTCGCCCGCCCGACGGAGCCCAGCGGAAAGGGCACGTTCGACTGCCATATGATGATCATGGAGGTGAGACCATCCTATTTCCTCAGATTCGCGAGTCGCTGCGTGCTTCCGCGCAACACAATCACTATCCGCGCGTTCCGCGTACCATGGATATCGCCGCTAACCACACCCCGTCTTGCTCTTTCTAGCCGCATAAATGGGTCAAGGACTTCAAGGACGCCGGATGCGATCTCTACTGCTTCCACTACGAGGCTGCCGTCTCGTCCGTGGCGGCCACCTCCCCCGCCGACTCTACTACGACCCGCCAAACAAGCCCTAAGGAGCTGATCCGATACATCCACGACGAGGGTATGCAAGCTGGCATTGCCATCAAGCCCGACACGCCGGTGGACGTCCTGTGGGATATTCTGGAGACCGAGAATGAGAAGGAGCGTCCGGATGTAAGTGACCTCACCGTCGGGAATTTCCCGTACCTGTGACACCTAGCTGACTTGTCTTCTCACAAGATGGTCCTCGTCATGACGGTATATCCTGGCTTTGGTGGCCAGAAATTCATGGCCTCCGAGCTGCCCAAGGTCCAGGCTCTGCGCGAGCGATACCCCAACTTGAACATCGAGGTTGACGGTGGACTGGGACTCGGCACCATCGACCAAGCTGCCGATGCCGGCGCCAACGTTATCGTCGCGGGTTCGGCCGTTTTTGGCGCTCAGGACCCTGGCGACGTCATCGCGAAGCTTCGCGAGGCCGTCGATACCCGCCGGAAGGAGTAAAAACAAAGAAAAGAGGATACAGATTTTTCATGTAATTCGGTTCTTTTGCGATATATTTCATTTATAATGCCTCCTTTTCTTTTGTTTCCCAAAATCTTTTTGAGCTTGATGACCAAAAAAGAGAAGGAAAGAATACGTTAGTAATTTAATGCGCTTACGGTTGACGAGTATTCATGATCCATGCGAAGCCTGCAATACAATAGATTAATGACTAAATAAATACATCTGAACCCGAAAAGACCCTCAAACTAGGCACTAAAGAACACTTTCAACTGGTATCTTTACAAACACAGGAAAATCCGAATGAAACAAGTGTGATGTCATGCCGTGTTGGTCACCCCGACAGCACAGCTGGCCAGGCTTTGCGACATAGACAACCTGGATTGATAGCCACCGCTAGCGGCTGCCTCAATTTGGTGGTGATTGTCAAAATCACCCCAATGAAATCTATCCTTGTTTCTTGGCCTCCGTGTCCTTGACGTCCGGTTCATCTTCGATCGCGGGCTCCTCCTCGATGGGCTCGTCCTGAGCGCCCTGCTCTTCCTTCTCCTGCTTCAACGCATCCAGAATCTCCTGACGACCGCCAGAGATGGATTTGCGCAAGTCCTGCGCGACCTTCTCCTGCTCCTCGGGAGACGTCGCCGAGATTATGGAGCCACGGTGGTGTTCCACCAACCCTAGAGCTTGGGCGTTATCAGCATGAATGTTGGCCGAGGAGACTGCAGCAACCTCCGGCACAATGAGAGGCGGGCGCCTTGGACTCTCGGAATCTCTCGGAGCCAATGATTTCCGACGTACAGAATCTTCGCCGCCCTCTTTCTTCTCGGCGTCGGTCGCGGCGGCGGCAGGCGGCTGCGGGCTGGGCTGCTCTTCCGTGGCAGCGGGAGCCTTTTCGGGCTTCGCGCTGTTCTCCTTGGCCTTGGACGCCGCCTCCTCGCCGGCCTGCCGCAGTGCAACGGTGATGGAGTCGTCCTTTTGGGCCTCCTTGGCGGGCGGGTTCTGGATTTTAATCGTGCTCTGCTTGGGAGCGGCCGACTCGGGAGTGGGGGTGGACGCGGCGGACGACTGGGGGGCGGGAGCTGGGTAGCTGGTGGCGGGCATACTATCGAAGTCTTCGACACTGTTAACCTGCATCCTCAGCTCACCGAATTCGTTCCATTCTTCGATTTCCTCTAGATCCTGCAGAGCAAGGCGCTGTTAGCGATCTGCCATCAAACTATGTCACGTAAGAAAGGGGGAGGGGGGGGGGCGGCGCATGGTTGATATATCCCCTGCGCCGGTAACCCCCCTATTAGGTGGCGGGGGAGAGATAACATACGCCGACGACGGTGCCGAATTTCACCAAACCGGGCAATTTCTTGCCCTTGGAGCGACGACCCCAGAGCTTCCGAGCGGCATCATCGGTGGCGACGTCAATTGCGCGAAACGGGAGTTTGTTGGCCTTCAGGATGGTCTCCAATCGTGCAGTGGCGGTGACGATATGGGATGACCCCGCAGTAAGGGAGGTGTAAAGGTAGAGGGTGGAATCGGACATGATGGACAGAAACCAGGGGCGTCAAACGAGATGGACTATGAGGACCGATCACAGCGATGATACGGCGACGAGAGGATCATGCAGCAGCGTTGGATGGGATGGAATGTGCCTGCGTGGTGTTCGACGTTCTCCAATTTCCCTGCAGCGTTCTGGAATGGGGAAATCCTTCGCCGGAATGACGTGGCGGCTTCGACGGGCCCACGCGCGGTCACGTGTCGGGGAGGCAGACAAGGGGTTGGCGTTGGCTGAGCGAGAGATGATGCTGTGTTGCGAGTTATATACGCATGGCTCTTCTTATGTCATGGCCCTGGTTTTTCGTCGCTCTCCCTGCGCGGTTCTTGTATCGTTTGGGCGCAAACCATGCGTGGCAACCTGACGTCAAGTGGGTTGTCCTGCCCACTCACAGCGCTCCCTGCCTTCAAACTCCTGTCAACGACCCAAGTTCAGGGAGCTTGACTGGGCAGAATTACCTAACAAGCGGATATATCATTTTCATCGTGCCATTGGAACTGGCTGATGTCATTGATCCGGACTCTGGGATTTGCCAGCCGTTTTCCTCTGTTTGAAGGCCCTTATCACCAGTAATATCGATATAGAATGATAAAGCCAGAACCCTTTGTCCAGTACACAGATTATGAGGATTTCCCTAGGCCAATTTCTTGGTCTGATCCTTTCCAATGTTTGCGAATTGATACATCCCGCCATTGCTCACATTAATTCATGATCGCTCATCTCACATCTGCATGTTACGGATGATATACCACCCGTCTACTTAATTCGGAGTTACCAGGGGCATCGGATCCCAAAAGACGGTCAGAGACTGACTATTGCGAGTCAGGGTCTATCGAACCTGTCCCATTTCTGACCCGCCACCAGTACTAACCTGTATGTAGATCTAATATGTTTCTGGCCTCCCTCTGCTATCTCTCAGAAACCACGTTACTAATGATCTGAGGGGTACATCTGGGGCTTGACATAATTACAAAATAATCCTCAATCCCCTTACAGTAGGTGGTCGAACGATAACCTTCTTCTTGGCACAAGGAAGTGTTTTTCCACCGGGGCTGCCCAGACCGACTCTTCGTCGGATCTTATTACAGGTCTGCATGACATCTGCTGCGTTCGGCGAGAAAGAGGTTGCTATGCTTTAGTACCGAGTACGCGTTTTCGACCCATTCTTTCCGACACTGCAATTGAGCTGGCAAATGCAAGCATCTTCGTCTCTCGCTTGCACATATCGATCCTAGAAGCTTGATGATGGTTGTACCTGAGACACGGGCCATACACACCTGCATCCATCGGCTTGTCGGAGGACGCTGCATCGAAACATGCGCTCCGGATGTGTAATTGGCGGGCCTCTCTGTGGGAACACCCTTGCTTGCCGATATGATGTATCGAGGACACTCGATGTGAGTGTTCTCTAGGCTGCTTGTCATCAGTCGGCGAGTCGAACGTGGAAGTGATGATCGCGTTATAGATCAATGGACCAGGGGCGGTGAATCAGTCAGCTTGTACGGAGCATTGAACATGATGGTCTCGTAGCGGTGAGCAGATAGACATAGAATATGTGACAAAGAAATCAGTATCATGACAAATGATACATCTTGCGGTCCGTGGTAGTATAATACATAGTTGCGAACAGAAGGTTTGAAGCAGTTTGTTGAACGCTTGATGAAGGGTCTCTTTCACATAGTTAGATATCTTTCCATTGAAAGACAAACATCATTAAACCAACATTAGACCGTCAGGTACCCAGATGCTAAACATCTGAACAACCCATCTAGTCAACATATCAACGGTCGCTATAGCCCAGGACTCCTTATAGCTCTCCTGCGCTGCTAATGACAGCCTTTCCGTCCCATACAAACCCAAAGCCTACAAACACACATGCCCAAGACATACGTTTCTCGCCAGGTATATCACCAGACATCGCCTCCAGAACCCAACCTACAACGTCACAACTACCGAGCAATGTTTGCTCTGCCGAACAAACACCAAGCGCCCGACACAGCCCATTCCCGATTCTAGATCCCGCCAAGTCGCAAGGCCGATATGAAACCAACATATATTCCACGATCTCAGTCAGGGTCTGAGCACACGGCAGTCGGCGAGAGCCACCAATAACAATGTCATCGGTGTATATCCATGCCGTCAATACGAGCCATTTTCTGCACTGATGCGTGTATCAATTAGCAGTTAACTACCTAGCTACCTACGTCGTAAGCCGAGGAGTTTTTTTTTCGCCTTCGTAGCTACCTAGCGAGCGGCAAACGAACAGGCACCTGACGCGTCATCGAAGCGCAGACAACGACCTACCTCCTCTACCAGAAGGCCAGGCCAGGTCAAACGATTCAAAACTACTGGGTTTCACAATTCGTATACTGCCGCGAGAGTTTTTTGGGAGCCAAAGGTGAGGAATGTGGCTGACTGCGGCGCGCGAGGACCCTGGGTACACTTGGCTTTTTCAGCCCGGCGCGGATGCCGTTGTGTCGAAAGGTGGTGGCGGATGATCGAAGAGAGGGCTAACGGGTAGGCTTGATTGGGAGGTTTTTGGCTTTGGGATACTTGTTCTGGCGCGATGGCGCGGCCTATCACCTACCTATCTACGGGGGATCTCTCTGGACGGGAGCATGATAATGCGGCGCAGAGGGTTGGGCGGGATATACATGCACGTTCATCAAGCAACAACTATCGACCTTGAGGAGAGGGAATTAAGTGCCCCGACAAAGAAAGAAATGAAAAGAGGGTGGTCAGAACGGGGCGTCGGCACAGCCTGGTCTGCCAGGCTAGAACCCGCGGGCTTGGGTTCGGTTATTGTGAGATAGCACCACTGCCTCGTTCATCCCATCATGATATCTAGCGTAGAGAGGGGGGGTCAGATGGCCGGGTCGATTTGGATTCCCGATTTCCTCATGACAGGGATGGATGGGAGTAAGGCAGACACGGAGATTGGGCACGGCGCGAAGGGAGAAGGGGAAAGTTCGACTGTCGTGATCAGAGCACTCGAGACCCTCTCTACGGCGGTTCTGACGTCGCCGGTGATTGACGCTGTCTGGTAGATCTATTTAGAACTGTTTGAATGCGTATGTAGGCAGATGTGGTAGCAGGGATTTTTGGACCGGAGACCGTGGAAAGTCCGCCAATCACTTGAAAAACATTCTATCACCACCTGATGGTTATGTCATTGCCCCCAACGCATCTGGTTGCTGCACTGCTCCATTCCTGGGGTTAACAGCATGGCTGTCATGATTCTCTCACTTCTTTCTCTTTCCTTTATTTTCCATCGTCGGTTTTATTTTGTTGGAATTTATTGGATTTTTTCGATTATCCAGTTTTGCCCTTTTTACCCCCCATTCCATCCTTCCCAATCTCCCAACGGAACTCTAACCTTCCAAGACGCCCAAGTCCTTTACAAATGTGCATAGTTGCATAGAATCACAGATAGCGTGCGCTAGTGGCCCCCATGTTTGGAGGATCCTCAGCCTATCATCCCTCCGTGTCAGGGACTCTCGGCGATCACACTTATCTAGCGGTCCCACTCAGCCACGCCGTCCCCCCCATTTGTCCATTTGTCGAATCGATGTACTTTTTCACCAGCATTTCATGACTTTCTGGAACGCATACCGCGCAGATGTCTATTTTTGTGCCGGCTTTGTCGCAAGGAAGGGTGTCGTGTCTGTAGTTTGTACCTTACATCGGCCCCCCTCGGTTCCTATGACCAAGACGGATGATTGGGCTGACTTGGACGAGCGTGAGTGCGCGGAATCCTTCCAGGGGATGGGCAATATTGGGTAGAAGATTACTCGGTCGTCGATGGGCTATTGCACTGGATTTGGTAAATTGCAAGACTGTCCCGGGGGAAGAATTGAGGACCGAAGAGGGATGGCTGATCCCCCGCCTGGACAATTGGCTTGAGTCATCGACATCAAAGTGATTATTCCTCCGGCCAGGTGCCCATGATGATAATGCCAGTTAGTGGAGTCAAGGGTAGAATTTTCCGTTGCGGAGTCACCTTCTGCGCGTTTCGCTCGGGGTTCGTCAAAGGAGGGGTACTCGTTTCCAACTTCCATGAATCCAATTTTCACCCCGAACCAGAATTCCAGATCGAAGGAGGAATTGGTCTGAGCAGCGACTGGTCCATACTCCCTCCGATGGACCCAGAACGAGCGTTTGCAATGGCTGGAAATTGAAGGGGCCGTTTTGCCAGTCCTCCTGCAGCACGGAGGAGGACCCAGTTTGAAGTCGGCGGAATGGCTCCCTCTCCGTCCAGTAGGCTGGACGTCGTAGCCGCGATTCGGAACCACTCAAGACATAAAGAGCGGTGACCTGGTTGTGGGCTGGCAGTGGATGCTGCCTGGGACCGATGAAACAACGGCGGAAGGAGAGGTTGACCGCTGGATATTCGGCAAGCGCTTCTGCCACCGAATATCGAATCCGCGGAGGCGACAGCGAGACCCTCTGCGCTCCATCGCACTGCGTTCTATGGTGTCGTCGTCGCACCCCAAGCGTGAGAGAGGATGGAAGGAGGGCCCCGCCAAGCCGGCCAACTGTTCATCCACGGTCACCCCGAAACGGGCAGGGATGCACGTGATTTCACGTGATGCGAGCGCTTGGCCCATTCGAGTCGCCCCACCGCGTCTGCAAATGATCGATTCCAACGTCGATAGTGTCGAGATCGTCCCATCCACCGCCGGCAATGGAGGCACCGCCATGACAGATCGGGAAATATAGCAGAATTCCCCTGTGGCGGGAAACCTCTCGCCGGAAGAGCGCACTGGAAGGGGGGGTCACGGCAACAACTGTGCTTTCCGTTCTTTGTTCAACCAGATCGGGAGTCTGGGCGGCCACGCGCAGAATAATTGAACCTTGGGAACCTTCCGCGTGGTACCGTAGGCTCGTTCCGGGGGAGGTATGTAGGTTATTGCTACTGTTGCTCTTACGACGTGAGAAGCTCTATCATCTGCAGGGAAGCAGACGAAACTGGGTTCGACCGAAACCCAGGAAATCCTGGCTTTCCGGGCTCCATTCTGTCCGGATCGAGGTGAAGAGGAAGTGAGGTATCCTAGGCGCGTTGAGGGCTCTCGCAAGAACCAACTTCCGGAGGGTCATGGATCCCGAACCGGCGATATGGCATCAATGAACAACGAAGACAACAAGATAAGTCTTGCAAACGGAGGTGCCGTCATCATCTACAAGAACTTGGACGAGGTCATTTCTTTGACTGAGGAAGGGAATAGTCAGTCCACATAACTAGCAGCTGGTCGTGACTATGAGGGGCCGAGACCACCCAGATCGGGTGTAGCCCAAACGACGTGGCAGACTTCGAGTCGAGGGGGGAAGATTCAGCTGAGACCCGAATGGCCTCGGGAGACTGGGACAGCTTTGGGTGTCCAGCACTCCAGCACCGCTAAACGGGTCGCTTGTCGCACGCCGTATTCCTAGCCCGGGAATTTAGTACTTCCCCCGGCCGCGAGTGTCTACAGACCTACAGGTACTCCGTCAGACCAAAGACGACCTAAGGCATGCCGCTGTAGGCGCCTGAAGGGGAAAGGAGCCGGTCACGGCCATGATAGGTCACGACGTGCATGGCTTGGAGGGGTCTTTCGTAGGACTCCGGGAGTACGTCACTCCTGCTGAGAGCCGGTCTCCGTGCCTAAGGACTAAGGAGGCACTTACCTAAGAATAGCACTGGGCAATACCATTCTTACCACCAGCACACCAACACGGCCCGTACGCAATACCTCTACAGCGTAAATACCGCAGCCAGGAAACCGGATGACTGATCCAGGCAGATCCAACTCATCCCGCCGTGATTTTCTCTTGCTTGGTGCGGGTGCCGGTCGGCGCAATCCGTTTCGTTGCCTCACTTTGGGGCTCACACCGTGTTCCTTTGCTTCTGTCCGGCATCCAGCACCCAGCATCTTACCTGTCTCGGAGTAGGCTATATTCATTCCTTGGGTCGACCAGTCAGGGCGTCACCTTTCCCCTATCATGCCCCCCTCTCTGCCCTCCTGCTTCCCGTTCTGGACGGGTGAATGGATTTGGATCTGGTTTCATTTCAGGGTATTTTCATTTGATTCCGTCATTAGTCTGGCTGCTATTGGCGGTCCTGCCCGTATCTTTTCTCGGACAACTGTGAAATTACCTGTCCACTTTCTATACGCAGAGGCCCCACGGAATAGGAAAGGTCCGGAGCGCGAAGGCATCTGTTGGACACCTCGAGACCCTTTCTTTTGGCTGCCCCAGGCTCGTCATCAGCATTCGGCGCAGTACGGAGGACGATCGTCGCCTGGCAAAGAGGGCAAAAGCAGGCCTGGCAGGAAAATAATAAATTGAATAATGGAGAGAAGAAAAAGAAAATAAAAAGAAAAAGAAATAAAATAAAAATGCCAAAAACAAAATAATAAAATAAAGAAAAAGAAAAGAAAAAGTCAAAAGGGGATTAGGAAACAACCTTGGAAAATAAAAAAAAATCCCAAGAAAATCTCCCAAAAATTCCTGACCAGTGCCCACCCCCCGACCGACAGAACGAAAGGTTCCAGACCTTCTTCTGCCTCCCATCCCATCCTGGTCCACTCCGCGAACCACCGACGATGATGAGGATGGGCCCTTCAGGCCAGTCGGTCTGCCGGCCAATCCTTCTGTCCATCTCACAGACCGGCCTGCTTCCCCCACCCCGGTCGTTTCCCAAGTTTCAACTTCCATGAACTACTGCTGCAGCGACTAAACCCAACGGGTTGCTAAACACTGGCTAACTGACTTCCTGACGGACTGACTGACCTGACTGCTCTTCCGACGGATCTTTTGTTCTCGTTCCTCTCCCCATGCTGGCGTCCCCGATCTTCCACTCACCCCCCCTCTTTCCTCACACACACCTCCCCCCAATTCATCTTATGCAATCCGGGCCATTTGACCAAGCCGGGCTGTGGGGATAACGACTAGTATAACTATTCCCCATTAAATTCATATCTCCCGCCCTCCTCCCTCCCCTCGTTCATCTGTCTCCCTCATCCATCTTATCACTGTCCTGTCCTCGCCGAATATATTTCTCCTTTCTCCTTCTCTCTCACTCTGTCTATATATCCGTACCCCTCTCTCGTTCGCATTCTTTCCTCCCAAAATTCCCTCTTTACTCTTGTTCAGAACCCCCTCATTTCTGGTGTGTCATCCGCGCAACCTTACCTGCCTGTTGTACACCCACCGAAATCCACTACCGTCGCGGGAATAGTCTTGATCTCCAGTCAGTCCTCTCTCTTTTCTTTTCTCTGATTTCTTTTTCGCCCTTTCTCCTCCTTTCGCTCCTGGTCATTCTTTCTTCTGTTATCCCCGAACCATAATACTGATATGAATGCGATAGAGAACCACCTCTCCCAACCAACCCCCCTAAATAGTCATTTGGTACTGATAGCAGCCCTATCCTTATCGCTCATCTCACGTGGGAGCGGCACCCCTCAAAGGATATCTCACCAACATGGCTGTCACCATGGCCGATGACGAACTCTTCACACGGGCCATTTCTGGGTATCGGGACGCTTTTTTGGTTCAGCACTCCCACCTTCCGGAATCAGAGCGAAATCAACTTTGGGGCCAACGGTTAAGTCAGTTCATACCGGCCACGGCATCCTCCTCCCTCAACAGCTACCGTCCGGTCTCCGGCTCTGGCATCCTCGAAAATGGCGGTTCCACAACAACACTCGAGAAATCTGGGAAACGGGCTCGACAGGATACTCCTCGGACTCTACCTGGTTCTGGTCTTCCTCCGACGAAACGACGAGTCACCGTATGTGATCCATCTTGGTCTTCTGATCCCGCCTCTCCTCCACCTTAACACCCACCCTGTTCCTTCCGCGCTCTTGCATTCCCTTCTTTCTTGCTCTCCCGCCAGCAACCAGTCCCTGGATTGACAATTGGCAGACTCCGGACCCCCCGGTGACCGTTGATCTGACGCGCGAGTTGTCTCACGCGTCCTCTCCGGCAGCTCCTCAGACCTCTCAACACCTATCTAGATCGAATTCTCGGAAGGACTCCTCCGGTTTCTCAGGTCCTGGGTCCTCCCGGCACACGACCATGGTCCGTTCGCAGAGCCAGCAGACCCCGGTGTCTCACCGGCCTTCGCTGGCTTCCAACGTGACGGCTCAGCGACATTCTTATGGACCTTCGCGCGCCCAACGCCGCCTTGACCACGTTAGCGAGTATTCTCCTTCCGAATACACCAAACAATATTTGGACGACCATCAGGGTCAGCAACGAGGTGTCTCGGCACTATCCATGGCGCTCTCTGCGGATTCGACATCGAATGGACACGAACAAAATCCCTCTCGCCAATCCCCCAACCACCAATACCAAGGACCTTCCGCCCTGACGTCCGGCCTGATGGGAATGGGACACCCTTCGTTAGCCGACCAGGCTGCCACGGGCGCAGTTGACATGAGTAGGAGTACCACTACCGATTCGATATGTGGTGGAATTGGGATGATGCGATTTGACTCTTCGGGGCCAAATCTTGACCCCAATTTCTCTTTTCCCTACCCCTCCTCTGATTTCGTTTCGTCCACTTCCCCCATGAACGTCCCCTTCTCTACCTTTACATCCATGCAACGGGATCTCGATCCCGTTACCTTCCCCTTCGCTGAATCTTCCGCTCCACCCGCATTCTCCTGCTCCGCCCCCTCTACTACAACCTTCCCTCAACAACCCGTCTCTGCCCTGTCGCTGTCTCCCGCCGTGGAGATGAAGCATTCCATGTCCACCGAGAGCAGTAGCTCATCCTTTTCCCAACCGTCCAGAGCGGCTCGGAGGACTCAAGAACAGATTGTGCAGGGTGCTCGACCCATCGCTCCCAAGGTGGAGTCCAACAGCTCTCCACCGAAGGTGGCTGAGCAGCACACAATGATCCGCATCTCATCCTCCGACGGGACAGCCAAGGAGGTGGCTGCCATTCCCAAGGCCTCGATTCAGCGGCCCCCGCGTCCGAAGACGTATTGCTCGATGTGTAACGACCAGCCCGACGGCTTCCACGGGGAGCACGAGCTGCGACGGCACATCGAGCGGGTGCACGCCGTGATTCGCAAGGTTTGGGTTTGCGTTGACATCTCCCCCGGCAAGACGTTCCTGGCCAACTGCAAGGCATGCCGCAACGGGAAGCGATACGGCGCGAATTACAACGCCGCCGCTCACTTGCGTCGGACTCATTTCAACCCTTGCCAGCGCGGCCGGGGTGGACGTGGGAAAGACAGTGAGAAGCGTGGCGGGAAGGGTGGTGGAAACCACCCGCCCATGGAAGTCCTGAAGCACTGGATGGTGCAGAAGGAGGAGATTGTCCTTGAAAATGCCCAAAATTATATCGAGCAAGATCCGATCGGGGACGACCTGGCGGCAGCCCCGTCGTCGGTGCCCGCCGAGGATGCGACGTTTCAGGGGTTGTCGTCAGCGCCGACCGACGATGTGCCCCAGCACGGGTTGCAATCGACCATGACGACTGGGTATGATGCCTTTTCTGCTTTCCCCACGATGGGCATGGATTCATCTCTTGATACTTCCTGCTATTTGGATGCTCAGCCTTTGGCTCCTGAGATTGATTCGTATGTGTGATCTATATAATCCTTAGAAGTTTTTCGTTTCTCTTCTCTTTTCTTTTCGTTTTGGTCATTGCCAGCTTCATGTTGATATATGGGATTTGTATTTTTTTTTTCTGGTTTTTCCTTCTCGTCATTTCTTTTTGAACCCTTACATAATTTCTCCTCCTTGCTTCTCTTTTTCACGTGGGTTTAACTCGCATTTTCTTTCCCTTTCTTTTCTTCTACTCTTTTGCTCTCTTCTATTTCTTCCTCTTCTCTTGGTTGATATTTCTTCTTTTCTTTTTCTACCCTTCGATTCTTGGTTCTCGAAATCTTTGCCTTTTGCCGCGCGCAAAACTCACAGGGGCCAAATCAGCCGACCTCTGCGCCGCCTCGACAAAGGCGACATGGGACGACATAATGTGTGATGATGAACAGTCAAACAGCCAAACTCCAGTGTTCTTTTTTTTGCTCTCTTGAATATATTGAATTGGTGAACGTCATGCTTTGACGGCAGCGGCACTTTCCCGGGGCAACCCCTTGACTGGGACCTGACTGGGAAGACTCCTCCCCGGCTCTGTCCGGAACCGAATACCTTGATAATTACCTACATGCTAGGTACTTAGTTGCTTTCACTACCTACTACTTACCACCCCAGGGCAGACTGCAGAACGTACCTAGGACTGTAGGCCGCCAGACGGCACCCCCCAGCAACCTGCAGAGGAAAGACCGGGGAAACGATAGGGCGCTGGCGATGCAGTGCAACCCCGACGGGACAGCTTACGTGCATGACTCTGCCTGCTTACTGATTGAAGGTCCGAATCATGATCAAGACCAGATGATGACAATGACAATCATGAACTGGCTGCTAACTGTGGGCGGTGGAGATGCGGGTCCCCGTGACTTCGGGAAGGCGGAAATCGGGTCCTGTAGGGCAGGCCTGATCGCTGTATGGTAATCATGTGAGTGGGAAGGCGGACAGTGTATACGGAGTAGCATAGTCGTGGACAGTGGATTTATTTAATTTAATTGATTGGTCTCTCTATTTTTCTTGGTGGTGAATTGCTATCATGATGATCGTGTTCTCTGTCTGGAGTAGGTAGTTGGGAGAGGATTTCTTCGACCAGGAAGCATCCGTTTTCCCGTACGGTATGTAATGGCGGTAATTATGGATGGACCGTCGGCGAAGAAAAGAAGGATTCTTTGAGGACGAAGCCAAGACCCAAGAGATGATGGGAAAAAAAAAAAAAAAAAAAAAGTTCAGGAGGCTCGTTGGGATCCTCCGACTGAAAAACTTGCAAAGTGAAATCCGCCAAACGAGAGACGAGGACTAGTCTCACCCATCGTCTCGATATAGCCAACGCTACGCAGCGATCCGGTCTCCTCTTTTCTCCGCCCCTTTCGCTTTTGTCCCCCTAACGTCCGTCCGGTTCTTATTCTGCCTCTCTTCTCCTCCCCCCTTTCCCAACTTTCATCTCCCTTTTCGATCCGTTCAAACTTGGCATTTCTTAGGTACGATCTGCTCCCTGTTATTGGCCCTGCTGCCTCTCCCACGAGCGTCTCGTCTCCATCGTCTCGTTCGACTGGGCCCCTCCTGCTGATTGCCATCGGAGATTGTTCTGAACACCCTCACTGACTGGTGCGACACCGCATTTCTGCTGCAGCTGCTTTGCCTTCCATCTGCCATCACCATGTCGCAACCCTACTACAACGGCCCTCCTCCCCCTCCTCAGTCGTAAGTGCAGCCGTTTCAGCCCACTTCCCTTTTTTTTTGTTCCATTTTTTTTTGTCCGGCCCGCCGGTCTCTGTTGTTCGAGCGTTCTTTGCGCCGGGATTCCAAGCATCGGAATGCGACTGGACTGCTTGCAACTGCGACGAATACTGCGCCGATCTCGCGATGGCCAAGATCATCCGGACTGTTTGTCATGAAATCGATGGACCCAACATGCTAACCTGTTACTGTCTATAGTTACCCCGGGTATCCGCCCCAGGGACCGCCTCCAGGACCGCCGCCTCAAGGATATTACCCTCCCCAGCCCCAGTACCAGCCTGTACGTTGCGACCCGAGTGACTCGGCGACAAGGAATTCGATGCGCTGACAGCAGATATAGCCCATGAACTACCAGCAACAGCCGGCCCCCCAGAAGAAGGATCGCGGATGTCTAGGTGCTTGGTGAGTCTTCCAGCTGCCTTTTGTATACGCAGCACAAGTCTGATTGATGCCCTCTTTTTTCGCTAGTCTGGCCACCCTCTGCTGTTGTTTCCTCTGCGAAGAAACTTGTGAATGCTGTTTTGAGTGCATCGAGTGCTGCGAGATGTGTTAGAGCGATTGATACACGCGGTCCGAGGTGGGCCACCAGCGTCAAAATGGGTATATGACCTCGATGATATGATGTATCGCATGCTGCTAAGCCGCACGGGTCGAAGGGCGGGCAATAAAGCGGTACCTGCGAGCTTTCTTTCTTGTCCATTTCTTTCTCTTTCTCTCATTCTGCTTTCGCTTTTCGTCTGGGCCCGGGGTTTCTCTTGCGTTTCGTTCCCGAGTGTTGGTTTTCTTTGCTAGTCCTAGCTCCATGGAGTGGATATTTTTGTTTTGAGTTCAGGAACTACGGTTTTATTTTGAAAGACAAGAAGCTGCACTAGCGGCCAATCCGAAGTCCTAGTGCGTTCTCGGGGTTCGAATATGACGATGTCTTTTTCTTCTCTGGTCAAAACCCGAACAGAATACCAAGCTTTTTTAACCTGCCGCGAAGGAACAATGCAAGTGATCACTCTGCAGCACAACTTTCCAGCTGCGACCGGTCGCTTGGCAAGGGGCTTTTGCTTTTGCCAATCGGTCCAGCCCGGGGTCGAAATATGCAGTTCATCGCAGAGAAGCAGGACTGGTCGTAGACGGTTGGAACAGGCACCCAAGAAACCACTGTGTTCCCTCCCCCTCCCGATGCATTGAGTTTTTGTATCCACTGCACCGTGAGTTCCCCGATTCCTGACCAACGAGTTCTTGTTGCGAATGGGCAACGTGCAGAGAGTGCGTTGCTCAGCCATGGACGACGTGCTGGCGGATATCTGGTTGCCTAGTCGATGTGGGTCTTCCCAAGCCGCCGTCCTTTCATCCTTCTGTCCCCCCATCATCACTTTGGTCATCGGCCAATGCCATTCTGAAGAGCTCGGATTTCGGTCAGGAATATCTCATCCCCCGTCAATTGCTTGTTTTCTTTGCCGTTTCCCCCCTTGCGTGATGGTCGGAATTCTTTCCGAACGAGCCCTACGGTACTTGTCGGCATTTCAAGTGGAGTCCGACGTTCTGTAAGGCCAAACAGATCCACTGGGCTCTCTCGATGGATTTGTCTAGGCTCTGTCCGGCTGTCAACGGTCGAGCATCATGATTCTGATATGAGGATGGTTGGAAGACTGGATTCTGGACGGCAGATTGTCAGCATATCAATTCTCGACCAAAGCACGCCGGATAATTATCGGACGTCACCTGCATACTCCTTCGTGGCAGGCCGGAGAAATTAGCTCCATTGCAGGTCTGGAGATGCGGGGGAAGTCTCGAGCCTTCCCCTTCTTTGACAACGATAGCACCATAGTTGCTTCGAATTTAATTAACCGTCCATCGATCAGCCCCAATGAAGTGCCTGGAGATCCCGTGCCTCCTCGGCAAAGGCTTGGTGCGGCCTGCATCTACCAGGGCCAATAACTGCAGGTGTCGGCTGAAATGGCTGTAACCCGTCAGTTTGCAATCTAGCCCTTCATAACGTCATGCAACCCGGGTGAATTCTCGGAGCAATCCCCTGTCAGGTAGGGCTTGGAACGCGGTGTACCCCGTCCATCCCCCTGGACTTTTACCAGAAGGAGAAAACCTGGGGATTCCAGCTCATTCTTCGGCGAGAAGGCGCATCTTTTCTCGCTTCGTGGACTGACCCTCTTTGCTTGACAAGACGGACGAAATGTGGAGGTCTCTTGGCCGAGGAGGGGGCTCATTTACGAATGGAAAATGAACAGGCGAGGCGAGGCCTATATAAATGGCATTGAATCGTCTAGTCCTACTGCAACCTTGTCAGTAACTGGGAATTAAGATCGGCAGATTGCGTCGACTTTGATCCATCTTGCAGAGAAATCAGCATGGTTCGCAAGTGCCTTTTGCTGTCGCTGTTGGCAGCATGCAGTGCTGCGGTTAAGATCACGGTTGCAAAGTCCGGTGGCAATGCCACCAGTGATCTGCAGTATGGCATTATGGAAGAGGTATTTCTCTCCTGTCAACCCAAGTATTGACATGGCAGAACTGACTTTCCAAGGAAATCAACCACTGTGGTGAGGGAGGTCTGTACGCAGAGTTGATCCGCAACCGCGCCTTTCAAGGAGGGTCTAAATTCCCTTCCAACTTGGATGCTTGGATCCCACTCGAGGGGACGACCCTGGCCCTGAAGAACCTCAGTCAGCCTTTATCGTCTGCACTGCCAACGTCGGTGAACGTCAAAGGAGGCCGTGGCAAGGCCGGTCTGACAAACCTGGGCTGGTGGGGTATTGATGTGAAGAAGCAGAAGTACACTGGTTCCTTCTACGTTAAAGGGTCATACAAGGGATCTTTCACAGTATCCCTCCAGTCCAACTCTACGGGAGACGTGTTTGCCAGCACCAAGGTCCGGTCCAAGAGTGTGCGCGGCGACTGGACGCAGCATGAATTCACCTTGACCCCCCGTAAAGCCGCGCCCAACACCAAGAACACATTCTCGATTAGCTTTGATGCATCCGTACGTTACCTTTCTATGGGGGTATGAGTGACTGCTAATTGGAGAAAAGAAAACGGCAGAGGGATCGCTCGACTTCAACCTGATTAGTCTTTTCCCTCCAACCTACAACGACCGTCCAAATGGTCTTCGGAAAGACTTGATGCAGGCTATGGCAGACTTTGGCCCGGTAACTCTATCGTTCATACCAGCTACGACTGTGAGCTGACTGGATACTGTAGAAATTCCTCCGGTTCCCCGGTGGAAACAACCTCGAAGGCGACTTTATCGCCGGCCGGTGGAAGTGGAATGAGACCATCGGACCCTTGAAAGACCGCCCGGGCCGTGCCACCACTTGGAATTACCAGGAGAGCCTCGGACTGGGATTGGTTGAGTACATGGAATGGTGCGATGACCTGGGAATCGAGCCGAGTAAGTCAGATTCCGCCCCCTGCACAGTTGGCAGCAGACTCATTTCAAACAATTCTAGTCCTCGGAGTCTGGGCCGGTTTCGCCCTGAATGGCGACGCGATTCCCGAAGCCGACCTTGACTTCTATGTACAAGACGCACTGAACGAAATCGAGTTCCTCACTGGCTCCACAGACACCGAGTACGGCGCTCTGCGTGCCTCGGTCGGTCATCCGGAGCCATGGACCCTGCGGTACGTTGAGGTTGGCAACGAAGATAACCTCAACAACGGACTGTCGTCGTACAAGTCGTACCGATTCAAAGCATTCTACGACGCGATCAAGGCCAAGTACCCGGGCATGGTGGTTATTGCCTCGACGATCGATATGACTCTTCCGGGTGATGCGGCCGGCGATTACCATCTATACGACGTTCCTGATAACTTTGTATCTCGGTTCAACTTCTTCGACCAATTTGATCCGAAGAACAAGCTCTTACTTGGTGCGCCCAACCACTTACCCCTTACCCACCTTGATATACCAGATGTCAAAATATACTAACTGCAAGGCAGGTGAAATCGCCGCCACCGAGTTTAACAACGGCAAGGGCATCGACTGGAGCGACACCAACTTCTCCCTGTACCCCTGGTGGATCGGCACCGTTGCCGAAGCTGTCTTCCTTCTTGGTGCAGAGCGCAACGCCGACAAGATCATTGGAACGACCTACGTTAGTTGACCCAGCCTGTATACTGATCTAGAAAAGGCACCACTTCTGCGCGACCTATACTAATGATTCCTATCTCCATCTAGGCCCCCTTCTTCATGAACCTCGATAACTACCAATGGTCACCCACCTTCATCGCCTTCAACGCCGATCCAGCTCAAACTGCCCGATCCGCCAGCTGGCATCTATACAACGTACGTGCATGCAGACACACCTTCTGCATCCCCATCACTCTCCCATTACCCATGCCCCAACCAGAGAGAAGAAAGTAAAGGCTAATAAATAGACACAGCTCTTCTCCCACACCCACATCACCAACACCCTGCCCTCGACCTCCACCTCCGATTTTGGGCCCCTTTACTACGCCACAGGCCTCGACAAGACCACCAACTCCCGCATCTTCAAGGCCGCAGTATACAACAGCACCGAGGAGGTCCCCGTCTCGCTGTCCTTCGAGGGCGTCAAGGCCGGCACGAAGGCGCAGCTGACCGTTCTGAGCGCCCCCGACCCGTTCGCCATGAACGAGGTGGGTGGGCAGAACGTGGTGTCGGAGAAAGTCACTACCGTGCGTGCAGGCAAGAAGGGTGTCTATGAGTTTAAGTTGCCGAACTTGAGCATTGCCGTTTTGAAGACTGATTAAGTTGCGATTGGGGTATGAAAATGATCTTGCCGGTTGAGGATGGATATATTCTGGTTCGATTATGAGTGTTTTGGCCCCGTATAGGTCAGTCAATGCACCATAGACAGACAAGCTTTATTGAGCAACATAAAGAGAAAAACATGAAATAAAGAAGGCCCTAAGAACAACTCGGAATAAAACAATTTCATCGACAGTCTCTAAAGTCTAGGATCTGCCAACAGACAAGGAGCGCTGCTACAATTAAGCAATGCACACAGTCGACGCAGGGCTTTTTGTCTTCCCAGCATGAACAGCCTCAGTGACACAGTAACAGCAACTGTCTTCTTTTATCACGTAGGCAGAGTGACCCTGGGCAACTGTAATGGCCGCCGCTGCCAGCTGAGCCTGCCAGTTATAGTTCGCCAGCAGGATGACTGCCCCCTGAGGCCTATTGAGAAACTCCGACCAATTCTGAAGCGCGACAAGATCACTGGGCTGGCACTCATGGGGATCTTCGCCCTCGGGTCTAATATGCTTTGTGCAGAGCGTCAGTTGGTTCCGCTGTCCCGCCTGAGCCGTGATATCGAGGTTCGATGCACTCGTCGCAGGCTGCGCGTGCCGTACTAGTAGTGGACTTTGCAGTGCTCGCAGAATATCCAAGTCTGCTACCCATTCGCCTCGTTCGTGTACACTCACCACTGACTCGAGCAGATAGATCTCCCAGTCCTGTGCGCCTTGTATTCCAACGTCTAGGGGGATGTTGTATCCAGTGTATGAGAGATGCAAAGAGGTCCCGCCGAAAAAGTCTAGAAATATCCCGTCCCATGGATCATGGTTGCACAGGGTCCAGGTGTCATTGGCGCTCTCGCGAACACGGGGCTCTGCTGGGGAAATCAGGAGCGCGATTCCTCCTTTCCCAATGTTTCCAGTGACTCGGTGGATTTCGTCAGATGATGGTTGTTCCGATGGGGTGCAGATCATAGGGCCGGCAATGAAAAGCGAGTCGTTGCTGGAGACTGCCATGACATCTTCCAGTTTTCCAGGTGGTATATCGTACTGTCCTGACTCGAATAGGATGGTGCATGCGAATGATTCACTTCGACTCAGGTGGAAAGGACCTAGGAGCCTTGAAAGTTGGAGACCGATATATTCGAGAGAGAGGGCGGTTTGGCCCATTTCGATCCCTTCAGCAGAGTTGTCGGAGGTTTCGGAACTTTCATTTTCTGGAGCGAATGGCTCGGCGATGATTCCAATCGAGCTACTCGTCTTGGCTTCAAGCAATCGCATGTGCATCTCCTTCTCAAACTCCGTAGGCTCTTCTATCGTTCCAGAGATCATCTCGCCCATGACGTCCATCTCGTCCACCGGGAAGGTGGGATTACTGGGAAAGGCAGCGTGGGATAATGGATCCTCCTCCTCCTCGGGGTCATTGTTACTCGCAGGGTCGACAGCGTCCCAGGTGCGCAGCGGCAGTTTGTCTAGAGGGAGGACATCCCCCCTTTCGACCGATGACTTGACCCAACTTCGGGATCCGAGAAAGCCCTCAATCACTTTGACATCAATGGCTGCACCAAGAAACATCTTGTACAGATTGACCATGGTCGATATAGCTCGCAGGCATTTCAAATGCTCGCTCCCAATCGCCTTGATCGCGTGGTCAAACGCAATCATCAAGTCTCCGGGTTGTGGCTGACCCTGCTCAAAGACTTGCACCAGGTCTTTCAACTGGATGTTGAGATGATGCGGAGCAGAGACGGTATCCTGGGCGTTGAAAAGCGCCACTTGGCTTTCATCCCCAAGCCAGAATTTAAAGTTATTTAAACGTCCGGCTGCCCCAGGAATGTCCCACTGGACAGCCGTGACTCCGTCCAATTTGAACGTTCGCATGATCTCACAGTCGATGGGCTTGAGTATCTCAACCCCGACTTTCTCGCCATTGTTGTTCGTGCGAGAGTAATAGTAGTCGTCCTGGTCGTTCTTCTGCAGTCGCTGCTGTTCGTCCAGTCGCGAAATATCCACCCAGCGAACATAGGTAGGCTGATAAGGCTCATCAAGCTTTCGTTTGGCTCTCGGAAGAGCCGTGGTGAATTCAAACTTTGCCCCAGGTGCCGGTCGATATCTAATGACCAAATCCGTTGCTGAAAAGGGGCTATTCTCCGCCACAGTACGGAGAACCTGAATCTTGGCTTCGACATCGGTGGGAAGATGTAAGAAGGCCTCCGGCTCCCCAAGACCAAAAAATGGCTTCTCTGGCCTTCCCAAGAAACCGACCTTTCGGTAGCCAAGCTTGATCAGCCTTGCGAACACTCTCCGATCGAAGTCGTTGGCGAAGAGGTATTCCTGGGCAGCCTCGCTTAAGACGGACAACCACGATTTATGCGCATCGATTGCCGGCGAGGCTTTGAAATGTTCAATGATGGCGGTTTTGACATTCCTGTCGAGCTCGACAATCCATTTCAGAGCGATCTGCACTTGGCGAGGGTCCACTCCCCATCCTCCTAGGACGCACCCTAGAAGGACCTGGCAGAATTGGTGTAACGTTAATCGGGACCCTTCTGCGCGCACCAGCTTGCTCCGATGAATCGGCTTCCCGTAGTACTGCAGATGTGCCAGTGGCAAAGACCACCGAATCCCGGCATCGCCATCGGTGCAGCTGCGCGAGAGTCCCACGGTCAATATGCCGGGAACGAGGGGATCGTTCTGGTGAACCATGGGCTCCTTCTTGGTGACGATGTCCATGTCTGGGTACAGATGCAGCGCAGACAACCCGAGGAGAAGATTGACAGTCCGCAGTTCCAGAGAGGAGCCCTTGACCAGGAGCTCCAGTCCTTCCAACACATCCTTCCACACTTCAATGACAGCATCGTAGAGCCCGGATCGATTGGTCATCCTCAGGTCAAACTGGTCCAGAGCCAGCCAGAATCGACTCTGCTGCTCCTCCTTGACCTTATCCGCAAGGCAAAGCCATGCCCGGGCACTGGCATCCCAATCCCGCAGCTCCTTCCGATCTATCTTCTGCTTGGCCACCATCCACGACATCATATCCACACTCCCCCCTTCATTAAACTTCTCCATCACGATCTTTTTCTGCGTCTCCACGATCTCCTCCCAGACCGCGGTTGCCTCGCCTGAATCCCACACCCGAGCGAGTATGCATGCCAGCAAGTGTGCCTTAATTGCACCTTCACCGGAAGTCGCCGACGCCCAAATACTAGTGGCATCGATGCCCACCTGGCTCTGAAACACGCCATAGTTCGTATGATGCTTGATCTGCGATATCGTGGCGATCTCCGAGGCTCTGGATCCGTACGCCTTGATCAGATCCGGCGTTTCGGGGAGAATGGAATCAAACAAGGCCCCGAGTTTGCGCGCAGTCGTGTGCACCGTGCCACTTTCTGCTGATTCCCGTCGCAGCGAGGACAGCGCCGCTCCGATCGGTGAGAATTCTCGCGGCGCTTCGATCCTGACTAGTGAGAAGTCGAGATTCACGTTAAATAGCGCCGCGGTGGTCTCGGCGATGCCGGTGGCGAGAGAGGCCGTCATACGTCCTAAGGACATATTCGGGCTGACTGGTGAGTGATAAAGTGGCGGGGAGAGATGTATAAGTCGAAGAGATGGAAAAGGTAAGCACAGGGTCCAGGGTGACAAACACTAGATACTATTTTTTGCTTTTCTTTCTCCTCCCCTCCCTTGCTTTCCGGGGTTTGACTCCCTCTGAGCCTACAGGGAAAGGCGGAGGGAAAAGCAAACTGCCTGGGACGCATCGCTGCGGCTTAGGTCCCTGCTTGGGATTTGGGACACGTCAACAGCTGCAGCAGTAGCGCATACCGATGAAAATGCTTAAGCCACCCGAGGCAGAAACACTGAAGCTGTACGGGAACCTCAGCATGGAAGACACGTCGGCTGTGGCGAGGCTGCCAAGGGCGCTTAAAAGGGACACCAACGACTCCAAAGAAAGGACAGAAAGAAAAGGATAACAATGGCAATAAGAGTACCGAGGGTAAGTGCGGAATAGACAGGGCCAGCCACTCGCTCTTACGCGATTCGCGCAGCCCATCGTTGGTACCCAATCACCCTAACGTGGGGTGGGGCTAAAAAGGGACATGGAGGTAGGTGAGTGGGATTATTTACATATACTAAACCAGTCGTCCATCGAGCATGCATCACGACATCGAGCTGCAGTAAGTGAAGCACATCGTTCATTGAGCATAGAGGGGTTTTGCCGAAGTATCCGAGACGCGAGCTCTTTCAGAACATCTAGCACCGTCTACTCTTTGGAATTTCCTCCCTTGGGTTGAAGGGCCCATACAACTGGGACATTCCTTTTGAGGAGTAATTGGATGATATCAGCGGCAAAGTCCCTCAGAGCGTGACGCGTAGCAAAGGAGCTCTTGATGAAGGCCAGCGACGAACACGGCTCTACTATCCATTGTTGCAGCCGTGGAGAGTCCCGCAAAATATTCAATTGAATGCTTTCATTCCGCTGACGGATTTTGCGCATCGAGGCATAGGCGTGAAGAGTTGCTTTGTGGTCTCCCAGCGCAGATGTGGCGATGACCGGTGAAATATCCGAGAAGCGCATTTCGCACCCGCTTTTTCTTGTGTCGAGAGTACCGATGTAGTGCAATGTATGAAACTCTGCAATCTTATTAATTATGAAAGCCATGTGTCATTCGGTTGAGGCGAAACAAACTTTCCAAGGCGCGGATCCCTTCATTGCCCGCTATGAGGCGCGTGCCCTGCAGTTCTGCTTGAAGCAGGCTGCAAAGAAGCTGTAATATCCTTTGGCGGTCTCCGTGGATTGCAGTTTCTTTATTCTTATCAAGATGCTGGCTAGCTATTGGCAAATTGGAAGAAATGTTGTGTATCTCGACTATGAACTAATCAGGCTGGGCATTAGCGAATGAATAGACGTGGCGTTGAAAGTTAAACGAAGTAATCTTCTTATAGGATGGATTTAAGTGAAGAGTACCTTGTCTCCTGTGACGTAGTCACCCCCGATTTTATCCCTTGTTATCTGGTCACCCTTGATATCGCCATTGACTAGATTTTGAACATCGCGGGTGCTGATCGAAGCAGCCTCGGCCATGTTTTTATTGACCATAAAATTATGCTAATTTAAAGTCAAATGTAGCTATACAGCAAGTTAGGTATTCTGTACCAACTCTTGTGCACGTTTATCATTTATCTGTAGAGACTTGATATGCCAGACATGACCGCAAGGGCTTGCTAGCCTCGGGCAAAGTCAGCCTTGGGTCGTATCCTCCATACAGACTACTCCGTCGATAAATGCGCGGGGTGTGATTTGGACAAGGATCCTGCATCATGTCAGTAAGATCACAAAATAGCACCGAACACGCATGGCTGCCCAACTGACCATCCACGTATTCTCCATCTTGGCTAGGGCTCTAGTCGCTCTTCCAAATCCCTTACCTACGCGTTCCTTGTTCCATTCTTACGTCCCAATTTCCTGATTCAAGGCATATAACAATATCGGAAGATCGAACTGCGGAAAGCGATTTCAGCAATAAGCAGCTGGCGGTACTAAAGCCGGCGTCTCAACCAAGAGCCAGAAAAGAGGAGGAGGCTCAGGAGACTCCGTCGGATCCAAGGCCAGACGGCGCTATCCTCTCTTCTGAGCCAACTCGGCTAAATTCGAACGTACTGCCCAATGGCAATCACTCCGATCAAGAGAAATTTAAGATGCAAATGATCCTGACGTCAAATCGTGTCGGAACCTTTGATGAGGCTTTCAAATCCCGAATCCAGCTCTCCCTGCATTATCCAAATCTAACCAGCCCCCAGCGCCGCAAGATTTGGGTAAACCTCGTCAAACGGCTGAAAAGGTTGAATCAACCAAACACCGACTTTGATGATATCGAGTGCTACATACCCGAACTGGCTGAGAAAGTCATGAATGGACGCCAGATTCGCAACGCTCTTACCACTGCTCGGCAGCTGGCAGAGTTTAAGAAACGAGATATGATACACTCAGATCTTAAGCATGTCATTGAAGTCGCTTTCCCACCTGCTGTTGGTCCATCATCTAAGGAATCCATTGTTAACAATACATCAGTTGCTGGATCCATCATGCTGTTTCTGTCTCTTTCGTTACCCTCAGAACCTTTAGCTAGCTAGCGAATATCATCATTCTCATTCTATCTCGGACTATACATCAATTCTGTGAATCGAAAAAGTACCACAGTTTCCACCAAGCTAGCCTAGGTTATATTCCCATATTCACTATCCAAAAATCAAAATATTGCAATAGAGATCCCATACTATTCACTCACAATCTCATTCCCCCTTCTTTGGGAATATCCTGCCACCATTCCACTCGTATTTCTCTCCTCCCTACCATCCCCAAGTCTTCCATCTCCGTCGTCATCCATCTTCAAGTACTCTATCCGAATCTTTCAGATACCCAGAAACTCCTCTTTATATCCGAACCCAAGCACTGAGCGAGCGTCAAAACCGCCCGGAGAGTCGGCACATTCAATCTTCTAACTCATTCCGGAGCTCCTCGGTAAGCTTCCTATTGTATTTATGAGCACATGGGTTCTGACATCTCAGGGGGCATCAATACGGACTTCCATTGATCAGTGTACCAGGCAGCAGTGAGAGGCTCTTTTGGCAGCTATCGTCATGAAGCTAAGCAGCAGGGGTAGTACGAACTAGGCTGTGAACGTCTCAAGCATAGCCAATATGACGACGTTGCGAGTACCTGCGTTTCTGGCCAACGCAATTGGCGGTGTCTATCCAAATGACCTACACCAAGCCCTCTAAAGAGGTCACATCAGCAAGCTGATATTCGGAAAGCCCGCTTCTGCATTTACTATAAAATCTCAGCAACCCCGCCTATCCTTCTCTTTGAGAGAGCTCAAGCAAAGCGAAATAACCTTCACGGCCGAGAATCGCGCGATAAATATCCACTTCTGTGACGATAAAGCACAAGAGCTCCTCCACCAGCAGGTCCACTGCAGGGTTGATACGATAACCCGATTGTTGTACGGCAACTCGACCAACTGTTCAACCGGAACCCGGTCATAAAAGCTGGTGACCCTGCCCCTAAAGGCGAAGAAGCAGACATGGTTGAAGTCTTATTAATTCTAAAGGTTGGCACCTGATCAATACCTTCCCATCAGACGAGCAATTGCACAAATCATAGGAGGATGTTCCTACCGACTACCGGTTCTGCTACTCAAACAAGTGTCTTGCTGAAAGGCTGCCAATACAATGATGAAGTGGCCCTTGTCAAAGATTCTAGTCGAGAGGATCCTTACCCAGTGTCGGAAATTATATTGCCCCCCGACAACGAGACAGCGACAACCTGGTTGCATCTTAACGACCCGAAATTAAATTAGATCGGCGGAAATACCATCATCTGGATCCAATGTCCTATAACGCTTCGCGAGCAGACACAACAGATAGTAAAATGGATACGCGATTACGTTACAGCAGTCCGCAGACATCCAGATCCCAAATCGCACTGGTTCAGGAAGCTCAATAACGTCAATACCAGCACATGTCGAAGACCCGCTATGCCATGGCGTTACTATAATCCTATACTTGGCGATCGGGCTGGAAAGAAAAATATAAGATTCTAATCAAAAAAGGCCATCCTCGCTCACGGCAGAGAAATAGATCCCGAACTATTCCAAACTTAACATGCAGCAACACTCACCTCTTCCTGCATCCATGAGAGATTCCCGGATAAACAAAATGCAATTTCAGGCCAACCTCGATCCGTTTCAGCTCGTTGCTTTCCAACAGTCCACCATGGCAATTGCTGGCGGGCTCAAATTAATCCAAGCCCCCAGGAACGAGGAAAACAAAGATGGCAGTTTCGATCATTCTTACATACATGGGGCTCAACATTCTCGTGGCTTCTAGTTCGAACAAGGCGGCTAATAGCCTTACAAGCGCTTTGTATAAGCGACTCAAGAATCACGAGCTGCGTAAATAATATAGCCAGATCGCCAAGCTAGCAGCTAAACATCTTACGCAAAGACAGTCTAGATACACAGCGTATCCCCCGAACCATTAACTTCTCTGCAACAAAGGCGACCATGCAAAAATATCAGTTATACAACATAGCCGAAATCATTGCGAGAAGACAGGACAAAGTCAATAACACATACTCTGTCAAATAGAGATTTCTAGTGGAGAAAGACCGACATCAAGGATTACAAGGCGGAGAGCCTAAATTCTTGAAAGATGCGACCAAGCATATCATAAAACGTGTGTTAAAATGGCCCTAAAACACGCATTGTTACAAGTACGCTAAAATGTGCCGCGTCCGAGATCCCACGTGCATATTTCAAGCCACAGGGTCTGGCAGAAGTGCAGTGATTATTCATTAACAGGCCTGGAATAGCAGTCAGGAAAGAGGACGAGACATTATAGACAAATTGTTATCAGGCTCAGGCACTGTTTAACATCATACGATGTCTGTACAACTTCCAAGCTCCAAGAGGGGACCAAGTACAGCCAGATGACATGATAGTCATTACCCCCTATCGCGCGCAGCCAAATCTGATCAGAGTTGCCCTCGGACACGAACAGCTTCTCTGCAAAAATATTCTCATAATCGACGCGGCGCAAGGTCAAGAATCCCCTGTTGTGTTTCTCTTGATAGCAAAACCGAGCGAGAACCCTCGAAACTTAGGCTTCAACACGGGCCATAACCGGCTAAATATTGCCTCAGTCGAACTCGATCATTAGAAATCTTCAAGTATGGGACAGCAAAACAGCGGAGTGGATAACGAAGGATACCAATGCCCATTTTCTTAGAAAACTGCTGTTCAATATTGACACAAAGAAGACGGTGTTAAAATAGGACAACAGCAACACTGGCCAGACGGCAAGCCAAGTTCAAAAAGATGCAAACAAGCACAGCTCCCAGTACTCCCAAGCACGATTGCCACACCTGAGCCAACTCGGAGGAAAGAATGATACAGCCCTTATCAGAACTCCAGCTTAGTATCCACACTCAGGAGCAACTAGCAGCAATAGCAGCAACTAACCGGATGCGAGTCGAACATGATGCTGTACAACGTCGTTTGGCTGAATACTGCCGGGATCGAGATATGAGAGAGAGAGAAGAGATCTCGATCGCACGCAAAGTCTGCCCAAGAGGCGTTGAATGAGGCAGGACGTGCAGATGTTAAGGAGGATGTTGAATACAAGAGATGAGTTTGACGAGATAGGTGTCCAATTAGACTTCCTCGCGGCAACCTCCTCTCACAGCATGCATAGCATGCTACACTACATGCTTTGCTGGTTGGAGTTGCTTCAGTTCTCTTGCCCCTCAACAGACCCCGGATGAGATGAGCCCGCGCCGGGTGGGTGGTTGAAGTGATAGCGACGACAAGCACACAGACACCCGGGGAGATCTCTCGCCGAAAGCGCAGTGGACACAAAAATGTGGAGTTTTCTGACATCTTCCAAGCCTTTAGGTCGCCAGATCTCACTGACTGGCCTCCGTATCTTCTAATTACAGATCTATGCTTTCTCGAAGGCTGATCTGAAGTTATATTATCCAGCTGAAGTTATATTATCCAGTAGAAGCCAAAGTTTTTAAAGTCTCTCAATAGCTAGCATACAGCACCATCAGATAAGAAATAAAAGCAATTCAAGATATGACCCAGACATGGTTCTCGATTCAAAGTCTTCGCCGGCTTATATCCTCAAACATGATTCACTAGTATCTCCTTGCACAACTGGCCATGCCCACTTGAGTAATTGATCAATCATATCATGATACAGGGACAAGTTGATAAAATCACGGTAGGCTGTCCCGGGTGGAGGCGTGACTGCAAATTGCTCAAAATGCAGGAGCTCGGTGAACTGAACATTTAGCCGACTGCCATCAAAGTACGCATAAAGAAGGCGACGATGCCCCCGGGAATCACGCAGTAGGATCAGCCTCTGAATCCATTGTCAATAATTCTCTTTGTGGAATAGATATAAAAACAGCAAACCGGTAAAATATGATTGAAGGCCGTGGAACCTTGCTTAAACTCCTTGTTCTGAAGTTCATCTCTTTGCGACCTCATGGAATGTAGGATTTCATCCACTGCTGCAAGCACTTCACTAATTGACGGCAATTTATCATGGCAAAAGTGAACGTCATATTCGGTCATGCCATGACTCAGAGACAGGAAAGATGGAATAAGGTCACCGAGCCTGAGAACCCTCTTATAAGGCATGCCCGGAACCGGCGCTCTGTAGTTACGGCGTTTCAGCTCATCTTGATAGACCGAAGTGTCAGGCGCATATCTATATCCAAGCCAGGGCTTGTAAAAGTGACGGGGCCTCGGTTCCAGATGCTCTGGATCAGGGGATCTTAATCACACTTCAGCATGTATTCCCAACCCGCTAATTCGAATCGTAGATCAAAGAACACTTACGTCTCCTTTACCCACCCGTAGGGTACAACCCTAAACTATTGGTTAGCTACTAAGAACCTATAGGTTGATAGCGGCCTGAAGCTTCGGATAGGCGCTGACTTACTTCGTATAGCTAATGTGTGTCTCTCTCTCACTATTCATCCCACAGGCATAATTATGAAGTGTAAGCGTTAGGCACGTTGGGATGTCTAGCTTTCCATTCTCCGGGTTCTGTCCCTCGTCGAGCAGTACGTCCTTAAGATCTCCGCTTGTGTCACGACAGCTAGGGAAGGATTTGCGTGGGAGAAAGTAAGGCGTCACGGATTCAGATGTTGCACCTGTATCAATATCCAAGTGGTGAAAGTTGATCCTGAGCAATTTGGCCATGTCATCAGTGAGGTCTTCGCCGTTCAGGTTCCAAAGAGATTCACGGATTTCCGCTAGGTCCTGGTAGCGATTTTCGAGTCGAAGGTGTAAGGGAAGCATTTTGAGCACTTTCTGGTTGATCAAAGACGTTGCTAATGGTGTGGTGAGAAGTACTAAGAAGAAGAGATGAATTGATCGAAGAGGTGTGAGTCATGGTAGCGTTCTGCCCGACCGTCATTCACACATCATGAGTTTGTCACGCCTGAGGGTGCTTGGTTGGTTGGCACATGACCTGTTCATTACTCGTCCTCTCCATCCAATTCCCCTTCGTTGAAGCAGATGGTTAATCTCTCAAAACTTGACGTTTCTTTCCTTCCTACTAATCTGCGGTCTTCCTACAGTGTAGGTGATATTATTAAGGACCCAGCTTCCTGCGCCAGTGCATCTGGTGCTAGATCACAGCCCGAACATTTATGTGGGAACCACTTGCTGCCTGTTAGAAGTGGACGTCCGGAGGAACCAATAGTAAATAATATGTCTTTTACCTCGCTCCTTCTAATCCTTATTTAAGGCTATCCATCAGGAAAACCACCCACAATAGCACCATTAAAAATAAGTACAGTGAAATTCAATACCCCATCCTATAAGCTATCTAATCTGAACAATGTCAAAGATGCCCAGGTGATCTCCATCGTGGACTATCTTAATGTCTTGTTGATTCTTGATTGCTATGCCCACGTATCAACCTATTATAGTATTCACGCTATACTCTATTATCACCTTTATCCTTATTATTACAGTCAGCTAATCCCGGAAAGCGTGTCAGCAGTCTTCAAAAGTCAATCCATGCCATGAAAAGCATTAAAAAAGACGCGGCCGAGCATTCGCGCCATGCTCTATCGTCACCTTCATCCTCATCATCACAGTCAGCTAATCCAGGAAAGTATATCAGCAGTCTTCAGAAGTCAATCCATGGCGTGAAAAGTATTGAAGAAGACGCGGCTGAGCATTCGCGCCATGCTCCATCATCACCTTCATCCTTGTTGTCACCTTCATCCTTGCTGTCGCCTTCATCCTCACCGTCGTAGTCAGCTAATCCCGGAAAGCATATCAGTAATCTTCAGAAGTCAATCTATACCGTGCGTGAGACTTAAGAATCTAGTTATTATCTTTATTCTTGTTATTAGAGTTAGCTAATCCCGGAAAGCATGTCAGTAGTTTTTAAAAGTTAATCTATACTATGCGCAAGACTTAAGAGTCTAGTTATTAATTTTATTTTTATTATTACAGTCAGCTAATCCCGGAAAGTGTGTTAGCAGTCTTCAGAAGTCAATCCATACCGTGCGTGAGACTTAAGAGTCTAATTATTACCTTTATCCTTGTTATTGTAATCAGCTAATCCCAGAAGGTGTGTTAGCAGTCTTTAAAAGTTAATCCATACCGTGCGCGAGACTTAAGAGTCTAATAAAAGTGTTAAAGAAGACGCGGCTGTTAAGACAGAAATATTTATTAGATTAATAGGGCTTGCAGACGTCGGTAATAGCAGACAGAGCCCAGTTCATAATGCTGGTTTAGACAACAGAGGACCAGAGACAGGAGATCATGAATTTGAGCTAGATCGCCTTATCATACATATCGATGTATCTAGTTACCTACTCCATGTCTGTTTTCTTTTCTGACTTTTCATCAGTTGAGAGGAGTGGTAGAGCATTTACAGATTTTAAACAGAGGGAGTTGTGCCATATGTAGACACATGCAGCAACAAAAGTAGATAAAACATCGCCCGTAATCTTAAACAAACAGAAAGAAATAGGAAAAAAGGAGATAAAATAGACAAAACGAGAGGGAAACAGCACAGTAAAAGGATGTCGATATGCGCGAGGAGATGATTTTGTCCCCACGCGATCTCAGGCTCTGGAAGATGTCGGAGAATTCCACATTCTTGTGTCCACTGCGCTTGCTGCGGGCAATTTCCTCGGCGAGCTTGGTGGTCAACGTGTTATGTGGCGCAGATCGCGCTGTGGGTGTCTGTCTGCTTGTCGCTGCTATCACTTCGACCACCCGGTGCCGGATTGCTGGAGCTCGGGTTGATACGTGGGCATAGCAATCAAGAATCAACAAGACATCGAGATGGTCCACGATGGAGATCACCTGGGCATCTTTGACCTTGTTCAGCAGATAGTTGTCTGCATTGATTGTTTTCTCGGCGGCCCTCGTTTCAGCGAATGTAAAGCTTCCATCTTTCACCACCCCGTGGCCGGCATAATGAAAGATCATCAGGTTGTGGTCGCTTTCTGCCTTTGCTTTGGACTTTCCGATAAAGCCGAGGATGGCCTGTTGGAATGTGAGTGCGGGCGAAGAGTCGCTGTGGCGAATAATGAGCTCGACAGCTGGGGCAGCATCCAAATTCTTCAACATCTCCTGGAAGTGCTCAGAATCTTGAGCCGCCTGGGTGTCATCATTTTCCCAGCGCATAGTGACCGAGAATATGTTGGTATAGTCGCGACGGCGCTGTGTGGCGGCCGCTGTCAGAGTGTTTCGGAATTGGCCAAACGTGATCGGTGCCATTTCTAAGGATCCAAAAGAAGTCAGAAGCCACGTGAGAGTTTCATAAGTACAGTAGGGAGCATACTGATTAGTTCTGATCTCGATACTGGTCAAGTGCTTTGATTAAGGAGAAGTCTCGGATAGAGTACTTGAAGATGGATGACGTTGGAGATGGTGGTTAGGGACGATTGAAGGAGGGCGGGTGAGTCACAATTGCAATGCAAAACAGTGAATATGGTGACAAAAGTGACGTGAATCTGACCTAGGCTAGCTGGGTGACAACCATGGTAATTTTTTGACTCATGAAAATGATGATATTCGATTCATAAGTTATATAATATTCTTTGCTATCCTCTGGAGCTTTACTGTCTACTTGGCTTCTGTTTACTTTTGTCTATAATATGTTAATGCGTTCGCCTATACCATATCAAGCCTTGCATATACGGAGCTAAATAAATCACTCCAACCTAGGACCATGATACCGCTGTCTTGCATAAGCAAACCAATTGAGGACGCCCAGAACTAGCATCACACCCAGCACAACAGACGCATAATCTAAACACCCGAGGAAGAACAGATGGTTAGTATAGAACATAAACTACAAAGAGAAAGAGGGCAAAGTCAAACACACTCATATCTCCTGCCTTCACGGGCACCGTAGCCGGAAAGCAAAAGAAAACCAACAACACCACGGCCCAGATAATACACAATGTATTAGACACGTAGCCCACAGCCGCGGGGAGCCGGAACGGTCGGGTGGAAGGTAGATAGGACGTGTCGCCACGACTGACAAGCAGTAGAGCGGCGGGGACGGCGTAGGAGAGTTGGGCGACGATGACGGTAGTGGATATGAAGGCGTTGAATGCTATATTTTATACATGAGCTGGGAGGGAGGTGGGGATTTGGGAAACAAATGAATAGAGGGAAGGATGAAAATGCACGAACCGGTCGACGAAGCAACATATACGATTCCGACCAATAGCACGACGATGCCGTTCAGTATGAGCGCGTAAACGGGGACACCGAGACGTGGGCTCACGCGTGCCAGTCTATGAGAGTAGAAGAGGGCTTCGTCGCGCGCAAATGACCATGTCAGACGCGACGCTGTCTGATGCACGGCGATCAGGGCGACGCAGGAAACGGCGAAGAGGGCGGTCATGAAGACCGTTGCGGCTGTGGGGGAGCGGGTGGCTTTTTCCCAGAGGAAGTAGATTGGGAAGCTGATGGATGAGCAGTTGTTAGTATATGGTACAACAGAGGGTATTTGCATGCATGAAGGTTTATCAAGTAAATAGGGTGTATGCTCACCCTGTAACCGTCTCCAACGAGTCCCCCACATTCTTCACACTATAGATGATGGCCACGGCGAACGGAAACGCAGTCAGGAACCCCACCAGAACGGTGACTATGACAGCGCGGGGAACAATGCGTTCCGGCTCAAGGCACTCCTCGGCAAGATGCAGCGTCGCATCGAGACCAGAGAGCATGAACTGGGGAGTTGAAAGCCCAGTGAGGAACGAAATACCATCAGGCCAGCCGCCAGATCCATTAACGAAGTGTGTCCATATTTGGCTGGAATCGATATCGGGGGAGGAGCGAGCGGGGCAGGTGATGGTTATGACGAGGAAGGTTGATATCGACAGTATGACTGGACTTTGGTTAGGTGATATCAAATATAAAGCTAATGAGTTTGGGGAGGTAGAACATACAGCCTATATTATAGACCCAAAGGGTTTTGTTGGTCAGAAAAATGTTATAGAGGACGATAAGCGCATTGAAAGCCTGATAAACAAGAAAGTAATGCCATGACTGAGCCTGGTATTCAGGCTGCCATCGAATGACAATGGCCATCAGGGCTTGTGTGGCAGCCAGTGCGATAGAAGCTGCTAGGGTAAGCCATGAGAAAACTGCAGCCAGACCGCTAAAGTATGAGAGGCCACGACTCCAGCGTGGCGACGCCAAAATGGAAGTGAAGTGATACTGGCCGCCAGCAGTGGGATAGACGCTGGCTAGTTCAGCCAGGGTCAACCCAGTAGCCAGCATAGCGACAGTGACGGCGATAATGCCATATAGCAAAGACAGCGCTCCACCCGACTGAATGGCAATAGCAAAGCTAGACGCAATCGCCACCCAGCTGTTGGAAATGTTGTACCCGACAGCAATGATACTCAATATACTAAAACGCCGTTTCATGGGCATGTCGGGCAGGCCGACAATCTGGCCGTTGGCCAGCTCAACTTGCGGAACATGATCGGGGGACTTATTCTTCGATTGCATGGTGAATCTGGAGTATAGTATCGAAAGAATGAGGGGCTCTCAGGTGGGAAGCGCATCTTGAGCGTCTTGTAGTTAGGGCTGGACGAGCACATTCTGATAACCGGAACGCTTATCGAATTCCGAGCGTTATCATGAAGATCTTTCGCATAGACGTCTTTATCTATTGGACCCAGCGGAACCAGAGCGGAATTACGATAACTTTAAAATGACAGGAAAATGCGGGGAAGCTGAGTTTGGACGGTTCCCGTCTTTCTGATTGCTGGCCGTCGCAAAGAAGATCTTCCCTCGGCTCTCCACCGCGGAATCGAGCATCCTTGGTACCCCGGATTTGCAGGGTTGGTTGGCGGGGTCTGCGCTCTGTGCATGATGACGTTACATGGCTTGCAGGTGTCTTGCAAGTGGCTCACCGTGCTGATTGTGGTGGTGGTGAGGTAGTATGGCGGATTCTGTCGAGTACTGGGTACTATATCCGGTGGTAGTTCCTGCGAATAATCAATCCCTCAATTTGGACTGTCAATCAGATTGATACAACCCTGAATGACAGATTGCCGGCTGACGGGGGCTCCATCAGGCCCCACTATGCGCAGCCTTGTGGTCTGAGGCTGTCTAGGCAACGACAAGCTGCCATCTTTTCACAACCTCAACTTCCCCAAACCACATGTTGAATATCCCACTAGGTAGTGGAAGACTCCGGAAATTGTGACTCATTTCGCTGATTGTCCACCACCCGACAATCCCTATATAAGGGCGACCCTGTGGTAGATAGAGGGCGATTGCCATCATCGATCGATTCTTCCATCAAGATTGAAAATCATTCCGTCCATTCGTTTGTTACCACAAAATGCCGGTCCAAGACATTCCTGAAATCCTGCTTCTCTGCATGGAGGACAAGCACAGCACGGCATTCAAAGAAGCGCTGCCAAAGTTCTGGCCTTCCTTCCGATCTGACTCCAAGATCACCATTACCACTCTAAATGAGCGCCTGGCCGCGGTCCCGCGATCCTTGTCTTACCAGCTGGTCGTCTCGCCAGCCAACTCTTACGGCCGCCTAGACGGCGCCTTTGACGATGCCATCTCGCGAGCCTTCTGTCTCCCAGACCATCCTTACGACACTTTGACCGACGCCGCGCAACAGGTTCTTTATGATAAATACAGGGGCTTCGCGCCCCCTGGGACATGCACTCTAGTCCCATTTCCATCTGAGCTTCATGGAAAAAATCCCTGGGGCTGCAAATGGGTGGCCATCTGTCCCACCATGCGCACGCCGCAAAATGTCACGTGGGACCGCGAAATCGTCTACGAATGCGTCTGGAGTTTGCTGTGTGAGGTGGAGCGATGGAACCAGAATGTGCGAGAGGGAAAAACACATGGCGAGCGCATCAATCGCATTCTCATGACTCCGATGGCAACAGGGTGTGGACAAGTCAGCCCGAAGAAATGGGCCGCGCAGTTGGTGTTGGCGATGAAGTATTTTGTTGACGCGGTGGAGAAGCCGCAGCGGTGGAGCAAGTTGGACTGGGGTAATGTTTATGATGACATAGAGGAGATCAAGCAGACGTGGAATCTGGGCTGGTAGTAGTGGTTCCTGGGCTATTGGGTCGGTGGGGACTATTGGCAATGATTGTCAGCCACGCAAGGGGAAGGTCAAAATGACACGAGCTACGCTCATGTAGGGGCTCGAAAATAGCTAGCTAGCCATTTCCAAATTAAAGAGAGAAAATAAAAATTAGGGAAAAAAGCGAGAAAGTTAATGCATCGGATGCCTAAGTCTGCAGAAAAAATGACAAGCCTTGCAGGATCTCGAGACAATGTCTCGAGCAACAAAGTGCATATATAGTAGCTGTTCACGTAGCCATAAACACCAGAAAAATTTCAACTCACCATATTGACTATGAGGGCCTTATACGGGCTTGCCATGCCCCTTCTGGCATCCGCTCTTCCTACTAACTCCCCAGTGGTCGATCTGGGATATTCGATCTATCGAGGCGTGCGACTTTCTGCAGGAATAGATCAATATGTTGGCATGCGGTTCGCTGCTCCACCGCTAAAAGATCTCAGATTCCGCGCTCCTAGAGATCCTGTCCAGGAGTTATCAATACAAGATGCATTCGCCGTAAGTTACTCCTCAGATTCTTCTGTTCAGTCTAACTCCTGACACTGCATGTAGTTCGGACCATCTTGTCTCGGCGTCGAACAGGAAGTCTCTGCTGAGAAATCAGAAGACTGTCTGTATGTTAATGTTTTTGCTCCATCAAATGCCACAAACCTGCCAGTCTGGGTATACATCGAAGGCGGAGGATACGCAACAAATTACGATCCCAACTATAATGGCACCAATGTGATCCGTGAATCGGGCCACAACATCATCTTCGTCAATTTCAATTACCGCGTCGGAGCCCTCGGGTTTCTCGCTAGTGAGAAGGTCAGTCGTGATGGTGATTTGAATGCAGGCCTTTTGGATCAACGAAAGGCTTTGCACTGGGTGCAGCAACATATTCGCAAGGTAAGTTCATCTGGACTGCCGAGTTAGCCCCGTATAACACTGACTCAAGCTAGTTCGGTGGAAACCCAGAGCACGTAGTCATCCAAGGAGTATCCGCCGGGGCCGGCTCTGTGGCTCATCATCTCACCGCGTACGGAGGCCGCGACGACGGACTGTTCATCGGTGCAATCGGCGAAAGCCCCTTCTGGCCTGCACAGCCCACCGTGGCAGAGGCAGAATTCCAATTCGACCGGTTCGCCAACGAAACCGGATGCTCCGACTCTCCGAATATTCTCACCTGTCTCCGGTCTCTCGACATAGACACCCTTGAGCAGGCAAACGTGCAATCCCCTTTCCCAGGTGGCTCCGATGAGCCCCTACCGTTATGGTACTGGCTGCCAGTTATAGACGGAGACATCATTCCCGACAGCCTATACAATCTGTTCGAAGAAGGCAAATACCTAAATGTCACGCTGTTAGTGGGAAGCAACACAGATGATGGCTCAGAATTCGCATACAATGCCTCCAGTCCCGCCGAGCTATCCACATTCCTCAAGAACAATTACCCGCATCTAACTCCCGACCAGCTGGAAGCTATCAACCATGCCTATCCTAAGACAGACCCCGTGCCACAGCACGCAGCGTACTTTCCTTCTGCGTCGGCCGCCTACGGCGAAGCTGCCTTCATCTGTCCCAGCAATTTTATGGCAGACGCCATAATGCGATCCACTGGTCAGGCGTGGAATTATGTATTCAACGTGCATGATCCGACCATGGACGCCATTGGCCTAGGCGTCAGGCATATGCTCGAGACCGAGGCTATTTTTGGTGTCGGATATGGAGGTGTTCACTATGATGCGTATGCTGATGGGAATGCAGGCATCGTACCGGTGACGATGAATTATTTTATCAGTTTTGTGAGAGCGCTGGATCCAAATGTGTTTCGGAAGACAGGGACGCCCGAATGGAAGAGGTGGGGACAGGGAGAACGACTTGTGTTGCAGCATGAGACGCAGATGGAAGTGGTGTCGCAGGAACTGCAAGATCGCTGCGATTTGTGGAGGTCTCTGAGTCCCGTGATGGAGGTTTAGGGTATGATTAGGGCTGCACTCGACGTCATGAACATTTCAAGCTACAAGGTTATTCCAGACGGTTTTCTGCTTTTAAGAGAAAAGGTTTCATTCAGCAATTAAATTTCAATCTGCCTAAGTGCACTCATCAACATTGATTAAACCCTCAATTTGATGAAACAGTCTTATAAAACAGGGCTCGTGTATTACAATTTCCACAGAAATCAAGGCCACTTGCTCTTGTTACGCTGCACAAATTCCTTCCAACCCGTTGGCTTCTGGTCCAACAGTGCATGAGATGCATCCAAGCTCTCACCTCCGTAGTATCCCGGGTCTTCCAGCAAGAGAATATTCTCGTTCAACTCTTCGGCCACCGGGGGAGGCAGGAAGCTCTTGAACACGTCACTGGGGATTTGCACCGCCTGCGCCTTGTGTCCAGTGACTTCGGAGAACTCAGCAATGAGGCGCGCAGGTGTGTAGTACTCGGTAGCAGCTAGGATGCGCTCGGCAGATGGCCCGCGCTTAATCGCCGCAACGACAAATTTGCCTGTTCTAAGTCAGCCAACCGTGGTCACGTCATCACTGAGAAAGGAACCTACCAGTATCATCCCCGACGTCAAACACCGGGATTTGTGCCTTGTGGGGATCAACCGGCCACGCCAGAGTGTACGTGTCGCCTTGCTTGTTGAGCATTTCGAACGTGTTCGAGATGAAGAAACCCGCCAGCACAAAGGAGCCCGGCACGCCACTGGCACGGATGTAACCTTCGATTTCGGCCTTGCCGTCGAAATGAGCGAGCTGCGTCAGGCGGCCCTTGCTCATCTCGGTGACGTTACGAAGAGAAGAGAAGATGAGGTGCTGCACTCCGGCGGCTTTGCTGGCGTCGGCGACGGCTTTGCCCTGCGAGACCTCGACATCCCGTGAAAGGGATTCCCAGAAGTTGGTGACGAGGAAGACCGTATGAGAGCCCTCGATGGCGGCGGCGAGAGACGACGCGGAAGACATGTCGGCCTATGCACGTTAGTTATAGTATATCCAATTTCAAGGGCGAAGCAACGTACCGAGACCACTTCGACGCCCTTGGCGGCGAGGTCTTTGGCTGCAGGCTTGCTAGGGTCACGAGTAATTCCCCGGATCTTGAATTCCTTCGAGAGCGCGGAATCGGCCTGGATGGCTCGAATAACGGAGCCTCCTTGGTTGCCGGTGGCGCCAAAAACGGTAATGAGCTTCGACATCTTGTAGCGATTTAGTTCAAGTGATGTTGGAAACGTTGAGAATAGATAGTCAGATCAATGAGAAGCTGCCAGTGATGATTTCGCTAATGGTTTTCTCATATTCCTCGCCCGTCTTCTCGAACCTATTTATCTCTCCATGAACCATCATGATTTCATGGAAGCAGCAGTTCATGAAAGGCCGAGTTGACTAATGCTCGGCCTTAGTTGAGGCCGAAGCTGAAGAATCACGGAATGTTTACATAATAATGACGCGCGACGTCTTGGTGGGCTGATTATGTCATGTCGGAATGTCGGCGGTTGGATCCCGAGCATCGTCTACCAGACATGGGGCTTACTCAGTTTAACACAATTAGGGACGGAGCTTTGGTGGAGTTTTCTGATTACTTTAAATTGACAGTCTCATCAGAAATTTCAGAGGATGGTTAAACCCCTCTGGTGTGATAGCTTCCCCGAGCTTAAATCGAACTTCGAGCTCTAGGTAAGTTGATCCTACAGGAATAGGTTTTCAAAAATGATTTGTGTTTTGATACTATAAATATATTTAGCCTGTAGAATCATGAGATGCAAGCTGCCAAGCATTTTGCGATTTGCTTACCCCTCCATGGCTTTTCAGGTAGTACGCAGTACTGTACAATGCTATGGAAGGCCTCTTCCTACGCCTTTTAGCCTAGGTGTAACCGTGCAACTAGTTCATTTGTTCATTGGGCCATCGGCTCCCTAAACGTTTTCAAAACCTACTCTTGGCTTATTCTGCATTACACATTTCACGTAGATAGAAAAGGCATGCTTCTCGGCTGAACGCAGAATTTCAACAAACTCAGCCCAACTATAAATATCACAACACCGCAAGGTTCAAGGGCCAGATATCAATGCGGTGTAATCCGCATGGCATCAGTCTGCTGGCGTTCCACATGCGTGTCCGAGGGAGCGACAAAGCAAGGCGCACAGATCTCAGTGTAAGCATGCATATGTGAGATGTCAAATTCTAGGCGTCCGATGAGTATTGTCTGAAAAGGGACAATCGGACACATTACCTACCTTAAGCCCCTCCGAACGCTCAGCCGTCCGGAATACGTAGAAATATACGATCCGCCCTACGGGCAGGCACAGCACAAAGACAACGGATAAGAAATTCAGCGCATCCGTCGGAATGCCAGAAGCCGAGGGATGAACCCAGCAATAGGAAATAATCGGGCGGGTGACCAAGAGATGTTTGAACCAACTTGGGAAGAAATGTAATCGCGACGAAGCCAATCCGGGGCGGGGATCCTGCGGTGGGGCCCTTCCCGGCCAATCGAAGCGGCAGCAATACGGCGGCAATACGGCGCCCATCAGCCCACGTCCGCGCTGATTGGCGGGAATGGCTCAACGTCGAAGAATCCTCTGCAGGACGTCTGGTGATTGGACCGTCCGGCACCTCCTTGGCCGTCTGAGAGTTCGCGGTGACAAAGCCTCCAGGGGTACTTCCCCGGTACATCAGCCCTGATAGCCATCCAGGTGATTGGCCTGGTACTGGGATGTACTCCCCAGCTGTCAGGCCCCCCTCGAATACGACGGCGCCTGATTGCCAAGGGTCAAACTTCCCGACAACAACGCGTTGGATCGCCACTGCCTAATCCAATCCAATGAACTGACTAACCTTTCTTATGGTCAGTCTGTCCGCCGGTTCGGCTGCAGTCAGCTTCCTGGTCTTTCATCGGGTCTCGATTTATGCCTATTCTACTCGGATGCGGCCATTCCGTCTTCCGTACAGGCTCCCTGGCCGACAGGTACAGTACATAGGTAATATCTGCGCCATGTAGAATTAAATTTCTTCCGCCCCCTCTCCCTTTTCCTTCGTTTCTTCTTCCTTCAGACGTGATTCTGGCTCTCGCGAAATTGTTTGTAGGGCTGAATGTGCGCGTGAATGTGATCGTGATCCCCTCTACCTCTTGGTGTTTCCTTGCTGGTGATGTTATTTATCCCTCATCTCCACTGGGCCTACGGTACGTGTTAAGATGGGTTCCCAACCGACAAATCCCGCTCCCTTCGGGTCCTCAGCGGTCTCCACGGAGGCGATGCTGCAATTTGAAAACACCATTCGTCAGCATGCGGAAGAAAATCACCACGACCGTATCGCTTCGATCGAAGAGAAGTCCGACAGCTCGGATACCGCCGGTGCGAACTCGGAGGATGGCATTGAACGTGATGGCCAAGAGAAGATCGCGGAGCTGGCCCGAAGACTCTCTGTGATCTCGCAGAAAAGCTTCGTGGGTGATGGAACTAACACCTTCCTCAACCCGACGAGCGACCCGGAGCTGGACCCGAGCTCGGATCGGTTTAACTCGCGCAAATGGACCAAGAACCTCCTGCATATCACCTCTCGCGACCCGGACCGATATCCTCGACGTACGGCGGGCGTGTCCTTTCGCAACCTGAGCGCCTTTGGATATGGTACTGCCGCAGACTATCAAACCGACGTGGCCAACATGTGGCTGAAGGGCTTCGGGTGGCTGCGTAACACGCTCGGGTTCGGGAATAAAGTTCGTATTGATATTCTACGGAACTTTGAAGGCTTCGTTCGTAGCGGGGAGATGCTGGTTGTTTTAGGTCGTCCAGGAAGGTAAATATGACCGCAATCTGTTTCTGGCCTATCTGGTGTTCCTCTGTCTAACCGTTGTTTTTTCAGTGGTTGCTCGACCTTTCTCAAAACCATTGCCGGGGAGACCCACGGTCTCTGGCTGGATGAAGGGACTGATATCCAATACCAGGGTATCTCTTGGGACGAGATGCACAGTCGCTTCCGTGGAGAAGTCATCTACCAGGCCGAAACCGAAATTCATTTCCCGCAGCTCACCGCGGGCGAGACACTACTGTTTGCAGCCCATGCTCGAGCTCCGGCCAACCGAATCCCCGGAGTTTCTCGTGATCAGTATGCGACGCATATGCGAGACGTCGTCATGGCCATGCTGGGCTTGAGTCATACCATGAACACCCAGGTGGGTAACGAATTCATCCGTGGCGTGTCGGGAGGAGAACGGAAGCGAGTGAGTATCGCGGAGACGACTCTCTGCGGTTGCCCTTTGCAGTGCTGGGATAATAGTACCCGTGGCTTGGACAGCTCAACGGCTCTCGAGTTCGTGAAAAATCTTCGGCTGTCGACCGAGTATACCGGGTCAACGGCGGTGGTTGCCATCTATCAAGCTAGTCAGGCCATTTATGATATTTTTGACAAAGCAATCGTCCTTTACGAGGGCCGTCAAATTTATTTCGGCAATGCCCATGACGCAAGACGGTTTTTCATTGACATGGGGTTCGACTGTCCGGATAGACAGACTACGGCCGATTTCTTGACTTCTCTCACAAGTCCCACAGAGCGTCGGGCTCGAAAGGGGTTTGAAAATCTCGTCCCTCGCACGCCTGACGAGTTTGCCGCTCGCTGGAGAGATAGTCTTGAGCGACAGCAACTCCTTACAGATATTGACCATTTCCAAAACGAATTCCCCATCGGAGGCAGCAAGCGACAGGAGTTCGATCGCTCCCGTGCTGCAGAGAAGGCTAAGTCAACCCGGGCAGCTTCTCCGTACACCTTGTCTTATTTCGGTCAAATCCGTCTTTGTCTTTATCGGGGAGGTCTTCGCCTCAAGGGTGACATGAGCATGACCTTGACCTCGGTCATCGGCAACAGTATCATGGCGCTGATTGTCGCAAGCGTCTTCTACAATTTGGACGAGACCACCAACAGCTTTTTCTCTCGCGGCGCCCTTTTGTTCTTCGCTATTCTACTCAATGCTTTCGCGAGTGCCCTGGAAATTTTAACTCTCTGGCAGCAACGACCCATCGTGGAAAAACATGACAAGTATGCGCTATATCACCCATCGGCTGAAGCCATTAGCTCCCTAATCGTCGATCTTCCGGCGAAGGTACTGGTGTCTATCGTCTTCAATATTATCATATACTTTATGACAAACTTGCGCCGTACACCCGGGCATTTCTTCATATTTTATCTTTTCTCAATAACGACAACGCTGACCATGTCCAATATCTTCCGATGGATTGGCGCAATCTCACGGTCCATGGCTCAAGCCATGGTTCCTTCGTCTATTTTCATGTTGATTCTGATTATCTACACGGGCTTTACCATTCCAGTTCGAGATATGCATCCATGGTTCCGGTGGCTTAATTATCTGGATCCAATCGCGGTAAGATTCATAGCAATTCGATCCTTTCATCAAGTCCCGGTTGCTGACTTTAAGGTAGTATGCGTTCGAATCTCTCATGATCAACGAATACAGCAATAGGCATTTCGATTGTGCCCTTTATGTGCCTTCGGGACCAGGATACGAAAACACTCCCCTATCCTCGAAGGTCTGCTCTGGAAATGGTGCTGTCGCGGGTCAGGACTATATTGATGGCGACACCTATCTCAACTCAACTTTTCAGTATTACCAATCGCACCTGTGGCGCAACTATGGTATTCTTCTGGGGTTTCTTTTCTTTTCCTTGGCAGCCTACATCATCTCCAGTGAGTTGGTTCGGGCCAAGCCCTCGAAGGGTGAAATTTTGGTCTTCCCCCGCGGGAAGATCCCGACGTTCACGAAGAAAGCCCACCAGGACGAGGAAGGCGCACCCACTCCTGAGAAGCAGCAGGCACTGGAAACCGAAGCCCAGGACCATACTGGTGCGATTGCCAAACAGACATCGATATTCCACTGGGAGGATGTTTGCTACGACATCAAGATCAAGGGCCAGAATCGACGCATTCTAGATCATGTTGACGGGTGGGTGAAACCAGGGACCCTGACGGCGTTGATGGGAGTGACTGGAGCGGGCAAGACATCCCTTCTGGACGTGCTGGCCAACCGTGTGACCGTGGGAGTCGTTACCGGTGATATGCTAGTCGACGGCCGTTTGCGGGATGACTCTTTCCAGCGCAAAACGGGGTATGTTCAGCAGCAGGATTTACATTTGGAAACAAGCACCGTCCGAGAGGCGCTCATTTTCAGTGCCTTGCTCCGTCAACCCGCCAGTACTCCGCGCCAGGAAAAGCTCGAATATGTGGAAGAAGTGATAAAAATGCTCAACATGCAGGAATACGCTGAAGCCGTGGTCGGAGTTCTCGGCGAGGGCCTGAACGTTGAGCAGAGAAAGAGATTGACCATCGGCGTGGAAATCGCGGCCAAGCCCGGTCTTCTGCTCTTTTTCGACGAACCGACTTCTGGGCTTGACAGCCAGACCGCGTGGTCCATTTGCTCCCTCATGCGAAAGCTGGCTGACCATGGCCAAGCCATTCTCTGCACGATTCACCAGCCGTCGGCAATCTTGATGCAGCAGTTTGATCGGTTGCTGTTCCTGGCCAAAGGAGGACGCACGGTCTACTTTGGTGAGCTCGGCCCCAACATGGAAACCCTGATCAAGTATTTCGAGAAGAAAGGCTCGCCCAAATGCCCCCATAACGCCAATCCCGCCGAGTGGATGCTGGAGGTTATCGGCGCTGCCCCCGGATCTCATGCGGAGCAGGATTGGGGAGAGGTCTGGAAAGAAAGCCCCGAGCGAGTTCAGGTCCGACAGGAGCTTGCCGACATGAAGGCCGAATTGTTGCAGCGGCCGCCTCCTCCTAAAACGGTTGAATACGGAGAATTTGCGATGCCGATTTGGTCCCAATTCCTCATTTGTCTCCAGCGAATGTTTCAGCAGTACTGGCGCAGCCCGGCGTACATCTACTCCAAGGCAACCACGTGTATTATCCCGGTGAGTACTAGGTTCTCCTTGTAAACAACATTGTGCGATCTCAATACTGATAACATATGCATAGCCCCTGTTCATTGGCTTCACGTTCTGGCGAGAACCGACGAGTTTCCAAGGCATGCAGAACCAGATGTTTGCCATCTTCATGCTGCTCGTTATCTTTCCCAACCTGGTCCAACAAATGATGCCATACTTCTGTACGCAGCGATCCTTGTACGAGGTCCGCGAACGTCCCTCGAAGGCCTATTCGTGGAAAGCATTCATGATGGCCAGCGTAGTGGTCGAGCTGCCGTGGAACATCCTCATGGCCGTCCCGGCGTTTTTCTCCTGGTATTATCCGATCGGCCTCTACCGCAACGCCTATGCGACGGACGCGGTGACCGAGCGAGGGGGCACCATGTTCCTGCTTATCTTGATATTCATGATGTTCACCTCTACGTTCAGTTCGATGATCATTGCCGGAATCGAGCACCCGGAGACAGGCAGTAACATTGCCCAGCTGCTGTTTTCATTGTGCCTCATTTTCAACGGGTATGTAACTGCTCCGGTTAGGATAGACGAGGGTAATGCTGACGTTTGATACAGTGTCTTGTCAACTCCGGATGCGCTTCCCGGCTTTTGGATTTTCATGTACCGAGTCTCTCCCTTTACATACCTGGTGAGCTCGGTGTTATCAGTTGGTTTATCGGGGACGGATGTCGACTGTTCGGACATTGAACTCCTGCGCTTGCCGCCTCCTGACGGACAGAACTGCTCGACTTTTCTCGGGCCCTTTGCGGAAGGAGCGCAAAGCCGACTGATAAACCCCGAGTCCGACACCGAGTGTCTGATGTGCACGTTCAAGAAAACGGACCAGTTCTTGGACGGCTTGTCCATCCACTACGACGATCGCTGGCGCAACATTGGAATCTTGTTTGTCTACATCGTTTTCAACGCGGTGGCCGCCGTCTTTCTGTATTGGCTGCTGCGCGTGCCGAAGAAGAAATCGCGCAAAGAGAACAAGGAATAGATAGATGCGTTGATTTGTCAGATGTAATATAGGAGGTTGCCGTTGTTGTCATTTTTCTTTTTCTTTTCTTTTTTCTTGACGTTTGTCTCCCCTCTTCTTCCAGATATATTTCTTTTTCTTCTTAAATGATCAGCCCCTATGCATATAGCTGTCTCAGAAATATTAGTTCTATTTTCCATTCTGCATCCGGACGCATGCACGCAGGGCGTCGAATGATCAAGGCCCAATTGCGGAAGAGAATTCGACCGAGATTCGATGGGCTTACAGCGACGGGGAGTCGGATCCTTTGACCATTCACCCGGGTTGACACGCGAGAGTGTTGGGACATGGGACGGAGCGTCGGACCTCGAGCGTTCCGTCCGCAGTTTCCCTCCGCTCGACTCGTCTGGAGGAGGAGTTATCTAAGGGTCTGACTAGTATGACGCCGTTGTGGGGCGAGAAATAAGCCTTGTCGAGAGAGCGACGGGACATCAGGGCAGGACAGTCGACGGTGATTTGCCGTGGGAGCCCGTCCGGGAGACAGGAACCCGATCGTTGTGCGGCAGTGGAGCGCAGGATTGATCAAGGCAAGATGATCGATCAATAAGACGGGGTCTATGGAGTAGGAGCAGGATGGAGACTGCAGTAGGGGAAAGTAGGGGAAAGTAGGGGAAAGTAGGGGAAAGTAGGAAAAAAGCCCAAACGAAGGAACAAAAAGTGGCGCCGCAAAAATTGCCGGAAAGGGTTTAGCGGAAGGAAGCGGTGAGGGCCCGAGCGATGACTAAGGCGGTGATCTCATTCTCCGCTTTTCTTCCTTTCTTCTTTGTCTTTCCTCTCCCACTCACTCACTCTCTCTCTCTCTGGCGTCTCTTTGCTTTTGCCGGGGCCAACGCGGGCAAAAGCAACGCACCACTTCGCCCCGTCCACAGCTCAACCTGCAGCTGTCCGATCCCTGTCCGTCCAACCATCCGTCCCGATGGTCAACGCCCTTGCCCGTTCCGGTATCCGCAGCTGTTCCACCGCTGGCTGTGTTGGTCCCAATTCTCCGCGCTAACGGGTCTCATCGGTCGTTCGAGTCTGGGGGCCAAAAGTTCCATGACCTGGTTGGCCTGAGCTAATGCACGCCAACACTGCCTGTTTGCGGCTGACTTCTTACCCCCCTTCTCTCCCCCCCTTGGGCAACCGCCAGAATGCGCCCACGAGGTGCTCCCCCGGCGTTTTCGCTGGACGGTGAGGCTCCCCCAGAGATTAGAGGACTGCTTCTGGGCCAATACCTTCGCGCAGCACCCTGGCTGGCCGTCTTCCCACGAGACAAGCCCATGCAACGGGACAAGCCACCGCCGGTCCAAACGTAAATCATGGTTCCAATCGATGCTCCAGTAATTTTAAATAACAAAGAAAGAAAGAGGTGGGGACGACGGATGGATCTGAATGGCCGAGCCACGGACCATTGCTGGACTGCGCCAGATGGACTTTGCCCACCTGCTGCAGGGGCTTCTCGACTTCCTTCCAGTCCATGCCGATGACGAATCACTGTCGCTCATCGCTTTCTCCGCCTAGTTTTTTTGAGGCTCAACACAATACCCATTCTCTGATCGTCGCACTGTTGTCCCGGTTAGGGTGCTTTGGTACTGGCTTCGCCCCGTGGGTTTTCTACCGCGCGCGCATATATATCGGAATGGCCCCAGCTGGGGGGTTTAAAAAAAAAGAAAAAGGAAATACTCATCGTCGCGCAGCTCATGAAATTCTCGACTCGTCCTCCTGCTTTTGACTACGCTTAGGCAGATTTCCTCCGTCCAACATACTACTACTGCGCCGCGATGAATCAATTCCCCCCATTCACTGAACCCCGGTCTCAGCTCTCAGCCCCGGATCCTCTCGTCATGCAGCAGGATTACCAGCTCTATCCCTCCGACTCGGATTCCTACGTTACCTCGATGGCTCAGCCATCCATGATGGAACCTCAATCCTCAGCGCCGTCCAAAGGTCTTTATATGCTCGCGCCGGCGCCATGGCCACAGAATGCAGTCTGCCCGGATCAGGTCAACCCTCTTCCCATGGACATGACCTACCATCCCGCCGTCGCCGATTTCTCGCCGTCCGCCTGGGGCGGCAATGTCTCGACGATCTCCGGGCCCGAGAGCCCGCAGAGCAGTAACAGCAGCTGGGCTAATGCCGGCTGCTACATGTCACCGCCCTACAGTTGCGACGACTCCCTGCTTCCGCCGCAGGAGTACTGGGATTCGCCTTCCCCGAGTGCCTCCGCTGATTTCGATCGCTCGGTGGCCCCGTCGGACGTGGTGCAAAACTACCCCGAACCGGAGCCTATTGTTGGCTCTGGATACGCGCCCCAGCCGGTCGTCAACGGCTTTTCCCTGTCGCTGAATACCCCGGACGCGTTCAGCAATGCCTCTCCTTCGCCGTCCATGTCGCCCACCTTTCAGGAACCCGTTCCTTCGCAAGCTCTGCCCGTGCCATCTCCCACTCCCGCTCCCAATCCTCCCAAGACCAAATCCTCCCACCGCGTGACCAAGCGCCAACCTGCGAAAAAGCCATCGCAGAAGGCCGGGCCTACATCGGCTCCTCTCTGCACCTCGAAAGCCAAGCCCAACGGCAAAAAGGCCCCCGAGGCTTCCAATCGACTGTTCGTATGCAGCTTTTCACACTACGGGTGCCCGAGCACCTTCGTCTCGAAAAATGAGTGGAAGCGACATGTGGCGTCGCAACACGTTCAGCTCGGGTTCTTCCGATGTGACGTGGGACGTTGCAACCTGAACAACCTCAGCCGAGACAACAACCAGGTTTCCGAAGACGGCGCTTCCTGTGATGAGGTCCGCCTGGTCAATGACTTTAACCGAAAGGACCTCTTCACCCAGCATCAACGTCGCATGCACGCGCCCTGGGTGAAGCGCAATCGCAAACAGCCGGTGACCGAGGACGAGCGGCACAACTTCGAGTTGACTCTCGACGAGGTCCGCGCTCGTTGCTGGCACGAGCAGCGCACCGCCCCGCTGCGCAGCCAGTGTGGATTCTGCGGCCAGGAGTTCTCGGGGCCTCGCAGCTGGAACGAGCGTATGGAGCACGTCGGTCGGCACTACGAGAAGAGCGATGTTCCCCTTGACGCCGAGGCCGAAGACCATGCCCTGCGCGAATGGGCCGTCGAATCCGGCGTTGTCCGTTTGGCGGACGGCCAATGGAAACTGACTTCCATTGTGGACAAATAGTCCCACTCTCTCCTTTGTTTCTCTCCTTGTTCTCTTCTCTTTCTTTCATCCTGCTGGTTGAATTGCACCCTCTCATCTCATTCTAATCACTCGGCCTTCCCAATGACTGCGACGTCACGGCCGAGTGATAGTTGGTTTACGATTGATGACAGATATCCTGTATTTTTGAATTTCCGTCGCTTGCTTTTACGGACTGTTTATATTTTTTTAATCTTTTTTCCTTTGGACTTTTTGATCTTCGGCGCGAAATACCCAAGAGCAAGGAATGGTTTGAGTGAATGATAGATGGATCCGGTCTTCATTTTCGGTTTGGCATAGCTGGTTATTTTGCATTTCTGGTTCAAGCTTGAAATTGATTTGATTAAACGTATACAACTTTGATTTATGTTCTCCACAAGACTACCTGCCACTCGGTAACCTACAAGCCGTCAACACTACGTAGCTAGACCGTTTCATCCCGAAATACCTTCGACAGAAACCACCCAGTCTAACCCACAACACGATAAAAGACACAAGCTACCAAAACCAAGCATCAAGACCACCCACACTGAAGAACCATATTTGATCTCTCCACAACGGACCTAAATACTAACAAAGTAGTCAATAAAATCGAACTAAACCAGATCTCAAATGAACCCAATCTCGACCGGCGTCTAGACTCTAGATTCTAGAACCCCACCATCTGCACTAACTAATCACCATGCACAGCATACGCGCATATTATTAAATCTCCGATCGACGTATGTCATATATCCTCGGAGTATATCCGGGGTGATTATGATTCTATGGAGCCGTCCGGGCCGCACAAGGCTGCAGCCTGACGTGACTTCCCAGAGAAAAGTGGATGCCCACCTGCCGTGCCTGACGATCTGGATTAGGCGTGCTAACTATTGTTTAGTTTGGACTAGTAGATTGGATTACCTATTCAAGGCGCTAGATTGGAAGAGAGGTTAGGGTGGGTTGGTGTTCATGGCGGAATGGGGACTAGAATTGGTCTATGAGGGTTGAGTCGTGCTATATATGTCTAGCTAAACTACGCTAGTGTTTATGGAGAGTGGTTGTTTAGTTTAAACCTAGGTGACGGTACTATATGTTTTGGGACTTCTGAATATACAGGTGTACATGCTGGATGGGGTAACTTGCTGCCATATAAGAAGCAAGTATAGATACTGATTGGCCGAGCCGGTCCGATGCCGGATGGGAGTGACATCATATGATTGGACTTGGGATCTGCAGGGCATCGGGCAATGAATGCATCTGCAGTGTTCATCAGCTCACCGTGACTAGCCGGCCACGCAGAGTCCGATCTAGGAGCTACGAGTAATTGCGGGGGTATATCACCAGAGAGCTCTAGCTATTGACCAACGACCGATTCACCGGAATCAAACAAACTACGAACATACAAACATCATCCACTCAATCCCACAATATGTCCAAGTCAACCATCAACCAAAACCCCTACCCGTGGACCTTCCAAGCCAACCAGCCCACCACGGGCATAAACACAGGAACATCGCAAGACCTCGCGATGACGATTCCCCAAGTCCGGGGCTCCATTCCATCATTCCAGGCATCGCGGCTACGGTCCATGATGCAAGAGGCACATGCGGACCCGGCGAAGATTGTGGCCCACGTTTGCAGCTACGATGCACTGAGCTCGCGACTCTGTCAGGAAGCTGGGTTTCCTATGGTCTTTCTATCGGGATACGCTATGTCTTCGGCGTTCGGGCTGCCGGATACCGGGTACATTGCGTTCCAGGAGGTGGCCGCGAAGATCCAAGAGGTTGTGCGCGAGACGTCGGTGCCGGTCATGGTAGATGGGGATACGGGGTATGGGAGTCCGATGAATGTGCGGAGGACGGTTCAGGGGTAGGATCACCCCTAACGCAGACATACAGAATCGTATTGATTGTGACGATCGAGGTATCTGCATCGGAAAGAGAGCAGGAGAGAAGCTAACGATAGATAGGTTTGCCCTAGCTGGAGCCGCAGGAGTGATGATCGAGGACCAAACCTGGCCGAAGCGTAGGATCCCATTCTTCTCTCTTCGCTGGGGTCACCAAGGCTAACTGTTAAAAACTAACAGGCTGCGGGCACACCAAGGGCAAAAACGTCGTTTCTCGCGACGAAGCCTACGCCCGCTGGCAAGCCGCCGTGGACGCCCGCAACGAAGGGACAGATATCTGGATCCTTGCCCGCACTGATAGCTACATGCACGGCTACGAGGAGGCGCTCACTCGCGCCCGCAAGGCCATTGAGATCGGCGTCGACGCGGTCTTCGTCGAGGCCCTGCCCGACCGGGCCGCCATGGCGCAGATGCGTTCCGATCTGGACTTCCCCATGCTTGCGAATATCATCGAGGGCGGGAAAACCGAGAACCTCTCCGCCAAGGAACTGGGAGAGCTGGGGTTTGCGGCCGTTGCGTACCCCTGGACGTTGGTGGCGGCGAAGCTGAAGAGCATCCGGGAGGCTTTGGAGGGGGTGAAGGGATCTTTGTTGACGGGGAAGCCGCCAATGATCCTGCCCTATGATGAAGTCTGCGAGGGTGTGGGATTTAACAGGTATTATGAGTTGGAGGAGAGGTATCAGTACGAAGGGTCTGTGACAGGGACGAAGGGATATCAGTTTGAGTAAACTGTCCGCACGAGGGGAGCCTAAGCATCTGCATGGAATCTTGGGTGATGATAGAAATATCTCATGCTTAACGTTGCCTTCCATCTCATGCTTAACGTTGCCTTCCGAATCGTGTTTGAATGACCTGGAACTGTCATTCTCTCTGGAAAAAGCCGCTTGAAAGACATTCGCGTTCGGTGCTTTGCAGGCTCTGGCTCAGACTCTATCCTGTGATGGGAGGTCCTTCGCTTTAGCCATCTGCCAAGAGTCTCTGAGGAACAAAACGTATCCGGGTGATCAGGGCCCAGATGTTTGATCCGAAGGTTGACGCATTTTACCATCAACCTCAGCGCGTTGTCAACTTTCCCTAGAGAATCCCAGGTACAGGCAACTTGGTACATGCTAGTCAAAGTGCTGGGATGCTCTGGCCCAAGAACCTGCTCGCAGGTCTTCATCACCCGTAATTGCAACTCTTCTGCTTTCTTCTGTCGTCCCTGATTCACATATGTTGATGCTAGGTTTCCCATACTAGTCAGAGTGCTAGGATGTTCGGGCCCCAGTACTTTTTTACTGGTCTCGATTAGCTGTACCTGTAATTCTTCTGCTTCCTTCCATCGGCCCTGACTCTGATGTATTGCTGCCAGGTTTCCTATGCTGATCAGAGTATCGGGATGCTCTGGTCCCAGGACCTGCCTGTGAGAATTCATCACCTGTATTTGCAATTCTTCTGCTTCCTTCCATCGTCCTTGATGGCAGTATGTCGATGCCAGGTTGGCTTTAATGGCCAGGAAGTCAGGGTGTTTGTCACCACTTGTCGTTTCTTGTGTTTTCATGATAGTTGTAAAGAGCAGCTCCGCTTCATGATATCTCCCATCGCAATACAGGTAATTCCCAATTTTATGAAGCAAGCTGACGTATTTCTCTTGCTGCATCTGAAACTCAACCTCTCCTACCAGTGATAGCGCATGTGGTAGATATTGTCGCCAAAGCTTTCCATTGTCATGATTGGCATCTGGAAAGACCTCATTGAATCGGTCAGCAGCCCTAGAAGTCCATTGGGCAAACTGCTGATTCTTTCTCATCCAGCTACGGATAGCAAGATGCACTAGCCGATGAACATTGAGAGAGTGGTCGATAGGCTGCTCACTGATAAAGGAATATGCCTTGAGAAGGCCTATTGCATCAGTTCTCATCTTCGCTGTTGCTGGCTGGGGGAGAAGTGATCGAGGGATGCCGCGCGGATTGATGCATGCCATGAATGACAAATAGTCAGCAGCTAGCTTATCCAATCGCCAGATTTGCTGGAATGAGATCAACCAGGTTAAGGCAACGGGGTTCTGGGCATCAGAATAACGATATTCATCCTCAAAACCCTCACTTAATAGCTCCACAACATCCGGCTCTTGTTCCTGTAGAAGTGCAATATAGTCCGCGAGGCCTATGCAATTCTCATTGATGTATGCAACCGCCTGAGTAACTGCCAGTGGCAGGAATGTCAACTCTTTAAGCAAGGCCAAGCCTAACTCTCTCTCGTCAAGCAGGTCTTTGTTAATCAGTGATTTTTTGAGGAGCTCCATTCCAGTCTCTTCATCAAGCTCGGGGACCGATATCACATGAGAGGAGGCTAGTTTCACTGCCAGCTTGCTATTGCGAGTGGTGAAAATAACATGGCCTTGCTCATTCTGGGGAAGAAAGCTTTTGAGCGCCGGGACGGTATTGCTGCCATTGATCCACATATCCATATCATCGGCATTATCAAATATGAGAAGCCATTTCCCAGCGTCCTTGTGGCTCAAATAGGTCTTGACTCTTTCTTTTGCTTCTGTTGACTTCACATCTTGGAGCCCTACCATTTTAGCGATGCTCATATATGCCTTTTCAACACTCTCATAGCTGGTGCACGGAATCCAGAAGATCGAGCGCTTCGCACCTTCATCGCGCATGAGGAAGGCCAATTCAAGCGCCACCTGCGTCTTGCCCACCCCGCCTAGGCCAGAGATCGCAATCTTGGTCGGTCCATCATCTCGCCTAATTAACTTTTCAATTTTGGAAATTTCGTCCAGACGACCCCCAAACTGCGGGTTCCTTCCAAACGGGACCATCCAGTGATGTGCTCGCTCTGTCGAAAATCATATTTAGCATAGTAAGACTCCTTGTGAGATGGTTGCTTACCTTCTCTACGAATAGGCCTCCAATACTCCAAGAAGGTTTTAGCAGCTGAAGCACCAGTTGCCGCAGCATAAGCTTGCCATTTGTCGTTATTGTGGCTGTCCGCATAGTGGCACACACCCTTGATGATAATGCAGGAAATGTTATCCCACACTCCGGCACCCCCAATTTCAAACCCAATGACATTCTCTGTTTGGATTATTTTGTCACGGTGTTCCCCAGATGACATGACTGTGCTGGCAGATGCCAGCTTTCCAATGTGAAATGATACTCCCGTGCCATCTCGACGACGAATAACCTGTCTTTCATTGCAACCAAGTCGATTACAGTCTTCCATCTCTGCTTGGCTACAGATATCGTCAGGCCCTTCACCGCCGGAACATTGGCATTTCACAGGAGAACCTCCACTGCGATGTTTGTGGTGATGAGAAGCCTCATACAGGACATCCTCACATGCCGGGTGATGCCATCGTGTCTCTGATTGCTGGATTATGTGAAAATGCTGAAGCATCTGGTCTTGAAACTCAATGCGTGATCGCCTTGCTTGAAGACCTGCTAGGAGGGTTCGAATTTCTCGTTCCGGTCTTCCCAAGATGTCTTTGACATCCCTCTTGGGCTGGAAGCCACCCGGGTATTGTCTGCCGAAATCATATTGTACCAGGGCATCGCTCACAATGACATCGCCAAGAAAGATATTTTGTTCACTTGATGGGTATGGAGCTCCCCCACAGGTCCCAACTACCAGTGCAAGTCGGACCCCCGTGTAGCTGACTCGTAGGCTCGAAGCTATGCTGGCCGTGCTGCCTGTTCCCATTCCAGGAATATAGCACAGGACAACGTCATGCTCTCCAATCCTCCCATTTATGTACGAGTTCGCATCACCGAGCTTTTTGTCATACAATTTGCCCAGTCGATCGTAGGTTTCGTCGAAAAGAGCTTCAACCGCATCAGCCTCAAGAGTCAGGGCGCAGATTATAGCGATGGAGAAGTCAGATCGGTTTCTGGGGCGCATTTTGAAGTAATCTTATGTTCATTCGGAAGAGTTAGAAATTCAGAGATAGCAGAAACTATATTCAAGTAATCACAGAGAAGATGATACAAATTGAAATGACATTGGAGGGCGGCTGACCGGGCTGCCTTGCTCTTTTCTTTTCATAGCCTTGCCGTTCGCTGAGTTCACCAACCAGAAGCTCCGGTTAGCCGCCCCGGTTAGGTATCTATCCAGGTACCTAGTAAAGACTCCAACATTGACGAATCGATTATTATTGGAGAGACAGCTCACAGAGAACTCTATAAATGGAGCCCAGTTGGTGTAACCACAGCGCTGATGATCGTAGACCTCGCGTTGGGAAGTGAGACACTCGATCAGGAGGCATTTTTGCATTGCAGGAGTATTGACCACATGAATGGCTTCAAAGACAACAAGAAGCTTCACCCCCATCGATAGTTTCCCCGAATATTCGATGGAAAAGGGCCCACTATAGTTTGTGTCACGGCAGACGAAGAATCAGAGTGGATGAACTCAATTGACCTCTGGTTCTGCCGTGTGCCACCGCTGCCTCGATCGGAACCATGAGGATGGAGCATGACTAAGCATGGGGGGCCGATGCAACATCACGTGCAGTGCATAATGAGTCATCGGCGCAATGCGGGGCAGCAACAGCTTATCGCACAACTCCGGGCGGCATTACGTTATTCCCAGGATTTTCGCACTTCTGCCAGAGCTGCTTCACATCTACAATCACCGCATCGAACGCCCTTCTTCTCGAGTCCTGTCTCTGTCTCCCCCACTGTGAGCTCTGGATCAACATGGCTGAAGAATCGCAAAAGTCCAAGGCCCCGGTTCTGCCCCAGCCCGGACAGCGCAACATCCTTATCACTAGCGCTCTGCCCTACGTGAACAATGTCCCGCATCTTGGAAATCTTATAGGTTCGGTGCTGTCGGCCGATGTCTTTGCTAGATACTGCCGAGGCCGTGGTCTCAATACGCTCTATATCTGCGGTATGTAATTAGGCATGTTGGCTTTTTTTTTTTTTTTTTTTTTTTTTTTTTTTTTTTTCCCTCTTTCTCCGTTCTTCCTATGTCTAGGAAACAATTGAACTAACGAGCTCATTTCCGCCAGGTACCGACGAGTATGGCACGACGTCCGAGGCCAAGGCCCTGCAGGAGAAGATGACCCCGAAGCAGCTTTGCGACAAGTACTATGAGATCCATGCGGGTGTGTACAAGTGGTTCAACATTGGCTTCGATATCTTCGGCCGCACGACGACCGACCTCCAGACCGAGATCACTCATGACATCTTCCTGAAGCTCCACAAGAATGGTTTCCTGTCGGAGAGCATGACGACGCAGCTCTACTGCGAGGAACACAAGTCCTTCCTGGCGGACCGGTTCATCCAGGGTGAATGCCCCAACTGCAAGTACCCCGAGGCCTACGGTGATCAGTGTGACCTGTGCGGTCAGCTCCTGGATCCCCTGGACCTGAAGAACCCCCGTTGCAAGGTCGACGGTGCCACCCCCGTTCCCAAAGACACGAAACACACCTTCCTGGATCTGGACAAGCTCCAGCCCGAAATCGACGCATTCATCAAGGAGTCTACGGTGAAGGGCGGATGGTCGAATAACGGCAAGGATATCACGGCCGCTTGGTTGAAGGAGGGCTTGAAGCCTCGAAGCATTACCCGGGATATCAAATGGGGAACCTCTGTCCCCCTGCCCGGCTATGAGGAGAAGGTCATCTACTCGTGGTTCGATGCCTGCATCGGCTACCCCTCCATCACCGCCAACTACACCGACCAGTGGGAGAAGTGGTGGCGCAACCCCGACGACGTTCAGCTCTACCAGTTCATTGGAAAGGACAACGTCGCCTACCACTCCGTCATGTTCCCGGGTACTCAGATCGGCACTCGGGATCAGTGGACTAAGGTCCACCACCTCTCGACCACCGAATATCTCACCTACGAGGGTGGCAAGTTCTCCAAGTCTCGCGGTATTGGTGTCTTCGGTGACTCCGCTGAGAAGACCGGCGTCCCCGCCGATGTCTGGCGTTACTACCTGGTCTCGCATCGCCCGGAGACCAGCGACAGCGAGTTCAACTGGGATTTGTTCATCAGCTGCAACAACAACCTGCTCCTGAAGAACCTCGGAAACTTTGTCAGCCGTGTGTTGAAGTTCGTGAACTCGAAGAACTACGACAACATCGTGCCGGACTACACCAAGTTCTCCGACGCGTCCTTCGATGCCGCCAAGGAGGAAATCAACGGCCTTCTCGCCGAGTACGTGCAGAGTCTCGACGCCGTCAAGCTCCGTGCCGGTGTGGACAAGGTGTTGCAGATCTCTCAGAAGGGTAACCTGTTCCTACAATCCAACGGCCTTGACAACAAGTTGGCCGAGACCGAGCCCGAGAAATGTGCCGCCGTCATTGGCTTCGCTCTCAACCTCATCCACCTGCTGGCCGCTCTCGTCGCCCCTTACATGCCCGCCACCGCCGACACCATCAACGAGATGCTTCGCCTGGAGGCTCTCGTCATTCCCGACCAGTGGCAGGGAGACTCCGTCAAGCCCGGCCACGAGATCGGCAAGGCCAAGTACCTGTTCAGCAACATCAAGGCCGAGAAGGGCAAGGAGTGGAGAGACATGTTCGGTGACAAGGAGGCCAAGAAGGCCAAGGAGGAAGCCGCCGCCAAGAAGGCGGCCAAGAAGGCTGCCATGAAGGAGAAGTCCAAGAAGGGAGGAGAGGCGAAGCCGGAGACCAAGGCATAAAAAGCGTGTTCTTTGATGCTAGAGAGGGCGCTAGACTCTAGAGCAGAGATCAGACGGGTTGCATTTGACGGAGAAAAGGGGGCGCAATAGATGACCCGACATACATTTCAACAAACCACGGGAAGTCGCCAGCGGAGTTGTGGACCACATGACGAATGATTGATTACTTACTTATTCGGATACAGGGGGGTTGCTATTCAACAGTTATGTTATTTGCTTCTAGCCAACTTTGACCGGAATGATATCGACGAATTGGAAAAGGGAAACTGTTTTTGTTTGATACCAATGCAATCGTATGCTGACAAGTAACTGCTAGGCAGCGGAACGAAGTGAAGTGACGTAAATTCTCCAGTCTGAGTCACCTCGAAGGCGAAGGAATATCAAATCTACTCCGAAGTATACAGCAGGCTGTGATGTAGCAAGAAAGAGTCCGGCGTTAAGGTCCCGGGTTCGGCTTCGGTCGAAGTTGCGGCGAGAAACTCAATGCCGAACGCCGGCCTCGGATTCCTGTCCTGGACTAGCCCCGGTAGATCCGTCTGATCTCCGGGTTGCCTGACGGGAGTCTACAACATCTTCCATCTCGGGGCCATCGACTCCGAGCTTTGCAAGGAAGCAATATGGATGGCGTCCTTATCTCCGACGATCTCGGATGACATCGGTGTACGGACCGTCGAGAGCGAACAGCTCCTCGGCAATAGCCTTACATCATAGGAATCATAAGCGTGTACTTCTAGAAGAGGCTTCAATACTTTGAGAGCCTCTATCCGGGGCAAAGAATATAAATACGGCATACCAGCCATAGTTCTTATCATATCTACAAGCATTCAATTTAACTCGCTTTCCTCCAATCACTCATAGTTTCTGTTGTATACTCGAACATCTCACATCACTACACACAGCCAATTAGCCCAACATGTCTCTGGAACAGGTACACCCTCCTACCCCGTTGACCCTCTTCATCTATACTCACTACCTCACAGAACATCGAGTCTCAAGCCCAAGCCCTCCACTCGCACATCTTCTCCCAGCCCCAAGACCAGTACACCAATAAGCCATGGGCCCTAGTCACCGCGATCGACGCCTTCGCATTCGCCAACAAAATGATGACATACCGCGATGAGAAGATCCAAGTTTCCAAGCAGCAGCTTGAACGCATGCAGACCGCGCCTCGCACCCTGCTCGAATTCGGCACCTACGTCGGCAGCTCCGCCATCGCATGGGGCGCTATCCTGCGCGATCTCCACGGCGAGACCAGCCGCGTGTACACGTTCGAGCTAAGCGCCGTGAACGCCCAGATTGCGCGGGACTTCGTCCGCCTTGCGGGGCTGCAGGACATCGTGCATGTCGTGGAGGGTCGAGTTCGGAGTCCCTGCGTGCGCTGCATGCTGAGGGTAAGCTAAGTGCTGGGGAGGCTGATGTTGTGTTCTTTGACCACTGGGAGAAGTTCTATGTTCCGGATTTGAAGATCATTGAGGAGCTGGGGCTGTTGAGGAAGGGGGGTCTCGCGATTGCGGATAATACGGATATGCCTGGGGCGCCGAAGTATGTGGAGTATGTGAAGGGGAGTGCGAGATATCAGACGGAGGAGATTGATATCGAGGAGTTGAAGCCTTGGCCGGTGAGTTTTTCTTTTTAGGTCCATTTTCAGGTTATGAGATTTGAGTGAGCTGACTTGATGTTTTCTATTTAGTCCATTGTGATGGTCAGTACTGTGGTTAGTGATGAGTGAACTCGTGGCATAGAAGGAACATGGTTATGATTAAGATGGCACACTGAATCTATCTATATTTATTTATAATGTTGTCTCAATTCAGCTCACTGTCCAAGAAATAACTCAGTATGGGGCAGGAAGTATATGCCACATAAAAGCCAACAGCACTAAGAACGCCTCAGTAGATCCTATTGGCCAACACCGTCATAAAAAGGCGGTAGGCACAAACTGCCACCCGGACGGAGTGCAGTATAAGCCGACATTAAACCTCCGACTCCGCATTGCAGGGAGACGGAAATAATCGCATCTCAACAATGATGTAAATCGTCCTCCTCTTTCCCAAACCAACCATTCTGTTCCCTCCGCGCCAAGTAATGTTGCAAAGACAATAGCGCATATCCTCATATCTATCCGGCCGGGACTTCAATTGTCCACCCCTCCATTCATTCAGTCATCATGTACGTTCTGTCCGTCCGTCAGGCCATCCTGGCCAGCTGGTATCCCGTTCGCTTTGGGTTGGTCGCAACGGACCAGCAACCAAATGACACGAAAGCCACCGCTAACGCAAATCCTACAGGACCGTCTTCTCCCTCATCATCATCAACAAAGCCGGCGGATTAGTCTACCAGCGCGAATTCCAGCCCGGGCTCCGCAAACTCTCGACGAACGATTATCTCGTCCTGGCAGGGACCTTTCACGGGTATGTTTTACCTACACCTATCTTCTGCCCCTCCCAGGCCTTTTCATTCTCTCTCCATCTCTCGCTTTTCCCCGTATACACCGTGCTAACCACACCCACCACCAACAGAGTCCACGCCATCACCCGCTCCATCACGCCCCGAATCCCCATCTCCTCGACCCTCCCCCCCACGGCCGCCACGCACACGTCCTCCTCATCAACCGTGACCTCGCCATCAGGGACCTCGACGCCCACAACATCCTCCACACCGACCGCGACAGCGCACTCGTTCCCGAACCCCGGCACGCCCGTCACAGGGCTGGAGACGCTGGAGACAGACAAGTTCCGCCTGACGTGTTTCCAGACGCTGACGGGGACGAAGTTCCTGCTGTTCACGGACCCGATGATGGGGAATATCGATACGGTCATGGGCAAGATCTACGAGCTGTATTCGGACTATGTGATGAAGAATCCGTTCTATCAGTTGGAGATGCCGGTGCGGTGTGAGGCGTTTGATCGCCATCTCGGGGGGTGGTTGAGGGGGAGGATATGAGGTTTGAGGCTGGATGGTGATGGCCCGTGAGGGGGTTGGGTAATGATTGCATTGATGACACTTTGTGCTTTTGTAATTACATCTTATTTTCTCTTTCTTATTTTATCCTACTCGTTGAGATAGCGTGCGATTATATAATGGCAGACATAGATCAAGTCATCCTTTCAAAAGCGTCGAGATGGGAAACGCTTTCTAGAATTACAAACCGGAAAGATAGTAGATACGAGCACTCAAATACACAAGAAGAACAACGCCGGGTATGCATCAAAATTCGTCCTTAAGAGAAGAAACTCACTGGGGCTTTCTCTCCTTACGCGGTGTCCATCTTATCGCCGTCGTCTTTCTTGTCTTTGCCGCCGCTCGATTCGCCCGATTGGCCTTCCTCGGGGATGTTGTCCAGGTTCTCTTTCCGTTCTTGCTCCTCGCGCTCTTTCTTCTCCTTCTCCTGTCGGTTCTTCTCCTCTTCCAAGGATAGACGCAGGGCGAATGCCAGTTCGGGGTCGTTCTCGGCCGCATCTTCGAAGCCGAAGCCACCGGCCTCACCTCCGTCACCGGCCGCGCCCTCATCTCCGGCGCCGTCGCCACCCAGGATGGGTGTAACCTGGAGCTCTTCGCTGAGCAGGTTGGGTCCCGGCGGGATGATGGCCAGGTGCGATCCATCGCCACCCTTGACGTTCTCGACGAAGGCCTCCAGCTTCTTCGTTTGGTCGGATTCCAGGTCACCGAAGGCGATCACGTCGATGGATACGTTGTTCTTCTTCATCTTCTTCGCCAGCTTCACCAGAGTCTTCTCGTCTTCTTCGATGGGCGAGCACGAGAATACGACGATACGTTGGCGCTGCGACTTCTCGGAGCGGTGTTTCAGGGCCAACTATAGAGAACCCATCCATGGTTAGCTCAATATCCTTCTTCCTTCTCGAAGATTCATCACATAGATGGAGAACAACAACATACCCCGGCAACCTGTATACTGGAGCTAAGGTGGGCCGTGCCGTGGATCTTCGTGCGGTGCAGGCCAGACAGGATTCCACCAAAGTCAGTCGTGAATGTCGAAAGGACCTCGGGGCCCTTGCCTCCCATGCTCATGAGACCGACGGCCGATTGAGGGTGTACACGCATCTTGGCGGTATGGATGACGCTGACGGCGTCGATCTGCGCTTGCCATCGTGTCGAGCTGCGAGCTAGCTGTTAGGCAGACTGATACTGCGAGCTGGTTCTGGCCGGCCATCCGACACGATAGACTTACGTATAATCCCCGTTGCGACTGCTTTCGCTATTGTCGACACTATATATCCGGTTAGTTCAGGTCCATGGAGCTCGAGAATGGAGATGGAGCAAGACGGACACGATCATGGTTGCTTCGAGCGACATCTTGGCGGTGATTCGTTGATGAGGGGGGATTGATAAATAATGAGATTGTTCGGGCGCGGGCAGAAAGACTAAGGACGGAAATAAAGCTCTTGAAGCTCTTCTGCGCTGAAAAGCGATGGGGGGAGGCGGATGGAGAAGGATGGTAAGTGGAGGTGGGAGAGCTGGGCGGAAGTGAGAACGAGAGATGTCACACCCTCGGGAGCCATCGATTAAGTCAGCGCTTGTTTATCCCTTCCTTTCCTCTCTCTTCCACCACGCGCTCGCCCTCTGTCCACCACCCTCGCCATCCCACCTCGTTAAGCCATCACACAAATCCGTCGACTGATACCCCTCTGCGGTCCGTCTCTACACCATTTCGAAATCACAATGGCTTCCCTAGGAACCAAGCGCAAGTCCGCCGACGACGCGTACCCCAACAATGAGGCTCGAACACCCTCGCCCAGCCCGCCCCAGAAGAAACTTCGGATCACACGAAACCAGAAACAGGCTTTGATCGATAATTTGCAACTTGAGGGTACGACTCACCTCTGATTTATTTTCTATTAACTTTTATTTTTTTTTGCCAAACCCCGACTAACAAGCGCAGTCACCGAAAGAGCTCGCAAACTACGCGCCCAATATGCCCTCCAGGCCAGTGATCTCCGTGCTCGAATTGAACGGCGTGTCAACCGAATTCCCGTGGCTCTGCGAAAGGCAAATATGGGCGAGTTGTTGGAGAAGCATAATGCGGCGATCCGGGCACAGCACGAGAACGGCTCACCCAGGAAATTCATGAGCCCCATCAAGGGATCCCGAGGTCTCACGGCCATTTCCATGAGCCCTGCGAAGCACAGGGCTGCAGCAGCTAGTCCTCAGACTCGCAGGGCTAAAAAACAAAGGTAGGACTACGATCATGCGTACGAGCTCTTTGCAAGGCGGGTCGGGCTAACTTGACATTATAGCCACGAAGGTCATTACTCCGACAAGGAGAACGCCCCTGCTGCGGGAGAATCTCTGGATGTGTTGAAGAACCCCAAGCGACGCGGAAAGCCGGGCGCTGCTGCTGGTACCTCGCGCGTCGTGTCCCAAGAAGTCCGAGGGGCAGACTTCAGAATCTTGTCCCCCAAATCCTCCAACTCCCGAACCTACCCCCAATCGCCGTTGCGCGCCTCTCCCGAAAAGCCCACGACTTCGTCCTACCTGTCGCGTCCCATGTCGCCGCTCAAGCCGTCTAGTCCGCTCAAGTCCACATCGGCTGCTCTGCCCGGATCGGCCGTGCGACCAGCGCGTACCGCTCCTTCGGCCGCCTCCTCTATTAGACCCCCTTCGCAAGCACAAACCAAGCGGCCGGTTAGCCGGGCTGCGGCGAGCGTGCGGTCTGTTCATTCGCCTTTGCCGCGACCTGCAACGCGCCAATTAGAGCGCCGAGGTAGCGTCTCGTCCTCCGCATCGTCCGGGACAACCGTTGCCAAGCCGACGCGCACTGGCACAGGCGCCAGGAAGGCGACGACTACATCCGCGACCAGCGTCCCTGCTAAGAAGACCGTCGCGCGCAACCAGGTTCCCTCCACCTCTGCCAAGCGGAATACGGCTTCGGCAACCCGGAAACCAACTGCGGCTGCAGGAGGTGAAGCTCCAACGGGCCGCAGAGTGCTGCGCAAACGGGCATAAACAAGACATCGTGAACTCTACACTCATGTGCTTGAAAAGCAGTTCATCGGGTCTTGACAATGGCTGACATGACTTATTATTCGAAAGGCGAATCATTGGCGCATCAGGGACGGTACATGGGAGTTTTAACTATGCCACTTGCATAGTCTGCGGTCTTGTTTGGGTTTGAACAAATTTCTAGCTTGTCTTTATTGCATGCGCATTTATTCTGGTTTGTGAGACTTTCTCAGGTGTTTGGCATTGATCATTGGGGATTCAATCAATGGGACTGCATGTTTACCTTTTAGTTTTTTTTTCTTCCTTCTTGAGGTTCATTGATTTAATTGAGCGCGATCGATTCCAAATCCAGCTTGACCTGTTAATAGAATCCAGTAGTAACGTAACCTTGAATCTAAGTCTCTAAGCCAGATAACTTACTATCAAGAAACCATCAATCACCAAACCACGCTACTGTAATCAATGACATTAGCTATCGAGATCTACAACACCAGACCAACCAACTCCAGAACCTATTACCCTAATTCCATCCGCCGTTTCGTCCGTCCACTCACCAGACCTCAAGCCCCCGATATAATGAAAGAAAGAAGAAAAGAATATACTAACTATGATCTCATCTGATCTCAGAGACTCGACCCGAGAGCAATGGAAACAGGACAAAGATACTAAATGGTAAAGGTTAGGACGATCCAAAGAGACAATCAGATGGAAATAACTTGAGAATGCCAGCTAAAGTAGGCTGTATTGAATAGATAGAATAGAGGAAAAAAGGGGTTTAAGTTAAGAAGACGGGCACAGGAGAAAGAGAAAATTAATCAGCACAGGTATCTTGCAGCCACGACTGACTGGCTGGGGAAATAAATGAATCAAAAAAAGAAAAAGAAAACAGAGCAGGACTTGTACTCGATAATCAATACCTCACGCCGCAATCAATGGGAGGTGGGAGGGAACTGTCGCGGTGCTTCAAGGCTCACCGAGGAGAGGAAATGAAAAGGGCGCCAAAAGAGGCAAAGAAACGGCCAAAAAAGAAGGGAAGAAGACGAGAAAGAGAAGTAAAGAGACTAAGGAAATGAAAGAGAAAGAGAGCCACGGTTAAACAGAAGATAGAGAGCTGCAATGAAAAATATTCACGCTAAGGTTTCCGGTGATGCGATGGTAAAAGATGCGAGAGGTGGAAAGAGAGATGACGGTGCAAGATTCCTATCCATAATGGACAAATCCACGGATGAAACCAACTAAACGACCACAAATCATCATGTCAAGAAAGAAAAGAAAAGAAAAAAAAAAAAAAAAAAAAAAAAAAACAAAAGCAAGTCACTCCGAATCTCGCCGTCAAATGTATTACACTTTTAAGTGGTGGTGGGCAAGAAAGATAGGAAAGGAAAAGGGAAAGCGTCCACACATCGCAGTAAAGCAGATCAGCCAATTGGACTCATCCGGCTTGTGCAGACAATGCCAAAAACAGCCCGGTTGTACGCCATTTGTATTGAGTTGGAGCTTGAAGGATAAGAGAGAGAAAAAAAAAAAAAAAAAAAAAGACATGAAAATGCAGTGGAAGAAATGAGAAGGGAGAAAGAAGGGAAAAAGCAGGGTATTTAATATCGCTCAAAATACAACGGGACAAAGATCAACTGGCAACTCCCATGGGCCCTGCACCCGGACGAGCTCTGTAAGGCATCTGCTGGGGTTGCCCCTCGCCTTGCATCGAGTTTGGCTGACTGCTGTTGCTGGTACTGCGCTCGCGCTGCTCGCCCGGCGGAACAGGTCCGAGTTCCGCGCCGTAAGGAGTGGCGCTGGCGGAATGCGCATGGCTACCAGACCCTTGGACGTGACGCACAGAGCTTTGCGCCTGCCACGCTGCGTCTTGGGATGGATCGCCCTCAATGCGTGCAGAGGTGGGAATATTCGCTCCCCGGTTGTTGGGATTGGTAATGGTGACTGTTTCACCGCCGTTGCTAGGCTTTTGCGAGAAGCTCCCACGTGCGATATCCCCGTATCTTTTCAGGATCTCTTTCGTTGTGACTTCGGAGTTCTCTCTAAGGAAATTGGTGTCGCTGAGAACCGATTGTAGATCTTCCGGAATCTGGAGGACATGTCAAGTGAGCTGGACTGCACGACCAGGGCATAGAAAAGGGAGGCTCTGGGGAGAAGCTTACCTCACACATCGTATCGTTGTATGTAATCAGGGCATTGATAGCTTCGATCGATAAGAAGCTTTCATCGACGGTGCTACTCTTTGTGTTAGGATACAGGATATTCGGTGTCATAACGGTTGCCAGGTTGTGGATATCCATTTTGCTGCCCGTGTCTTCGTCAACATGCGAGAAAGACGACGTCCAGTTCAAAAAGGCGAACAGCACTTCCATGGTATCTCTATGGGCCTTCGGGAGCAAGCAGCAGGTCAAATGAAGCACTCGCTTCTGTTTTTCTGGGTCCGGGAGTTCTACAACGAATATGGGTCAGCAAAAGGCGGGCGAAAAGCACACGCAAAGGGGCTCAAGCACTTACTCTGAGATACGACGAATAGACGATGGAGTTTGAATGTCAGTAGAGGGTCGGGCATTTCACGAAGGAACTTCTTCAAGAGGGCCGCGATTTGAACGGGGTTTTCCTTGGCCAAGTCCACCTGTTCGTACTTGTTGTCGATCATATCGGAAATGTCTTTCAACCGACGGATGTTGCCATTCTTTCGGAAAACACCTTCCACGGACATGTCCATCTGTCGCATGGCAGACACGGAGTCATCGACAAGGGCAGGAACGCGGAGTGCACCAGGTCCAACACCATGACTAGACTCCGTACCCTCCTTCTCGACAAGATAATCCAAGCTGACGCCAAAGACACCCTTCTTCTTTCCCACTTTCTTGCCCTCCTTGTTGAAAGCACGGCCAAAGATGTTCCAGATCGTCGGTTTGCGGGACTCGATCAACGACAGCAGCTCATCCAGAGTGAAATAGCCATCCAGCAAGGGCTCCATAGATAATACGGCAACGTGCCGAACGATAAAGTACTCCAACGCTGACAGTTCGGAGAAGTATTTCTTGGTTCTTCCACCCTGGGCAAGGAGATGTGATTCCAGTCCAACATCAGAGACACCACGTTGGTGGCCTTGGTTGTACCTTGGAAGTGGCTCGGTCGTGTTGACAAGCTTGGTGCGAGCATGCTTGTATGCGTTGGGCCGTTGCTCTTTGGCTTGTTCCGCCGCAACGATCCTAGGAATGTCGTCCAAAGTCAGAGCATCCTGGTTACCAAAAGTCAGCTCGGTGACTGTCTCGCCATTTGCGTCTTTTTCCTCTACAATCTGGAATCCGTGACCGCGAGGATCAGCGCCTTCGCCACCGGAGGAGCCAGGTCTCACGCTCCTCCCTTCCGGTCCGTCGATGATCCGCGACGCGCGGGCCTTCTTGTAGGTTGTCGATAAGGTCCGCTCGTTTCGAATGGAGCGCAGGCGTCGCATCTCCCCGACGGTTTGCTCCAGGGACGACTCTTCGGGGGCTCCTCTGTTTGCGTGGGTGTACGACTTGGATCGTGTGGTTGATCTGCGAACCATCCCGGGTGGAGCCCGGGAGCCATCCTGGTCATCTTGTAGCTTCGAATTATCATCTACGGCGGAGGAGTCGGTATGTCAGTGGGGTTGTTCCAAATGGCCTGGGAGGTGAGGTCGACATACCTGACGCGGATGGTAAAGTGCCGCCAGCTTGTAGGACGGTAAGAAGTCGTGCCAGCGCAACTCGCAGTAGGAAGACGAATTGCTGGAGCTTGCTCACGCGAATAAATCCACTCTGAGTCTGGGCTGAAATTCCACGTTGGCCGACGCAGCTATTACAGAAGGGGCGCTTATCCTTGGGACTCCACAAGGCGTCCTGGAGAGCAATGGTCAAATCCTTCTGGCATCCTGAGCATTTCAAATGGGGTTGCTTGACATGCCATCGGTTGTCGCCTAGCATCACGCATTCGTCGTCAATGGGTTCCTTGCATGAGGTGCAGCAGTCGGAGAGCTGGTCGGCCAGAACTTCCACGCCGGTCATCAAATCTGAAGGAGTTTCTTCTTCCTCGATAGGTCGGAGTGCCTCTAAATCTCCGAGGCGATCCAAGAAATGGTGCAAGCCGTCGGGATGTTCCTGCTCTCTCTCCAGCTTCAGGGCCCCCTGCAAGCCAATACGAATGAGGAGCTTAAGGTAGTGGGCAAGTCCCGTCACCAAGGAGAGGAGCTCTTGGGTGACCCCAAGTTTCCGGACACCGGTCTCCTGGGTTTTCGACAGCAATGCGAAAAATGCCACAATCTTCTTGCAAAGGAGCTTTGCTTCGCGTCCATAGGCGAGATCTAGATGGAGAGACAATCAGTTTAACGACCATTTTCTTCTCGCTGGGGAATGCGAGTAACGCGACCGCTTACCTTTCATGCCTTGCCCCTTGATCAGTTGGGCTAGCTGGTCAATTGCGGTGAACAGCACATCGACATGGCCAATAAATCGTTTGGCAACGAGAACACCGTCAACGTAAGTGCCGTTGCTCACATGAAGAAGCATGTCGGAGATGCATGCCGCTGACGATTCTTCAAAACTCGAGAGGATGCTCCATATCTTATATACCTTCTCCTCCATGACGTCCTCTTCCTCCCGCACCTTGTTGCGCTCCTCGTCAGTGGCATCCTGTTCCGATTCGACAGGCTCCAATGGCTGACCCGTCGGTGCCAAGCGAACGTTCCAAAATTTGTGGATCATGTAGCACTCGGGGTGCCAATGTTGATTTTGGCCATTGCGGAAAATCTCGACGAACTGCTTCAGAATCGCGGTATGACATCCGTGGCATCGCTGGGCAAACTGCGTCGAGTAGTGAAAGTGGCAGTACACTTTGCCCTCGTGTTCGTAGTACGAGTCCTGCGCACCAAAGACTGTGGGGCAAACGGAGCAGGTGAAATGCTCAATGTGGTACTTGCGTTCCAACGCCGTAATATACGAGCCACGCAGGGCACCGCCGCAGTCATGACAAAGAAGGTCGAGTCGTCGGAAATAGTCCGTTTCGCATAGAGGGTACTGGCCACTGCCATCCTCCGCATCAATGGGGAAGAATTTCGATGCCACAATTTGGCCGCAGTCCTATGCCGCCCGTCAGTCGACCATCACGTCGGGTGGGAAGGTAAAAAGACAGTGAGTGAATGATGGAAATTACCTCGCATTTGAAACACTCCAGATGAAACGTCGCCGACAGGGCTCGCACGAATTGACCCGTGAGGGGGTCACCACACTTTTTACAGATCCTGGACGTGCTAGCGGGCGATTTCGTGTGTGGGCGGCCGTTCGGACGAGACCTTTCACGGGGCGCGGAGCGTTCCCAATAACCAGCAGGATCGCGCGGCGTGGACGGGTCGCGCGGGGCGGAGTTGGTTCTTTCAAACTTTCGACTCATGCGGGTGTCGGCGTTCGGAGGGCCATCGACAGGGCTGTTCACGGACCCATTTCTTGCGCCCGACAGCGTACGTGGCGAGTCAAACGGGACGTTGCTATCTGCAGGTGACGTGGGGGTCTGCGTCTTAGAGCCTCCTCCATAGCCACTGGTGTTTAACGTAGGACGGACAGCCCCGTTGCCCGGCACGAGGCTGTCCGGTAAAGGAACGTCGCCGGGAGGCATTTCCGGAAAGTCCCTCTGCCGCGAATAAATCGAATCAATGCGTCTCGACGAGGGGTTCGGAAGGGGATGTCGACGCCGAGGGTTGCGGCCAAGGGTTGTTGATCCTCGGAGTGGCTTCGAGTGATGGGTTTGCCGCCAAGACTGGGTAGAGTCGATTTCTCGCAGGCGGGATAAACAAAAGGAAGATCAAGGACGGTACGATACCAAACGATCGGAAAGAGATGATGCACTAAGATCGCGGCCTTTGAAAAGCGAAGAGAAAAGACGACGAAAAAAAAGTCAGGCCCTAACCGCCTTTTGTCTTCTCTGCGCGGGGCAGTTTAGGGGCACCGGGGTTCTTTTCAGGACCGACTCACCTCACGCCATGTGGATGAAACTTGCGGGGAGATTCAGGAATTTGAAGGGGACAGGGGAAAAAAAGACAGGCTCGATCCACGAGAGGCAATTGTGATAGACCGAGGCACGAGCGGAGTGCGTTGGGAGGGGGGAAGAAAGATATGTCACAAGGAGCGCAACCGCCCGAAGTCGAGGGCAGCGGAATTGAAAAGGTTGGAGCTCAAAGCGAGACCAACAAGCGGCGGAGTAAACTGCCCGAGATCACAACCATTCCTAGTGCCTTCCAACGGACCAAGGAGACGGGGGGTGGGTTCTGGGCCGAACGCACCAGACAAACGAGGCGAATCAAAAGAATGGGAAACCAAGCCAGTCGAGGGCGTGACAAGCGGTCGAGAGAGAGAGAGAGGGAGTCGAGCGAGAGAGGGAGAGGGAGAGGGAGAAGGGTAGGAGGCGCGTGCTTGGGAGAGACGCTGGCGGTGGTCGCTGGTGCCCCCCTATGCCCTTCTGCACGCCCGCCCACTAGGGATGGTCACGTGGAGTGCTCACCGCCCCAGCCACCGCCTGCACCGCACTCGTTGATCACTGCAGGTCTTGCAGTTTACCTGCGTAATACCGACGTTGTATACTATATAGTGGTCGAGTCGAAGACACGCCGCTTCAAGCCTCTCTACACCCGTCCGGGCATGACAATCAATCAGTCTGACTGATGATCTCACGTCAGTCCCCCGCCTTGGATTTTATTGTATATTTTTTTTTAGTTTATTTTTCTTCTTTTTTTATTCTTCCCCTCCGGTCAACAAAACATCCCCCCTGTTTGTTCCGGCAGAACTCCGTCGGGCGGCAAAGCAGAACCGACGGCGATGGAAACTCACCAGTCAGGGACAGAAGGGTGAGGTTCCAGGTTGGCGGGGGGCCCTAAGAGCCACCAATGACAGGGATCATTCCAGGGGAAAGAGAGGGGAGGTTAAAAATAAGTCCAGCTTAGCGGTAGTCTAAACTGCCTACGGAGTCGTGCTACGGAGTACCGAGGATTCAATTCGTTCGCCAGGGCATCAGGAATGAAGGTTGCGAGAGTCCACCGCCAGCCCCTCCGATGCCTCTCGATGCGGGCTAGTCGCGGCCAAGTGAGCAGGGGGAATGAGGAAAGTGGGCGTCGACTCCATCCCGTGCAGGCGGTGAAACAGGGGTTCTCGACGGATGGAGTACATCAGTATTTAGTATTTAGAATACTTTGCTCGCTATCCTCCTCCTGGTGCGACGGTGGCCTGTGCCAGTGGCTCCCGAGGACTGCAGGCTATTCGGATGCCCGAGTACGGCATCGTACAGTACAGGGAATATGGCAATCTGTACGAACCACTCCGTCCGCCAGCCGGATATTCCATACTAGATAGACTAAGACGTCGTAGTGCCTCCTCCGTACACACTAGTCTCCACTCGGCCGCACCAAGTCCCTTGGAATTCGATGGTACGGCGTCAAATTAAAAGTTGGATAGATCATTGGGATGGTTCAGGATGATGCACTACGCGCCCTTGCTCTATCCCGGGGGATTAGACGCCGCCAATGATGAAAGAAAGCGCCACTGGATCATACAAGATCATACAAAGATATACGCGACAGAAAAGAGAACAGAAAAAGAAAACAGACAAACAACAGACAACAGAAAGAACCTGTAGAATTGACAAAGAGAATAAATATATTTGATATGAAATCGAGAAATCATCCTAAAAACCAACGAACTAGGAGTCCAACATCTCACCTGGAATTGGTTGTTATCTGATCCAGAGTCCCGGTACTTCCTTCGACTGGGCCATCGGGAGGTGCCATTGACCTGACGTTTGTTTTCCTCTCCGTCTGTACTTCTCCTCTCCTCTCCTTCGGCTCACCACCAAGTCAGGAACAAACCAACCTTAACGGCTGGGGAAAAGCCACTTCCTTCGTTATCCGCTCCCTAGTCGGAGATTTTAACCTTTCCATCTCCGTCATCGTTCTCTCCTGCATACCCACTTAGCCGCCCAACCTGCCTCGTCCTTGTCGGCGGCTCTGCCTGGCAACCGGCCGTGTTTCGCCTCAACATGGCAGATCAGGCAACGCTTCGCATCACCAGGGTATCTTCCCATCTGCGGACATTTGCATTCGTGTTTCTTTGGAGTGAAAACTAATGTGCGCCGACGCTCAACCGCGGGGTACTAGGAAATCAAACAAATCCAGAAAGATGCCGATCTCTGTGAGCCACCCCAGTGAGCCTGGCGTTAGTTACGATCCTGATTTGACTGACTCCGGTCTCTACTTCTGGTGGCATAGCTCTCACTGTGAGGTTCAAGGATTCCGATATCAGAGATGTGAAAGCTCTTATCCTGGGCCCACCGGGAACGCCCTACCAGTTCGGCTTCTTTGAGGTGCGCTCGATATACTCACCTTTTCTTTTCTTATCTTGCCTTTTATACCCTGCACTCCTATCAACGTATCCGCCCTCGGGTTATTGTTAACCGCTGGCGTTTATAGTTCAAAATAAAATTTGGTAAAGGTACGCCGGTCCTCAGAAAGGAAATATCGGCAACAGATCCTGCTCACCAATCTGTGACAATCTCTAGAATATCCCGCAAAGCCTCCAAATGTTCAAGCCCTTACAACGAACGGGGGGCGAACTCGCTTCAATCCTAATATCTATGCCTCCGGCAAGGTTTGCCTGTAAGTTCCCCACATCCCAATTTCCAATCGCTCTAACGCGTTCTAGGTCCATTCTAGGGTAATCGTCCCAAAACGGTCCTTTGGTTAGGAGAGCAAAGCAACTAACCTGTCTTGTAGCACTTGGCAGGGGAACAGAGGAGAGGAATGGTCGTCCGCTCAGGGTCTAGAGTCTGTCTTGATCTCAATCCAGAGCCTGATGTCAAACAATCCGTACGAGAACGAGCCTGGCTTCGAGAATAAGTCGTCAAGTTCGGACAAAGTCAGCATGATCTCTTACAACGCCAAGGTAACCGACCAATTACCCCGAATCGAGAGGGTTATGCTCGAAAGCTGACTTCTTGGTGAAGATTCGTCACGAAACTCTCCGGATAGCAGTTATCGAACCTCTGGAGTTGGCATTGAGCGTTCAGAACGGCACAGCCCAGGATACACTTGGCTCATCCGATGAGGCAGACCGGCTTTATGATGATGATAGTCCTATTACGTTTGATGATCTCCGCAAAAGACGGTTCCTGTGGTATTTCGAGTCCTACATGCAAACGATTGACGAGGCTATCCCGGTAACGCCATCTCAACGCAAGTTCGAGCAGATGCCATTCGAGGGTTATAAGAACGGAATGGAAGGCCATTTTAACTACCCCGAGCTCAAGCGACGACTAGTTCAGGTCAAAGACAAGGTCTTCGAGGAGACGTTTCGCTGGGCGGCTGAGGGGTCCCAGGCCAAGAAACAGGAACTGGGGATTGCAGTCAACTTGCAGCGTCAGTACGAACAAATCGTTGAACACTTCAAGAGCCAGAAGAACTTCACCATCGATTTGAGCCTGGTAGATGACAACCCCTTCCTTTGGGAGTTCACATATTTTGGTCGGCCCATGACCCAGATGGACGGCGGCATTTTCAAGTTCAAGGTCTATCTAAGTCCACGTTTCCCCGACGAGCAGCCTCGCGTCCTGGCTGAGACGCCAATCTTCCACATCCGCGTATCCCCATCGGGGGTCCTCTGCTACCTTCCCCAGCGATCCGACGAGATGCGATTCCACATCGAGGCCATTGTCGCGGCCATGGAGGAAGAATCGCCGCCTTACGATCCTCGAACCACTGTGAACCCCGAAGCCACCAAACTTTTTTGGGGAAGTGCAGACGAACGGAAGCAGTACAATCGGAAATTACGGCGATCGGTGCAGCAAAGCATCGAGTAATGCCATCGTCCTTGGGACTCATGAAGTTCGCAAGGATACAAAAGTCTGTGCTATGACAGGCGATGCATGAATTTATTAGCGAGACCAGACCTTGTCATGTTTTCTTTGGGTCAGTCTTTGACGTGGCTTTCGTGGATTGACGCAGGTGTTTAAGTACTGGGGGTTTTGTTTTCATTCATTCGATCTAATCCGTTTTGCGATTTTCAAGCACCTACTCTAGGTAGTCAATCTAAACACCAAAAAGTCAAAATTATCGTAAAAAAAAATAAATAAGATAAAAGATTTTGAAGAAAGAAATAGAAAAAGTTCTCGTCTCTAAACGCCGAGACCACCCAAGGGCGACAGCGTAGATTAAAGTCGGGGGCAAAAGGACAGCGGGTCCGAGCTTCTTTGGCCCCGGACTTTTCTCCTCCCCAAACTTTCCAATTGTCAGTCTCCCTTCTCTCTTGTCCGCCTGTCCCCGTCCTGCCTCTCCTCCCTTAACCCACCACCGCCATCCCTTTTGATTTAGTCACCTTGAGTTTTTGAAATCGCCGTCATGTCTACTGGCAAACGTCCTACGATGGAATTGGGCAAGGTCCTCGTGGTCGGTGGCTGCGGGTTTGTGGGCTGGCACATTGTCGATCAACTGCTCGGATTCCCTTCGGAGACCGATCCCAGCGTCGCCCTCCCCAAGCCGCAAGGAGACGCTCGCTTCGAATACCCCAACCTGGGAGATCGGTACCCCAGATACATCGCGAAGGTGTCCGTCGTCGATCTGAGAACGTCCAACAACCGACTGCCCGGCGCCGAGTACTATGACGGAGACATCACGTCGGTCGAGTCCATGCTGTCCGTTTTTCGCGCAGTCAAGCCCGACGTGGTCATCCATACGGCCACGCCCAACGTGCTGGAGGGAAACAAGCCGCTCTTGCGCAAGGTGAACGTCGAGGGAACCCAGACGCTGCTGGAGGTCGCGGGCGGCGCTCATGGCGAATGGGGTGGAAAGTGCCGCGCTTTCGTCTACACGAGTTCTAGCTCCGTGGTGCACGATACGCAAAGCGACCTGGTCAACGTGAACGAGGAATGGCCCTACATCAGGGGAAAGCAGCAGCTGGAGTATTACTCCGAGACGAAGGTGTGTTTGTTGCGCTGGCTCGAGATTCTCTAATACAGATGCTAATGTCGGATGGTTGTCTTAGGCGGACGCAGAAGAAAACGTCCTGAAATATAACCGCACTTCGCCCTCATCGATGTTGACGTGTGCCGTGCGACCGGCCGGGATTTACGGTGAGAAGGACACCACGTTCACATACAAGATTCTGGAACATTCGTCGAAGGCATCGCCCACCGTTTTGCGCATGCAACTCGGCGAGAACAACAACCTGTTCGATTTTACGTACGTTGGCAACATCGCATATGCGCATATGCTGGCCGCGTGGCGCTTGCTTGCCACCAAGACCCGATATGACGCCGGGCAATCTGAGCCCCTGGACCACGAGCGTGTGGATGGAGAGGCCTTCAACGTGACCAACGACTCCCCGGTGTACTTCTGGGATATGACTCGCGCTGCGTGGGCGCTGACCGGCAAGGTCGTTGAGCCCCATCAGGTGTGGGCGCTTCCCGAAGCCCTCCTGGGCCCTATCGGTGCTATCGCTGAGACCGTCTTGGGACTCATCGGCAAGACCCCCCGTCTAAACCGCCGCGTGGTCCGGTACTCGTGCATGACTCGCTACTATTCCTCCAACAAGGCCAAGCTCCGACTTGGCTACGAGCCCCTCGTCACGGTGGACGAAGGCCTTGCCCGCGCGGTTGGATACGTGGTGGAACGCGAGCGACTGGAATCTGAAAAGAAGGGGCTGTGATTCGGTGAGGCGATTGTGATCTGGATCTGTCTGTATTATAAGTAATCATCGGGCTCTCTGACCTTAATATCCATCTGTCAATACGTTTTTGATGCCCGCATACAGCATGGGATTTTGACGAAGTTCACGATAATCATTTACTGCTAAGTCCTTGTCAGCTCAATTTACTGCTTACTTGCCATCGCATTAATCAATCAATCAGCATTCTGAGAGAAAGAACACCACCCGGCGCTATTGCCCATACATGCACATCACCTAATCGAAAACCTTCAGCAGCTCGCGCAGGATCCTGTCCCCCTTGACCACCTTTCGATTGAAGAACCGCTTCGTGGTGAGCGTATACTCCGCCAGGTCCTCCTTGGTCTCAAACCTCTGCGGCGTCGTGCCCATCTGCCTCGCCTCCAAAAAGTCCACAATATTAACATGTATTGTTTTCATGGCCTGCACCGCGTCAGCTATATTCTCAATCTACCCATCTCACAAGACCATCACCAAGACCAAGAGCTCCAAGCCGCACAGACATACCTTTTTGCACTGTTTAATAGAGGGCAAGGAACCCTCAAGGCCGAGCTGCTCGCAGAGTATTTGCCAGTCTTCGAGCGTGACTAGTTCCCTCTTGCCAACCAGCCGGTTGTACTCCAAGTTCACGAATCGATTCCACTGCTTCGACCATGTTGGAGAGCCTTCTTTCCACTGGCGCAGCTTGGCGAGGCGGTTGAATTCTTCGGTGATGGGGGCGTCGGGGAAGTGTTCGAAGTCCTTGAAGGCTCTGAAGTAGGGCGAGGGGGCTGCCATTTTGTAGGGATAGATGGTAAGCTGATTTGGGTTGGGTTGGTTGATTCAACGGATAATAGGTTAGAGGATCTTTTGGGCTCAGTTGGGTGGTGATAGTGTTCAAGGTAGACAGGAGCTGTGGGTGTCTATCGATAAGCGAGGTTGGGGGTTCAGGGTTGGAAGAAGAATTCACTGGTAATGGGCAAAGAGGTTTTAGGTGGTTTATTTGTCCTGCTATGTGCTTTGTGAGCTGAAGGGTGACTCTGTTCGAGCAAACGCTCAGGCCCTGTTTATGGTGATGGCTATAGGAGATGTCAAGTTCACATTCGGTTTTAGACATTGAGATGAGGTATGCTTTTTTATATTCGCAAGGGTTATTATCCATGTGCTTGCAGCTACTTGCTTACAGACACGGAGTATCCCGACAAGATATATCTAGCCGCGTCTCTTCTCGATATCATCAGTTTACTGCCCAGATGCATCTTCGGATACAGGCTCTGCACCTTCTCAAACGGGAACAACGAGGGCTTTCCTTGTCCTGGTTTGGGCATATATTTGCCAGCCACGCCTTACCAGCTCATTCATTGTGTCACCCCGTCTTCTTTAAAGTCTGTTTGATTCCGAGAAGTTGGATCCTTTTCTCTGAATCCTCAGACTCCCCCGCAGTGACAATGGCCTCTCACGCAACCGCATCCATCCGGCATCCGATGACCCTGCTATTCCTTCTGATAATCCAACTTCTGGGGTGCGCTCAGGGAAAATCAAAGAGACAAGGCATCCAACCCCTAGAGGGCATCCCAGGGTTCAATGCTACGTTTGATTATATTGTGGTTGGTGGTGGCACTGCAGGCATGACGGTGGCCGCCCGTCTGGCCGAGCAGAGATTGCGCGTCGCGCTGGTGGAAGCTGGCGAGTTCTACGAAGTTCAATATCCCATTTCGACGATCCCCGGGGCTGCAATACTGGGCACAGGGTCCAATCCGCATTTCAAAACGCCCATTGATTGGGGGTTCGTCATCCAAGGCAGCCCGGGTGCGAACTCGCGTGATATTCATTATGCGAGGGCGAAATGCTTGGGAGGGTCGTATGGATTTGTCCTTCTTCCTGAAATAGATTTTAGACTCTTGCTGATACTTAGCTTCGGTGTGCATACAGGTCGGCGATAAATTTGATGATATATCAACGGTTTGTATACCTTTTCCCGTGGCTAGGGAGTAGGCTGATATTTGACCGTAGACCGAGTATAGGATCGATGCAGCTGTGGGCCGACCTTGTCGATGACCAGAGCTACACTTTCGAGAACACCCTGCGCTTCTTTAAACGGACGGTGAAATTCAGTCCTCCTGATAATCGGAATCGCCCTGCAAACGCCTCTCTGCAGTACAATCCAGACTCGTTTGATAAGGACGGTCAGCCTCTTCACGTATCGTATCCTATACATCCCGGGTCTTTTCCTAGCTGGATGAGGCTTGCGTTGGAAGAATTGGGTGTGAACGAGACACGCGACTTCAATAGCGGTTCGCTATTAGGATCTCAATATACACCATTTACTATTCGACCGTCCGATCGGTCTAGGAGCAGCTCGGAGTCTTCATTCTTTGAATTCTCTGCATTACAACTTTGGAAGCTCAGGACCCTGACGATCTATAAAATAACAATGGCGAAGAGAATTCTATTTGACTCCCAGAAACGAGCTACTGGGGTGGAGGTGAAAACATTGGGGTTGCGATACATTCTGAAGGCTACACGGGAGGTGATTGTGTCGGCGGGCGCATTCCAGTCTCCCCAGCTCCTGATGGTCTCGGGTATAGGGCCCGTAGATACCCTTCGAGAGCACGGGATTGATACCATTGTTGCTCTTCCGGGTGTTGGTCAAGAGATGTGGGATCATGTCTTTTTCGGACCGACATACCAGGTGGCATTGGAATCCTACAGCAGGATAACAACCGATGTCTGGTACCTCCTTAAGCAGGTGGTCAAATACATAACTGCCCACCAAGGTATACTAACTAACCCAGGTATTGAGTATCTGGCATTTGAGAAAATTCCGGACCAGCTGCGGTCTTCACTCTCTCCCCAAACCCAAAAGGAACTTTCCCGATTTCCTAGTGACTGGCCTGAGATAGAGGTAAGGTGTTTGGTGTGCATTTCGGTCTGTTATCCCCGCTGAATTGAGGTCCAGTATATTTCAGTGCCTGTCCATGTTGGAAACTACTCGAATCCGATCTTACAACCGGCGGATGGCAGACAATATGCTACCATCGCAGGAGCGCTTGTTGCGCCGACGTCGCGCGGGAATGTCACCATAATCTCCGCCGACACGGATGACTTGCCGATTGTCAGCCCGAACTGGCTCTCTACGGAAGCCGATCAGCAAGTGGCGGTTGCAATCTATAAGAGAATCCGCGACATGTTCCATAGCACGGCCATGTCCCCGTTGGTGGTGGGAGAGGAGTATTTCCCAGGGATGCAGTATCAATCCGACGGCGATATTCTTAACATCGTCCGAGACACCATGATGACCGTGTTCCATGCTGCTGGCACTTGCAAGATGGGAGTTCCCGGAGATCGGATGGCGGTCCTTGATAGCCGGGCGAGAGTGTTTGGAGTTCAGGGACTGAGAGTGGTCGATGCTAGCTCTCTGCCGGTTTTGGGCCCTGGCCATCCTCAATCGACTATCTGTGAGTGCACATTCATCATACACCCGGATACAAGAGTTTTCTGACCCCCAAAGATATGCTTGCCGAAAAGATCGCGGCAGATATCATCCATCATCCTGCCGCGAATGTCTGGGAAACGTCATCTTGTACCTGCCGTAAAAGCTGTGTTGGTTCTTTCGATTATGACTGGATATGATGCGATAAGCCTATTTGCTATTATATATTGTTCTCACAAGTCGCAATCATAGGGTAAGATAGCGGATATATAAATTAATCTTCAGGATTAATGGCATGGATTGGCTGGTCTCTGTCCACTCAGATACCCCCCTCATCCAACAGGCAATAGGAAATAGGCAATTGGAATGCAGATGCAGAATGCACGATGATCTTAACCCGAATCCGCTAAGATAGACTCCCACCTGCATAGCCTCCCTCTCCGGAATCCTCCCATATGTACGTTGATGCAATCGGCACGGAGACTGTCGATATCCCTGATGCCCCGATCGAAGCCCTCGCCACCGGCCAATAATGTCGACGAATCCCGCGCAAACAAATCAACTGCCTTCTGCAAGGTAATCCGTAGTCTGTGCGACGTGCTGTGAAACCGCCTATGACTAAGGTATGATGTAGGGGGCGAGCGGTGGTGGGATGGGAATGTACGCTGTTAGGGCGAAAGTTTGTGTTTTGGGTGACTTTGTTTGTGGTATGATTGTCACTTTCTTTCTTTCTTTCATTTTTTTTTTTTCGTTGCGTTGAGGAATGCAGATGATGTAATATGGTCTTATAGGGCGGTGGTGTTTTCTTTGGGATTGATTGTTTGGTTTGGAAGGATTTTCGTGGTTTGTTGCGGATGACGACTGTGGTTGGAGATTTATATCACCATTGTGTAGCGTTGGATATAAAAATGGGAATGACTTTCGGGAGTTTGAAAGTACCTACTTTTCTAATGTATAATTAGTATACTTATGATATAGTGTATGTATGATTATATCACCAGGAAACAAGTCTCACTGTTTGCTTGATTCCTGGCCAATGCACATCAATGGGTCGATGGTGGCTAAATCGGCTCAGGACGTCAATCAAGGATCGCCATTCTCCTAAAAGCAAACGTTACTCTTGGAATGTGCAATAATCTAGCTACATGTCCTTAATTGATCTAATGATATTTATTAGTGGAGTTTGATATCTTAGCTGTTTTCCTTGAGATGTAAATGAGGAAGTAGTAGACGGGATAGTTGTAGGGGTCGGAAATACAGAGATCCACCATTTCAATCCATGAATACTAAACAGCTTAATCCTTTGGTTTCATTCAATGAACCAAGCCATTCCTCATAATCTACATTAACGGCCCTGTTTGCCCAGAGATCCACCACGTCGCACCGGAAGCTGATCCGGCATATCGACAGGGTCGGTGTTTCCTGAGTGAATGCTCCAAATGAAACCGAGTCTGGGTCGATGGCTCGCTCATCTCTGGAACCTAGCTAGTGTATGCTTCGACGGAGAAAGTAGTACTTAGTTGGTGGTGCATGGTCCTTTGGTCACGCTTAGGCCCGGGGTTTGACTCGGAAATACCGCATTCGGGTGTAGTAACATCTAGTATTCCGCTGGAATATCCATCAGCATGGTTTATTGACATCCATGTCACTATAAATACATCTCCTGAGCTATTGGATATACCAAAGCAACCCAGAAGTCAGTTATATCATACGCCGATGAGGGAAACAAGTGGTGAGATCATGAAGTAGAGATGGATCAATCAACCACCACCGCCTCAGCCACCTTAGCCATGCACACAGCAACTCCGAAACGCATGTCTGGGAACGCGCCGCGCGGGAGAGCCAGAGAGGCAGGAAGGAAGGAAGGAAGTACTGAATGCAGACATCTCCGATGAAAGCCACGTTCGGGATCCAAGCACGAAGTGGTCGACCAGGTGATGCTAACCACAGACATCATGCTGAGCTTGTCGGTCTGGGAGGGTCGCGTTGGCAGAGTCTAGGCTGGCGTCGACTTGGAGTTAATTTACTGGACTTGTTTTTTGTCGTGTGGACGGCTGAGTCGGAAGACGGTTTTTCTTGACTTGACTTGCACTCGAAGTCAACGTCGGGGCTAGTGGTTTTGCATGTGCCTGGGAGAGCGGGAGAAGGTTAGGTTTGATTTGGTCTATGGGCGATGAGGTTAATGCCTCCTACGGAGTCGTGAATTGTTCTACCCAGCTATTACTACGGATAGGCCAAGTTTAATTTAAAACCAAGACCAAAGAGGTTCCCCGGACGGCAGTTGCTCGGCAGACCAAGATCTCAGTCAGATGATATACGGAACCCCGGCAAGACCAGGCAGTCCAATTCCGGGTGGAGAAAATCTTCTCCAAAGATCATCCAATCTCTCCGCAAACCAAGGGACAATCATGGGCTCATTGTTCCGTCCGACGAGGTAAGGATGGGCGATGCCGATGCGATGCGATGCGATGCACGTCTGGGTCTGCGGATGGATGGGGTTTTGTGGAGACGATGAGAGAGATGGTATGGTATGATGATGAATGATGGTTGATCCTGTTTCGCAGTGGACAGGAGGGACGGTAAGGGTAGGGATTTCCGCCGGGGTCTTTTTTTTCTTTTTTTTTTCTTCTTTCTTTTTCTTGTGTGGTTTCAATTTTTGAGAAGGAGGTTGTGTCAGAAATGGAGGTTCGTGTTGAGGAACGGCAAAGGGTATCAGGCCAACTGGCGGACAGAGCACAAGACGGGTCATTTGCAGACGCTGCATGGGAGGGAATAATGGAACCCATGCAAGACGCAGGGAGGTTGGATTTTTCTTTCTTTCTTTCTTTCTTTCTTTCTTTTTTTTTTTTTTTTTTTCAGTTATTATGATTCTACGCTGTAGAAAGAAAGATGTGCTCCCCACCTTTTCCAGTTTACCCCGCAGAATCGAGTTTGTGGCATTCAATCGTGGATCCTGCTGATGGCTTGAAGCCTTATTGGCCTCCCAAAGACCTCGCCCTACAAAGGTACCGCGCGCATTTCTGGTTCTTCGACCGTTTGGCTGCTGGTGTGGTGGCATCGGATATATATTCGCCGTCTGTTTGGTCGAGGCGACTGCAGACGTTACTGGGACTACAGGCCGACGCTGCATCGCATCCCAGGCCTCGACTGTAGGAGGTCGATACTAATGCCGACCTAGCCCCCTAACTAACATGACTGCAGTGCAGAGTAGACGAGGTGGGGAAGGCAAGACTTGTGCACCTCGTTTGTGTTCCCACGGGGTCCGTTTCTGCCCGGACAGAAAGACAAAAGAAAAAAACGGCCAAACCAATGAGAGGCCGATCCTGGCGCATTCATGGAAAATTCCATGAACGTCGTCTCACCCTTGTCCGAGGGATGAAGAGACGGCGACGACGGGGATCCATGGAACGCCGCCAGGAGGTGACGTCCCGACAGCTCCGCCGGAAACGCTGGATGGCCGTACTTTGTCGACCGGCTGATCACCTGGCATTATTCGATCGAGATTCTCCTATGGAGTCGGATGGAGTACGATGACGCCCCTCCCCGGTGCTGAATAAGAAGCACCATCGTCTGCCCGTTGCAACGCCAATCAGCTGCCACGATGGCCGACTGATAGTCCGACGAACGAGCCGTGTCCGGACGAGAAGGAGGAGGCCGCAGAGACCGGGATGCGACAGATCTTAAGCTGCCGGGGGATGAAGGCACGGGCGAATCACGACTGGGGGCCGATACGATCCAGACAACGGGGGGACAGGATGAGATGATGATGATGATGATGGCGACGATCAGCTCCGACTCTCCAGAAGGGAAACAGTCGGGTCCGTGGCGTGGTGGTTGGCATTGAATCATGTTATGCTTCTGGCCGCGTCCACCGGTCGCATCTGATGTCTTGGAGGGATTTAGTATTTATTAGAAATTTATTGAACATATTTTATTCCAGTCTTTTTTGGGTAGTATTTTTTCCCCTGGAATAATCCACAGACTGAGGGATTGGGGACTACGCTGTAAATCTCTTGGATGGTTTCATAGTGTGCATTAGTTGGATGGAGTCACGGAACTGCAAGAGAGTCAAAGCAGAATCCCCATCACTAATATTTAGTCGAGGAGTCAAGCAATACCGACCGAAAACACAGAAAATTAGACCCGCCAGACCTTTTTCTTTTTTTTTTTTCTTCCCCTCTGCCTCACTTTGACTTTTGGACTGCATTTTTGCCTTTACCCACATCGATCAACCAACCGCCCTTTCGTTTTCTTTTCCCCGTGGATTTCCTTTCCTTCCGGCTCCCCTCTCGCTCTACTGAATCCATCAATTCGCAATTTCAATATTCACGACTCCCTCGACACGTCCGATCCCGGCCAGAACTGCCTCCGTCAACCTCAATCGGGGGTTGACTCGGTCGATCACGCTGGCTTCGCGTTGACGCCTCGCCCGTCGCGCTTTTCCCCGCATCGGCGCTACTTTTGCATTGATTCGACTCTCGTCTTTGATGCTCCTCGCTCTCATCCTTACCTGATCACGAGGTGTCGTCTTTTTTTTTTTTTTTTTTTTCTCCCTTCGTTTTTCTTCATCTCCCTTTCTTTTTTTCGGTTTGAGATCCAGAGGGACCCACTGTGTGTGGTTTGTCGTTTCTAGTCCCGTCCTTTTCGGTCGCTCGAGGAAATCCATCAATCCAACGAACCTCTGCCGTCTGTTGTGATCCGCGCCTCAGCCATGGCTAGCTAGTGAATGCTGCGGATGAATCCTTAACTTCGACTCCAAGGGCATCCGCTCTGCCCGGCAGACGGTCCTGCTAGGGCCTTATTGTGTTATTTTCGTTCTTGCGTCTACAGATTCACTCCTCTCGACCGTCTCTTTCCGCCCGCTGAAGCCTTTCGGCGCCGGCCCTTCGTTTCCTGACCCGTCATTCTCTCGACCCGGAGACTTTCCCATCGGATCGCCAGCGGTTCTCGTTCAGAATGGCGGGCAATGGCTTCCAGAGTGCCCAGTTCCTCGCTCCTCCGGCCGTGACTGCCTTGAGGCAGGAGGCCCGCACCATCGACCCGAATCTCTCCCCCTCGATGCGCTCCGTGTCCGACAACATGCAAGAAGAACGCGAAGATTTGAGGGAGGCGGCGGAACAGACCCTGAATGTGATCGTCGATCTGGACCTCGAGGGCCGCATCAAATGGGTCAGCCCCTCGTGGAAACAGGTGGTGGGCACCCCCGCTGAGTCGGTGGAAGGACGAATGATCTCGGAGGTCTTGGCCGGCAACAAGAACGTCTTCCAGGACGCCATCGAGTCCTTGAAGGAGGACGACTCTCGCAGCCGCTTCGTTCGTTTCGCCGTCCACATGGGCCCCGACTCGGTGCTGAAGTATTCGCCGGAGCCGCAACCTCTGGATCTGGATGCTTCCGGCGCCGAAGCTGAAGGCGCGGACGCCCAAGATGCGACGTCGGCGAAACTGGAGGAGCGCAACAATGATATTATCAACATGGAGGGACAAGGAATCATGGCATTTGACCGGACTTCGAGCGGGACCGGCCATGTAAGTGTGACAATGACAGCCGAAACAGGATCTAGATAAGGCCCAGGAAGCACTAACCGTCTTGATCGTTCGATAGACCATGTGGATGTTACGGCCCTTCACGCAGCCAAGGGAAGTCACGATCGATCTTCCTCCGTTGCTAGTGGAATCGCTAGGTGTTGGAGCGGAGGTCCTCGCGAACTACTTGACGACGCTGGCCGAAGCGGCTGCCACCGAGCCCGATCCCACCAGATATCCTGCCCCGAACCCCATCCTGTGTCGAATCTGCGAGCGCCAAATCACGCCCTGGTGGTTTGAGAAACATTCGGATCTGTGTCTTCAGGAGCATCGGGCCGAGATGGATGTCCAGATAGCGCAGGAGAACCTGAACGAGCACCGCCATGCCATTGTGAAGGTGTTGGATGCTTTGGAGGCCAGACAGGGCAGGCCGTTGGTCCTTGGTGACGGAAACCCGCCTCCGACACCTCAGCCGGAGTATAAGGGCCTGCCCATCGGCCCTTCGCCCGTGGCTTCGGCTCCCTCGTCGGGGTCTGTCTCCAATTCCAGCTCTGCTCCTGCCACCCCGCCCCGGTCCAGAGACCACTCGGCCTCGGGCATGGGACACGCTCGAGGTCGGTCCTTCGCCGTGCGACGGCCGTTATCGCGAGTGGTGGAGCTTATTCTTGATCTATGCGACACGGCCCTGGAGATCAACATGCCGGTGATCAAGGAGACCCGCGCGGATAACGGTGACGATTTTCGAACCATGTCTCCGCAGTCGGAGTCCCGAGTCTCGCAGGTTCTGCAGTGGCAGTCTCCCAGTTCGAATACTCTCGAGCAGGAGCAGGGCCTCGCAGCGCTGTGCATGGACACGGAACAGGTTTCGAGGGCGAAGGTGGATGCGGTCATTCGCCATCGTAGAATCGTCGAGTACGCCGAACGGATTCGCATTGAATACACGGTGCTGGTAGAAGAGTGTATCACGGCCGCCCTGAGCAAAGCCGAGCGCATTGCGGCTGGTCAATTGAGCGATTCTGGCTCCTCCGACGATGAAGCTCCCAGGGAAGATCCGCCGGCCGCCGCTCCCAGCCCCAGGTTGTCTCGCGAGATCGCACCGCCGCCACCGCCGCCTGCCATGTCCGCCCTGACGATGTCTATGCGAAACTCGCCGGATCGCTTTCCGTCTCCCTATCCCTCCGAGGGGAAGCCGACTTCATCGGTGGCCGTGTCAACCGGGTCCAACAGTCCGATGGAATGCCCGACTCCCCGCTCTCACAAGAGCATGGCCGGCGTGCTGGGCACATCCCAATCGTCCCGCCGAGCTCTTTCCTCCATAGACCCCGACGTGGGTGACTACAGCGACAGCAGCGTGCCGTCGTCGGTTTTCCCCGGAGCCATGCGAACTGATTCCCCATCCTCCGATCGCAGCCTCAAACGACGAAGCCTGGTGCTTCCCGGGCTGTCCAGCTCCCCCCATCGGCAACATTCTCCGGCCAGGGCCTCGGGACCGCACTCCCCGTTGCGCATGCCCAAACCACGCCTGTCCAGCGGCGCCGATAGCTTACCCTCTCCGATCGTGTCCCCCTTGACGAATGCCGGTGAACTGGCTCACCATCACTTTCGCCATCATCGCCGGCAATCTTCCGCCACTTCTTCGGACATGGCGCGGCCGCCGGTGTCGCCTCATTTGACAACTGCCCGTGAGCCGCAGCCACGCCCGGCACCGCCTTCCATCAAAGACTTCGAAATCATTAAGCCCATCAGCAAAGGCGCCTTCGGCAGCGTGTATTTGTCCAAGAAGAAGACCACCGGCGAATACTTTGCAATCAAGGTGTTGAAGAAAGCGGACATGGTCGCGAAGAACCAGGTCACCAACGTCAAGGCCGAGCGGGCCATCATGATGTGGCAGGGCGAGAGCGATTTTGTCGCTAAGCTGTACTGGACGTTCTCCAGCAAAGAATACCTCTATCTGGTGATGGAGTATCTCAATGGAGGCGATTGTGCTTCGCTTGTCAAGGTTCTTGGTGGTCTTCCTGAGGACTGGGCCAAGAAGTACGTCGCCGAAATTGTTCTCGGGGTCGAGCATCTCCATGGTCGAGGTATTGTCCATCGTGATCTCAAACCGGACAACTTCCTTATCGATCAAACGGGCCATCTCAAGCTCACCGACTTCGGTCTGTCCCGCATGGGTCTGGTCGGACGTCAAAAGCGCGTTCTCAAGACCATGAACGAGCCGGCCCCCGACTTGTTGCAACAAGGGCCCTTTCCTCGCGCTACATCGATAACCTCCTCCCGATCAGCCTCGTTTGATTTTCAAGGTAACGGTTCGCCGGGCTCGACGCCGCTCATCACGCCGGATGCTGCGAGCAGCATACCCCAGCCATCCTACTTCAATCTCAACCAAGGCGGCGGTCTCAGTCGTCAAACCTCGCGCCGAGCGTCAGGCTACCGCAGTGATAGTGGAGGGAGCGACAACTTGAATGCCATCTTCCAATCGCTATCACTGAATGAGGGTAGCGAAACGGCAAGTTCTTTACCGGTTCCCGTCCCTGGCCAGTCTTCAAATAGCGTAACCGAGGAAGAGGGCCAGAGCGAGCTGGGCGAGTCGCCGCAGCTTTATCCGCTTCATTTGTCTCATAGTATCCCAACTTCGCACGAGACTCCCCCGCAACAGGGCATGATGCCGCCGCTGATGGCGCTCTTCGATCCCGAGGATCATAACCGACGTTTTGTCGGTACTCCTGACTATCTGGCGCCGGAGACGATCAACGGCGTGGGCCAGGACGAGATGAGCGATTGGTGGTCTTTGGGCTGCATTATGTTTGAGTTTCTGTTCGGATACCCGCCGTTCAACGCAGACTCCCCGGACGAAGTTTTCGACAACATCCTCCACCGACGAATTAACTGGCCGGAAGAGATCGAGGAACTGGCAACCCCAGAATCCATTGATCTTATTAACAAGCTTATGACCATCAATCCGCGCGAGCGAATTGGATCGAACGTCAATGAGAAGTATCCCAACGGAGGTGCGGAAATTCGAAGCCACCCGTGGTTTTCGGATATCAACTGGGACACACTCCTCGATGACAAGGCCCAATTTGTCCCGAACCTGGAGAATCCCGAAGATACTGAGTACTTCGATGCCCGAGGAGCTACCCTCCAGGCCTTTACGGAGGAGCTTGAGGATGGCAGTTCCCCACCGCATCCGGCAACAGTTGGGCCCTACCCAGACAGACCCCACGATGCACTGTTCAAGGTTCGCTCGCAGGTCAATGCTACGAAGCGACCCCAGATGCCTCTACACATCCCGCCTCATGTGCGCGAGTCACGCAGCCGACGACTCAGCGAGCCCACCCTGGCCGATGATTTTGGCAATTTCGCCTTTAAGAACCTTCCCATGTTGGAGAAGGCCAATAAAGACGTGATCCAAAAACTGCGTCAGGAGGCAATGCAAGCTCAGCAACGTCATGTCACGCCTTCGGGTGCACCGCAGCAGACGCAGCCTCCACAGACACCAGCCCAAGCCCAAGCACCAGCGCCAGGCCAGGCACAGGGCCCGCCACCTCCACCGCCGCCAGCAGCTCCTTCATCCGGTCCTTCTCTGGAGGGCAGTCCTTTGCCAATGTCGTTGCAGCGAACACTGTCGCACAACAAGGGCAACAACCGGCCCTCGTCACCTTCAGGCCTGAGTCAAGGGAATTCGTCTCCTAGCCGTCCCTCGCAGCCGTCGTCTCCACTCCTGGTGCAATTCAGCACCGGTCACCACAACCACGAGCGAAGAAAAACATCGGGATCTTCTTCGGCTAACTCTCACCAATCCAGCGGATCTTTCCAACCGGGTGCCCCGGATCAGAACCGTATGGCGAGTTTGAAACTCAGCTCCACGGCATCGTCGCCGATCAAAAGCACTCGAGCCACGACCCATTCACCGGACAAAACGCCCTCTGGTCCCCCGCGTCAAGGCAGCGTTCCTGTTGGAAGAGCCCGGTCGCAGACTATTGGCTCGCAAGACGGGGACTTGTCGTCGTCTTTGGCAAAGGAATCGTACGTCGCAGGTCATTACAAGCGCCGCAGTCAACTTCTCGATGTTTCACCGTCCTCCTCGGATAACGAGGACCCGCGCACCAAGGCACTGCTTAAAGTGCAACGGCGGCGCCAGAGCTCCCGACGCCTTTCTCAGATCAATATACCCGAAGGACCTTTCTTCCGGCCGCTGGACGTGCTCATCTGTGAAGACCATCCGGTGTCGAGGTTGGTGATGGAACGTTTGTTTGAGAAGCTCCGCTGCCGCACCATCACGGCTATCAATGGCTCAGAGGCCATGCGTTATGCACTGAGCGAAGTTCGGTTCGATATCATATTGACGGAATACAAGCTACCTCAAGTGAATGGGGCCGATGTGGCACGTATGGTGAGAGAGACGCGGAGCGCCAACCGACATACGCCCATCATTGCAGTCACCGGCTATCTAAAGGACCTGCCCGAGACGCATCACTTTAACACGCTCATCGAGAAACCACCGACTTTGACTAAGTTCACGGAATTGTTGTGCAGATTCTGCCAGTGGAAACCTCCACCAAAAGATTGGACACCCTCGCAACCCTTGCCCATTCCACAATCGGTGTTGCGTCACTCTGCTGCACCGACTGAGCATAGCCCCAGCTCGACCACGTCGTCTGGCTTCATGCCGGTGCCGTCAAGCTCGTACCGAGGATCTAGTCGCCAAGACTCCATTGGCAGCAGCTCTTTTGGTGACGTGGAATCTGTCAAAGCCGAGGATGCTCCAGCGGGTTCAAATCGCCAAACTGATGAGTGGGCTCCTAACCAAGGTGGACTCGGCATCTCCGAGGATGCGACTGCGAGCCAAAAGAGCTCCGATCCGACCCCCAGTACTGACTCGAATCCGGAATCTTTACCACACTTGTTACACGCAGTCTCTGCACCGGCCGAAATGAACCCTTCCACCGCGTATGCCCCTCGCAAGCAGCGGTCCAGCGAAGCCATTCAGGCCAAAAGAAAATCCTTGGAGAAGAAGCGCCATGAGTGTGCAGAGTCCGGGGATGACGAGGACGAGGAGTTCGGTGCCGCCCAAGCACGCGCGCAAAGTCCTCGTCACCGGTCCCATCGCCCCGGCTCCAAGCTAGGGATCGAGATGATGAGAACCAACAGTCGAGGAAGCGTGGTCAGTGGCAGCGAGGAGGTGCTCAAGAAAGAAAGGGAGGCGCTCGAGAGAGCCAGAGGCGTGGGTCTGGGCAGCATCGGTGATCAACTCGGGTCGTCTCCTCGTAGTATCAGGCTCGAGGATCGATTCGAGGGGCTTCAAATCCCCGAGGAAGCTGTCTCCGGGTCAACTGATGAGGATTTCAGTCCTCGACATTCTCCTCTGCCTCCCAATGACAAAGGGAACCCCACTGGACGCGAGACAGGCGCCGAAGCCAACACAGAAACCCCTCAGAAGGGGCAAATCACGCCTCCAATCATGTTCAGCAGGGTTGACGAGGACCTCGAAACCACACCAACTGACCCCAACACGCCGTCCGTCAAGATCAAAGATTACAGCGACGCGGATATCAGCACCGATAGTGAGGTTATCCAAACCCCCGAATCTGAAGCTACACCTCGGCCTATACACACGCCATCACTTGGCATAGATCCAGAGGACACCACGCCACGCCAATCGGGTCGATAAAGCCAGTCACTGATCGCGGTTGGTGACGGGACTTCTCTACTTGAAGAATTTGGGTTTGAAAAAAGAAAAAAGAAAACAAAACAAAACAAAAAAAAAGCTAAAGAGAACTGTAGACGTTGCTCGCTTGCCGTCTTTGGTATGGAGATTCGAGGAGTTTATTTGCATTTTCTCCGCCCTGGAAGCGCTGTCCTGTATCTTCGCCGCTGCTTGCTTGATACATTCTCGCATCTTTGCATTCTCTGTATCAGTGACGGATTGACTTATTGATTTCTTCCTTCCAACTCACTGTGCACTACTGTCAGAATATCTCCGCGTCATTTGCTCTTCCCTCATTTTTCGATTTCTTTTTTTTCTTCGTCTTCTCTCCTGTTCAACTAAGCGGGCGTTTGGGTGTCAAATGACATGGACATTTGTTATCTATCATCTCAACCAGGTCGTTTGAGGTTTCTTTCTTTTTTTCACCATTTTCCTTGTGTTCAAACAACCAAACCAATTTTTCTATTCTTCGCCAAGAATGAATAGAATCAATTGGTTGATTGGTTCTCTCTCTATGTATGTACGAGATTTAAAAAATCGTCTTCGGAAAAAAAAAAAGGAAACAAAAAACAAAAAAACAAAAGCCGGACTTTGGATTATTTCTTCGTGATTTTTCCCCTCTCTCTAAAATAGGATCAAAAAAGCACGCTTTTGTTCGTTCTTAGGAGGGTGGGGTTTGGTTCTCTCCTATTGAGTTGTTTTGTTTCTCTTCGTTCATTGTCCAGCATGGTTGGCTCATGAAGTCAATTGTTTCATTTCAAGTGGGTGTGCGTGTTTCTAACCGAACTTTTTTTTTTGTGCTGTACTTTTCAGGATTTTTAATGTATGATATACGAATGATATGAGATCATGATATAATAGTGTGAGATTTAAGTTTTCAATAGTAGACCAAGGGGATATACGGAGTACGGAGTATGATGGCATTCACCACCCTAGGCGTAGGAGGGAAGTTCGATCAGATCTACTCCGTAGGGGAAAAAAGAACGAAGAGTTCAAAAGGAGTGGGACTTGCGAAGAACTAGCTCTGCTAACTATCGAACCAAAGTCTAATATGAAACCATCATTACATCACTTCCGAGATCCGAGAAAAGACGCAAAAATGGGAAAGGTCTGAAGAGGACGGAAGATCTAGAACGCGGAAAAGGCAAGCGCTGAAATATCAGACCGACGCGGTCGGGAAGATAATTTAAGGGATCAGAACCATTGGAAAGCTATTAGGTTGTATCGACAAAAATGCATCTGTATATGTTGAAATGAGATGGGAAAAGAAAAAACAAAAGCAATCAAACAATGCCGCCCACTGGTATGTAGTATATGTACTTGGAAAAATGTAACATGAATGATAGGCTGATGGAGCATCAAATCAGGTATCTGTGAAGTATCTGTCTATGTATTCAGGGAATGTAGTTTTTGATCGTATCAAGTCCGACGGTTTTATGTTTCTTGTAGTTGGGTTGGGATTCGGTCTTCTACCGTGGCTGTTGTTCCGAATGACGGCTTCTGCCGGAGGGCGAGGCCGTGCGGATTTGAGTCAGCGCGTCGTTTTGCTCGAAGCGTCCCTGCTCGGCGAGATCTTCGTGCTCGCGGCTGTTGAGACTGTTGCGGTGGCGGAAGAAGCGGTTGCGGCTGATCGAGGAAGCGATGCTGTGTCCGCCCTGCGATTCGGTCGACCGGCGGCCTTCGTGGTTGGAGGGAACGCTGAGATTGGAGTTGCCACGAGGTCTGGAGCGAGACGAAGAGGTACGGCTTCGACGCTCGGCCTCTTCTTCCTCTTCTTCCTGGATGCGACGTTCGGCATTCTCACGGTTGGCGAAACGGACAACGTCGTCGACTCGTTGGGTGCGGTCTTCGAAGACGTCACCCATCACATCGCCGGAGGAGACATCGCGCATACCCAGCGAGAAGTCGACGTGCTTGCGGGATTGCATGGTGTCGCCACGGGCTCGGGCAGCGGCGGTGGCTGCACCTTTCCGGAGGATTGACGGGTGGCGGAGGGCGCCGGAGGTGAAGCTGGAGTTGTCGCCCACGTCGCCTCGCTCGCTCAGGGGCGTAGGCGGAGGACGGCTGTCGTTGCTGGAACCCAGCTGATTGCCCATACCGGTGACATGGAGCGGAATGTCGACCCGCGCACCCTGGAGGTTCATGCGAGGGCCCTCGATGCCAATCTCCTGCAAGGCGATCATGAGCATGCAGATGAACTTGTTGCGGCGCTGCAGACGGAGACCTTCGTTCTGCCAGTTGGATTTGTAGAAGAAGACGACGTTGAGGGTCACGGAGAAGTTCTCGGTCACTTGACGCATCTCAGTAAGGATGTTGGTTTGGAACTCGCGACGTTCACTTCGGACAAATTCGAGAAGGCGCTGGCGGAGAGCATCGATCTGCTCGAGGGTCGTGCCGTACTTGATGACGATGGGGATTGCCTCGGCGAGGGCTCCGGATCGGCGCTGGTTGAGAATAAAAAGGCCGTTGAGGTAACTGTTGGGTGCCTGGACGATGTGACCCTGCATCTTCTTAAACTCAGTGTAGAGTAGCGAGATTTGCTTGACAAAGTAGTCGTCACCCAGACCGGCATCACCGGCGTTACCGTAAATCGTGACACGATCGCCGACATCGAATGGGTGCTTGACGAAAACGAAGATGACCGACTGAAGGAATTCCTGCGCAGTGGCAGAGAAAAGCCAGGACAAGGCGAGGACGGTGGAACCGGCGGATGTAAGCACACCGGCGGCGGAGGTCGAGATGAGGGAAAGGAAAACGATAATGGCAATCACGACCACGAAGAACTCGAAGACATTATCCAGCCTCGACACCACGGAGTCAAGATCCTTCAGGGACGCAGTGATGGACTTGCGCTCACGTCCAATTTCAACGCAGACGGCCTCCAGCTCATCCATGGAGATGTCACCGTTCATATCCTTGTCGAACATGATGAACGCGGCATCCGCCTCGTCATTGTTGTCGAAAGCCTCCTTCAAATCACCCGAGAAAACCGTATCGAAACCGTTGCGCACGAACGTGCGGTACAGGCGGCGCGCAAGGACTTGGCAACCGGTTGTGGTGCGCAGAAGGGTCAAAACGACCTGATAGGGGTGCGTGCTGTTGGTGGCTTTCCGGCCGGTGAAATCCGCCGCCACTGCGCCTGCCACGTCGCCAACCTTGTTCAGAGCACCCTTGGCGACCCGCTGGGCCTTTCCTGCATAGTGCAAAGGAGTCTTGGTTCCGGTGTTTTCCTTCTCCTGTCCCTCTTGATAATCCTCATCGTCGGCAAGCTTGTTCCGAGAGAAGTCGTACAGTTTGGTCAAGCTACCAATCTGGAACTTGTTGATCTCAATGCGATCGGCGTAGGTCCGGGTGTGGAAACTGATGGCAATCAACTGGATGATGAATTTTTCGATGAGGTTGAGAATGACGAAAACGAAGATGGCAATGATGATGGTGTTGACGGTTTTCTCCCAGCTTCGAGTGCGCTTGCTGCCATCAACGTGATGGCTTTTCATGGTGGGTAGGAAAGAAATTTCCACCCCCAGCCACCAGAAGAAAAGAGTGGCGTGAAGCTCCAATTGCTTGGCCACATCGCGCCATTTCTTCGCATTGTTGGTGAAAACACTAGCAAGAATTCCCACGGGGATAGGGAGTAGTTTGGCCACAATCTACAGGTAGGATTTGATTAGCAAGATGTGAACGGGTGTCCGAGCATAGGGGTTGTACGTACTCTTCCGGCCCACAGTGTCAACCAGACGATTTCTAGCCAGACCGAGAACCAGAGCAGCTGAACGCCTCCCACGTTGGCATCGGGAAAAGCCAAAGCACCGACCAACAAAGGAATGAGCAGGATGACGACGAGAGGCACAATATACGTGAGGTACCGAACGATAAAGCTAGACTCGTGGAGTTTTTTGATGAATTTGGCAAAGCTGGTGTTGGGGTTTTCCGGCGGGTTGTAGACGGCGGCTTTCTCGTGCAGTGGGTTGGTTGCCTCGTCGAATTCATCCACGTTTTGGGAGCGACGCGAACGAGTTCGAGAGATAGAGTGGTTGTCTCCTGCATCCTCTCCTCCGTTCTCCTTGTCATTCTCTTCCCGGGTCGAGCGAGAAGCCACACGCTCTGCTTCAAGAACCGCAAGATCGTCTTCGAGGCGCATGGCTTGCTCCCTGGAGGCCGAAGGGGACCGCAATGCCGTTCTATCTAGATCATCGTGGGCGGTGTTCACTCGAAGATGGTTTCCATAGCCATCATTGGACTCGTTGACGTAGGTGCCATCATCAGAAACTTGGGGTTCGCCGGTCTTGTCTTTCTTCTTCTCTTCGGGATATTTGGGAGCTGGAATCTCCTCCACGGGGGTTGACATGCTGGCACCAGGCCAGATGGCGCGGAAGAAAAAATCGACGGAAAATTAATACGATACTAGTAAAGAGGGTAAAAAGCCCGGAATCGATGCCAGAGCTCGGAAGTATTAAAACGAATGGTAATGTAGGCGTTGGTAAATAGGGAAAAAAAATATAAATCAAGTATAAAAGAATGAAGATAAGCGAGTGTAGTAGGAGAGAAAGAGGAGAAGAACGCGGGAGAGAGGAGGAGCCCCGAATTCTATAGAAATCGACTTTCTCCTAGGCCGGTTGTGTAGCTAGCTAGTCTCAGACGCCAACAAGGGCAGGAAGAGAGTCCAACACGGGTGGGGACCACGTTAAACGGTATCGAGTTTAGGTCGTCAAGGGGGGACACCAGGGCGGCTTAATCTGCGAGATGGCGTGTCTGAACGAGGAAGGGGTGGAAATTAAAGTGACAAGCAAGCCGGTAGGGCTAGATAGTTCTTCGTGGGATGCGAGAGATGGAAGGGAAGAAGGGGGGAACGATGCGATCAAAAAACGACCGAGGGGGGAGAGCGAGAGTGGAAGGCCATTAAAACCACGAGACGAATAATGGCAAAAGGAAAAAGAAAAAAAGAAAGAAAAAAAGAAAAAAAAAAAAAAAAAAAAAAAAAGAAAACTGGAGCAGCATTTGAGCACCAACAATAGCAGCCAGAAGGAGGAGCGAGGTCGATGCGGGAAGATGCCGATCGCACGGGAATATGGACCGGTGGAGCAATCGAGAGATTTCGTCAGTCCAGACCGTTGGGAGAACCTCTCCGAATGGCCCTCGTCTCCAATGCATTCACTCCTTCGGGGACCAGAGAATGCTGACAGTCGGGGTCGACCGGCGTCGCGACGATCGCTCCCTCTGGCGACATCGGGGGGATCATTTGAAGACCGGGATGGCAAGGCGACGAGGGCGATTCATTTGCTCATCTGGTCGCGAGTCAGGCCTAAGCGAAGCACCTACAGCGAGCAGTCCGACACACCACGACCAAGGCAAGGAAAGGACTCCTCACTGGATTCTAGCCCGTGGCTAGAGGGCCCCTAAGTGGTCCCTCCGAGTGGTCCAACCGGGGCCATGCAAAGTCAAAGACCCAGTTGCGATAGCAGGGTCAGGCAGTTCTGAGCCAATAACCATAATTCGATCACCCAGCTGGCAGATGTGGATGGATGGTGACAGTGCGAATCCTTGTCTGGAACAGATGGAACCAAAGAGGGAGACAACGACGTTTGTCCGAGGAGACGACGACGGCCATGGCTTTGGCACCGGGGAGGTACGGTAAGCCACGCAGTAGAACCTTACATACAACCTTGGAACCGTCCACCCATTTGGATAATTGTTGACATGATTCTGTTTCAATTATTCCGGTGTAACTGAGGAAGCAAGGTACCGGGTCCGGGAGCAAGTCAGAGCAGGGCAAGTCACAGCAAGTTGCAGCAAGTCAAATCGAGCATCCGCGGAGGCGTAAGTTACTGTACCACCGTACGGGAAGGCGGGCATCCCATTGGCCGAGACTGCCCCGTCGGCGAAACCGCCGTAAATTGGCCACCGCCAAGCAACGCCACCTCAGGCACCACTTGGTCTTGGTCGCTCCTTTTCGGCCGCCCGAGGAATTTATGTGAAACCGCGTCGAATCCGCCCCAAGTCACGCCGCAATTCCGACAAGGCAGAGCTTCCTTTGGGCGGTCCCGATATTAATAGCGTTGCCTCGTCCGGCACAGGACCGTAGACTCGGCCTACTGCCTGCAGAATACGGGAGTACGGAGAATGGTCTGACAGCCGTCTGGAATTCTACGAGCGATTCCTTCGACTGTCGCGATCGTAAGACGGACGACATAAAATGTCCGTGCCCCGATGAAGGACGATATGCAGGATATGCAGGCTATGCAGAATATGCACGATATGCACGATGGGCGGTCTCACCTTCCCTTCGCGGCTTCTGCACTCCGCAGCGCCCGTTTATTGATTCGACCTTCCTGCTTGGTCCAAGTCGCTGGATCAACTCCTTGGAATAGTTCGGCTCTCTAGAGTTACACCAACTGATATGGTCCGGGTAGATCTCTTTTTGGGCGTGCCGATTGGGGCTATCGAGGATAGAGACATGGGTGGCTTCTGCTTGTTTCGGCCTCCCTGTTTCCTGCTTTTCTCTGTGCGGTTCTTCGGTTCTTACTCCGTACGTGGTAGCCGCTAGTCGCTACTGCCAGCCAGTGATCAGATGCGATCGATCTGCTCGACCTCCTCCGACATCATCGTTCCACCGCGGCGGAACCCATTGGAGCACCGCAATGTTGACGTGTTTGCCCCGCCCCAACATCGACGGCCGACGTGACGGATCAAGAGCCACGGCAGAAGACGCAGACGCTTCGGGGACGCAATTGGGAATCTTAAGCTCAGACAAGCATGTCTCCTATGATATCATCTGGATGCGTCCCAAACGCCATGGAGATGGCCCGACGTAGCCCTGCGGTTTGATCGTCCCCGGACCTGTGTACTTCATGCGACGAACACGGGTCATATCGATTTTATTGTATGAGCCTTCCCAATCTATTCGATCTGCTGGTTCGAGCCTCTTGGCTAGTGTTGTCTGTAGTATATTACCCTTGCTGATCCTCGTTCGGCTGGATCCAGAGGGGCTTGATTCCCCGCCGTAGACAAGGTTATAAACCCAGCGCTTATTTGATGCACCGGACCGATTGATCTCATCGATCTTAATGATCAACGGCTTCATGTTGACCCTGAGGTCTCATTAACGACAGGGTCTGAGTGCGGCACTGCGAACATCCGTTTTCAGGCGTCGCCCCGCATTCCACGGCAGCGGCACGTGGCGGGCGGATGCCCCATAATAACATCCATCTAGACAAGAGAATCATGAAAGACACCTTGCGAGAGCCGGAGGAGAAAGAAGATCGGAGGTATGGCGTCTATTCCTACCTCCCAGCATGGCGTAGTCAGGAGAGCCACGGTTGATTGGCGGTGGGTGGCCTGTTTATTGCCGCTCGGCAGGAACGACCGAACGACCGTTCATTTCCTACCGAACCCTCTTCTCGTCATCCCATCTCTCCCTCTCTCCCTCTCTCTCTTTCCCCCCTCCTCTTCCCCTTATTCCTCATCGTCCGTCTCCATTTGTTGGTACTTAGTCTACCGCTTCAACCGTCCACGGACCTTCGAAATCTCATATCGAGCTCTGAAAGAGACGCCAATTCTCCATCATGCGTGGCGAGGTGCGAACTACCCGCTCTATTATTTACTTCCCCCGCACCCGTTCCCCTCCATCCCCCAAGCTACGACAACACGCGTGGTCCATCCCAGTAACTAACTCGTTTTGTTCCTGATATCTAGGTCTGTCACATTCATATTGGCCAGGCTGGTACTCAGCTTGGTAACAGTGCCTGGGAGCTGTATGTCTTCACCGCTGTTCCGTGCCCGATGCCCAAGTGCTCACCTCCGTCTGATAATTCAGGTATCTCCTTGAGCATGGTCTCCAGGCCGATGGTCACCTTGACAAAAAGGCCGCTGAGGACGTCGATTCTGGTGGCTCTTTTCAAACGTTTTTCACCGAAACTAGCAACGGAAAATACGTCCCTCGCTCCATCTTCGTGGACCTGGATCCTTCGGTAGGTCTCCCTCTGACAAGACTCTACCCATATTTCAGGACCCTAGTCGCTCATTATCGTCATCCCAACAGCCGATCGATGAAATCCGCACCGGTAGCTATCGCCAGCTCTTCCATCCTGAATTGCTGATCAGTGGCAAAGAGGATGCCGCCAACAACTGTATGTTTGGAGCGTCGAAGCTGGAAAGAACACTAGTACTCATGCATAGCAGACGCTCGTGGCCACTACACCATCGGAAAGGAGCTCGTTGATAACGTGATCGACCGCATTCGCCGTGTTGCCGGTACTTTCAACCTCCTAGACGCGAACCCTTACCCAAAAGCCTGGCTAACAATGAATAGACAACTGCGCCTCTCTTCAGGGCTTCCTCGTCTTCCATTCTTTCGGCGGTGGTACCGGTTCCGGATTCGGTGCCTTACTGCTGGAGCGCCTTTCGACCGACTATGGCAAGAAGTCTAAGCTGGAGTTTGCTATCTATCCCTCGCCTCGCGTGTCCACCGCCGTCGTCGAGCCCTACAACGCCGTTCTGTCCACGCACAGTACCATTGAGAACTCTGACTGCACTTTCTTGGTGGATAACGAGGCCGTCTACGATATCTGCCGTCGCAATTTGGATATCCCTCGCCCCAGCTATGAGCACTTGAATCGCCTGATCGCCCAGGTGGTCAGCTCCATCACTTCCAGTCTTCGCTTCGACGGCGCCCTCAATGTCGATTTGGCCGAATTCCAGACCAACTTGGTGCCATTCCCTCGAATCCACTATCCCTTGATTTCCTACGCCCCCGTGGTTGGAAGCAGCCGCAGCTCTCATGAAAGCTTCCGAGTGCAGGATCTGACCTTCCAGTGTATGTACTGCCCATATCTAGATGGCAACCCCCGTCGGTTCGGCTTCGCTAACCATGACTGACACTTGATAGGTTTTGAACCCAACAACCAGATGGTGGTTTGCAACCCTCGCGATGGCAAGTACATGGCTGTCGCTCTGCTGTACCGTGGTGACGTGGTGCCTCATGACTGCAGTCAGGCCATCTCCTCGCTCAAGGCCAAGGCTTCGTTCAACCTGGTTGAATGGTGTCCCACTGGATTCAAGTTGGGCATCAACTACCAGAAGCCCGTACGCGTCCCTGGCAGCGAGCTTGCCCCCGTCGACCGCTCCGTCAGCATGCTTTCCAACACCACTGCCATCGCCGAAGCCTGGGGTCGCCTGGACCACAAGTTCGATCTCATGTACTCCAAGCGTGCCTTCGTTCACTGGTACGTGGGCGAAGGTATGGAGGAGGGTGAGTTCTCCGAGGCGCGCGAGGACTTGGCCGCTCTGGAGAAGGACTACGAGGAAGTCGCCAGCGACAGCCTGGAGCCCGAGGCTGACGAGCCGGAATACTAATCGCCTGGTTGCCCTTCGTCTGGTCTGCTTTGGTTGATTTGATTCTTGGTTTGTCTAATTTCTTGCCGCAAAACTCAATGTATCCCGCCTGCTCGCGACAACCCCCTTCCGTTCCTGCTTCCCTAGCGTTGTTTTCCATTTCCACAATTTTCCCCGCGGGCGATTCGGATTATCGTACAGAATCAGAATATCAAAATCCATGTGTTTAATTACTCTAGTTGATCTGATAATATGTCTTGTCCATAAACGGGTAATGCGCCGGCCCAAAAGATAGATCGATACTGTACAACACCCACATGTAAGAGCGAGCGCTTTACTTGTCTGCATCTGCGTCCATTTTCTGCAGTAGTTTCAGCGACTCCTCATACGTCCACATGGTCACCGCGCTGGCTGGCGCCGCCTTAAACAGGCTAACGGTCAAGCCGCGATAGAGACCGCGAACGCCCTGCGTTCGCACAATCATCGCAATCGTATGGAACACGCCCCGATACTCCGGGATATTGCGATGAACGTACAAGGAGCGCGTCGGGCCCTGCACCTGCAGCCGCTTCCTTACCAGATCCAACGGAAACACGCCCGTCTTCGCCAGCACGCTCGACACGACCCCCGCGACGGCATCGCCCGACCCGAACGGCAAATCATGCAGCCCGGACAGCGACGGCCTCAGCGACTCGTACGTCGCGAAGAACAAGCCCATGTACGGCACGATCTGGCCCACCGCGGCACTGCACCCGCGGAAGAACCCCCGGTGTCCTTCCTTGCGCGCGATGTCCCGCACCGACCCCAGCAGCGACCGATACACCCGTTCCGTGCCCTGCGCGGCGAATCGCGTCCGAAGCAAATCAAGCGGGTAGGTCGCCGCCGTGGCGCAGCCGCCGGCGAAGGCCCCAGCGACGAAGGACTCAGCGGGCGGAGGTAACCGGTAGGGATCGAGTTGGGCCAGCGCTTGCGTGGTTGTGCGGTAGGTGGTGAATTGCGCGGCGCCGTAGCATACGTACATCAGTTCTGCGGGGACGTTGCCTTTCCAGAGGCCCTGTGGGTTGTGGTTTCAGCGTTCAGCGTCGGCGCAGCGTTTCCACGAGCCGGGACACGTACGGTTATGCCTTCCTGGCGCACAATCGACCGCATCGTCGACAGCGTGCCCTTGTAAACCGGACCTTTGACATTATGATGTGAGGTTGGGTCGGAGAGGGAGTGGATTTGCAATTGGAGGCGGATCTTGACGACATCGAGGGGTGCGATGCAGAATCTACCATGGTGCAAAGAGTCGGTTAGAACCAGACCGGACTTTCCATCTCGCGTGAAGGATTTGCCTTTGGAGCCAATTCCGGGAAAAAAGGAGAACGCACCTGGAAACCAAACCCGCTATCCCACCAGCGAGGACGACCTGTCGCCGCGTGCCCTGGCGAGGGAAAGTTAGTCTCAGCCACACCACAAGAGACGAATTGATCGGCCATGGACAAGTTCAAGCTCAAGCTGCACTCACCTCATCCTTCAGGTGTTCTCCCCCGGCCGACATGCATGTGACAGATGACGAAGGGGGTGGAATCAGGAAAAACCGGGGATAACCGGGGTCGGAGGAGAGAATCGTATGATCAAGTAAGGGTGAGCATCGAACGGGCTGAGGAGGTTGGAAGACTTGAGAGTTGAGACAAGGGGCAAGTGTGTTTGTAATGTGACTGATGCTATTAGGTTTGAATTACTCCAGAGTATTAAGTTGTCGCGTTTGTTGAAATGGAGCAGGATACGTAAAATGAACAGCGAGATTGGCCATATTACATATCTATTAGATAACAGCCAAACCAGGGAAATAAAAAAAAAAAAAAAAAAAAAAAAAAAGAGCGGAACTGCGACCGGTATTGTAATCTTGTATACACTTACCATACCGTTGCCACTTTATCCCCCTCCTCTAAAGTAGCATGGCGCTAGTCCTACTCCGTCTTGTTGACATAACCTCGGTCGAAGCGCCGGTTGCTGTTACTGTCAGTTGGTCATTTCCCCATTTCCCCACGGCAACCTCACTCCTTACCACTCCTTCGCGGATCGATCATCATGACTCGCCTGCTGAGGGCTTTCACGACCTCCATACGAGTGGCTGCGCCCTCGTCTCGCCTGCTTCAACGGCGCTGCTACTCCGCAGCTGCGGACTCTCTCGATTCACAAGCTCCTAACCCTCCGAATTCATCACCGAATGGACATGACTTTAAACTAGATTATCAGAAAATTATCGATTCAGTGAGCTTCAAAGATGAGGAGCCGCCGAACTTGCAGGGAAAGCTTCCACCGGGTGTCAGGATCCATGGAAAGTGGATGAAAATTAACAAGAACCGCATAAGGCTGGAGATCATGCACACCCTGCTGCGCGATGCGTGTCGGTGCCCCCGTTGCGTGGATCCATATTCCAAGCAGCGCAAGTTTCTCACCAGCGACGTCAACATTCATGTTACTCCCCGGTCCGTCAAGCTACGCGACAAAACCCTCGAGGTCAGGTGGGTGAATGACATCTATGGCTATGACGGGCATGTCTCCACATACAATCTGGACGACCTGGCCCATATAAGCCCAGTCCCATTAAGATCCTCCGCCGGCAAAAGGAGACCGCGTTGGCTCTGGGATGCGGGCCAGATGGACAAACGCCAGCACTGGATCACCTACGAAGACTATATGCACAACGAGGCCAAGTTCGTGGAGGCCATGCGCCATCTGGCCATGACGGGGCTGGTCTTCGTGAAAGATATCCCCGACTCGCGCGACGAGGTGGAGAAGCTCGCGACCAAGATGGGCCCGCTCCGGAACACCTTCTACGGGGCAACCTGGGATGTGCGCAGCGTGCCCCAGGCCAAGAACGTGGCCTACACGAACCAGGACCTCGGCTTCCACATGGACCTCATGTATATGAACGAGCCGCCGGGATATCAACTGCTGCACTGCCTCGAGAACTCCAGCGTCGGCGGGGAGTCGATGTTCCTGGATGCCTTCAATGTTGCGAATTCGTTTCACAAGCGGTACCCCAATGTGTTCGATCGCCTCGCCAAGCTGAAAATCAACTACGAGTACAATCACGAAGATCACGTCTATACCAACTCATGGCCTGTCTTCGAAGTCGGGCCCGGTAACTCGCCTGACTCCCTAGAACTCGCTCACGTCAACTACTCGCCGCCATTCCAGGGCCGCATGACGCGGTTCAAAGACCCTGCGGCCATCTCGATGGTCCTGCGCTCGTTGAGGCTATTTGACAAGCATCTGAAGGATAGCGACCGCATCTTCCAGCGCAAAATGCAGCCCGGAGAGTGCGCCATCTTCGAAAACCGGCGCGTGCTCCATGCGCGCCGCCCCTTCGACCTGAACAGCGGCAATCGCTGGCTGGCTGGCACCTACGTCGACGAGGATTCTCTTCTCTCCAAGTTCAGGACTCTCAGCCGGAAATACCCCACCGATTGGTACAGATATGGAGTTGAGCTTGTCGATTCTACGGAAACCAAGGAGGTCATGGGGCTCAAGCCGAGCGCGACCAAGAAGAAGTGGATCAGGGACACCCAGGAGGTCGAGGAGACTGAGGAGACCGAGGAGACTGAGGAGACTGAGGGGTCCCGGGATGGACAGAATCTGCAGTAGATGGCGCCGTGAGGACACGGTCCCGCGGTTGTCAGTAGATACGATGTACGAATGAAGCTACTCAACGGGGTCGAGGTGTATATAGATATGTGAGTAACTCTTCCCCCAATTTGTTTGTAATCACCGACCGATCCTTGTATCTTGTGTTATTTTGATTCTCCAATCCCTGGTATTTAAGCGTACATTCAATACATCGAGTCAGTAAGCGGGCAAGAGACATAGGAAAGAAATAAAGAAGGAAAGAAAAAAAAAAGATGAAATCATTCCTCATCGCTAGTTATAATCTAACACACTCAATACTGAATAATAATAAATCAGGGCGTATAGACCAAAGACATTGATAAAGATGCCCATGGACCAGATACCATCGTTCCTGGAAATCTATGAAGAAAAAAAAAAAAAAAAAAAAAAAAGGCAGAAAAAGAAAGATGAGAGTTAACGAATAACTCAAGCAGCAACGGAAGACTTGTTGACGGAGTAATCAGTCAAGAAGTCGGGATCATTGTTCAGTTCTTCCTTGACCTGTACAACAAGAAGATGAATTAGCATCGCATCAATCCAAAAGATAAGAAACCAGAAAAAGAAGGGAAGGGGAAAGAAGTAGAACGTACAATATCCAACCCACCGACCAACTCCCCACTCACCCACAGCTGGGGGAAAGTCGGCCACTCCGCGAACTCCTTCAGACCCTGGCGCACATCCTCATCGGCCAGAATATTAAAGAACCCGTACTTGACGCTGCGCTCCCGCAGGATGCCCACCAGCTGCCGACTGAACCCGCACTGCGGCGCACTGGGCGTCCCCTTCATGAAGAGCATGACGGGCGCGGCCTTGACCAGCTCCGCGAGGCGGGCGAACAGCGCCTCCTTGGACTCTTCGGGGGACACGTTCGCGTTGACAGGGGGCTGGGTAGCGGTCGCGGGGCCGTTCTCGCGCGGCACGGCGGACAAGGGCGGCGGGATGAGGGTGTTAGGGGCCTTCGAGGCAGCGGGGTTGGCAGCGCCGGCGTGGCGCTCGACGGCGTCGCGGACCTTGGTGGCTTCGCTGCCGGAGATGGATTCGAGGACGGAGCCATTGCGGAGGAGCACGACGAAGGGGACGGCGGTGACGTCGTATTCTTCGGAGATGTCAGGGAGTTCTTCGGCGTTGACGCTGACGAAGGAGAGCGACGGCGGGGAGGTGACCGGGTACTGCGAGGCGAGGGCGGAGAGGACGGCGCGCATTTGCGCGCAGGGGGCGGCCCATGGGGCGTGGAAGTAGAGGACGAGCAGAGAGGTGGGAGGGAGGGCGCTCAGGTGGGAGACGAAGTCGGCCTCCGAGGGGATCTCGATGAGGGACGACATGGCGGAATCCGAGGGTGATGAGTTTTGAATTGGGTTGTCGGGTGGGGTTTCTGGCGGGGGAGAAAAGAGAGAGAGGGAGAAATCGGTCAAGTAGTAGTTAGTGTCGGCGCCGGAGGTGGGGGAGGGGAGGAGGTTGAGAAAACCCGATGAACTGCGAGCAGGCGAAAAGGATGCGGGATGGCGAGAAAGCAGTCTAGATATTAAATAGGGAGATCGCGAGACAACAGCTCCAATGACAATGGGTCTGGCGAAGAACGAAGGAAGAGGAAGATCAGCGAAAGGCGAATTTTTGGCTTATCAGATCGAAACCAGCGATTTCCGCCGTCCGACTCGCCGGAACATCGTTGTTCCGCCTGACACCATCGCCTGCCTGAGGCCGGAGTCCGACATCGCTGCGTCATCACTCCTCAGGCACCCATGCCGTCATGCCTGCCTGAGGCTGCAAGGCAACACCCTGCCGATTCCGGTTAGGCCACTCCCCGTATCGCTATCATCACGTGCCACAAAAGCTGGTGGATTTGCAGCCCCGGGCAACGCTGCTCCCTGCTCCCAATACAAGCCTGCATCTGCTGTTGCGAGGCTAATTTCTTGTCCGGGGCTGTGAATTTTCGCCGGAAAGCGTTCCGTCTAGGTGTCACGAGTGGACTGTACTGTCTTCTCCGGTAATTGGCCCGCTTCCAACCGGTCATCTACAAGGCCTTTGATACCATAAGGTCGCCACAAGCCCAGATATGGCCGGCTCGAATAAGCGCAAGCGCGCTGATGCTGGGAATTCCGATGATGAAGACCCGGTTAAAGGCGCTTCGAACGCAGATGCTGCCTTCGGAGTCGGCGAGACTTTATCTCGTCTCCAATCGTCCAATAGTCCCACGGAAGACACAGAGTCGGCAGCGCAATCGGGCGAAAAGTCGAAGAACCAGGACGACATGCCGTCGAAAAGACCGACTAAGAAAAGAGGAATAGATGGGGAAAAGACAAAGTACCCGCAGCTCACTTATGTCGAAGGCCGGCTGCAATCCTCCATTCGCATCGCAGATTTGCAAAATCTATTACTCTACTGCTTTGCCGATGGCATCGCGCCGCAGTGGATCTCGATTAAACACTCGCCTCGTGTCCGTAAAATCGTGGTCTTGATGGTTCCGGGATTGGAATTGGGCATGTTCGATGGGACAATCCCCCTGCAGGCACCGGAGGACAGCGGCAAGGACACCGATGCTCCGGCAGAACAGGAGGGCGCCATGGATACCGAGGGAACGGATGAGGACCCCAAAAAGGCTGACTTCCAACGGTGGAAAAAAGGACTCCCCCCACAGGATCGATCACACCAGTTCAATCCCCGCGCCTTGTCGCGCGACAACTTACCTGAGCCGCTGCAGCCCTTAGCAGAGTTGTTCCCTCATGTCTGGCCGGTGAAAGCTCCCGGTGATTCGAAATACAACAAAGTACATTCTCCACTCCAGGCCATCCTATTGTCTGCTTTACCCAAAAACAAGGAAAGCAATGGTACCAAGGGCCCGAAACAGGCGAAGATGGATAAGACCTTCGTCCCTAAACGAACGCCGATTACGAATTTCATCAGTAGCCTTGAGGATCTTCGCGAAAATGACTACGTCCTTCACCCGGCTCTTCTATCGACGGATCAGGAGAAGGAAGAGCTTGCCGAAAGTCGCAAACGGCTCGGCCAGTCCGTTGATGATGGGTGGGTAGACACGCACGTCAACAGCCTAGAAGAAGGCAACGTACCCGAGACAGAGATCCAGCAAGGAAGTATGACGGCTGGCCGGGAGGTCCTGGCCATGGACTGCGAGATGTGCGTCACGGAAGGCGGCAATTCGGAGCTCACGCGCATCAGCTTGATCCGCTGGGACGGTGAAGTCGTGCTCGACGAGCTTGTGCAACCGCGACTGCCCGTGATCGACTACCTAACGCGATTCTCTGGAATCACGAAAGAAATGCTGGACCCCGTGACGACCACCCTCGCCGACATCCAGCAAAAGCTCCTTTCCATCTTCACCCCCCGTACGATCTTAGTCGGCCACTCTCTGAACTCCGATCTAACCGCCCTCAAACTCACTCACCCCTTCATCGTCGACACCACCTTCATCTACCCGCACCCTCGCGGACCTCCCCTCAAATGCAGCTTGAAATGGCTCTGCCAGAAGTACCTCGGCAAGGAGATCCAAAAAGGTCAAACCGGCCACGACTCCATCGAAGACTCCGTCGCCGTGCTTGACCTCGTCAAACAGAAATGCGAGAAAGGCGAGCGATGGGGCACCAGCGAGGCCTCGAACGAGAGCATCTTCAAGCGTCTCGGGCGGTCCCCCCGGCCCGGCAAGACCTCCACGGCCGACGATGCCGGCCGCACCGGCGCCGTAGTCGACTGGGGCGCACCCGAGCGCGGCTTCGGGTCGCAGGCGACCGTCGCGATCGGGTGCAGCGACGACGAGGAAGTCGCGCGCGGGATCTCCTCCGTCGTGAACGGCGACGCATCCCGGGCCTCCATCCCCGGCGACGGCGTCGACTTCACCTGGGCCCGCATGCGCGAGCTTGAAATGCACCGAGGCTGGTGCAACCGCATGCCGGACCCCAACAAGGCCAACGAATCCACGACGCTGGTCCCTCCTCCCGAAGAAACCACGCCCACCGGCCCGACTGCCGCCTCGGATCCCTCATCCTCCTCGACGACTGCCGACCTGCAAGGCCTCTCGGCCATGGTCGCGCGAACCACCGCGAACATCCAGCGTGTGTACGACTCCCTGCCCCCTTGCACCTTGTTCCTCGTGTACTCTGGGACCGGGGACCCGCGCGAAGTCAGCCGTCTGCAAGCCATGCACAAGACGTTTCGCGACGAGTACCAGTCGCGGAAGCCGTGGGATGAGTTGAGCGTGAAGTGGACGGATACCGAGGAGCAGGCATTGAAGAAGGCGTGCGAGAGGGCTCGCGCGGGGTGTGGATTTATGTGTGTGAAGTAAATAGACCGATCTATTTAGTCGGATCTTATCTTGTCTACGTGGAATGTGAATACTGGATAGAAAAAGCCTTCTGTATGTACCTCTATGTACTTGACTTTCTAGGACAACTGTAGGCTTCCTCAGGATACTGCCGCTTTAGTGAGGGCGTTCAGGGGTCCGTTTAGGAAATATTTTCTATGAACGTATTTCACTCCTCCATGCTCCTGCCTATAGACTAGTTATTAGGGCCTCTACCAAACAAGCGATTGGATTTCTTCAAAAATCAACTTGGAACTTGATTGGAATAACGTGGGGAAAGATGCAGGGCTCTTAGCACAGCCTGTGACGAACGCTGCATTGTTTATTTCCCCGAGTACGGAAGCATGGAAGTGATTGAACTCCGCAGGCGATCATGATGAATGCAAGTGAGTAGAAAACAGAGTCTGATTACATGAATATAAATGGGGTCCGTCATGGTCTTTGGAGTTGGAATTTGAATCATGTCTTAGCTAAGTCTCGCTTGCCAGTGGTTCAAAGAAGGGGTCTACCGATTGATTTATAGAACTAGTAAATAACAAAAACAAAAAAAAACAAAAAAAAAAAAAAAAAAAAACATAAAAGGGAAATGATGATTACTGCTAATTCAATCTCTGAGAAGGAATTTAAATTTATATAAGTCCGACTCCTATTACGATCCCGTGTCACAATTGCACAGCGAAACGCCGCCAGCCCCTCGATGCCTTCGGATAGAACCTCCAGAGCTGCCTTCGTCGGCTGACCGGTTAGGCAGTATAGCTCTTTATAGAGTGGCTCCCGCCATGCCTTTATATCGTGCGGCGACATACGCGTCCTACACTTACGAGACACGATCACCCGGTCCACCTTTTTATAGAGGGAATCATCCGCTCCCATCCATACTATTGCTTTGTTTATAGCAGAGCTGCTTAATACATACCTAGATAGATATATAGAGGGTAACGATTAATAAACTATATAGGTAGTAAATAATAATAAGAATACTATCTTATCCCGGCTTTTATATAGTTCCTTATTTTATATATATTGTTAACCTCTATACTGCTAGCTATGTACTTTCTGTCCTCTTTTACTTGCTTTTACCCCTTCTGTCCCAGCATTTAAGTAGCCTTCCCTACCACTTGCACGTTTAGGGCCACCCAAGTCCGCATAGCTGACCCTGCACAGCGGCCCATCAGGCCGGTTCACAAAAGCCTCGGAACCCACGCAAGAAGGGCAGTAAAAGACACCCCACGGATCGTACTTGTGCTTTGTTGCCAAGTGGCTCGCATAGTTGGCGCCGTAGAATGTGTCTTGGAAGTCCGGATCGTTCACGTCACCCTCGTTCATGTAGCTGCCGGTGTTGGGCGCCAGCTTCTTGCCGGCCGCGCCCTTGACGAACGTCATGTCGTGGTTGGCCGCTTGCCGCTGCGCGTTGGTTATGGTCTTTTCGGGGACTCGATACGTGGCAATGACGACGGGCGACGTGCGCCACGCCGGGTGCAGGCCAGAGTTCTTGTCCCGGCCGTCCTGGTAGACCTGTCCGCCGGAGACGAGCAGAACGACATGGGCGGCGTACTCGTCTGGTTGACCGCTCACCACCTCGGTGGACTCTCGCACGCGGGCAAAGTCTTTGACCGAGCCCCGGTCGAGCATGCGGGACGTCATGATATACGTGTTGCCCTCTGGATTGTATAGGCCTAGCTCCGTGTCGTAGAAGCTCCAGTAGTCGTTGTACGTGACGTATTTCTCCTCGACTTTGAGCTTGTGCCAATGCCTGTATCCTGCGAACCCGGCGTCGTTGAGACCCGGGTACGACTGAATCAAGACGGCGATGGCATCGAGGAGATCCGAGTTTGTTTCCGGTTTCTGTTTCGGGGCCAACGTCAGCTTGTTGACGACGACGGCGCCAACATTGGGATGTGCCTTGATGGTCATTCCCAGCACGACGCTGTACCCCGGGCCGCCACCGCGCAGGGCCCGATACAAGTCGGCGTGCTGGCAGGCATTGACAAAGACGACGCGGCCGTCGGCAAGCATCACCTCGGCCTCCAAGATCTGATCGGCCCCAAGACCATACTAGGTGCGGGTCGCCGGACCATGGCCGCCGCCGGATGGCCATCCTCCAGTGGCGCCGGGCGAGACGGAGCCCCCGGAAACGATAACCACGTTGTTCACTCAATTTCGTAGCCTTGACTCTTGCTATGTGCTCAATTTCATATCCCAATTTGTATACAACAGCACCCGGTCCTAACCCAGACACATATTTCCTAAATTGCTTCTTGGTTTTCGAGGGGATAAATGGATTCGCGTTGAAACCGAAGTAGTTCTGGTATTCTATCCAGTGGCAGAAATGTCCATTCACTGACAGCGGCTTATGAAATCGGATGTCAGGTGTTGGACTGAGTCGTAATTCCTTTTGCTCTCTCTCGGTCTGAAATTGGTAGCCGAGATTTCTCATTTGGTCGATAAAAGACATTTCTTGAATGAGCGCCCGCTCTCTCTTTTGCCGCATTCTTTCTTCCGCCTCAGCTCTACCACTGGGAGAGTTGTCAGGCGGCAATTGACGAAGGGCAGCTAAAGCTTCAATAGGTGCTGAGATGACCATAGTGTCTAACTGGGTATCGATGCATCTCAATAGCATATCGACGTCTTCAAATAGTACTTAATTAATAATACAATTTAGATAATATCCCTAATTATATTTTTACTATTTACCCCTTTTACTAGTAGCTAATAAGGAATTATTAAGATTCATTCAAGAGAGCCATACGCCCCCACTACTCTAGGTAGATCTATGTCAGTGGTTGATTACCACTAGAGCCCGTTTCAGCTTGGATCTACAGAAGAGGAGCTTACGAAGAAGCAAGCCCCTGAGTCTGAAAATGTATGGATGTACATAAAGAAGAACAGCTGTTTAGTGATAATCCATTGTTACGTACGAGACCTTACCGATCCATCGATCGTCGACAATATATACTAACTCAATAGCTCTCTTGCTCCCGATGTCTCTTCCAAGGTTTCTTCACGCATCTCTGTTATACTATCGCAATTCTCTCGAAGAGATGATCACCCCCTTCAGCGACGGCTTCCCCACGCATGACTCCTTCAACATACGCCTCACCGATCAAAATCCAAGAATTCGGCTGCTCAAAAGGGACTTGCAACTCCTCGAGTCGTTCTTTCGCTTCAGCAATTGCTTTGCGGTAGGCCTTGGTTGAAAGTACTCTTTTCCATGGCTGAGATTGTTTCAGTTTTTCGAACGACGATTCCAAGTTGGTGATATGAGCCCGCTGGGTTTCAATCAGGGCTTCTCGGTGCTTTTCAGCACATCTGAAAATGTACGGCACAGCGGCGCCTTTGACAATCATCAGCTGGTCGCCGTCGTGGAGCCACTTGGGCCCCATGCCTAAAAGGCCTTCATTCGTTTCAAAGACGCCACTCCAGGGTGTCTTTTTAACAATCGCATCTAAATATTGTTGAGCCTGGGGTGATACTGGGTAGGTCCGGACCCAATTGTATGGAATCTCACCATCCCGTTTGTTGGTAATTTCGTCAATAATCTCACCCACTTTCACGATGCCCATATCGAGTAATTGTCCAACTATATCGCTTGTCCCTTGGGCTGTGTATTGGCACTCGGCCGGATCTACTTCACGGTCGATCGACTTTGACCAAGGGAGATCTGGATACCGAAAACACAGGTGGTGGTACGCAATTACCAATTTTTGAATTGCGACTTCCCAGCTTTCTCGCTTCGAGTCCGTCGCCTGATCCAGTTTTTCTCGTAACTTTTCCAGCGAGCTCCACGATTCCCGTTCGAGAATTTCACAAAGCCAAAACGGCGCATGAGAGAAAGAATCCGAAGCGGAGCATGTGAAAGCATCACGAGAGTGATCTTTCTCTGTCGCAGAACTCCTGACAATTGGGCTGATAGAGCATGGGATTGTGGAGGCCAGGGTCCTGGCAAAGGCATCAAAGCTTGTCCCTGAGCTGCCAGGATAATCACGAGGCAGTTCGGCCAGTGTGTCCATCAAGTAGGCTAGGCGCTGAGCCTCTAGGTCGACAGATATGTTGATCTCTATGTCTCTCTTCACCACGTCTAGTAGTACCGCATCCAGAAATAAGGTGGTGCCACTCTGGGAAATTCGAGGGGTAGGACGAGACCCTGTGAGGCCGGCTGCGAAAGCCGGGCCTCCAACCACACCAGTATTTGCAAAATGAGTTAGGCGGTTGTTAAACGCCTAAATTTTATCCGCGTCAGCATGCAAAGTCGCATCCAGAAGTTGTTGTCCAGGCCGTCGCCGCTCGCAATCGCGCTCGAGCCGAGAAGTTTGCAAAGCAGAATGGAATTCCATAGGTCAGAGATACGTATGAAGGTTTGCTTTCCACCCCCCCCCCCCCCCCCCCCCCCCCCCTGTAGATCTTTGTCAGGTTGTCGCGCGCATGTTATCCATAAAAAGGGGGGAGAAAAAAAAGAAATTACAAGCTAACTGTGCCTCCAGAGATTCTTGAGGACCCCAACATTGACGCTGTTCTCATTCCCCTGCCCAACGGCCTTCACTACGAGTGGGCTGCGCGCGCCATCGAAGCAGGCAAGCATGTGCTGCTCGAGAAGCCGTCCGTCAACAACGAAGAAGAGGCGTTGAAGCTGTTCCGCATGCCCGAGCTCTCTCGTCCCGACGCCCCTGTCATCCTAGAGGCGTGTCACAGCAGGTTCCATCCCGCCGTGCACAAGTTCCTCTCCTTCATCACCCCGGCCGACGTCGAGCACGTGTACACCGACGTTATGGTCCCATGGTTGCTTATCGGCAAGGACCGGATCGAGTTCAGCTACGACCTCGGCGGCGGCAGCATCATGGCGCTCGGAACCTACAACTTTGCCATGCTGCGCATGATCTTTGCCGACGAGCCCGAGGAGTGCACCTCGTGCTCGCCCAGCGTCTGGGCCGACGGCCTCCACGGCCGCTGCGACTACCACTTCGAGGCCGACTTCCGCTTCCCCAACGGCGGCACCGCGTCCGCCACGGCCACGATGCAGGGCCCCCTCCTGTGGAAGCCGTCCGAGGCGCGAGTTACCCACAGGCCTGTCGTGGTCGCCGACCCGTCGCTGCCGGACACGCAGGAAAAGATCAAGACGCGCCAGGTCACGCTGCACGGGTACATGCACGCCGTTCTCTGTCATCGCATCGACGTCAAGGACTCGTTTGTCATCCGTAATAAAGCGGATGCGCGCCCGGTCAAGACCTGGGTCGAGTCGTCCAGCCACAAGGCGTACTCCTTCCGTGATGCCGGCTGCAAGAGGTCGGGCCCCGACGGCGAGGACTGGTGGATGCCGTACCGCTACCAGCTCGAGGAGTTTGTCAACCGCATCAAGGGCCGGCCGACGAGCTACTGGATTGACGGTGAAGACTCGATCAAGCAGATGCGCATGGTCGACATGGCTTATGAGAAGAGTGGACTGGGACTTCGGCCAACCAGCCAGTATTCTTAAACCTTTCTCTGCAATATAGTCCTTTATGCTTTTCTGAACACGATCTTTGACTTGTCCATGGTTTTCTTTAGCTCTCTTGCATGATTCAAGCGCTTGACTTGTATCCATCTACACTGCACACGACGGGAAACAAGCAACGTAGCACAGGGAACAGCACTGCCTGATTTAACACCACGAGCGACGGAGGCCAGTACAAGGTCAAAGTCCGCATGGATCTTATATTGCCTAAGAGGGTACTGCTCGTTTTAGGGATACTTCATAATAGATAACACAGACACAACTATGATCTGATCTGGCTAAAATACATCTACATGCTCCAACCAGCCTTCCAGTCAAGGCCAAATGGCCAGCCGACAAGGCTCAGGTCGAGGAGAGATCCATTTCTAATCTCGTCCGCCCGCGCCTTCAGCTCGTCCACATCCCAGTTTGCCCACAGAAACTTTCTGTTCAAGAATCGCGCCTCGGGGCTGGCCAGCCACACAAAGAATGTCGCCGGGAGAGAGACTAGATGAAAGTGTCAGTAACCGTGGAACCAAGCAGCGAGCGCCCAAAGAACAAAGGACCTTTGCTCTTACCGTGATCTTCAAACCCTACGGCCTTAACACCTCCTGTTTGGGCCAATTACAGAGTCGAACCAACTACCAACTACGAATCTCTGTTTGTCAGCAAGACCATAACGCACTTCATCTCATACATGTAGACAGTAGACCAATCTATAGAACGAGGCGGGACGGTCCGGACCCACTCTACAATTTGCTCCGTCCGGCGCTAGTCCGCTTACGGACAGCCCTTTACAAACCGCCCGATGCCACTCCGCAAAGGGACAGAAGTGGACAAGTAAGGATTCATTCACTCACTAAGCACTCAGGCGATCAGCGAGAGTTAAAAATAACTGACCTTTGTAAAATCCTTTTTTACTTCGTTTTTTTTCTCACTTTAGGTACATAACTAAATATCCTAATACGAATCATAATATGAGACAATAATTTGGAATAAAAGATGAAAGAGGACCTTGGCATATATATATACCCTGGTACAACCCGGATGGATGATGATTTACATGATTTAGCCAGACCAAGTGCCTCTCGAGCCTTGAGTCTTGACACCGCGAACTAGGGCGGCCCACATTGACCATGGCCGTCGATACGGCTGGTCAAGTAGACCAAACCCGCAGGTATGCAACTCCTTGATAGTTGATTTTTATAATTGTAGCTGGAACTATCTATAATAACAGCTCATAAATTACATTCTTAGATAGAACAATATCTAAAACATATCTACATAGAACAATGACTACCCTTTATAATTGTAAAAAATTCGGGGATCCGTAGCGGATGTCGGATTTCATGTTTAAAATCCGAAACTGATGCGGGTTCTACCCCTAGGAGTTCGGGCTGTGCGGGTCCCAATGCCCACTCTACTTGCCCCACAAGCAACGCCTGGTCACAGTCGCCGTATACAGACGCAACACACCGCACCATGGCTTCAGATCAAGCCTCCATCCTGAGCTGCACCCTGTGCGGCAAGACCTTTGACAGATGTGAGTGCTCGCCTCGCCTGGCCCCCGCGGGTCTGCACGCCCACGCCAGGATGGGCTGGTCAGACACACCTTAGCCTTGGACAAACATGTCATCCATCTAACATGCCATGCTCGCCATATACAGCATCGACTCTGAAAAGACACGGCTACTACTGTCGAACTCGAAACGGCGTCCAACCCCCCCGTGCGCGAGCCTGCGTGTCCTGCGTGAGCACGAAAACGAGATGCGACAACGCAAGGCCTGCTTGCTCGAGATGCAACGCCAAAGGTCTCCCTTGTCGATACCCTGCGAGAGCGATTCGCGCGGCCGAGATGAGAGGCGCTCGCGTGCCGTCGACGACTGAACAGAAGAAGCCTGCGCCCGCGTTTGATCCGATGCCCGCCTCGGTCGCCCAGACCAGCGCTCTTCTCCACTTGGCCAGCGATATCGACGGCGTCGCGTACGACCCCACGTTGTCATCATGGCCGCCTCAGGAAACGCTGGGATTCGACCCGGGCTTTGGCGCCTGGGATGATATCGACTGGCAATTTCTTCTGTCCGATGCCGGGCCGTACTCTTCGTCATTCTCGCCAACCACGGGGCCAGACAGCGAGACACCATCGTCCTCGTCCGATAACCGGCTCGGCCCTCAAAGCGTGACGACCGCTCCCGAGTCGCAGATACCGAGATTGCCGACCCTTGACATGCCGTCCATCCTTCGCCGCCAGCACGCCGACGCGGGCGCGCAGCGCGTCTCGCAGATCATACTGCAGACGCTCAAGTCCTATCCGCTGATGATGATGCGCCAGAAGACCCCTCCGCCGTTTCTCCATCCCTCCCTGCTGGCAACCAGCGCAACTGACGGCGCGGCCGACGACACGACCGAAAGCCTTGAACCGTGGCACAACTGCATGAGCCTAGTGTACATGGCAAACAGCAAAATCAAGGGCAGCCGCAGACTGTTCTGGAGAAACGTCCAGGCTGAGTGTGAGCGCTTTTGCCAACGGGTACGTCCCTATCTAGTTTTCATCGTGGCTCGGACTTTCCTTTTTTCTTTTTTTTTTTCGGAACTAACGGACAGGCCATTACAGCATTTCGAGCTCGACAGGTGGGAGCTTCTTGCCACGATGCAGGCATTGGCTATATATGTCATAATGAGAATAGACGAGACACCAGAAGAGAACCAGCAAGAGGCTAAAATTGACGGGCTGCTGCTCAGAGCTGTCACGGTACGCCATGTTTAAGCAGTTGACTGCCCGGCATTCCACTCGTCTGCTAACACACGCAACAGGTCATCGCTATTCAGTTCTTGGCCGTTGATTTCAGGTCCGGCTCGTGCTCGACGCCCTATACTGCCTGGAAAAACTGGATTCTGGAAGAGTCAGGACGAAGGTAAGCCAGCCTCTGCTCTCTGATAAGCTGTTGCTGTCGCAGCAGCAGCATATCAAGACTCGGTAAAGTATGTATTGACTGACTCGTCCATGCAGACTCTGTGTCCTGTTTAAAGTCATCAGCATGCTTGTGTCGTTTGAGCCGGCCAAAATGTGTAAAGCCGTCGGCGACGTCATCCTGGCTCCTCTGCCCGCCCAGAAGCAGCTGTGGGAGGCACCAGACCACAACATCTGGAAGCGCGACGGCGAGACGGAGTCGGGCGCCCAGATGGAATTCGGGTTGACCAAGAACGGCCAACTCGTCAGGCTCGGCGGGGACGCAGAAGCAACAGCAGCGATTACAGGCGACGACATAGCAGCGCCACCCAGCACCATCGAGTGGAACGAGTGGTGTTCGGGCATGGATGGCATCGGCAATCTCGTTATGCTTGCTGCGTCTATGATGCAGCAGTTCTAAATGACTGTTTATTTTGTTTTATATCTCCCCCCCGGAATACGGAGTTCCACAGAGAGACTGTCTTCTTATATTCTTTTTTTCTTTCTTTTAAAAAGAGCTACTTCTTCTTGCCACATGTTGAAACGCCAGTAAAAGATACCGAGTTGATGGACAAGGGTTGTACATGTTACTGTTGGTAAAAAGCTACCTTGTAAAAGCATGCATAGGTTTTTATTTTGGTAATAAAAACCATTTCGAGTTCAAGTATAGTTTCTATTTCTTAAAATTAGTACGCAATTTACCTTAATTAACTAGGGTGTACCTTTTTCAGCTCAGTGGTTCGCATGAATGTACTCCGGAGTAGTTGGACCACTGCCGCCCAGTAAACTCTCCCAGGCTACGGATATAGTTGCCAGGGTACGCCAATCCGATCAATGCTGTAGTATTCTGCGGCTGAGTGAGTCTAGTTACGCAGATCGCGAGATGTATCTGCACTTGGCGACGAGGAACATGTACAACGTGGCATTTAGTGCCCTACAGCGATGTTTAGACATGATCACCACGTCGTCGCAGGGACATGTGGCTCCCGACGAGCAAGACGAGCGCCTGGAGGCGTCCTCGAGGGCTCATTTCCAGCTCGTGTCAGTCATACAGCTGTGCTCGTACATTTTCAACCGACAAAACCAGGCTGTGGAAACCTTGTCGAGAAACCACAGCAGAGTGTCGCGCATCCTGATGCTGCGCGAGCAAGACTCCAGGCAGTCGGTCTCTTTTGATGCCATTGCCGGGCTAAAAACAGAAGTAGAGCAACAGTTGAAGCAGCTTCATCAAAGTTTATGTAGGGCATAGAGTAGCAATTTCATCAACCCCGTCCGTCACTCGCGCGTCGTCGGGTTCCGTGTAGCACATACCCTCCAAGTGCAAAGAATAGGAATCCAAGAATTGGACTTTTCCTTTTTCTATCTATTATTTGAAAATACACCCTGTTTTTTTCTAGTCAACAGAAAAACGCACGTCCCTTTTAGTGTCTTAGTAAGCGATCTAGACAAATGATTTCCAAATCAGGGAATAGAAAATGCTCACTTTATTACTATTTTGTACTAGTAGATACTAATTTACTAGCACATGCGTGGGGAAAAAGAAAAAGACAAGAAAAAGAAGGCAGTATTCTCTATGCACCGGAGATTTTTCAGATTCATGAATCTTGACTTTTTGAACGGAAAACAGCTGCATCCCTAACAATAATCTCACTCTGGCCACACACACACCACCGATGCCGACGCACGGCGACTTATACGAGCCAATGGAGTGTCATTACTGAGACGTGATAGCTCTATAAGAAATAACACAAGCAACGCTGCGCAGTGTCTTTCTCAATTGTGGTACTCCTGAAGCTGCTGAGCGATTTAGTGAATTCCCCGGGACAATGAACACTTCTGCTGTATCCCCGGAAGTCATCGAGGCGGCGGAACAGCTTCTTCGCGATTTGAAGAGCCACACGGGCTCAGTTACGGATCAGGCAAATGTCGTGCGCCAACTCGAAAGACTCCGCTGTCTTGTCCACAAGGGCCCCGACGCTCTCATGTTCCATGCTTATCCCGTAAGCCTGGCAAAATCAACGTAACGTTGCAAATACCATGTCCATTCGGATGCTGACGACACAAGTTCCAAATGCTGCCCGCTATGAATGTACTGTGTGATTTTGGGGTGTTTGACGCGGTACCACAGACAGGCTCTAGATCTTTAGACGATCTCTCGGCAGCAGTCAACCTGGATACCGAGATTCTAGGTGATGAAATACACGGGATCACGCAGGAATGCATCGCTGACAGCAAGCTAGGTCGGTTCCTCCGGCTCGTCCTCACGCAGGGGATATTCAAGGAAGATACGCCAGGCGTCTACGCGCACACGGACGCGTCGAGCATGTTTCGAACGGACCACGCCCCCAGTTTCTTTCGGCTGGGGTAGGTGTCTGGCCGTCACTCTCACTTCCCTGATACTGATCATCCTCGCAGCACGATGCAGTTCCCGCAGTGGTGGAAGGTCGCCGAGTATCTTAAGACGCACTCGTCCGAGGACGCCAAACACGCGACCAAGGTACCCTTCAGCTGGGCCATGGGAAAGGAGGGCATGACGTACTACAAGACCCTCGAGGAGGATCCGGCCGTGTCTGACGCCTGGCACAAGGGCATGGTCATGATCGAGGCGATGCAGCCCGTCTCTGACATGTTTCCCTTTGCGTCGCTGCGGGAGGCAGTCGAGGCGGAGCCACACCGGCCCTTTGTCGTCGACGTCGGCGGGGGAAGAGGGAACGCGCTCGTTGCGATTATGAACGAGTGCGGCGGTAGCTACGGCGCAAGGATGGTCCTCCAGGGCATGGAGGATGTGCTCAATGGCAAGGATCCGGTTGCAGTTGATAGTGTCGAGAACATGACGCACAACTTTTACGATCCGCAGCCTGTGAAGAGTAAGTTGGCCTCGCAGTGACACTCACGAGTCGCAAAAGAGATACAAAAAGAAGATCATCGCTAACCGTCACACAGACGCGCATGTTTACCTTTTGCGCAATGTCTTGCACAACCACTACGACGAGAGGAGCCTCGTCATCCTGCCCCAGCTGGCCGAGGCCTTGGGCCCTACCTCGCGCCTCCTGATCGGAGAGATGGTTCTGCCCGGCACCGTCGCCGCCGGCTCCGATCCGATGCCCTTTTTCATGGACCTCAACATGTTTATGGAGGGAGGGCTCGAGCGGACAGAGCAGCAGTTCGCGACGCTGCTGGCAGGGGCCGGTCTCGAGCTCGAGCGAGTCTGGCGGCACCCAGACAACCCGACCCAGACCACCATCGAGGCGAGGCTGAGGCGAGCAGGCACGCAGTGATGGTCCATGTCAGGCTAGGTCGGCGCCCATAGGTACCTGTAAACGAGGATCTGGGTTCATAGCGGGATCACCACGAGGCTGCAGATAATAGAAGAATCCTTACTAACGACGTCGAGTCAATCGGGCTAAATTTAATTGGCCGGTTGACTACTACACGGAACTCCGTGAACACAACACCAGACATGCCGATCGATGCTTCCCTGTACCTCTGCTTTGTTCTTTTTTTTTAGCCGGTTAATCATTAGCTGCCTGTAATCCGGACGAATCCAACCGAGATGATCGGACAACGCAAACGATCTAAAGTAGTCTTTCCATCTCGGCGGATTTGTCAGTCTTCCGGTGCAACCAACAGCCGGGTCATGTTGCTCTCGCCGTAACTACTAGAAACTCAGGGCCCGTTTCGCACGTTTATTTGATTTGTAAGGCTGTCTAGGATTTGCTGCCTCCGGGGCTTTATCAGGTCGAGTTCGTGCGTGGCCTATTCGTTTGCGGCGACTCTGCCAGGCCACGGAAAACACTGCAGAGGATATAATACTCGCATGTGTCAGGTATTACTTCAATCCAACCATCACTGCTTTTCGTTGCTGTCGCCATCGATTCGAAAAAGATTCAACTGCATTCCGAGAACATGGTAGCAGAGCAGCACACCGAGGGCACGGCGGCCGAGGCCAGCCTAGGGTCGAAATCATCGCCCTCGTCGCAAAGCCTCGCGGAGAAGACGTCACCCCAGGACATCACTGACATTCAGTCCCCCGTGGACACGGGCGCCGATGTCGTCGATGAGTACCCTCACGGCATTCGACTCGTCCTTTTGGCCGGCGCGTCCATCATGGGCGTGTTCCTCATCGCGCTGGACCAGGTAAGCAGTTTAATTTACTACAAAGTCTCTCCCTGGACAAAGCTAACTGTGTCTTTTTCTCTAGACAATTGTCGGTACCGCGATCCCGGAAATCACTGCCGAGTTTGATGGTCTTAAAGACGTATCCTGGTACTCCGCGGCCTACTTCATGACATTTGGCGGCCTCGAGGCATCGTGGGGCAAGGCCTTTAAATACTTTGATATAAAATGGACTTTTATTGCATCTCTCACAATATTCGAGATTGGCAGCCTCATCTGCGGCGTCGCGCCGTCGTCTGTCGCCCTGATCATCGGGCGTGCCATTGCTGGAATCGGCGCCGCTGGCATCTCCGTCGGTGGAACAAGCATCGTCGCCTTCAGCGTCCCGCCCAAGACGCGACCGATTCTCATGGGGCTCATCGGGCTGACGTACGGGCTGAGCTCCGTGCTTGGGCCGCTGATTGGCGGTGCCTTTACGGAAAATGCCACCTGGCGATGGTGCTTCTACATCAACCTTCCTGTCGGGGCTGTCGGCGCGGCCGTCGTTATCATCTTCTTTCACCTCCCGGCCGCGGTCAAGCCGCCGCCCATCAGTTTCGGCCAGAAGCTGCTTCACCTGGATCCCGTCGGGATGTGTCTCACCATGGCGGCCATCATATGCTTCGTCTTGGGCTTGCAGTATGGCGGAGTCGAATATCCTTGGAAGAGCAGCAAGGTGGTTGGCCTTTTAGTCGGCTTTGGGGTGCTTATCATTGCCCTGATCCTCTGGTCCATATGGCTAGGCGAGTATGCCATGATGACTCCGCGGCTTTTCAAGAAGCGTGGGCTCTGGAGCGTCTGCCCCTACCAGTTCTTCTTCCTCGGCGATCTGCTCCTCCTCCTGTACTACCTCCCCATCTACTTCCAGTCTGTCAAGGGCGCCAGCCCCATCCAGTCCGGCGTCGACAATCTGCCCATCGTCCTCGCAGTTGCCATCTTCGCTATCCTGGGTGGTGTCTTTGTGACTACGACAGGCCTCCCGACACCGGCCATGTTTGTCGGCGCGTTGCTCGGGACCGTTGGCTGCGGCCTCTTTTACACGCTCGAAATTGACACCCCGAGTCCAAAGTGGATAGGATACCAGATTCTCGCCGGATCTGCCATAGCATTTTCCGTTCAGAACGGCCTCAACATTGCCCAGGCCAGCGTCGACCCAGAGGATCTGCCAGCCGTGACGGCTTGCCTTTACTGTAAGTGCATACCTGCTTCATCCCGGGCACGCCAAAAAAAAGAAAGAAAAGAAAAGCTAACACATGATCCACACAGTCTTCCAAACAGTCGGAGGAGCATTCACAATCTCCTCCGGACAAGCCGCCTTTGTGAACCAGATCCTAGTAAAGCTCGCATCATCTGCGCCCGGGGTTCCCGGCCAGAAAGTCATCAGCGCGGGGGCTTCAGAGCTACGCAATGTCTTTTCTCCGGAGGAACTGCCCGGTGTATTAGTGGCCTACATGCACGGTCTAAAGGCGACGTTTGCCCTTTCCATTGCCTTTTGCGGCATTGCCCTGATCTCTACGTTGTTTGTTCCTTGGAAGCGGCTTGCGACGCATGCACCCGGTCCTGACGATAAGGAGGAGGGTAAACAGAGGTAGATGGTATCCTTGGCAGCTTAACGAATTGGCCGGTTACTCCTGCCACAATACGGCCAGAGTCAACATGGTGGTTCAGTGTGGTTTGTTGCAACTGCAAGAACAGTGGCTATAAAGATATTTGCCGGATCAGTGTGGAATGGTAACCATAACATTTTTTTTTACGGAAGAAATACCAGCTTTATTTGTTGTCTGTGTGATAGTATTACTGGGGTTTAAGTAGTATAACAGGTCAAAAAAGAATAAGAATAAAAAATAGCTAAAAAAGGATTACTAGTTAAAATATAATTTGTTAAGATTATTTACTCAGGGCACTTAATCCCACACTCATTTTATATCTACTAATTATCGCCAGACTACTTGAGGCATGCTCGGGTTTACCTAGTAAGTAAAAAGCAGTAAGGGATAAGTACTCAAACAGAAAAAGCTATCACCCTGGCTAGAAAATCAAGTACATGTCTGATTACTATATAGATGTCATAAATAATGGATGTTCGCGAATTGGGAATTTAGTGTCAAAAACGGCTTCCATTTACTAGCCTGTGTATTTCCTTAATCTTCTGTCATTTACAACTCCGTTTTTTGTTTTGTTTGGTATGAAGACGCCCATATGAGTTGCAGAAATGGAAAAAAGCGTAGCCCTGATTAATCCAACAAATGAGACACAGTAAAACAGTCGAAGAATCTGTGCTTTTGCACCTAAAAGCATCCGAATGATCCAGTGGAAATAGTCATAAAATGAAGAGATGGGCACAAAAAAAAAAAAAAAAAAAGTGGGAAGTCGGAAGGTGGTAGGAATAATGCAAGTCAAAGGAAAATAGTAAGAGAAAGAGTCAATAATACATTGATAGAAGTGCAGTCTATTGAAAAACGTCACCTAGCCTCCTCTGTTTCCATGGCTTCTTCGCGCTGCATGGCTAATCGTGCCATGGCGTCTCGCGTAGCAACCTGTGCTTTGCGTTTTTCGGAATCAAGTCCGTTTTCACCGTTCGTGCGAGTACTGTGTGCCTTCGACGATGAAGATTTCTTTTCAGATCCGTTCGACTGTCGAGTCTCTGGGCCACTGGGCGTTTGTGCCATTTCCTGCGCGTCGTTGTCCCCTGTTTGGCCGTTTCGGTTGCCCGTCGACGGGGGGCGAGACCGACTACGTAAGCTGCGTGATCTGGCGGGACGATTCTCCTTGGTGCTTGAAGGCTCGCTGGGAGTTTGATTTGCGGGTGGGTTCTCCCGTTGGGTGCTGCCAATGGCATTCCCGTTCTGCTCGGATAAAGGTGTGGGTTTGGGGGTCTCGGAGAAATCAAGGTTTGTCGCCTGGCTGATAGACTTCCGCGGGCGACCAGCCTTTCTTCTGTCGGCAGCGGTCCCGCTAGATGATGGTCTTTCTGTAGATTGAGATACGCGAGGCCGTTTTGTGACCGCGGGTTGCTGTGTGTTTCCGTTAATAGTAGGCGTCTCGGGGTGTGAAGCCGGATTTTGTGGATGTGTAACTTCGATACGAAGGTTCGGAGAATCGAAAGAGGTGGGATGGTGGGATGAATTGGCGGGGTGTTCAGGCTCCTTGAGGGGGATTTTCACCGGCGGACAGTTCGGCTCAGCTAAAAAATCACCGATACTATCACTGTCGTCGTCGTCATCGTCGAAAGAGTCCGCGATCGGGTGGGTTCGACCCCCGCTCTCGAAATAGTCTGGCAACGGGCGCTTCCTGCTTCCTTGGAGAAGGCCTGGACTACGCACCTGCGAAATCGCTTCATCGAGCTGGGGCAAGGGCGCTGGTAGTCTCCCAGCCTCCTCCATGTATCGATTCTTCATTTTCAGCGCCTCAATTTCCAGATTCAATTTTTCAATCTCGTCCGACTTGAATTTCAGCTCTCGTAAAACGGTCGTGATCATATTGAAGTCGGGGCTAGACGGGTGGCCGACTTCGGGAAAGCGCCCCGGACCATTGAGCTCGATGCGAAGGGCTGTGAAGGCACTTTTCAGCTCGGACATGGTATCGTGGAGATTGCTGACGGAGCTGGAGATGTTGTCGATGCTCAGACCCTGGTACTGAATCTGTTGTTCGACGGAGGCATTGTAGGGATCGAGTTCGTTTGCACCGGCCGGTACCAGCGCTCCGGGCTGAATGGAGGTTCGGTCTCTTTTTGCCGGCTCCTTGGGGGTCGCATTCATCAGACGATCGAGAGCGCCTTCCTTGAACGAAGGCTCGACCGTGCGCATCGTAACGATCTCCCTAAAAGAAACCTTGGACAGCTTCCAGAAGACATTGGGGCTGCGTGGTCCGTCGTTAGCATGCGAAAAGAAATTCCGCAAGTCGCCTCCACTTACCCATTGTCCAGAGCGCACAACACTCCCAGCTTCTGTTGGCAGAGTTTACAGGCGACTTCCTGCAGGATCCGGCCCCGCAGGAGACTCAGGTCCGACGACTGCGGAACCTGCTTTTTCTCCGAGGAGATCGAGATGCGATGCAGTTCGACGCTCAGCCAGCCAGCGGCAACGGAATAGGAATTCGACAATTTCGCCCATTCGTTTTCCAGGGCGGCCAGCGAACTCGAGCAGCGAGAACACTGGCACAGGATGGCGGGGCGGGTGAGTTTCGAGAGATCCATCCTTAGTGGGAGGGTCTGCAACCCACGACAGGACTCGGGTGATTGAAGCTCGTTCGTCTGCAAGGCGCCACCAGATATGTACGGGATAAGAGATGAGGTCAAGGCTTCAACGGCGCCCGCAAAAGTCCAGAGGGATCTCGACTGCTGACTCAGCGGCCGCCGGAACACGCTGGCGGGTCGCGCTTGACTCTTTCCGGCTTGGGCAAAGACCGCCGCACGCGTTTCGCTGGCGTCATTCGTGCTTGCGCCCGTACGCCGTATTACGCGGTGGCCGTATCGATGGCTGCCTCGGCAAGCCCTGGCGGTCGTCTGCCGAGTCACCTGATCCGCCTGTATACCGGAGTTTATACTGGAGCGAACAAGCCGCTCGAGCATGGCGTTTCCACCCGGAGGCTCATATTGCGCCCCAGACTTCCAGAGTTTCCGGGGAAAAGTATGCTGCGTTCACATCGGCTTTTGAACTAGCGCATGACACCAAATCTCGGAGTGGTAACGATCCTAAAATCGCGCATGGAGGGGTTCACCTTGGGTCGTTGCGATTCCACAGCCAGCGCCCCGACGTCTACCATTGCATCAGTGGCTAAATGGTGAAGAATTTATAGCCCTACGGATTGAGTTTACAAGCCTCCGTGGGTGTCATGCAATTTAAATTTCCATCCCAAAACGCTTGTTCAACGAACGGGACCGCTGCCGTGGTCAGGAATCTGTCGTGCATCTCATTAAGCTTTATCGAAGAGCTCCATGCCTGTTTCGTGACACAAACGTCGCTCGGAATCCTTCAGAAAGGAAGATCAGTTCGAGTTGGCGTATTCTCGCATGTCCTTGGGATGGTGCAAGTAATTAAGACTCAGCCGATCTGATCGGCAGTTCTCCGACCACGCGATGTTGACCTTACCCACTCCAGACTAGCGCACTCGCAGGCCGGAGCTTTACCCCGCAGGGACGGATTGGCGCTTACTCCGTATCTCTCGCCGCTCAATCCTCCGGTCATTGGATGTTGGGTCCCCTCTTCCTGGGTTGGTGGCTTAATGAATTCCTCTCTTCGTGCCCTCCTCAGGCCGTTGCCTTTCTCCCGGTCGACCTCTTGCCTCCACAGGTTCAGATACACTCCGAATATCGTCATGGCGCATGTATCCACAGCCTCGAATGGGGCTCATGGCAAGCCTACCACCTGGCACGGGGCTGGCGCTGCCGAGTTTGATTTGCGGAGTGAGTTGTATCACCACGACCCTTTCCGATAATACTATTACTTTTTCGTCGATGATGCTGAGACGTAGGGGCAACCAAGGCGACACAATGACGAAGCCAACCCCCTCGATGCTCGAAGCCATCTGCCAAACTACCCTCCTGGATGATGTCTTCAACGAAGACCCCGTAACCATCGATCTACAGTCATACGTGGCGAAGCGAACGAATCATGAGGACGCCTTGTTGGTGATGTCAGGAACAATGGGTAACCAGGTTGCCATCCGAACCCATCTGGTGCAACCTCCCTACTCGGTGATCTGCGACCAACGCTCGCACATTGTCAACTACGAAGCGGGCGGCGTCAGCTCATTGACGGGCGCCATGGTCCAGCCAATCACTCCCAAGAATGGCGCCTACCTGACCCTCGAAGATATTCAAAAACATGCCGTGCTTGACGACGACATCCATCACTGTCCCACGAAGCTTATCAGCCTGGAGAACACACTGGACGGCATGATTATGCCCCTCGATGAGGTGCGTCGGATTACGAACTGGGCGCATGCACACGACATCAAGGTGCATCTGGACGGGGCCAGGCTATGGGAAGCTGTCGTGTCAGGGGCTGGGAGCTTGCCAGAATACGCGGGTCTCTTTGACAGCGTTAGCCTGTGCTTCTCAAAAGGACTTGGGGCTCCTATTGGTAGCATTATCGTAGGATCCAAGGAATTTATCAAGAAAGCCCGATGGTTCCGCAAGTCTATTGGCGGAGGAGTCCGACAGGCCGGGGTCATCGCTGCGGCCGCCCGAGTGGCTGTGGAGGAGACCTTTGGACCCGATCCTAACGGGCGCGAAGGGAAGCTCCAAACCACGCACGTCAACGCCAAACGAGTCGCCGAGATGTGGACCAGCCGGGGAGGCAAGCTATCGCTTCCGGTCGAGACTAACATGGTATGGTTAGACCTCGAGTCCTCCGGATTGGGACCCAATGATCTAGCAGATATCGGAACAGAGAAGGGGTTGAAATTGCTAGGGGGTCGGATTGTGGTTCACTACCGTAAGTTCTCACCCGTCGATCACCCTTGCAGAAGCGCATGACTTGGTCTGACTCATGCCTGACTCATTCCAGAGGTGTCCGAGGAGGCGATCTCGCGGCTGGGACAAGCATTTGATGCCGCGATGAGTGGGCAGTTCCAGCGTAGCACCGACCAGAGTAAGCCATATGGAAGTAAATAAATTGGTAGTGGTACGTAGTACCTTGTAAATGTCGTGGTCACATCTGATGCATTGAAACGTGCCCAATAGAGCGACGTTTCCTTTCCAATTACGCAGTACTACCGTACGCACCTAGCTCACGAGCCCAGTTAATTAAACTTGTGTCAACTCACCCGGGCAAAGCTTCGATGCTCCCTCGGGCGCATCCATGGACGGCTGCCGTGTGTCCCGGCGGGATCGGGCGCTCATTGGCCAGGCCGCAACAGGGCGCGACGGGCAGCCTCAGGCCGCCTCAGGCACCCACTCGAGAACGCGGAAGCGACGTGCGGTTCAGCCTTGCTCTGGTCTTGTTTCTCCGACGACGCCTCCTCCCAGACTGTCTCGCAAGCCCGTCCCCCGTTGCCGGCTTCCCCCGTCAAGCAGGTCCGATTGCTGCAATTGCATCCCTTGATTGTGCAGTGGATGGTTGATGGGGACTTCGCCAACTGTGTGAGTTTCTTAAAGATCCCTGTGTCCTCTGTTTCTCGACCTGCCCAAACTAACCATCAAGTCGCTCCCTGCAGACATAGCTATTGTTTCAACCCTCCTTAGGCCAAAGCTCCTTTCCTTTTGTCGCTCCTTGTCTCGATAGTCTCGTCCCATGATACCACGTGCCGTGTATGTTTTGATTAACGGTTGGCCATCAGACGTAGGGGTGGTCCAGCCGTCGAGTGTACTTTTACAATCCTCGTTGTACTCGAAGCCGCTGCACAACGTATAGGACTCTCGCATTGGAATATCTTTCTTCCCGGGTGATTTTGGGCTGGTTCTTTGGCTTAATAGAATCCTTTTCCTCTTTTGGGTTATAGCATTTGCACTTAAGCGACTTCCTCGTCGAATATCCTCTGCTAGGCGTCCGTCCAAGCGTCCGTCCCACTTGCTGCTGCAGCCTGCAGTTGACCTGGCCATCCTTATCACTCTTCCTTGAAAGGTAAAGCTGCCGTCGAATCCTGTAATGGATGCTGGCTGTGTACCATGGTAAAACAACTGACAGTCGTGCAGGCACATTCGTGATATGGACGCAGCTTGACGATTGCATTGATTATTCAGCTATCTCTTTCCTTTGCTTTTCCCTCTCCTTCTGGCAACGCCCTGTCAGATACATTGAGCTATTCTCATCCCTGCTGTCTATTCAATCATTGTCTTGTACTTTTTGGAAGGTCATCCTAGGTCGGCTCATCGCTGCGTTGGACGTCCCAATGGAGGCTACCCAGGAATCCACCCAGCCATGCACGGACCCTCGCCGCATGGGCTACCAGAATTCAGGTCTGCATGAACAGGATTTGTCGGACACTATATGTATCTTGCATCCCAGTTCGCCCGCGGCCCATCAGGCTGTGGCGGCCACTGCCGAAATTGGTCCCCAGCATATCCTACAGAGCGATGAGCTCGAGTACACAAGTGCAGATCTTGCGACTTTCGATATCGCGCTGAGACTATCGTCGAACGTTCACGACTTGGCCCAAGGATTCGTCTTTGGCAGAAATCGGCTTCGCTGCGACCTTTTGCTTGCAGCCGACCCCAACTCGAAGCGTATCTCGAACCTGCACTTTCGCATTCACATCACAGAGAATGGGATACTCATGCTCGAGGATCTCTCGACAAATGGCACCATCGTCGACAACTGCCGCCTTCGAAAGAATCAAAAAGATAACAGTCGCATGCTGACAAACGGCTCTGTCATTCAAGTGATGAACGGCGATCAGGCCTCGGAGGAGGTCAGGTTCGTGGTCCGCCTGCCACCCAGAGAGGGGTTTGCCATGCAATACACAGAGAACATGCTCCGCTACTTCGAGCGAGTCCAAAAGCAGCAAACAGGCGTTGTGAAGGCGACGCCTCGACAAACCTCAGCTCAGCCCGTCTTCCCATTTGCGGCGGTCGCGAATACATATGGGATGCACTGGACGGGTGGGTCGATGTACAACGTCACTGGTCAAATCGGCAAGGGAGCTTTCGCAACGGTTTATAAACTCGCCACGAAACAGCATGGAGCCGTGTATGCCGCGAAGGAGCTTGACAAGCGAAAATTCATGAAGAATGGTGTCCTTGACCATAAGGTGGACAATGAGATGAAGATCATGAAGGACCTCAAACATGTAAGTGCATTCACCCTGGGTTATACGTTTTAGGAGGGGTGCGTGACTAACAGTCTGACGCAACAAGCCCAACATTGTGCAATATATCGACCACCACGAACATGACAGATGGATCTACATCATAATGGAGTATGTTCCTGGCGGGGAGCTTTCCACATACCTTCAATCTAGTGGTAAGATTCCCGAGGACATGGTCAAGGTGATCGCCCGCCAAATGCTTCACGCGCTGCAATATCTTCACAAGCGGAAGATCACGCATCGAGATATCAAGCCAGACAACATTTTGATCTCGTCATTGGATCCCTTGAGGGTGAAACTGTCAGATTTTGGGCTGTCGAAAGTGGTTCAGGAGGAAACATTTCTCAAAACCTTCTGTGGTACCCTGCTCTACTGCGCTCCTGAGGTGTACCCGGAGTACGAAACATATCGCCGTGGTGAAGTCAGGAAGAGACGCAGACTGGGTGATCCGTGAGTATTTCCTTCCCTAAATCTTGTTTCAGGAAGCCAACTAATTGGCAGACCCCCCAAACCGTCTCCCTACAACCAATCCGTCGACATGTGGTCCTTCGGTGCCGTTCTCTATCATGTACTTGCTGGGACTCCCCCGTACTTGGGGCGGGGCGATGACCGAGGGGCTCAGATGCTGCGAAATATCATGACGTCCGAAGCCGACTTCGATCTACTGCTCCATGAAGGCGTGTCCGTAGCTGGTGTTGATTTCGTAGCTCGGCTCCTGAATCGCAATCCACAAGATCGCCCCAAGGAGCGAGAATGCTTTCAACACAGGTGGATCGCCAATGTTCCGGACGTGGATGAATATGAAGACGACGATGGCCAGTACAGCGGCCCCGAAGTGCTGTCAGACATCGGCGAAGACTTGGAAGACGAGCTAGATGCATCTCAGCTTTCCATCCACGACGACGATGATGCGGAAGATTTTGAGGAAGTGGAGGGTGATTTGGCGCAGTCAAAGCGACCTAGGATCGAAGAGGCTCCGGTAGATATCCGTTATCCATCTCTGCCCAACGTTGAAAGCGTCAAGGAGCCCCAGGCCGGGAACGACTCCACCCCCCGACGCTTGTTTGGAGAGATCAATCCTTCCGCTCTACAAAGTTCCCACGCCTTGGGGGCTGAACCCGCCGACCTCGAAGGCGACGACAATTTCAGCATCCATGATTTTATTTCTTCAGCCGGTGAGTCGATAATCAGCGGCGGCAAGAGCCTCAACTCCGTTCTGTCCCTCCCGGATAACCCCATTGCCGGATCCGCACCAAGCTTGATGGGAGCTGAGAATCTCGTTGGGCAGCTGAACATGAATTCCGCGCGGCACCCTGGCACATCAACCAACCTTCTCCCGGTCGTCGGGGCACTGGCGCAGCCAGCCAGTGACTGGGTCATAGCCCATGATGTTCCGGAGGCACCCGCGCAGGCTGCTGTGGGCGACGATACCCCCAAGGCATCCAAATTCAGCCGGCGAATTGAATTGCCCATCCCCGACACGGCCAGTGAACGTTCAAGTCCCGAAACCATCGCACAGAATACCAAGGGCAACCCTGGCGCATCTCAGTCAGGCTGGGACGAGGTTTTCGACATCGAATTGACCAATACGATAGATGCCCAAACCGGACAACGACTCCCCGACCCGCAAGACCGCAAAGACCGCGAGCCCTCCACCGAACCCATCCCGGAGCATGCCTTGACCGGCATCCCTCGAGTGGTCATCCAGCCGCACCAGGAACGACCTCTTCTCGGCAAGCTCACGACTTTACCCGGTTCAATATTCGACTTGACAATCCGACTGGAAGATCGAATGACCTCCTGGGGCCGTGGTCCTCAGGCTACGGTATGCCATCCAGACCCCATGGACACGCGGATCCCTGCCTACGCGTTGGAAGTCACCTTCTGGGCACCAGCAATTGAGACTCGGATTGCGGCCGGACAAGCCTGGACGACCGTGCCTAACGTGATCGCGATCCTTTCAACCAAGACCCGCAAATGCATCTGGGTGAACGGCACGGAGCTCCGTCGGGGATCGGAGGGCAGTGGACGGGAGGGGTTCAATTTTGGCAAGCTTTACACGGGGGATGTCATTACCGTCTACGAGCACCGCAATAAGTTCTTGAGATTTGAATGTGAATTTTACCACGGGGACAGTGCCTGCCGTCGGCCCGACAACGAAAAGGGGTTCACCGTGCGCAAGATCCTGATGCCGAAGGAAGCGACCTCGAACCAGCAACCCGGAAGAAAAGATCGATATGAAAAGAAGTAACCGACCGGGGGTGAAGCACGACGACGGATGAATGAATTATTGTTATTATTACTGCGGATGTATTTTGGGTGGATGGTTTCTGGGTAGGGTTTTGTTTTTATCTGTATCTCTTCTCCTGGACGTTGGAGTTCTGTTTTATGACGGGGTCTCTAGAGGGTACATTGCAATGGTTTGGGAAGGATTCGGTACAGGGCAGAAAAGCAGAAAAACCGAAAAAAAGGGATAAAGGAAGAAACATACATAGCATACATTTGATACCAATAGTCAGCGATAATATGATGCATCACTATATTCCACGATGACTGCCTGGGGCATCCGCCTGAAACGTGACCTTCTGCAGTAGCGACTCCATTCTCCATTCTCCGACCACCGATGGATCATGATTTCTCCCTCCGATAGATTAATTCCATTCTGCACCAACAGGAGTCCCTGAACGCCAAGCACAGTGGGGCGGTTCATTTCCAACGCTTTAGCGTCATCATCTCTAGTTTTCTACCCCCACCAATCCTCTCATGCGGCTGTGTCGCAATCTCATTTTTGATTAACTGCTAACTATCTGGTCAGAGGCCATGGTTCATTCCGATAGGACCATGCCGGAAGGATGAATTCACCGGTCAGTCACGAGATAAATGGCTCTTCATTCCGATCCTTTGACTTGAATGTTTCTCGGTTCCCCTAGCGTTCGTCCCACTCCTGGTCCCTGGCCTCGATCGACGGAAACGGCCATCCCCGTTCACGGCCTCCTGTTTAGACGGCCTCTTTTTTTTTTTTTTTTTTTTTTTTCCTCTCCCCTTTCTACTGCGACTTGAACCACCGGCCGCGCAAGTGACCGTCTAACTCCAACGATCTCTCATGGCTTCCTGCTATCCCTATTCCGTCGGGTTGATTTCCCCCTTGTAACACTCGCTACTTTGTCCTTCCCTTCATTTCTCGGCCTGTTTCTCTTTAATTTCTCTCCTTCGCGGCCTCTCTCCGCTCCGCTGAAACACCCGTCGCCAGTTCCAAGACCTCTGGCCAGCTAGCTGCCTGTCTATCGCTCCCGCACGTCCGTGTGTCCTTCAGCGACATCCCTGCCGCTTCCTTCCCCCGCCAATGTCCCTCTCGCGATCGCCGTCCCCCCACCCGGGAGCAGGCTGGTCCAGTCCGGGCCTGACCCCGGGCAGCGGGAACTCGACGCCGCGTAATGGGCTTCTGTCGCCGACTTCCTTGGGTCCGGGTGGGATCTCGTGGGCCGCCGCCAAAGCGAAGAGCGAAGAAGTTCGCGGGTATCCGTCATTTTCGACGAGGAACAACGGTTTCTTTTCGCGATCGAAACGACAGCTGACGGCCACCTTGCCGCGATTTCGGGGGACTTCGGGATCGCCAGACGGTTATTTCGAGAAGAAGGATGCATACTATGATCGGGGTCGGGGTTTGTCGTCTGGCGCATATTGGCGCTCTTGTGGGTTTGGTCGGACCATGATGCGCCGTCGCAGGTTGCGCTTCTTGCTGGCCCTGGTTTTAGCGGCACTGGGGTATCTGTGTTTTTGGACGTGTATGTGATTTGACTCGTGCGTGTATTGCGCATTGCGCATAGCTGACTGATGGCTGCAGATTTTCTCGAGCGCTATCGGCGATCGCCACTCGGAAGAGGACACAAGTTCGTGGTGATTCTCGAGTCGAATGTGGAAGGCGGCGTCATGGAGTGGAAAGGAGCCAGCGAATGGGCCGTCGAACGCAGCAGTATTGAGAATAAGAAGCGATACGCGAATCATTGGGGGTATGAGTTGGAGATTGTCAACATGCTGGCCAAGAAGCGATATTCTCACGAGTGGCGCGAAAGCTGGGAAAAGGTCGATCTTATTCGCGAGACCATGCGCAAGTACCCGGATGCTGAGTGGTAAGTGTCTGGCTGTCGTTCCAGACTATGAATATACTGACTGACCATGATTTAGGTTCTGGTGGCTGGATCTTAATACGTGGATCATGGAGTATTCGTACTCGCTCCCCAACCATATCTTTAAGCGTTTGGACGAGATTGCATACCGCGACATCAATGTGTACAACCCGTTAAACATCTCGCACCCGCCGACAGGTGCATACCTTGACGACGTTTCCCGGTCGCCGGACGGGGATCAAGACCCATCCTCGATCCATTTCCTCCTGTCACAGGATTGTGGCGGCTTCAACCTGGGTTCCTTCTTTGTGAAGCGCTCCCAGTGGTCGGATCGGCTGCTGGACGCCTGGTGGGATCCCGTCATGTACGAGCAGCGGCACATGGAATGGGAGCACAAAGAGCAGGATGCGCTGGAGTACTTGTACACGACCCAGCCGTGGATCCGCAGCAAGTTCGCCTTTCTTCCGCAGCGGTTCATGAATTCCTTCCCTCCCGGAGCATGCGGAGACGGAGATGACCCGGATGTGCATTACCTGGAGGGTGGAAGAGACTTTGTCGTCAACATGGCGGGCTGTGATTTCGGCCGCGACTGCTGGGGCGAGATGTCCCAGTATCGGGACTACAGCAACTGGCTCAACCGGTCGTGGCGGGAACGTACGGAAGATTCGATGCATGGCCTCTACGACTGGGTTACTGGATGGTTCCAAGGTCCAGAGTCGCAGCAACAACTCGCCTGATTCAACGATATGATACGTCCATCGGCTTCTTGAAATGTCTTATTATTGATTTCCCTACCGAGTTTCGGACCGAATAGTCTCGGACTCGAATCCGCTCGGTGGGTTTAGCTTGGCGATATGCGGAGTATTTGGACAGTTTTCTTTTCTTTTGTTTTCTTGCTCTTCTAGACGTGGCTTGCACTTGATGTTCCCCAAGTTTCAGGAATGATGATTTGGCAAGGCGTTGGGACAATTGATTTGACTTCGATTGCACTTGAGTAATGCATACCATCAGCCCAACATACTGAATAGAATCCGAACATAGTAATCAGTGACAACAGTAACAATCCCCAGTACTTTCACAACCGAATACTCTATAAGTAACTACTAACCAGGTGGTAGTAGTAGTTGGTGTCCAAAACCAGGTGCTGCTGACTAATCCACCCTCGGCTGCCTCAGGCACCAACAGGACCCGGACTCCGACCGCCCAGAGCGACGCACCAATCACAGCGTCTCAATTCCGTCTTAACCTCCGGCCTTCGACTGGACGACATCAGAAACCAGCACCTTCGATTCCACTCCTTCACCACCCGACTCAGGCTCCCCCGACTCAATCGATCCACGCTCCTCTCGGCATCTCCGGCCCAGCATCTGAACCTCCGCCCTCCTCCAACCCAGCAAAATAAACCGCAAAATGCCTACCCCCGAATCCGCCTCCTTCCTGGCCAAGAAGCCCACCGTGCCCCCGACCTACGACGGCGTCGACTACGAGGACAGCAGCGCGGTGCACAACGCCCGGGACGCCATTATTCGCGAGCAGTGGGTGCGCAGCATGATGTCTCGTCTTGTGGGTGAGGAATTGGGCAAGTGCTATGCGCGCGAGGGCGTCAATCATCTTGAGAAGTGTGGGGCTTTGAGGGGTGAGTATTCTTTTTTGGTTTTTGTGGTTTTGCTTTCTGGTTTTGGAGACTGGTTTTGTGATGGGTATGGGTTTGGGTGTGTTGATTTCTGTCCTTGGGTCTGAGGAGATTCTGTGGTCTTTGCGGAGAGGCAAGATCAGACAAGGCAAGAGGCGGATAGGAACAGTCTCACAGAACGCACCGCAATGGAACCAAAACGCTAACCCCTTCTGTCTTCAGAAAAATACTTCGAACTTCTCAGCGAGCGCAAGATCAAGGGTTACCTGTTCCAGGAGAAGAACTATTTCTCGAACGAGAAGTCTGCCTAGACACGCCGTCACCTACCACCGACATAAATAAAAAATACTTTCTCAACCCATCGTGTCTACCAATCTACCGTGAGATCGGATCGAGCCGGGGCTGGATTTAGAGAATCGGCATGACTTGAAACTTGAACTTGAAACTTGAACCCCGATTTGTACTTTTTTTTCCCTAACCTTTTTTTTTACCGTTTGTTATACATGGGTTGCTCTGTGGGTATATCTATCGATTGTGTTTTTTAGCTTGAATCGATTGTCTATTTTTTTTATCCTGTTGGTTTTGGTTTTGACTCTGCTTTTTTGGTGGATTCCGGGGTGGACGGGTTTGATGGCTATGATAGAGGTCGAGGCGCTGTTTGGTGGCTACTCGAGGTAGACGTCGAGGCGCTCTGAGTGACGTGGATTGCACGGAGTGTATGATATGATGATTTATGTGGATTGGTATGTCCAGTTGCTAAGTATTCAAGATCAATATATCCAAACGAACAGGATTGTCCGAGTCCATCCGCCGAGATGCAAGACATCCGACTATCCCAACGGGTATCAAATCTCCAACATTCAATATCCAACATCAGTAATAAGTGCTGGTGCTCTCGCTGCGCTCCGGGAGCCCTCCCGGCGTGAACGCATGCGCGTTCTCACGCGGCGATTCCTCATCGCTATCCTCGACGTCGCTGCCCGGCGCAAAGTCATCTTCGGCCGGAGGCGCGCGCATACCGGCCAGGCGGTCCTCGTCCAGCGACGGAAGCTTGTACGGAGCCGGCGCGGAATGGATATCTCGTCCGGAGGGCAAATTGGCCAGCAGATCTGCCGACGGAGGGATCAATTGCGTGTTGATCTGCGGGTGTTAGCATCCTGCCATCTCAACCATCAGACGAGAACATACCGTATCATTCATCCTCACCCACTTGACCTCCAACATCTCGAGGACTCTCCCCTCCTCCTCCCTACCCGCTTGATCTCCCGGTCCCAGGTCCCCCTTCTCGAGCTTCTCAACGCTCCGACCCCCCGCGTCCTTCTCCATGCGCCTCTCCTCCCGCCTCTCCATCCACCCCTGCTTCAACTTCGACAATCCCCGACTCTTCCCTCCATCCTGACCATCCCCTACCCCAGCCCCAGTACCACCACCAACAGACCTAGTCCCCATCGCCAACGCCCCCTCGCCGCCCTCAACCACGCAATCCCCTCCCCAATCTTCCCCGCCAGTTCCGCATCCACGCCGAAGAACCGACACGCCCGCGCGCGCGCCACCCGGCCCAGAACACGCACATAGCGCAACAACTCATCATCCAGGGCCGCGCGACCCTGACCGCCCCCACCGACCGCCCCCATCGCCGCAGCGCTCTGGTCCGCATACTCCGCGGCACGAAGACACAGGCGCGCGAACAGGTGCGCGCGGACCTTGGGGATCTCGGGCGCGCGCACCATCCAATCTTTATCGTTGGGGTTGCGGGCCTGGATGCATGCCGCGACGTAGGAGTCGTCTTTGAGGACAGCGAGGAGCGTGGCTTCTGCGAGGGCGAGGGATGAGAGCGCGGATTGCGTGCCGGGGTTGAGGTCCGGGACGGAGAGGAATGCGCGAGACCCCCCGGCGGACGGGGAGGCGGCGAGCGAAGCATGCAGGGCCGAGGCTTGCAGGAGGTGCTTTGTGGCGGTTTGGATGGCGGCGGTGCGTTGCTCCGGGGTTGGAGTGGTGGGCGCGTACAGGGAGCGGGTGACGGTGGAGTGGGCGAGGTTGGACAGGGCGTAGGCGAGGGTGGAGATCACGAAGGCGATTTCGGCGTCGAGGCCGGGGAGGCGCAGGCGGCCGGAGGAAGAGGAGGGGGAGGAGCGAGAGGGTCTCGCGCGTAGGAGGGAGGGCAGGATGGCGGGGGAGGAGAGCGTGGGGCGCCATTCGCATTCGAAGTCGGAGTGTTGGGCGACGGCGATGGGTTCGGATTGCAGAGATGGAGAGCCAGAGAGGCCGGCGGAGATGGCCTGGAGATACGGCAGGTAGTCGGAGGCGGCGGTTATGACGGTCGAGAGATGCGAGTCTCGTTGCGCGCCGCGGGGCAGGCGTTTGTGAGCCTTGAGGGCGGCGCGGAGAGCATGACGGGCTGTGGAGGCGGATTGAGGGAGGGACGGATGAGTGCTGGAGGAGAGGAAGGATTGGAAGGAGAGATGGGAGGTGGTGGGGAGGGTGAAGGCGTAGACCATGATGGATGAGATGATGATAGAGAAAGAGAGAGGATTAAACGAAGTTGATGTTGATGTCACCGCAGCCAAGAAGTTCGGCGGAGAAACCCCAATGACAGCGTCTAACATTTGCTGATATATACAATTTGGCATTAGCTAGTATAAGGGCTTACAGTTGTTTTTTATTATTCATTTTGATTCTTACTTAGATTCAATACTAATATAGATCTAATACACCTTGTCGAGTGACCCTCCGCCGTGTACGGTATCCTGCCCCAGAGGGCTTCAAACAGACGAGTCAGCACTCCTTATGTACAATATCTGTCCGTACTGCCGCTAGTGTGATCCCTTATTGTCGTATATAACACACGGAAAAGGGATAATGATATAGGACTGGAAGATCGGTAAATATGTGGTCTGATTGGTAGGACTTTGGTAAAAGATAGATAGTCTAAAGAAGTAACATTTGCCTTTAGAGTATCCTTTATGCCAGGCCTACCTACCGCGAGATATCAGCAGTCTCTATTCTCCCAGTCGTATAGAGCGCGAATAACTTCTCGCGATAGTCCTCCGTAGGTTCTCAGCAGTGGGAAAGACCCGCCCTGGGTGTCGAACGCATATTGCAGCATTCTGCCGTGTGGCCTCCCTGTACCACGGCGGGGGAGCCGAGGAAGAAGGTCAGTCGGGGAGGCTAAATAGCCTTCTCCCTCCTGTAAATGTGATTGATCGTCTTGTCGAAATAAGAGCTGAGCCGTTCAACTCCGTCCTCCACAGCGGTGTGCTCCCTCACACATCCATTCCCTCCGCATCCGACAAATTGCTCGGCGCACTGCTGACGGCAGAAGAATCGCTTTCCGCCAGATACGGCGCCCTCGACCGGACCTGCGTGCCCCATTCCTGGATACTAGGCACCCCGCCCTCAATCACGACCGGGTGTTCCTCGGCGCTCTTCCCCAGCACTGTGCCGGCATACCGGGACTCCTCGCCCGTCTTGCTGTGCTTCTTCTTCAAAGCCGTCAGGTAGTCTTCCTTCTCCAGGGAATCGGCATCGACCACGTCGCCTTCGCTGGGCACAAAGCCCGCAATGCGTCGAATTTCGCGGTTCGCGGGGCCCGTGAACCACGCCAGAAAGCCCTCCAGGCCGCGAATATCTTCCTCGTTTTGCCAGTCTTCCTCCCACTCTCGGAGCTGGGGTCGCAGGGCGCCGGCGTCTTGCAATGCTTGGTAGATGTCCTCGAGAACGGGCATGGGGTCGCTGGGGTGGGCGTTGGCGGCGTGCGCGGTCGCAGAGGAAGCCAGGATCATCATGTAGCGGGCAGTGAGGTCGGCGATGGTGTCGACGACGGACGGTCGCGTGGCATGAAAGCCGGCAGCTCGTAGGATTTGAATGATGGGCGGACGCAGGAGGGCGTTGTGTAGATTTGCTCCGGACATGACGGGCGCGTCGTGTGTTTTTGCTGGTTGAGAAGGCGGAAAACGGATAGCCAGGGAGAGAAGAATGGTGAGCAATGATGGAAGATGGAAATCGCAGCAGACAATCGACGCAAGGATGGGGAATCAACGAGAGGTGCAGCAGCAGCTGGCGACCGACGAGTGTTGAAGAAGGCAAAACGTCTTCGGCGTTTCTCCGCCTTTCCGCCTTCCGCTTCACGGGACTTTCTCTTTCGTCCTTCACTTCACCTTCACCCTCACCCTCTTTCCTGCTCAACCAACCCCCTTTTCCTCTCTTTTTTAACGGTTTTTCAGCTCAAAAACCTCCGTCTGCTGGAGGACTAGTTTACTGTCATGTCAGAAGGCCGCCCCGCGCTCAAACTCACCTTCGGCAAGAAGAAGGCGCCGGAGGAGGCCGCTCAACCCGCGACGCCTTCAACAGCGGCCGCGCCCTCTACGCCTGCTCCTGCTCCCTCCACGGCCGCCTCCGATACCCCTCAGCGCAAGCTCACTCTGAAGATCGCTCGAAAGCCAGCAGAAGGCGCCGAGGAGGAAAAGCCCAAGAAGAAGAAACCGTCCAAGAAGCGACCCGCCGAGGGTCCCGCCGTGAAAGAAGCAGTCGCTGCGGCCGCCGCTACCGTCGCGGAACAGCAGCAACAGGCCGGTCCCAAGCGACTGAAACTGACCGCCTCGAAGAAGCCGGGCGTGCAATCGATTCGGATCAAGCACAAGAGCCTGAAGCCGACGAGGCCGGTGGGGGTTGGCTACGACTCCGAAGCCTCGGACGGTGAAACCGATCCCGCCATCGAAGAACAGTTCATCCTGCGCATGCCCCCCGGCGATGATTGCGACTATCTGCAGAAATTGATCAAGGAACAAGGGTTTAATAAGTCGGATTTTTCTTTCAAGCCGCTCACTCGCGATGGCCGACGGGCGGTCATCAAGGTTCGCGATCAACAATATGCGGCGTCCCTGGTGGACCTGCCGTCCATCGTGGAGGGTATGAAAAGTTGGGATCGTCGGGGATGGTACAAGTCGGCCGATATATGTCAGATGCTGCTCGTCCTGGGTCCTATCGCCAACGATGCCGAAGCCATGGATTATCCGCTGCCCAGCGAGATCGAACACGTCGAAGGCAAGAACCTGCAGTATCCCCACGGGTTGACACCGCCCTTGCGGTGGGTGCGGAAGCGCCGATTCCGTGAGCGCACCAGCACCCGAACCATCGAGCAGGTCGAAAAGGAGGTCGAAGACCTGATCGCTCTGGACGATGCCTCTGCCTCGGCGGTCCGTTACGAATTGATCGACAGCGCGTCTCTCAACCGTGCCGAGGGACTGGTGCAGACCGGAGACTACGATGACTACGACGAATACGACGACGAGCAGGATGCCGAAGGAGAACTAGAAGAGGCGATGGAGGCGGCGCCGCCTTCGTTCGAGGATCTGGAGGATACCCTCGTGGCGGAGATGGAGGCTGCTCTGGCCGCCGGCGCTGATGGCGAAACCGCCGTAGCAGCAGCAGCCGAAGCCGTGGCGCCTGGCAGCGACGGGGGTGTTTACCAGGCTGGTACTCCTATGGCGACCAAACCGTCGACCCCGGCGGCCGAATCTTCTGAAGACGACAGCGATGTGTCTGACGGCGAGGAGGCCGACGTGCCGGAGGATGAAATGGACGAGGAGCAACTGGAACGACAGCGACAGATGCAACAACAGCGCGAGGAAATCACCGAGTTGGAGACTATGATCCGCACCGAGACGGCGAAATGGGAAAAGACGCAGAACCACATCCTGAGAGGGAAGCTAGCCAAGCGTATCCAGGACTTGAAGCGGGACTTGTCTTTGAAGAAGGTCTCGGTGGGCGATGGCGACGATGGCGACGATTGATTTCTCTGAATTCCTCTTTCTTTCTACTGACCGTGAATTGATCTCTTGATACCCCCGCTGTCATGTCATGGATAGTGCCGTCTAAAGGACTTAGTATGACAGGATGATAATACAAATCAGGCACTTGATTATGAGCTGCGCTGCCAATTGCCAGTTTTACACTCCATCTCTTTCTATTCTACCCAACAACTCGATCCCCCGTGGCCTCCTGCACCGCCGCCTTCGCATCCAACCTCCTCGCCTCCTCCAACTTCCTCTGCCTCAGAGTCTCCCTCTCCGCCGTCTCCACGTCCGGCTCCGGCGGCGAATGTCCAATCCTCTCTCCAAGCACGCGATCATGCTCCTCCCTCTTCCGCTCCATATCCGACATCAACCCCTTCTCCCCGTATTTCGTATACCCAGGACCCGGCATGCTGCCCACGGCACCCGCATGCGCGCCCGCCTGCTCTCGTCTTGTCCCCTTACTTTCCACCGCGGCCGCAATGTCTCCTTCATTGGGCTGCTGCTCCACGCCGTACTCGAGATCGACGTCCGGGGCGTTCTGCATCGCCGCGTGTTCCCGTTCGCGGCGCCGTTGGACTTCCGAGAGCGCGGAGGCGTTCGACGGCTGCGAGCCCGCCCCGCGCACGATGGAGGGTACTGCGTCGCCGTATCTGCGACCGCTGTGTCCTTGGCTTTGGTTCTGGAGGGTAGAAGCGCGTTGCTCGACGGGGTTGTGCGTGACGGGGTTGTTGGGTTCGTCGTAGGCGGCTTGTTTGGGTGGTTGGGGGGGTTGGTTGGTGGTGGACATGTTGGTATGAATTAATCAGAATAGACGGAATTGAATATTGTAATCACTTTTTAAGAGTACGTGGATGTGTAGAGAGGAGAAAGTGTGCAGTTCTCCCTCTCGTGGCATTATATAGAGGATTGATGTCCGCATGACGTCACGCCATTGCTCTTGTTTCTTGGTTATCTTTTTTTCTTTCTTCGCCTCTCTCTGGTTTCTTCTTGGTCTCTGATTGCTTGATTTTAGATGCTGTGGATCAACATGAATTCCATGGAAAGCTTAGCAGCGCTAAAATTGGTGATTGACGTTGCTTGGCTCATTGGTGACTTTAATTTACTACAGTAGTGTTTGTCTTGGTGGAGATGGCTGCTATACATGATCCCTATATCGTCTAATAAATGAGAATGATCCGATGGAATAATTTACCTATGGAATGTGTATAACTTGAATTTTCTTAAGCTATGGTCGAGTCTTGGGTCTTTATAGATATCGTAGTGGATAGTAAGTAGATGTGATGCAGGATCCTGAGAATGAGGATCTACTTCGAATCGCAGGCTAGACTAGGCTTCTAGAAGAACCAGCACCAGACTCCTCTCTGAATCACTTGCAAGACAAAAATACATCCAAGTCTAACATCTCCCAGCCTCGTCACCAACAGCTCATCCATCCCGCCAAGTCTCCGAAATGTCTCCGTCCAACATCCAATCCGCGTACATAAAGGCGTAAGACCAACACGAGTCATCTTCAACCCTAACAAACTACTTCTCATTACTACTAACTCAACTATTCCCAATCTCCCTCAATACTACACATTCCACCCAAAGCCCTCCCCAAATGGCCTCAATCACCTCTCCCTCCCACTCCAAATCCCTCACCCTCTCAACCGGCCACACATACGCCTACATCCACCACCCTCCCACCCCCCAACACCAAACCACCATCCTCTTCCTCCACGGCTTCCCCTCCTCCAGCTATGACTGGCGCCATCAAATCGCCTTCTTCGCTTCACAGGGCTACGGGATCCTCGCCCCCGATCTTCTCGGCTACGGCGACACCAGCAAACCCGTCTCTCTGGACGCCTACAAAGCCAATGCCATGGCCGCCGAGATCATCGAGATTCTGGACCACGAGGGCCAGGAGAAAGTGCACGCCGTCGGCCACGATATGGGCTGTGGCTTGCTTTCCAGGCTGGCGGATTACTATCCGGAGCGGCTGGCGTCGTGTGTTTTTTTGGCTGTGCCGTACGCGAATCCCGGGGGACGGTTTGATCTAGGGATGGTGAATCAGATGTCCAGGCAGGTTTTGGGGTATGAGCGGTTTGGGTATTTGGGCTTCTTCGTGGGGGAGGAGGCTGCGGGGGTGTTGGATCGGTTTGTAGGTTTTCTTCTTCTTTTCCAGAGCAAGGGGACTTGGATTCGAGGCTAACGGCTGAGTTAGGGAGAGAGTTTCTTCACACTCTTCTACCCCCATGATCCGGACCTGTGGATCTCGCATGTCGGTCCGACAGGGGCCATGGAGTTATGGTTGCACGACGATGCGCGAGCCCCGTTGGCTTCGTATCTGACTGAAGAGGTACTATCTTTACCCTGAACCCTAAAGACAGATTCCAACGACTACTAACCTCTCAACCAGGAAAAAGCCAAACACCAGCAAATCATGCACGGCAACCACCGCTTCGCCCTGAACTGGTACCGGGCCCTAGTGGGAAACATCAACGCGGAAGACGAGCTGCGTGCCGGGCTGGAACCTGCTCTTAAGATGCCGACGCTCATGGTCAGCCCGCAGCCCAGTCGGCTGGAGTTTCCCGGCGTGGAGGAGAATATGCGTGTAGTGGCGCAGGACTTGACGCTTAAGCACGTTTCGACGAAGGGGCATTGGCTGCAGTTGGAGGCTAGGGAGGAGGTTAATGGGATTTTGGAGAGGTTTTTGGAGAGTGTGGATGGTGCTGAGCTTAGGTAGAGCTGGTCTCGTAGGTGATGTAGAGATTGTAGTAATATGATTTATATGACAAAGGGCTGTTATTGGTGCTTTCTTGAGCTACTGACAAATTAAATGGAATGAGATAGCGAAATTGAAGTTATGATACAAAAACTATATATACTAGTGACTGCAGTATGGATTACCAACTGTTGGCGTTTCCATAGACCAGCAAGGCTTCAAGATAGTCAGACACTAGGCTCCCTATATCTTTCAATTTCCCATGATCGTCTATATGAAAGGAATATATGGAAATAAAATCTTCAAGGGGATGAAGATATCTATAGTTATTTATGCACAGTTATGCAGCTGCTTACTCAGCCACCGGTAAGCGCATGTGAAGCCGCGGTCTTCGTGATTACAATTCAGAATTCACGAACCGGTCCATCTTCTCCACGACTGTCTCTCCGTCGGCTATGTCCATGCGGACCCATGGTCTACTTGCTCTCAACTAATACATAAGCCCTTCCAGCTATCCACCACCCCGTCAACCACATCCTGTACATTCCCGATCAAATACCTACATCTACTATCCGCATCGACTCGGCTATCCTCGGCAACTATGACTTCTGCTCTGTTCACCATCCCCATCGCCTCTGGCGGCAGCATTGTCTGCAGTAATCCGACGTCCTCGGAGCAGGAGAAGAACATCTACCTCCTGACCTTCACCTCGCCCAAGGACAACCGACTCACGCCGGCCTTCATCGAAGCGCTGCTGCTGGCCCTGGATGTCGTCGACCACCGCTACCCCAAGGGCGTGCTGATCACCACCAGCGGCATCGCCAAGTTCTACAGCAACGGGCTGGACCTCGAGCTGGCGCAATCAACCGAGGGATTCATGGAGAACCACCTCTGGAAGCTATTCCGACGATTCCTAACGTACCTCCCCCAGCCCTCACCCAGATTGAGAGAGAATACTAACCAGAACCAGATACCCCATGCCCACAATCTGCCTGCTGAACGGACACGCCTTCGCGGCAGGCTGCATGCTCGCGATGTACCACGACTACCGGATCCAGAACCCGAGCAAGGGGTTCCTGTGCATCAACGAGCTGGAGTTCGGCGTGCCGCTGCAATCGCCCATGATGAGCATTTTCCGCGAGAAGCTGACCCCGCCGGCGTTCCGGGACTTGGTGCTCGAGGCGAAGCGCTTCACGGGCGCGGGCTCGGTGAATGCCGGGCTGGTGGACGCTCTGGGCGGTCTGGATGAGACGCTGGCGTTCGTGCGCGAGCGAGGCCTGCAGAAGAAGGCGGCCACGGGCATCTACGGCACCCTGAAGGAGGAGATGTATCGGCATTCGTTGGATATTGTGGATGGGCATGAGAAGAACCTGGAGTGGAGGGAGCAGGTCGAGGAGAGGAATGAGAGGGTCGAGAAGGAGGGGTTGAGGGCTGTGGAGGCGTGGGATAAGCAGAGGGGGTCGAAGCTTTGAAGGAAGAGTATAGAATTATGGGATGGTGTTGTATACGGATATATGAGCAGTATGTTAAATGTTAAGTTGTACACAGATTGTGGTTTCTTGTGGATATCTATACGATTGAAGATGCTTGTTAACAAATGAGAGCTAGATTTTTGATTGATTGATTCATTCTTATTCTTGATGTAGCCACCTTATTACAGCAAGGAGCTCCATATATAGGTAGGTACGCTCTACCTAGTACCAGGGCTCTCAACTTCATAAAAATCCCAAACACATGACTTTTACAGAGTCTTAAGCCTCTATATAAGCAGAAATATGTTTCTTTTTATTTGCGCATTTTACATAGACTGGCTACCTCTGGGTCCAGGTCCTATTTTTTAACTCCTTGTAACCTCGCAATTACTCTTAATATAATCTACTATAAAGAATTAACCTCAAAGCTAGCTCTATCTGACTATTTATGTGGGATGTACCTAAGAGATTACACAAATATCAAGTTCCCCTTCCATCAAAATATCCCCTGCTTCTTCTTCACAAACAAGGCCTTGTGACGTTCTACTATTACTCTACGGCGGGCCAAGTGAAAGCTAGTGTTAGATGTGAACTGAAGTGTTTATACTCTCAAATTACAAAAAAAGTAACCCTATCGTCCATGCGCTGGTCAGGGAAAAGAGCACTTTCCATTCATAAGGGTTTCCTTCCCATCCAGCACCATCAACAAACTCTACTATCTGTACGTAGTTGTAAACAAACGAAAGGCTTTAATTCCACAAACCTGCGCTGAACTGTAGATAAAAACTTATAGACACCATCTATTCATTACCTCCGTGTGTACTAGCATTATGGCATTCGCCCTAAACCAAGCTCGATCTGCATTTCTCATTCACTATTACTCCTACCGGAAACTCACTCATCTACTAGATGCAGTCCTCAAGCCCCCCTCCCTCTCTCGCTTCCACCTCACCTCCCCCATCAACACCATCAAAATGGGACCGAAGAAGGCGAATCGTCGCAAGAAGACCGGCCCAGACACCATGCCAGACCAAGGCACTGCTCAATCCACCAAGACCGAACACTCTAAGGCAGCCAAACTGGCCACAGAAGCCATCCAGCACAATCACGCTAAGCGCAAAGACGTCGGATCCCAAAACCAAAAGGAATGCCCCAACCTCAAGATGGCCAGGTTCTGGGCCGAGAGAGACGAGCTCCCCATCGATCCGCTTGAATTCTCGAATCTCTTCCGTGGTCCTGCGCCGTTTAAGATCGATTACGATGGTGTAAGCCTTTGTTCCTGAGGTCCCTGAGTGGGTGGATATCGAAAAGGGTTGCGATTCTAATGATTAATACATGCGATAGACCGTCCGTCCTTCCTCGCCCCAGGAGATTGTCAGATACGAAGGCGCGACCATGATGGCTCCTCTCACAAACGACGCCATCGCCGAGGTCCTGCGCGAATCTCAGCCGGATTGCCCCAAGGCGCAGGCGTGGATCAGAGCCTACGAAGCCAGTAAGACGGCGAGAGGACGCATGGAGGCTAGGATCGCGGGGAGAGATATTCTTCGGAGACAGGCGGCGCGCAGGCTGCGGGATCAGGCGTCTCAGGCTGCGAGTTCCAGCGCGGAGGGTCAGGAAACTAGCGCCTTGTCCACAGATGATTATGTGCCGGGCGCCCCTTTGAAAGACGATATGGATCGCATGCAGGAGCATATGGAACGGGTCAGTGTGGCGCATGAACGGCTGCAGAAGACTATGGAGGAGTGTAGGAAGACGCTGGAGGAGTGCCGTGGCAAGAAGTGATCGTCCGTCGTTCATGTGAAGCGCTCATGACCGCTGGGGATCGGTGAAGCTATCCCGTTTCTGCAATCTCATGGATCTTGGAGATGCAGCAGAACGCTAACGAGTTATGACTGGACTGGATCGAGGATCGTTCTTCACATGACTGTACCATCATTCTAAGGTAGCTTTTTCACTCAAATACAGTCACAGTCACAGTCACATCTTGATCCTCCGATCTCACGTCTTCTTGCTCTTGCCGGTACCCTTCACCTTACCCGGCGTCTCCAGCCTATCCACCAACGGCCGATACGGCGAAGCCAGCACATGCTCCGGCGCTCTCTGCATCGGATCCTCTCGTCTCGGCTCCCCCGCAAACGGCCGTCGCTGCTGGTCCTCATGCATGCGATCCAACGGCTCGCCCACGATCTGATACTTGGCCCAATTGACCGGCGGCATGCGCACCACGTTCTGCGGCGTGGGTATCGTCCCCAGCCCTGCGCGAGATCCCTCTCTCTGTCGTCCCTCCCCGTCCCCGTCCCCATCCTCGCCCTCATCTTCATCCCCATCCTCATGCGTGAAATTCACAAACCCCGCCTCCTTCGCCGACAGATTCCCCGCCGCCAGTTCGCGCGCAAACCCCTCCGGATCCGCCGCCGCCGCTTTCTTCAACCGCTCTAGCGTGCGCATGTCGCGAAGACTCTGCTGCTTCTGCATCTGCAAGATCGAAAGCGCCGAGCGCAGCGCGATCGCGTCGGGATTCTCGCTCTCCGAGATCGGCACGGGCGCGGGCTCCGGGACGAAGGAGGGCGGGGGCGGGGGAGGAGGGAGCTGAGTCGATGTGGATGCGGATGCGGATGTGGAAGTAGAGGCGGGAGCGGGAGCGGAGGAAGCAGGAGCAGGACAGATGGCCGGATTGATGTTGAGGCCGACTCCGAACGGGGCGACGCGACTTGTGGGCGAAGGCGATCGCGGCGGGACGATGGACGATGCGGGGAAGCCGTTGCCGTTGTTGTTGTTGGGGACGGGCGCCAGATGCGACAGCACGGGGGTTACCGGCGAGTAGGGCGGCCGCGGAGGCGTGCCGGGACGGTCGGTGGGGGGTTGGTCGTCGGAGGGCTGCATGGTGGAAGTGGTGGAAGTTGGGGAGATGAAGGAGGAAGAGAAAGGAGAAGAGAAGAAGTTGGAGTTGGAGGCGTTTGTTTGATGGCGATTCGATGATTTGCTGCATCTGATTGGAGTCGCCCGGGAGTGCCAAGACGACGATGACGTCGTTGTTGTTACGCAGGATCAGTCAGGCAGAGGGTGTCCACGGATAGCCAGGGCTAATAGAGTAAAGGACTGAATAGTATGTTTCTAAAGAGTATACCTAGTAAAGTAAGGAAGTTGAACGAAGTGGTTGTCGCTGTTGTTGGCTTGCGGTCTCGGCCTAAGGCTATCGGCGTTATCTCCTCCGACGATAGACAGTTAGTTCGTCTTCAATCCCCACAATATCCATTCTGTTAGTTACTCCGTATAACTGTATGATGGAACCCCTGAAAATCACTGCGAATCCACTGAACGTACCTTTCCAAACGCTAAATGGAGATATGCTGGTATCTTAGTGTGTAATCGTGGATGACCACAGAGTGGAAGATACTCCCGGGCGCCATCATGTCACCATAAACCGCAAAGTCCAGATCGAGATCTCAAGCCACCCGATCTCCATAAGTCCATTAACATCAGAGCTGTCAACAATATGATTTGTTTTGTTGAGTCCATCGAATGATTGGTGGTTCAGGTTGAGATGGCCTGATCTGGTGGCCTGATCGATGCAGTCTCTCACCGCCTTGTCCGTAAAAAAAAAAAAAAAAAAAAAAAACTCCGCATCGCCGACGCTGCAATTCTTAATCCGATCGAAGTCCCATTCTGACTCTGAACCTCTCCCCCAACCGGCAGAATGAAGCGCAAGACGAACCCTCAATCCCAGGGCGCCAATGGCCAGCCCGATTCCAAGAAGCGTGCCTTGTCCAGCGAGGAAGCCGCCGCTCGATTCCGCGACGGCCTCTTCGAACCCTCCGTGCAGGAGAACTATACCAAAGAATACGCCGACTCCGCCCCGTATGTCATTCGCATCGCTCGTTGTCGCCCGCGCGAAAGAAATCTTTGTTAGGAAATGCTAATGCTAATTCCCTCCCAGGTACAAGCACGGCGTCATCCACCCGCTGATTGAACCCTCCCTGCTGCGATCGGTCCGCGACGAAATCCAGGCCCAGGTCGACTTCACCGAGAAGGAGACCGATATCTACAAGATCTTCCAGTCCGGAGATCTGGCCAACCTCGACGGTCTCGACGACACATCTCTCTCGCGATTGCCCTCGCTGCTGAAGCTGCGCGATGCGATGTACTCGGCGCGATTCCGCGAGTACCTGTCCTCCGTGACCAACTCGGGCAAATTGAGTGGAAAGAAGACCGACATGGCCATCAACATCTACAACGAGGGCTGCCATCTCCTGTGCCATGACGACGTTATTGGAAGCCGTCGGTTGAGTTATATCCTGTACCTGACCGACCCCGATACTCCGTGGCAGGCCGAATGGGGCGGCGCCCTGCGTCTGTTCCCCACGAGCACGAAGAAGGACGCGAATGGCGAGGACGTCAAGGTCCCCAGCCCGGACTACAGCCTGAGCATCCCGCCTGCTTTCAACCAGCTGAGCTTCTTCACCGTCCAGCCCGGTGAGAGTTTCCACGACGTCGAGGAGGTGTACCACCCCAAAGAGGGTGATGATAAGTCCAAGAAGCGTGTCCGGATGGCTATCAGCGGATGGTTCCACATCCCGCAAAAGGGCGAGGATGGCTACGAAGAGGGTCTGGAGGAGAAGCTGGCCGAGCGGAGCAGTCTGGCTCAGCTGCAGGGACGAGGCGACATCTACGACCTCCCCCAGCCGCAGCCTACGATCTGCCACGAGGACGCCGAGCAGAAGGTGGAGGGCAAAGGAAAGGGGAAGATGGAGGAAGTGCCGAGCGGCACCGAATTCAACGAGGCCGACCTCAACTTCCTGGTGCAGTACATCGCGCCCTCGTACCTCACCCCTGACATAGCCGAGGAGATGTCTGAAACGTTCGGTAACGAGTCGTCGCTCAACCTGGAACGGTTCCTGTCGGAGAAGTTCGCCGCGCGCGTACAAGAGTACATTGCCGAGCAGGAGCGCACGGAGCTCCCCAAGTCGTCGGACGAGATTAAGGCTCAAACCGGCTGGACGGTCGCACGACCGCCGCACAAACAGCGCTACATGTTTCAGCAGTACCCCACAACAGCGCAGGACCAGAAGACGCCGATCCAGGAGCTGCTGAACGGCCTCTTCCCCTCACCGGCGTTCCGCAAGTGGCTGGCGCTTGTGACAGGCGCCGAGCGCATCACCAGCTACGACTACCTGGCGCGTCGCTTCCGTCGCGGACAGGATTACACCCTGGCCAGCGGCTACGATGGTGAGGAGCCGCGGCTGGAGTTTACGCTCTGCCTGACGCCCACCCCCGGATGGGAGAAGGAGGGAGATGAGGACGAGGACGAGATGGACGAGGCTGAGGATGGCAAGGGCGAGTCTGCGGCTGCGAAGAAACCCAAAAAGGAGACCAAGGAGGCCTCCTCCGCGACCCACGAGGAGCCCGCCGTCGGTGGCTATGAGATCTACATGGCCGGCGACGACGAGGACGAGGGCGACGCCGCCATCTACCGATCTGCGGCGGCGGAGGAGGACGATGGGATCTTGTTCAGCACAGCCGCCGGATGGAACCGACTCAGCATCGTGCTGCGGGACAGCGGCACGCTGAAGTTTGTGAAATACGTTAGTGCCGCAGCCCAGGGAGACCGCTGGGATCTGACTGGCGACGTGGGAGTGGATTTCGGCGAGGACGAGGACGAGGACGACGAGGAAGACGCCGAAGTGGAGGAGGAGGATGATGAAGAGGACGAGTAAAAATAGCAATTTTTTCTTCTCTGCCTTCTAAAAAAGACCATGTACATATTTTCCTATCTCATTTCCTTTCCCTCTAGTTTGTTTCATCTCAATTCCCGCACGAAGTCATGAGAACTCGGGATCGTTGGGCATACCTATCCTATTCTTTCATCCAACGACAAAAATAGAACCTGCCCATCCTCCCATTCCTTTCTAAATCTTGAGTCTGAGTCCAAATCGTCGCTGCCTACCGCATCTGCAGGGCACTCTCACCCACACCTTGCTCCTCCTAGTTATCTCGATCTAAGCCCTCCCTCCCTGCCCATAACCAAGCTCATTAATGTCAATCGAGTCAGGATCGACCGGATCTATCAATAGCCTGCAGGCAATCAATATCAATCAATCAGTCAAACATCCTGATCCCAAACCTAGCGAGTAGTCAACTCAATACTCAACAGAACAGAACTCAGCTGAACTAGTCAAGCTAGCAGCTGCGCAAACAAAGCAAACCCCAACTAGCCAGGTGGCTGAGAACCTAGTGCCTGGATCAAATGACTCCCCGGGCGGTACATACCGCAGGAACAGAGGCACAGAAGACACAGCCGCCTTGTTTTTCAGCTGCGATCAGGGCAGGTGGAGAGGTGTATACCATTGTCTGGAATACATGGGGTTGTGGGCGGAGTGGCTGTCGACCGGGGAGGCATGGCATCTCTAACTAGGAGTACTTATTTTATATCGATATTATGTATGTTCGTACATATCATTTAGCTGAGAAAATGGCATAGGAGATGGGCATGTTTTGAAAAAAACCGGTTAGCTGGTTATTGACAATTGATAGCCTACACCTACAGATCGTAATGACCGCTCATATATAAGCTCGGTTTTCAATCTACTAGGTATTTCCTATCCACAATTTAGGTACTTCTGTCAGCCCATTTGTCTATCTATTGCGTCTAATATGAAGATTGACCTATCGCATGATCTTACTTGAGAGAGAATATGTTATATGGTGTCAGTAGGACCTGGGAGTATGTTACTCTAAGTTCACAAAATAATAGCCCACCTGGATGACTACCTAAGTAACAAAGACCATAATCATAATCATAAAAATAATCATAATAATCACCACAGTAATAATCCACTCCATTACCCCAAGCCCACTACAATTACCTACGCAGTAAACCCAGACCACTCGGCCTCGCGACAAAAACCCCCTCCATCGCCGAGAACCGACTGTCCCATAACATCTCAACCATCGACATCTCTATCCACCGCCCAGCAAAATAAACCAAAAAGAAAAAGGAAAGAAAAGGAAAAGAAAAAAACCACGTGGACCCATCAAACCCACCCCGATCTCCGGAGTCCCAACATGGAATCCACCCATTCGCATCTCGCTATACGTCGGACCGGAGCTCCTCGTATTCAAGCCATCCCGAGGCGAATTGATGATTTGCGAGCGAGAAAAAAGCACCGCGGAGAGGGCAGAAAAAAAGAAAATGGCGGAGAAGGTCCGAAAGACCGAGTCAGTGGAAAGTTTAAACGAGGAATTATTTTATTGTACGCAGGGAAGCTGAAAAATTAGGATGGGGGGTTATGGTTTGGAGGCTTTGTTGGGAGGGGTTTTCTTTATTGGGGTGTTTTCTTTTTCTTTTTCCTTTTCTCTTTTTTATGGGGTTGAAGTCGGTGTCGTTTGATGCTCCCTCCCTCTCTCTCTCTCTCTCTCTCTCTCTCTCTCTCTCTCTCTCTCTCGTGTGCAATATTTGGGGAGAGCTTGACTAACAATTAGGTCAGTTCTGGTGCTGTCATGGATAAATAACCATTGGACAGTCACAGATGAAAGATGAGGGCTCTATACAGGCAAAAAAATAGGGCAATGGAGTCTACCATATGGCCAACTAGCTAGGCAAACTATTTAGCAACTATTAGCCCACGCCGTGTGATACGACCATGAGGGCGGTGATTTAAAGTTGAAACTGACTCGGTCTCGTGTGGACTTGCAAACCACGGAGTAACTAACCTAACTGCACCGTATACCACTGTCTTGACTCTTGATGCAGGTAAATCAAGTCACCACGAATGAAGCTAAATGGGGTTACTTCGGCAATAATAAGTATATCACACAGTGCTATAGCGACACGTGCGCCGCATCAGCAATCTGGAGGTATGGGGCTTGGCCATACTAGGAACTAT